CAATGAAAGAGAGAAAATTTTTGAAATAAAATATATTGTTGTTAAAATGGCTTTGGCCGGTTCGTTGTTCGGACCGAGTACATCCGAATGATGAAAATTGAGCAACAAGCAGCAAGTTTTCTGTGGTAAGCATTCGATTTATGAAAAGTCAAGCTTGTGGACATATGAAACGACGAGAGTGGTTAACAAGTAATGTCTCTATTCGTTATTGTCTCTCATTTCTTTCAGTGTTTTAATAATATTATTTAACTATTCAAGCAATGAAAGTTAAAGTCTTAACAAGTTAATCGTGGAAGTTGGAAGTTTTAACAACATAGGATAGTTTTAACAGCGTGAAAAACAAAATTTAAAAATCGAACAACGCTCTATTGAGATCATGAACGACAACAAAGCTTAACATAACGTTTTTTATTTTCAATTGTTATGGGAATGATTCTAACTCCCATGATGGATATATTTCAATGCATGCATCAGATTGTGGAATGTATAAAGTTCAAATCTTCGACAAGTGTTACTCGATTTACTACTTATTCAATTACTAATCACCTTGCGTTGTTGCTAACTTAGCAAATGACACATGAAAGATTTTTTTCACATTAAAACAGACACAGATACTGTGTCAAGACGAAAAATGTATGCACGCCTATGAATATCCATAACTATCTCCAACTCTATATTTAATTTCCCAATATATGCCTTCAACAGTAGTTGTTTTCATGCTTTCCATGTTAAATCTTCTTTTTTCACTATGTCCTCGTTTAAGATTTATAAATTGTCGTCGAAGAGTCAAAAGTGAATATCTACATAAGTTAAAACTAAATGCTTATGCCATTGCACAGCAAAAATTAACTTAAAAAATATTTAATTCATTGCTGATTCAAAAGCTCCGTGTGTAGGTAATTTCACATAGAAAAATGTAAAATTGAAGAGATGGAAAGTTGGTAAGTATTTAAGCAGTCGTCATATTTACTCTGCTGATACAAATGGCAAGTATGTTTATTGTTCTATTACAGGTAAAATGAAGTGAATAAAATATTTTAATCAGTAAAAAAGTGACTTTCCTTCACTGATTCGCTTTCTATTATTCAGAACCTAAGTTATCATTGTGACTTTTGTAATTATTTCTTTCTAAATCAATAGCTGAAGAGACATAATTCTTATCGCGTAAAAACACAGAAAAAGCACTAAAAATAAATCATAAAATATTCTCGCTTCGCTGATAAGAAATATCAATACACAATAGTCAGCGTCATGCATGACTGTGACGACAACAGAAATTAATTGAAATTTCATGAACATTTTGAAGTCTTAATATAACGAAAAAAAAAACTTTTCATACTATGTGACTTATCTTAACGCACGTTTAGATTACAGATATCAATTTATCGTTCTTTGAAAAATGTCATTAATTGGATTATTTTAACAAATCCTATGATGGAAATCGAAGCAAGAAACACATTTTAATGGATTTTTCAAAGTTTATTACTCCAGTGTTGCAAACATTCAAAGCTCATGTAGATTGCTAATTATCAATGCAATATTAATTTTCAGTATTATGATAGGGGTTCAAAACTTTTGTTTATTCTCCTATTTATTTTCTACATTATTTGTTTTCGTTTAATGACTGAAAGTTATTGTGATGAAATTTTTTTCAAAGATTATTTTAAATTTTAAGAACCGATTCATCGTCATTATATTCACAACGCAATTTAATATGCATCCCTCCTCCACGACATTAGCGACGAAAACTTGAGTCAAGGTCAGTTTGGAATCGCGTGTGTTCAGTGTTTTCACAAAATTAAACTTTCTACTGTTATAAACTTATTAGGAGGAATTTAACACAAACGTTTATTTAATATTCATATAATTCATATTTATAGTTTTGAGAATTCACGTGTCGTCTGTTTGATTGAAGACGGTCAACAAATCAGTCTCCACTATGGTTAAGCGTCATAATTCTAGTGAAATTATTCGACGTCACAGCGAAGTTAGACTCTATAGTGACTTGCGTCTTAGCAACAACACGTCATTAGTCAATGTCTGCTTTCTTTTATACATATATTGAAGTGTTTTCTATAAAAGACAAAAATTCATTCAAAACCTTATACAAATTTTCGTGTCCCTAAAAGTTTCCAAAAATCGAGATGATTAAGAAATATTCTCGGGAAAATTTCCATGATAAAAGAAGTTAGAGCCTCATCATCACGAGATGGGAAAACATTTTCCGGCTGATATAGTTATGGAATGAAGAATGAGTTCCAAATTTCCCAATGAGTTTTCTTCCCAAGCTTATGTCGTTTCAAAACTGTTTCCATATGCTCGATCGTTTTAGTCGATGAAAATTATATTGTATCTTTAATGTGTTTCACTTTTTTACTTCTCAATTTTCAAGCTATTTTTAAATTCATTTTGAAAATGTGTGATACTCTGCATTATGATAGAGACCTTGCCACATATCGATAGCTTATTAGGAGGCATTTTTTCAAAGATAATTAGGATCTGTTTTTAACGAGAGTATAAACTTTAGTAAGTCGTTTAATAAAAAGTTACATTCTGTATCGGACGATCTAATGAAGATTTTAGCTTTTGGGTAAATTATTCAGGATAAAAGTTCCAAGAAAGTCTACTTGAATCTTGAACATCTACAATTATAATTATTTTTTTATTGCGTTTAATAGAATTGGCATCGGACAAACAGGTAACTCAAAACGATTTTATTTCATATCAGAATGAGAAACCTGATTCCTTGTTTTTATGTGTTTAAGAACTGGCTTTGTTGCTAATGAAACACTGGAAAAGCACGTGTTAATTAACACGCCTTTCGATTTGATGAATAAACAAGGGAGGCGAAAAGAAACATCAACAATCAAGCTTTTGATCTTGGATGGACAATATTACAACCTGTTTTTATGTAACCTTTCCTTTCCCTCAATGCTCCACTTCTCTTTTGTTTTCACTTGTAAGAAGATTGATGTTATCAAACAGCACAATAGCTTTGTTCTGGATTTTTTCAAAAGACATGAAAGCGTAAATTTTTTTTAAATATTTATAGAAGGATGAGAGTGTACAGTCTACAGAAATCAGCATTTCACTAGACACTTCATTTCTCGAGGTCATCCGCGAATAAGTTAATAAGATCTAAGATTTTGTATCAAAGAAAATATCTACAAAATTGTGAGAATTTTCTCGGTGAAAAAGAAAAATAAAAGTTTGCGCAATAATATAAAAGAAAGAAAAAACATTTCATTGTGTGCCACTTTTTTCGGAAGCTCAATTCCCTTAAGAGAGATGAAAACTCCCTTACACACTCGCTCTCCTTTTTCCAATGTGGGGCAGAAGCAGACAACAAACGTCAAGTTTCAAGCAACCTTTTCCATCAGCATTTGCAACCCTCGTTTGGGTTGAAATCGAGGGTGAACAAAAGCGTAAGCGAGAAAAGAAGATAGAAGAAGTTTTTTTTGTGACCACCCACGCCACCTCTTCACGAAGTCGACAGATGAAGAAGGAAAAAATCCAGAAAAAAAAGACTTCTTTTATATGTACAAGCTCGAGTTGTGTGTTGATGTAAGTAAAAACCTTTTAATGAAACATATTTTTGCTTAAACAACAGTCGAACAGAGATGAAAATGTGTAACGTTGTGAGGGTGGTAACGTCAGAGCTTGAGAGAAAAGTGATAGAAAATGCTTTCTTCCTTGCTTACGTGAAGACATAAGATGGGGATTTTTATTCTTGGTTTGCCACCCATTTCATCATTCCACTTCACTTTTGAAACCCGATAAGAATGTTCATGGAAAATTTTCTTCTCTGAAGCTTTATTTTTCCTTCATACCAAAGCAAAAAGAAGAAAAAAAGAAAAGAAAAACTGCCTCCAACAAGTACATAAATCTTTCTCACTCCTAGAGTTTCCTTCGTTTTGTTCGCAGAGCTTTTGCCATCTCTTTTTGGTGAAGTGGATTCTATGTTTGCCAGAAAGCCACCCGGAGAAGGGAAAAAGCATTAAATAAGGAAGAAAAGGATTTTTTTTTCTTTCTTTTCTTGCCCTCGATCCGCAATAGAAAGTATGAGTGGGTAGGAAAAAAATAATACAGAATGAGAAAAGCTGTTAAAATATCTTCTTCTCATTGGAATTCCTTACCAATCTCGAGTAGATTTGAAAACTTTTATTCACTATCTCTTCTCCTTATTACTTATCATTGATCATCGTCGTTACCATCATCATAATATCACTTTTTTTCGCGCATCATTCCATGAAACGTTACATAAAACATAAGCCTTCTTCACGGTTCTTCAATCCGCTTTTTTTCCTTTCTGGGATGGTCTCATCATCAGTACTTTTTGGTCGATGTTTCATCGACAAAACGAAGCGGAATTTTTTTTATTTTTTCTTTCCTCTTCTCTCATTTAACTTTGGCGTCATCAACACGCCAAGTGGAGTAACGAGATGGGAAAATTTTAATGAAAGTTTCTTCTTTTCACACACCGTGGTTGTTTTTCAGAGGGTGGAATAATGGGATTAGTTAAACTTATGGTTTTTGACTAGATTAATGAAGTGTTGATAATAATATTCTTGAAAGAATATTATTTAAAATAAGGTTACTTTAACTTGGAACTTGTTTAAATCTAATAAAATATAAGAAGCATTTCATTGGATGAATTTCTTTACACGAAGATTGAACGTTCATTATTTTTTTTACATTCATATTATGAACTGTTGCAACTTGCAAGGAAACGTCTTCAATATTACCACAAGCGAAATCTACATAAAAAATAAAATCAAATGAAAGAAGTAGGCAGACTTTTTTTTAAGATAAGAGGAAACATAACGATAACTGAAAAGCCGTTGATCTGAAAAGTTCATAAGAGAAACATCGTTGATTCAAGAAAAGAAGTGTTTCAAAGCATATCCAAACGTTTATCTTCTAACAGTTTGAGGTTGATTATTCCTAGGTGAATCAGAGTTAATGCTTTTGTGAATATGAATAAATATAAGTAGATATAAATGGCAAGAAAAAGAAAAGCAAAGAGGTAAAAAAACAAATAATCGCTATGCCAATATTCATATAAACAGGGGCGATCTTTGTAAATATTTGTAACAAATGGTAGATTGTTCTTTCAACAAAAAAGTAAGAAAGAATGAAAAGAGAAGCTTAAGCAAGAATGTGCAAAAAAGAGACAAGAATTGTAGAATGCAAACCGAAGAATAATATTCTGGATCACATTAAATGTAACTTGCATTTCTTTTCTTCTCATGCACATTTTCTCTGCATTTATTCGTTCGGACACAACAGCAAAAAGGTAATCGGATCAACTCTACAGTGTAGTATCCAATACATTCGTTTAATGAAACATTCGACAACAAGAAAATGATCATTTCAAATGTATGTGATTTTAAACTGACCAGATTTTGTAGCGTTCATGGAGAGTTGCAAGTGATGGATTGTGAATATAGAATTCTGGTCATCCAATGATTACACCATTCTCACAATAAAAGGCCAATTTTTATGCTTTATAAAATAACATTCTCTTTAGTATCGAAGAGTGTTGTTTGTTGATACATGTTAAATGATTTCTTGAAAAAAAAAGTAATAATCAGGAGATTGCTGTCGAGAGTTAGTTGGAGCCTGGAGTTTATATGTATGTAAAAGAAAAGACACAAGCAACAAAGTTTTTTTTTATTATTTTCTTCAACTTTTTCACATAAAAAACATATTTTTTCTTTCCATCTTCTAAAGACGACAAATATAATTATTTCTCAACATTTAAAGTTCTACACAGTGAAGTTTGAATTTTCTTGCTTTATTTTTCATCATTAATTTTTGTTACAACAAATAAAAAATTCTATTCTAAAGCAAGACAGATCACTTCATGTTGCAGAATGTATTGCTTTGAATTTATTATCGTTATCATAATATTCTACAACTTCTACAAAATACTTAGAAACAACGCGTACACACATCATAAACTCAAATTATTTAGATGAGACTCGAAAAAGAAAATAGAAAAAGTTTAGAGAGACAATGAAGAAGAACGAATAAAAATAATAATAAGTTCTATCGAATTCATTCAACCCATGATCGCGTAGCTATGTAGGCATTTCTTCTTCGGCGTCAAAATTAAATGGTTTCATGCTGGAGAGATGGAAGAAAAGTAAAATAAAAAAATATTTTGATACTTAGACATAAATATCAATCGCTGAGAAAGCTTTCGATCATCATTTGCCACAGTCTCGATCATAATTTTGGGGTCAATACACTAAATTTGATTTCGTATTTTTCTAACAACTCTTCATGGTTCGTCATTGTGAAATGGATCACTTTGCGCAGTCATGAGAACCTGCCAGGAATATTTTGTAATTTACTCAGATATATTCATGAAAGATATCCTAGAAGTTTATTATTTGATTTAATAAGAATTCAAGACGATGTTGAAGACTAGAAGAAAAAGAAAAGAAAAGATCTTTTTGCTTACATGTTAATTAACCAGTGATCAGCACATATATTATTTGTGGAAAAGAGATAAATTTTCAATTTTCTCTTGCATTGCTTTGACCGATAGAAAAAAAGGTAGATGTAAGTTACGTTTTTGCTCACCAACAGTAATTGCTTCATAGGAAAGTGCATCATTAGTTTTCTCTTCCTACAGCTAAGATCGATAATCTTACAAAACCAATCATTGAATTGTTACAAGTAAAACATCCCGTTCATTTTTAAATTTGTTATTTTCACCTAATTAATAATTTGTTCCATCTCATGAAATAATTTCAACAAACCACAAGCTTTGATGCAATTACTTTTTAAGTTCCGTCATTGGAGTCACCAACAAGACTACAACCAAGACAATAAATGTTTTTTTTTCTCAATCTCTTGGTACTTTTATGATTACTTCAGAAGTAAGTGAGAAAGAGAGAGACAAAAAGAGACGGAAGCTTCTTGAAGCTTGATTATTTTACCGTTTTGTTACGTTTTATTTAATTTATAGTTACTTTTTCAGTTATTTATGCAAAAGTTAATAAAAAAAAAGAAAAATATTATTGAACCAAGTACATTTTCTTTCGTCCACTTTTTCATCTCATTCGTCTCTTACTTCTTCTTTTTTGTTGATGTAAAATGTAAAATTAAAGTTTTAATTTGAATAGCTTTTTTCTTTTCATTTGATGTTCTTTCTTTATTTCTTTATTTGAGATATTTTTTTCTCACCCATCGTTTCGATTGTTTGTTATGAAAGTGTAGTGAGCGGTTGATTTGAAGGGGGTCTTTGAAATTTGATGGAAAGTCATGAGATAATTTTTTCTCTTTTTTGAAAATGATCGAAAACATCACAAAACTTTTGAGACGCCGTCACTATTTGAGGTTCTTGCTATCTTCCCATTCCTTTCTCTTTTTCATTCATTTCTCATCGACGAATCGAAACTCCCGTGTCGAGTCTCAATTACATTTTCTTCAATGTAACAGCAGTGAAGCTTCGCAAAAGTTTAAAATAACTAATAAAAAGATAAAAAGTAGCTTTTATTTTGTTCTTTTTCTTACTTACACAAGATACAACAATTCAACAGAATATTTGAGTGCTTTTTGTTGTGGGTCATGAACTTTTCTTTTTCCTAATGCCGTGTGTGTTATTCACTAGCAATATGAATAAAACTGAGTTGAGTATAACAAGTCATAAAGAGAGATTGAAACTATTTGACTGCAGTTATCGATTGTCTCCTTGGCATCAACATATTGTCTTGATTTAAAAAAAAACAGAATAACAAAAAAGAAAAAAAAGACTGTTGAACGAATGAACGGAGAAGGGAGATGAGAGCTTTGAGGTCGACAGCAGTAATACTTATAAAAGCAATAAACAGACTTTGACTCATACAGCACAACGGTCTACATGAGCATACTTATAAAAAGACTTCACAACGCTCATTTAGCGATAAAGTGTAAAGAAATCTGTTTCTGAAACTCGCAACTCCTAAAGTCAAGGTCGTTGCTTAATTCAAAAACAGAAAATATCTTGAAATGAGTTGAAAACAAATTGTTTGTGCTATAATAAATCAAAAGATTTTTTTAAAAGTAAATTGAATGATGAAATATGATCTGCAACAATTAATATTGTTATCCATTTGACGAGCATTCAGTCGATTAAGTTTAAGAAGACAACAGGTTATCGGCTTTAAGCAAAACAACTAGATTTATCACGTAGCTATCGTTTGATACTAAATATATATACTCACAGACACTCACATATGAAGTCGAGCTTATTCTTCTTTTCATATTTATTTGTCAAAATTGTGTCCGCGACGAAAACATCAATCAATTAAGGTGACAAATCGCTTCCAACTCGGATATATAAGCGGACACCAACACTGTTTACGTTTTGTGTAGATATTTTGAGTAAGGAATTGCTTCTTTTTTGTGTCTTTCTTTTATTCAAAAGTAATGTTTAAAGAAAAATAAATCAAAACACGTTGCTTTTTGGCGATAAATTAATTATGCGCATAGCAATGGATAAATAAATTTATGAAAAGGTTGCTAATTCCGAATTCATTGATTAATATTTTCCCGAAAATAACAAAAAAGTTAAATAAATAAAATTAACGTTTTTCAACACTGATGTTTTGAGATTATATTTTTGGTGGTCTTTTCGAATCTTTGGTTTTAAAGAAAGAGAAAAAAATTAACTTCTTGTCACAAAATGGTTTTTAAGCGTGACTTGCTAGATATTTCCGTAGGTGCACCATTTCGTTAATGGACGTTTTGTATCTCAACAAAAAAGAAAATGATTTATTATGTTATGCAATAAATCACCTAACAAATCAGCAACAAAGCTCAACACTCAAACCATATTCAAATCTAAAGAAATCGTTTACGAAAAAGAAAAACAAAAAATTTCTCTACTTTAAACTTTAAACCAATTGCTTTCGCTTTGAGTGATAATCTCTGAGAAATTTATTATTTGCTACGCGATAATATTAAAAATATTGTTCGATTAATAAGCTTTTTCGTGCTCTACGGTTTATCAAAGTTCAATCAACCATTCGAAGTGTTGTAGCAAAGGAAAATATTTTTAAAGTGTCTCGATGACATCAAGAGACATAATCATCGAGAAGCTTTTTTTTAAATCTCGTGACAAATTCAATTTTTCCTTTCTCTCTGTCTTTCTTCGCTTGCTTGGTTTGAAGAAGAGTACAAGCGGCTTAAGCTGTTAACTAGATTTGTATATGCTTTATTTTCTTTCTTCGTTCCCCTCCATTCTCGCCTTCACGATGAAGTGAAATGAGACGCTGACAAAATTAAAAAACATACTCGCGTCTCGGGGTATTGCTCGACGACCACGACGCTTCGTTGACAAAACAAAATTAATTCCAACTGATTTATCTCCTGAGTAAGTGGCGAGAGATCTCAATGCTTGTGTTTTTGTTTTCATGAGTATGTTAAAGCATCTTGTATTTTGTTTGTGACGCTTTTCGAATGGCCATTCGACTGTTCCTAATCACCTCAAGCTCCTCAAATGGGTTAAATCAATTAATTTGACGGTGCAAATATTGAAATGATCAAGAACAGCTACTACGTCACTACTTATAACTTCGTTTGTTGCTTCAGTCTTGAATCAATGAAATCGTTTCGTTTGTAAAATAAACCGACACATTTTCAAGTGACCTCAAATGAGTAAAACAACCGAGGAAAAAAATGTAAAAAAAGACGTCACTGCATAATACAATTTTGATTAACCAATTTTCAATGGAGGGAATGAGACGAAGAAAACAAACATCGGATGTATCCGAGTAGAGGGTCATGTCAATATTTGAAAGTAGCACTCGTACACACATACACACAGTTATTTCCAACACACACTCTTTCATAATAATAAAGAAGAGAGAAGGAGAGAAAACGAGAAAACGAGAAAAGGGAAAGAGAGATAATTCATGATAATTCATAAACAATAAAGTTCGGTCTTATTTTTTGTTGCTGTTGTGTATTTATATACATTTCATATATTTTTTTGGTTGCAGTTGTGTTTGTTTAAAACGTTTTTAGTCTCTTTATTTTCGCCTGTTAAAGGAGAAAAATTGATTTTTCAACGATAAAAATAGTCTCAATGTGATATCTATATGTTTGAAGAGGTGAAGTTTCTTTCCTATTTATTATTCTAGGATGACAGAACATAACTTCAAGAACTTTAACATAATTAATTTTCATTGAAAACTTGCTCTTTCCTCTGCTATTACCTCAAGTTCACCTAGAGACAAGCGATGCAAATTAATTTTAAAGAAATATAAACAATAATCTTGAGTCATTTACTTAAGAAGATTTTTTTCCTTCCTTTCGTTTATTATTTAATTAATTAACTTTTTTTATAAAATATCAAAAGCAAACAAATATTTTTGAACGTTTTATCACAATTCAATGTTCAATGTAGAACCAAATTCATGTGAATGGTTTGTTTTGTTTTTAAAACTTCTTATCGTCTTTTGAAAATTTAGGTTTGTCATATTGTCTTTATTTGAACATCAGCAATAATAATGTGACATTTTTTAAAATAAATCTGCTTTTAACTTAAAATATCTAAGAAAAATAGCTTAAAATATTAATTCAGAAAATTAATCCTAAATTATTCGGTTTTGTTAAATTAGCACACATTAAAATTTTCATCACGTAGCAAATTTTTTTATTAGTTTTAATTTGAATCAACAATTTAAAAAGAAAAATTGTTGATGTTAGTGACAAGGTTGTAAAAAGCTTCCAAACTTCTTAGTTAGAAGTTCTAACTTTATGTTTAGTTATCTTCATTCATAATTTTTTTTTCTTGTCGTGAAAATTTTCTATTATAATTTCTCCCTCTCGTTCTCGAAAAAAACATAAATAAATTGAAAAAAGGGTGATTCACTATCATTTGTTCTGCACATAACACATTTGAGGAACTAGCTAGAAACTTACCTCTTATCACTTAATCAGGAAATCCACTATATTGATTGCACGATCCATCAAATTGAGAAAAAGTCAGAATATGGTTTATTCAACCGTGTCAACAGTTTAATCCAATTAAATCTCAAGTTCAGAACTGTCTTTCTTTTGCTTGAATATTTTTTTCTTTTTGCCACTTAACAATCTTACAGTTTTTTTTGCACTCAAAAATGTAAATAATCTTTTTTCACTGTCTTATCAGGTATCACTCTTCGACTTATGTTTAATTTCAATTTGTTTCTTTTTCTCACTGTTATCACTTAATCAGTTTTCAATTATATTCGGAAATAATCAATCAATTAGCAAATGATTTATTTAAAATTTCAATTCAATTTTACACGATTAGTTTTTCGTAGAGTTTTTCTTTTAATTTCGGTCACTGACAAGTATTCAATGCTGTTTATCAGTTAAATCTCATGTCATTGAATTTCGACAATAATTTCATCAAATTAATGATGATCATAATTTTTTCTTATTTTTTATCGCACAAAATTATTGCTAACTCGATTTTGATTCAGAAATGTTAGCATTTGCAAATGATTTTTTTTTATTTTCAATGAATTAATATTTTTTTTTACTTTGCCTTCATACAATTGAGAAAAATAATTTTTAATAATATTTTTGTTGAGAAAATGCCGCTTCGGCCACTTACGACTTCAACGCTTACGATGATTTTTTTATACTGAATGTGTACTATGAAATTTAATTGAATCAAAGGAAAACAATCACGAAAAAAATATTGACTAGTTCGGTTCACTTCGTATTTTGAGAGCGTCGGAAGAGAGAAAAAAAACAAGAAGAAAACACACAAGACAAGGGGCGATCCAACAAAAAGAATTGACAAAATAATGCTATGAATCAAAAGAAGCATTAGAAGCAACTTCAAAGATAAACAGATTTAAGGGGTCAAATAGCCTCATTGGCTTAAGTCGCTTGGAGTCGGGCGTACAATTCATACGTCCCGGGTTCGAACCCCGACTTGGTCATGAGGTAGAGTGAAGTTTAGATACTTCGGCCCTTTAGTATAAATATATACAGATAGTTACTATTAGTAACAAGTAGGGAAATGGCTACAAGCTCAAACCACTATAAATAAGTTGAATCAAAAAAAAATAAAAAAAAAATAAACAGAATAAATTCTTGGAAAATAATCAAATATTTGAAAAAGCACTTTAAGTTTGCGAAGCAGCCATTGATAATGGGAAAAGCACTATGCTGAACTACCCCTTGACACAAGAAGCTTGGGGAGAGGAGGAAATCATACTCAACGAACCAAATAACCGAGAGAGCGAATGATTATATATTGAAATATTTTTTTAAGGATGAGACTGATTAAACAGTGAACAGCAAAACGGTTGTTGATATACTTCACAGTATATAAGTGAGTAAGCGATAGGACATACTCAGAGTGAAGCTTGGAGAAAAGCAATCGTTGAGCATAAAATAAGCAAGAAAATATGCGACAAAATTCTTTCTCTTTATTCTCAGCAAGAGTATTGTTAAAAAGCATCGAAAATATAGAAAAAGCTTGAAGATATCAAAGGGGTAATGCATGGTTGAAAGTGTGAGTGGACAGAGGTCTAATTAATTTTGAAGGGAAATTATATTTTTCGATAATCTTTTATATATTCATTGAATAGAAATTGAAAGAGATATTTAATTGAACTGCCCCTTGAACATGGCTATTAGACATCAAAGAGAGGAAGAGAATTATATCATGCTTGGTAGATATCATTTACCGACATGAAAGGTGAGAGGTATAAGATTGCAAAGAAACATTGAAGCTTAAGCCAGAGTCATGATTAAATGTTAAATAAAATAATAAAAACATTTTTTTGTTTTGTGTTTTGCCTTAGCCCAAATAATATTGTAATTTTATATAGGTAGCTTTATTAAATTTAATCGCATATTTCATTTGGAAACAAAGTTACGATTGAAGAACTTTTATAATTATGGAAAAATAGGATACGAAAAAAAATAATTCAGTAGCACCGAATTCAATCACCTATCAGCTGGGTGCTCACACAAAGTGATATTTTTAAGTTCTCAGCCATCAGTAGACTCCTATCGTCTTCTTCTTCTTCCTTAATTTCCTTACTATGTACACCAAGGTGTACACATTGCATACGGTACTATATAACCATTGTTAGTTTGTTTGTGTGAGTGAGACTCTTTTTTTCTCTTCCTCTCTCACTTTTTTTCTCATTGCTGATTTTTATTGAAAAAATAATAAAATATGTACATATATACAGATATCCGATGATATTCGGAGGCCCTCACAAAGAAATAAAAAAAAAGAAAAAAAATCGTCCGCCGTCGAGTAGATTGTGGAAGAAATGTTTTTTTCTTCTCGGGTATTGCGAACGTACGTAAAACATAAATTTGTTAAGCAGCAGAAAGGGGAACTTTCTGCATATACACAGCACATATTGCTGCCTCGTTTATGCTTAGGAATAAAATGATATAGCATACATATATATTTTCGGGGTGAGAAGGGAAAAAGAAAAAAAGGATCAGGGGTCCCAATAAAACAAGAAGGCGCATTTCTTCAAACAAGAATCATTAAATATAGGCCTTGCTACGATTATGGGTTGGTTTTATAAATATGTAAGTAGCTTCATTTTTTAATCGTATAAAAAGTTGTTTCTTACTTGTATTTCAAAATCCCTGCAATTTTTCGCTGTTTTGAAACAACACGGAAGGTTACACGCTAAACGAAAAGATTGTATTAATGTGTACAGCAAGCAAATGTGAGCAGAGTTCTGGTTAAACTTGAGCGCTTGTCTAGTGGTTTGAAAATAATACTTAAATGATTATTTCCCTTTTTTTTTAGTAATTCTTTCAAAAACGTGTCAAAAATGCTGACCTATAAATGATAAAATGATTTTTTCTCACTGCACCTGGATAGAAAATATTCATGATCTGAAATCATTTCAAAAAATATTCATGAAAGTATTGATGTTGATAAGATAACAACAGGCTGCTTCATATTTTTAATATTATATTTTTTTACTGAAAAACATTCTTTCTCCCATGTCAATTAAGTGAAGTAAACTGTTTCTCCCTTCCTCCTGTTATGTGATGGTAGAACATAAAAACTCCTTGCGAAAATGAATTAAATTTGTTTTTATGAACAAAGCTCTAAAATTTAATTTATTCAAATCTAGAAAAGTAGAAGAAAAACCCGTATTAAAATTCTATATTTAAAAGCTCGAGATCCAGGTAGAAAAATAGCAAACTTTGTCGATTGTTCATAACTTCCAACCAGGCCTTGGAATCAGAACTTGAATGACTTCGTTTTTAAGTATATTCGATTAAGTGACCTGTTCCCAACCCTCAAGAATCTGAAGAAAAAGTTTAAATAAATTTGACATTTAATGGAACGTTAACATTTCCTTTCGATTCGCTTATTTCCTATCCGTGTTTTAGATTTTCTTCATGATTCTCCGTTCTTCCAGAAAAGCTTAAAATATTAGAGAATGTTTATTTTAGAGTCGCCCATATTTCCTCATTTACTTTATAGTTGTGGGGAAAGCCAAGAAGAAAAATTGAAGGAATTTTTGATGAAAATGATGAGAAAAATGGTGACATTATAATGTAAACATTGAAAAACTAGTTCTTTGCTTCAATTGGATATTTAAATGTTGGTTTTAGATTTCCATGATGTTTTAGTCTATTCATTCATAGGTCAGTTTCAGAATCATCTTATTTATTTTCTAATCAATTAAGTTGACTTTATCGAATGTTGAAGGCTTTATCAAAGATAAATAAATATGTAGAAGAATTGCATGCATAAATAAATGAACTTGAGTTTTCGTGTAATAGATTTGAAACAAAAAAAAGTCTGTTACCGAAAGTCGTGCAAAAGCCCGATATTTAAAACTCCGGCTATTATCGAGTTTCTAGACAAACAGTAAAAATCTAACTCCAATAAGGGGCCACTTTGTGTGAAAAGTTTCTGGAATATTGAAGGTGGAAACATTATACAAAGTGGCCCCTTATTGGAGTTAGATTTTAACTGTTTGTCTAGAAACTCGATAATAGCCGGAGTTTTAAATATCGGGCTTTTGCACGATATTTATTGTTGGGGCCGACTTTCGGTAACAGACTTTTTTCCCTTAAAAAAAACACGCCCTGACGCTTTGAAATTTTATACGAAGTTTTTTTTTTCTTCGCGATGTTTTTTTTTTTCGCTAGGAATGTTTTTTTTTTCGCTGGGAATGTTTTTATTTTTTCGCTAGCAATGTTTTTTTTTTCGCTAGTAAAAGGGCAACTTTGTATGGCAGGTACCCGAAATATCAAAGGTACACACCCCATAATTTGATAGAAACTTTCTATTTGTATTTAAAACACTTTGGTAAAGAAATTTTCCAAATCGGTTAAGAAATGTAGAAATGCGAGTGTCTACATCCACCCATCCATCCATCCCCACAGACCCGAAAGCGGACAGAAATTTTTTTTTTCGTTTTTTTCCACTTTTCTCGACGTTTCAAGCCATTTTAAGTGTAACTAAGCAAAGAAATTTTTTTGAAATTTTTGGGCAAATCCAATACGGTGGTCCGTCACCCTAGGGTGGGGCCTCCGTAAATCTGATTAAATAAGTAATAACAAATAATTTAAAACGCGAAAATATCACCATCACTTCAAAACTTTTAAACGCTCAATTAAATTACTGACGTTGATTACTATGAAATTAGCTTTGAAACAAATGAATAGCAAACAAATAAACAAACAGTGCAAAAATCATTATTAGATATCGATGGTGAAAACTTATTCGTGAAAAGTGCAATAAATAATATAAATAAATAACAGTGAAAAATGAAAATTATTTAATTTGCATTAAGCGTTGCGCGTTTTAGAATTAAGTTAACTCATTTTAATATGGTATTTTCAAGATGAAATTAAAATACAGTAGATATAATTATTTTTGATTGCCACTGTGTACAATGTCAGTGTAATTCAATATGAAACTTCAATCTTAGCAGTATGTTTTTATGTGATTTTGAAAAGGTGAATCGATGTTTTGTAACCAAAGTAAAACTTTGAAACAGGGATTTACTATTGAAAACCTCTGATTCGATGAAGCAAATATTATTGTTCAACTTAATTGCAAAAGGAATAGAAAAATCACCGTGGTAAATAATTGGTTTTATTTATGAAATATTACTGTCTTCACTTCAAACATAACTATGAATCATAAAACATCTCAATTTGCCGACAGAAATGCAACGACAGCAAAACTAATTTTTCTTTCAACAAATTGATTAATAAATATGCAATAGAATTATTAATAAATATACAACTTGTATGTCATATTATTCAAGTATAAAACACTTAAAAAGTATTCTTAGTTGCAATTCCATTCCATTTGATTTTTCTAAATTGTCTACAATTTTTTGCCACGTGCATTCAAACAATTCCATTTATAAATAAACAAATTGTTGTTTTTTTCTGTTTTCATTATGTATACCTACTTTAAAGTAGGTTGCGAGAATGTTGATGTATGGTTAAACATATGAAAACAAAATCATAACAAAACGTTAATAAAACTCTCACAAAATTTAAAATCTTTTGACAAATTTTAACATCGTTAGCCCTTATGGCTTTACTAAAATCTAGAAAAGAGCTCATTTCAATCATTAAAATAAGTAGGTAGTTGAATGATTAGTGCTTTGTTTCGATAAATGTGCAGAATAATATTTTGAAAGATATTTGAAACACTTTGTTTACACGAAACTTGAGCATATTGAACATAGACTTGGAAAATTTTTCAAACAATTTGTTGTATATAATTAAGTATGTACATATGAACATAAATATATTGTATTGATTTTTGCTATTGAGATATCATTCTAACTATAAAAGGAAAATCTTTGTCCAACATCTACTTAGCATAAATTACATGATGTGAAGTTCCTTTAAACTACATATAATGAATCATAGGTGATTGTAGTCTGAAAAATAAGATCTAATTCAAGGTTTATTATTTGGAGTTTTGATTACTCACCTAACTCTTTCACGTAAGGATTGAAAATATTTATTTTCTGGAAAGATCTTAATGAACTTGTAATTTGTAAATTTTTATTGTAATATAAAGGTTAAAGATTTAACACCACAAAACAAAATTATAATAAAATAATAATTTGATTCTGTTAAGCAGATATTTTGCTAATGGTTTATTGATCTCATAAATAAACAGTTTCCAATGACGATTGTTTACCACATTTTGTCTGATTTTTCATCTTCCTTTAACATCAAAATAGAGAATATTGTTTAGTTATGTCTTCATAGCTTTGATATTTGATTTTCTGTTTAAAATTGAATAACTTTAGCTTACATCACTAATCTTTGAGCCTTAAATAATGAATCAACTACTTATGCATTAAGATATCATCTCGTATCCATATTTACCCGTGAAGACAAATCAAATCTTCAACATAAACAATGGAATAGTTCGTGGTCGTTTCTCGTGTTTTGATTCTTCAAGGATTTCCATAATAAAATTTTTGCCTTCAGGTTAAGCAACTTAATTTAAATCGGTTTAAATGTGTTGATGCGAAAGGTTGTCTTCAATGATTTTAATCACCGTTAAGTTTCATATCTCGTTGTAACATAGAAATCTATAGAGTCATTGACAATGATCTCCCTTCCAAACATTTTTTACATCGAAACCAGGAAATTGAATGAAATATTTCAGAAAATTTTTCAAAGCCTGAAAGTTTAATTGAAAATTGATTTTTAAATATAATTTGAATGTTTCCATAGTCTATGAATTCTTGATACGAAATGTTTTCACGTGAAAATTCAGTTTTTTTTTTCAAATTTAATTTCGTCCTTTTCAATTTCTTGCTAAAATGACGTTTAACCATGAGGTTCTAAATTTTATTACACATTTTACATGTATATTTCATTGAACTTGCATAAAGATAAAATTTTACTTAAATATGGAGTCATTGAAGTTATGTTTTTGCTGCATGAAATTGATACTTTTTTATTTATATTTTTCTATTTACTGCCCAGAGCAAAGAAGCAATAAATGAAAAGTTTTTGCTTGTTTTCGCCACACACTCAAAACAGAAAAGATTTTTCTACAAAAAGTATATTAAAGAAATTAATTTTTTCTAGGCAATCAAAGAGTCAAATGAGATTTGATAAAAGTAAATTCCAATCGTCCAACAAACAACCAAGAAAAAAAGTACGTGAATTCTTCAGAATATAAATTTTAATTCTATAATTAAATTTTCTTTAACAGTTCTTCATTTTTTCTTGTTCTTTATTATTAATCATGAGATTTTATATGAGAATAAACAAACAAGGAAAACGAAATTCTGTCAAAGAGTTAAATTATATTAGGCGTTGGTGTTATAAGAATAATATTGAAATTAAATATTGCACCACTGATTATGGGTAGATTCTGGTGAACACTTTGTTTATTTATTAAGAGAAACACCAACCGATAATCAATCTTATTTAATCCGTTTTGGTTCTGAAAATTTTTTAAATATCAATCTGAATCACATAAATTCTGCATCCAGATTTTGTATGATAGAAAAAATACAAAGCGACGCAAACTGACCAAAAACGACGACGAGAGAAAAAATTCTCTTGCTTAGCCAAAAAAACATCATACAAACCTTGATGCAAGCACATTACAAATAAAAAAAAGTCCATTGCTCCCTAGAACAAAAAAAAATTGAATAAAGAAGAAATGGCGATAGTGAAAATGGGAAACTTCATCTACCGACCGGCATTTGTCACGCACTAAAATTAAAAGGAACGATAACTGAATAATGTTGGAAAAATCTTCAGTTTGCCTGATATTCTTTCCGAGATAGTCTCCAAATTTCGAAAAACAAACATTGGGAAACTTCTGTTCGTTATTTACGAACGAAGCAATTTTTGTATTTTTCCTGATGCAGTGTAATTTTCCTAAAGCTTTGCAAAAGCTTCAACATAGGAAATTTTTTATGTTGCAGCAACATAGAAAGTAAACTTTTACGTTTTCGTTTATTTCTTCATTTCTCTCGGTAACGCAGTGTAGAGTGAATACATATATGTAAATATTTTATATACACATCCACAATTTAAAATATCTGAAAGTTTATCAATGTTGTTTAGGGTTGAAGAACTTTACGAACAAATAAAGCTAGACTCAAAGAGAAAAGTTTAAAAATAGGATGCATTTATTCCCCTATTCATTCATATAACCATTCGGAAAATTTAAAAAATGTTTTGTGATTTAATACATATCATGATCGGAGTTCAATATATTGCGTGTGAATTTTTAATTGATTATCTGAAATTTTTAAAATGTGTGAAGTTTCTTATATTCAGAGTTTAATGAACTGTGACTCAATTTTGATATTGTCAATTAACATTGAATGTAGACTCTCCCATCAATTGATTTAAAAGCAATGCTTCAATTTTCTTTCGTGTCACTTTTGAAATCTGAACGAAATCCATACAGGATGATAATAGATTTATCCACACCTAAATATGATAATTGTTTGCAATGATATCGGAAGTTTTTGGATTATTAATCCCAAACATTTTCAGATACATAAAATACTTAAAATATTTTTAACTGTTTTAACACATCATTAGCATCAATTTCCATTAACATGAAATCTTGATGAAGTGGATTTTTTTACATGTTTATGTTTCGAAACGCTTCCTTCCCTATTTTGCTTTTTTAACCAATAATTTATCGAAAAAGTCAATAATAACAATTTACCCCAACCTAAGTCAGGGACTGGTGGTATAATAAAACAAACAGTGGCATAAAAACACATGTAATGTTTTGTTTCTGCACTTCTATATAATCATAATAATAATTCCCAATATTTGACCCACACATAGGAATGGACGTGAATCAATGACCACCGTTGGAATATAAAGCGTGCCTACACTAAAATGAAATTCATATTCTATCCTGAGCTCTAATTCGATAATAATATTTTTATGCACATATCTCGCTGTGAATAAACAAAAAAGACATTAGCCGTGTTACAAAATGAAAGCTCATCATATAATGTCTATTCGACCAATTTCTCACCCCACTGTCTAGGTAGAAAATATAATATTTATATAAGCATATAAACAGTTAAAGCAGAATTTGATATCAAAGTTTCAGGGGAGAAATACCTTTTGAAGATTATTTCGCGAATATCGACATTATATGCCGCAGCTTTTTATGCTACGTGCTTTTCAGTTAAAGCTTTTTAACCATGTCGGCTTTTTCATTCTATCTTTTCATTCAGATCGAGTTTATGATTTTGTTACATTTCATGTTCATGATTATATACCCATTCTTATATAGCAGATACATATATGCATAAACATTTATCTTAAAACTGCAAAAAAAGAAGCTTTTTCGATGGGTTTACTTTTGAACATTTTCCATGTTTCTTTACTCCTCCATTTTATGTTTGTCGTTACAAAGGCTACCTGTATAAACTTTGATGTCGAAAGAGAACTCTTAGCTATTATGATATTCTAGTGTTAGTTGTATGCTTATCTTTGAGCATCCTTGATCTGTTTAATAATTCACGAATCTTCGTTCTGCTAAACTCTCTTTTTCTTTTTCCCTTGTTGTATACATATTTATTCATGTTGATGTCGATGAAATTACATAATACGCTTTCCTATTTAATTTTTCCCTTGTGGGATTCTCCTAAGGTATGTACACATATTTAGGGTACAAAGCGCTTTTTTTCGTTCAGGACATTTAAATCCAAATGGAAACGGCTCCATATCTAACTTTCATTGTTATAATGAATAATTTATTGATTAGATCTTCCATTCCTTCAAAACCTATAAGAAGTTTAAATTTCAATAAAAATTAATGAAAATAGGAACGAATGTTAAGGGAAAAGGAATTCAATGCGATGTTAAGAATCCCTCGATTTCTTTGTTTTAGTTTTATCAAAAAGAAAAACTTTATTTGTTTTATATTAAAATGAATAAAGTAACATTTTTTTACAATATGTAGATGGAGGAATATTTACATCATGAAAAGGGTAAAACATTGAAATTGTTGAAAAATTTCTTGAAAAAGATGTTCAGTGTTCGATGTTTCACTTTACAAGATAGTTTCGTAAATATTTTGATTATAAGACTTTCGTTAAAATTAAGAGAAAGTCAAATATGTCCGAATTTATTTAGATAAATATCTAATTAATCAATTCAAAACGAGACAATGATTAAAGTTGGCTAAATTGAATAGGCATATATACATTTTCATGTAATTTCTCTTAAGTACCCCCTTCTTGTATTCAATCGTAAATAAATCATTGCGTGAATAATCGAAAAAGCTCGTAGGATGAGACAATAAATCTTTAATAATGCAATTTGAATTGATTTACGTAAGAAAATGCTCCACAAGAGAGGAGTATAGCAGACAATTGTTTCGAGGGAGCTACTTTCATCTCTATAGTGATAATGCCAATGAAACGCATGACACATAAACACAATACAAGTTACCGATATAGATCTGGAGAATGAAATTGAAGCAATTTACAAGCAACACATCACATCATCTCCATTTTGCATCATCATCATCAAATAACATTTCGAAACATGTGTGAATGAAAAGTAAATTAAGTAAATTTTAAGTATTTATAAACATTTTGATTCGAGGACTTGGCTTTTGTCGATTAATTTTCTACTAAATTATTGAAATGGCTTTGCCAAAATTTTGTAATGCAATTGTTAGTTAATTTCATGGGAGTGAATAAATTTATTGAATATATAATAAGTACTTATGTGATTAATACCAAAACAAGAAGAAAATCTTAAGGTCAGTTTTTTTGGCGAGTATCGAACGAACATCCGACGACCTGAAGTAATGAAATTCATTTTTTAGAAATATTTTTATCACTTAAGAGTCTTGAACGAAAAGTTTAAATACAATTTTATCGAATCTTTCCCAAGCATGATTTATTATTTGAACATGAAATGATCTTCTTGAGGCTAAAGACCAGGCTCCTTTAGTCGTATCAAAACAAAAAAGAAGTTTTTTCGGCCTCAAATGCTTTTTTTCTTTCTCCTCTTCTCTCAATATTTTTTTTTGTCAAATGAATGCCATGATTTTTATTCCGCTTCGTTCGTAAGCTCACATAACATTTATGTGGTTGAATGGTGTTTACAAGCACAGAGCAGTTTTGAAAGCGTACAAAAATACGGTGGAATTGAAAGCAATAAAAAATTATGTTAAAAGGTAGGGAAAGAGAAAAAGAAACTCAAGATTGTAATGTGGAATAATAATCTTCACATAATTCAAGAATGAAAGATCAAAAACCTTTTTGTTGGACGCAAAAGAGAAGTAGATGTGTAGTGTATATAACACAATTTGTACAAAACAATCCAAGTCGACCCGAAGCAACAGCAACAGTAAAGAGTTAGATGAAATATTAAAGCAAAAACCGTGACATAAAAATGTAAAACAAACTTTTTTGAATTAGACGTCAAAGGCTTGAGTAGGAAGTATTAAAAATTTCTAAATTTATACAAATTAATTAAACTTACATCATTGATAATTGTACCCTATCAGATTTTACAATGATTCTGTCTTTATTGGTTTGTTTTTGACTTCTTCTTGTGATTTAATTTTATTGAAATATTTTTCCTCCTGCTACGCTACGCTTCCAATATCTTCCTCTGTTTGGCTCGCTGTTGTGCAAAGTGTTTTACAAAATTTTTTCAATATTTATCTTCGCTCTTCTTTTTTTAATTTTCTTTTTTTTTATCCACTGCGCGACTCTTTGCCAATTGTCAAGAAGATTAAAGTCTTTTCTCATTCTTATTTCTCATTTTACATTGGTATTTCCTTCTTAACCATTCACCTTGTTGCACATTGATGTGGATAAATATTGCTTCACGCCGACCATAAACGTTGTAGAGTGGAGACTACATAAAGTTACATGAATGATTTTATTAATTCATTTCTTGTGTTTCTTGTTCTTTATTCAGATTTTTGTGCTTGTTGAATTTAATATCTGTAAGATGCTTATTAAAAAATAAATGTGACTGTTTTCGAACACAGTCAAGTTACTAGATTACTGCTTATTGTATCCTTGAACAAATGAAAGGATATTTTTTGATGAAAATTTAATTTCCATTCCTCATTTCTCCTACTCATCATGCTTTCTTGTTTCTATCTCTAAGGTTTTAATCTCAAACTCAACCCTATCAAGCTTCTGAAACCGTTTCATTTATCTCGTAAATTGTCAACCTTTTAACAACCCGATGAAAGTGAAGAAAAAAAATGTAAAAAATAAAACTAGAACAAACAAGAAGGCAACAGCGCAAGAGAAACGAGGAAAGATGCTTTTGCTGTAATTACATAAATCATAAAGTTTTTTCTCTTCGTTCTTCCTCTTCTTTCTCAACTTTCTGCTAGCAGGCACTTGATTCTCGTTTGGATATTTCATTTGGCGTAATGACTCTTTGGTTACGTTACATGCAAACATAAAACTGCGACGTTCGAGGCAAAGAAAAGTTGAGAGGAGAAGATGAGAAAAATAAAATAAAATTTGCTATCATTTCTCATTGCTGGTGAAGGTGTAACAGGGAAAACGATGAGACGAAAGAGAAGAGAAAAAAAAGATTTGAAAAAATAGCTGAAACAAATTTTCTTTCAAACTCATCCCATTCACCGTCGACAGTCATGTGTTTCCAAACGGAACTTTCTTACTCTTTACTTTTCTCCTTTCCATGAATACAAATGTTTTTTTGATTTTTTTCTTCCTTTTTTCTATAAGAGAATCGCAATCAATTGCTTTACGTTTGTTCTGCTGCTTGAAAATTTGAAACATTATCTGTTGCAGACATTGGCATCGTCTTATGTCTGTCTTCCATAGAACTTTTATAATAAAAGTTGGCCTTTTCAACGGGATGAATGCTGAGTTTCAGGTTTCAGTTGTAGAAAAGGGTTGGATATCCGAGGATTGAACAAGAAACAAAGGAAATGGATATTGGAAGGATATCAAACTTATTCGAGTTGACATTCGTACTCTCACTCATGCCAAATTAATTCGTAGTAATCTTAAAATTTTGCTTAAGTTGAGCACGATTAACAAGCTAATGTTTGAGTAGAATTGGCAAAGCTTTCATTATAATATTACCCAGAAAAACATTTAATCTAATCAAATTCTTTAAAAGATGAAAAGAAAATAGGAAACTAAAATTGTTTTCAGTTTTGGTTGTTCAATCGCCCATCAACTTAGTGGATCCACCCATAAAACAATATTAAGAAGCGTTAATAAATTAACAATTCATATTTTCTCACGATCGTAAATTTTTTTCACTTTCACTCAATTTTTAGGAAAAAAATGAGAGAAGAAGAAAGCAGTGGTTGAGATTGATAATAGCTTTGTAAAGGATTTCATAGCTGTTTCTATAAAAGTGTATTTGAAGAATTCCTAATCTCAACCTCTGGAAGAAACGCAACAAAAACAAAAAGAAGAGAACGATGAATAACAAAATTTAAACTTGTTTAGTTTTCGTCGACTCCGCGCATTAATTGATGCTGACATCGATTAGCTGACTAAATAGAAAAATTTAAATATCAATGGCTCAATACAGTGATTTAAACAAATTTATTTGAAGCTTGAACACAAATTGATAAAACTGATAGAGAAGCGTTTAGCAGAAGTTAAATACAAAGCTTAAGTTTTGCTGACAAACAAGTTTTTTTCTCTTGGACAACATCTTCAGAGCCATCAGATTAAGTGTTCAAAAGAAGAGAAAAAAGCCTCTAGAATTGTTATCTGCGTTCATTTTTATGCTTTCAACAAGAAAGCATAAAGAATGAATATGACAAAACATAACACAACAATCTGCGAGATAATATTCAAGTTTTTCCTCTTCTTTATAGCTTACGATAGCAAGTTGAAGTGAGACAAGACAGAAAAAGGAAGATGAAAATCAAATGAAACGACAGTGTCGGAATGAACGAGAATTTAAGGAAAACTTTTTCGTTTCAATGATACTGAAGTGAGCACTTGGAATTTCTCTTACATCGCATAAGAAGAAAATGACGACTTGTGTGTACGTATGGGACTGTACAATCACTTGGAGCACAAAAATATGCATATCACTATAGATTTTATTTAAATTTCAATTCGGAGCTTCGAAAACAATTAAAACAATATTGTAATGATACAGTAAACTCTCTCTCTTCTCTTTTTTTCTCAATCATAAATTCCTTTTTCATTTATAGAAATTTTTTCATCGAAAATAGAATTCCATTTCTGCTATCTTTTTTTTTCCGTCTTACACATTCCCACCCACATATTCAGTAATATTTAAAAAAAAAGCATCGTTTTAATTTGTCTACTCAAATCAGATTAATTAACGCATAAAGTTTATTAATAAAAAATATGTGAAAAGTCGAAATTGTGTTCAAAAATAAATCATTTTCAAAGTGCTGACGGTTTGTTTATGTCTAATAAAATTAACTTTTAATTATTCTGATACATTAAATATAAAGAAAAATGCATTGAATATCTGAACACAAAATCAGCTAGTGAAATTATTTTAAGTGGTATTGTATGATGACTTATTCTTCGTAAAAGTATTGATTCAGTTTTATCTGCTGAACTAATATTTGAGAGAAAGATTTATAAAAGAATTTCTTCCTTGGGACATCAATACTGTAAACTTTCAAGAGAAGTGAAGAGTGAAAAATTCAATTAACTTTAATTCGTTAAGTAATGATAAAAAAATGCAATTATGAAGAGCTTGATATAATGAAAAATTGTCTCCCATGTCTATTGTTTGTCAACGCTTACTAAAATTACAAACATTTTGAATCGAATTGAATTCTCATTTAAATTCTCATTTTCAAAGCGCAGTACAGTTTCCTGCTTTCAATAGAACTTTTTTTTCTTATTCACGATGCAAATCTCAGATTTTTCTTCTTGAAAGATTTTTTTTTTCATTTTATGGATACTTCGTCATTGAATCAGAGCAAACACATGAGCGTATAATTTTGTTCTGATTTTATTACATTTATCTCCGCTTGCGACCACAAGAAGCATTGATTTTAATGTTGATGTTTTATCGAATAGTTTAGATCTTGTTCGGTTCGATTTCAACAGCAAATGCAATTTGCTACGAAATTATTGTGCAATTTATCAACGTTATCAGATTATACAGACTTATTTGAATCTTGTGCGATTTTGTAAATGCTAAAGTAACTGGCTAGCTAAAAGCAAAATTAAGGAATATCGACAGCAATTATTTATTTATTTCTTCGACCTGTTCCGATTACAAAATTGTTTTGTTTGTCTCTATTGCTGAGTCGAGAAATTTAAATTAAGAAAAATGCATTAATAAGAAAAGATGCAACCGAAAAAAATAAAAAAACCCCGTCGCGCGCAAACATAATAAATTGACACAAAATTATTCGACTTATTACTTTTATTTAAAACCTTGAAAGAGAAAATCTTCTGACATTTTTTTCTTTTCGTTTTACACGTTGCAATATTAAACGAAAAATAAAGCACATCAAATAAGTATGAGAATGAAAAGTAGAGAGAGAGAGAGAAAGAGAGAAGCGAATAATGAAGTCTCGTAATTTATAAAGGCCACAATCAAGAGGCGACTAGTGAGTTGCAGGTCGTTCCGAGTACATTCTTTACTCTGAATGCTGTGTGGAAATGTTTGTTTCTTTATATCTTTCATTTGTATACAAATAAACATTTTTTTGTCTTTCATTTTCAAGTCTCAAGGTTTTGTCTTTCTTCAACATGCACAAGCGAATACTTTTCCAACCTTTATCGCTTCATATGATTTTAAAATACTTTTATGATTTTAATGATTCCCGTATAGAAAGAATAATTCTTCTTTTTATGAGAGTAAAAGGAAAGTCAAAGAAAAGTTGTGCGTGTTGGAAGCAAAGAATATAAAAAGCAGAACTCGGGAAAAGTTCTTTTTTCCTGCTTTTCTGGTAACAATGCGACGTCATCGTCATCATGGTGATCACAGAAGAGGCATGGGAAGTATTTCTTTCGTTTTAAATACAGTGGAAGCTCGATTAGCGAAAACCCAAGGGAGTCACTTATGTTAAGAAGTTAGATAGTGTTAGAAGAGAGTAAAAGAGTTTAACTCTTATCATTCATGTAACCTTGACAATTCACATAAAAACCTCGACAAACTGAAATAAAATGGCTTTCCGACTAAAACTTAAAACATGAACTAGCTCGTGCTAAAATATAAATAAAAGTTAAATAAGCTCTTCAACTTTCAGAGATATGAAAACTTACAACGAGCTTTTTCTCTAAACGAATTTTTTCAAAAATGTTAATGAAAAAGCTCGTTATCAACCTAGCAATGCACTTCAATATATATCAAAGATATGCATCCTTAATTTTTTTTTGTATTTAGATTTTTTTTCTATGAATTTGCTGCATTTGTATTTTACGCGTCTCTTATATCCTATTATTCTTATAAAAAAACACCATGAACGCGTTGAAGACTGCAAGACTGCATTTTTTTCTCATTGACTGATAACGAGCGTGCTTTTAATATAAACTCTCATGCTCTCTACGGAGCTATACCTTCATCGAACTTGTACTTTCAACGAACGTAAATTGCTCGAAAATGTGAGTTTGTCGAAATTTATCGAGCTTTTACGCTCAAGGGAATTTCGCTAATCGAGCTTCCACTGTATAAAAATCTCTTCATATTGAATATAAATTAAAATTTTTACGTTTTTTGTTTCTAACAAATGATTGCGAAATAAAACAGAAATTTTTTTAGGCAGTTAGCTAATTTTTATGTTACAAAACATTTTATTTAGGCGCAAATTTAGGTGAAGTATTGTGCATTTGTGTAATACTTTTTTGTCAATAAAATATATGTGGGAGTATAAACATTTAATAGTTACTGTCAGATACTATTTATATATTGTTGATAGGGTTTTCACCATGACGACATGCATGTCGTCATGGCATCATGCATGACGACATGCATGACGACATGGCATCATGCATGTCGTCATGGTGGATGTTTTTTTGTATGGGAGTTTTTTAAACTCATTTTATAAATAGAAAACTTGGTTTTATATGTACAAAGTTTTCTTATGATATGTTCAAATAACAATTCTGAACATATCTTTCATACAATACAAAGTTCTATAACCTACGCATTGCGAAATATTTGAATTTTAAATTTTCCATATGATACGTAGGTATAATATTTTTCAAAGGTAACTTTCGTTCTTTAGCTATAAAACTTAAACTATCATATTTAAGTATAAAGTATGTTTGGGAAAGTTGTTCCTTGATACATTCTGCATCTTCTCTCTCTAGATTATGTTTCTGTAAGGTGACACCAGAGGGCGCTGGAAATTAATTAATTACAAATTTGTCACCAGCGCCCTCTGGTGTCATTCTACAGAAACACAATCTATAAAAAGAAGTTGCAGAATGTATCAAGGAACAACTTTCCCAAACATACTATATATCTAAATATGATAGTTTAAGTTTTATAGCTAAAGAACGAAAGTTACCTTTGAAAAATATTATACCTACGTATCATATGGAAAATTTAAAATTCAAATATTTCGCAATGCGTAGGTTTTAGAACTTTATATTGTATGAAAGATATGTTCAGAATTGCTATTTGAACATATCATAAGAAAACTTTGTACATATAAAACCAAGTTTTCTATGTATAAAATGAGTTTAAAAAACTCCCATACAAAAAAGCATCCACCATGACGACATGCATGTCGTCATGGCATGACGTGACAACCCTAATTGTTGACTTTTCTTGAGAAAATTATCCATAGAATAGCTTTTAAATCTTTTCCAATTAAACTCTTTTAACTGTCTTCGTTTATTATAACAGAAGGCGAGCAAGGATATTGGTTTAAAAGCTTTTTGATCTGATTATTTTCTGTTGAAAACTTTTATTAAAATTTTTCATGTCACTGACAGAATTGAGTTCCCTATCGTTGAGTTCTAGACTTGAAACTTACTCAGATTTCATCCACTGTATTTCATTACAACTTAAACTTTCAGAAAGAAAATTTACTTTCACTTCATTGTCTTCTACTTTTTGTCAGTTCAACGAAAATCTAACATCATTTTCATTTCTAACATTTTTTATTATTTTTGTAATTCTACTCCTGTTTTTCATGTCAAAGAATTCTTAGCATTTAATTTGTAGCTTTGGCAACTCAAATTATTATTAGAATATTTACAGCGTAGGAAAATGTCAAGAGAGAGAAGACTTTTAGAAATGGAGATTGAGTATTACAGTTTAAGGATTTTTGTAAATCATATGCAGTTAAAATAAAGATTCAGTATAAGAATAAATTACACAAAGTTTATAGAAAAAAGAAAAATCTTGATATCTCGTTTTTCTAGATATTTCAACATTACTCATCCGTCCGCAATTTTCCTATTAAGAATCTATGATGACGACCAACATGAAAAGACTTTTGGCGTCTGTTGTGCCAGACAATCATACAAACGAGATGTTTGTAAGGAGAAGCAACACACAATCAACTCCCTCAAAGTTGATTTGGGGAGATTATTGGCGGTAGTAGAGGGTATTGTGCTTGAAGGCAATGTAGTATGAGGAGATTTGCTATCATTAAAATAAGTTATGAGGGGGGTTTGATTCTCTGAGTTGATTTCTCATAAAGTATCGTTATACGCTTATTGTTATTATATCTAAATTTTATCTAAATTGATTAAAACTTCTGTTTTATGTTAATAAGAATAAATATTATAATTAAATTAAAAACTGACTACCTGCTTTTCATGTAGGCCACTCTGAACACTTAGGGATCAACACAGTTGTCGGCATCCTGGTGAGAAGTAATCAATGAATTTCAAATCCAAGGAAAGTTTAAATTAATTTTGATTTCTTTTTCTGTCATCATCACATTAAAGTGAACTTTGTGACTTGTTAATAAAAAATTTGTACAATTTAATTTACTTATATCGTGAATTGGAGATTTAGATGAATGTTTAAGCAGAGTTTCATACTTTTCTATGTTTTCTGGAGTGCTATTTGAATTTTTTCTATCATCAAACAAAAGTTCCATAGCTATCTCTGAATGTGCACATAAGTATGTGAAAGTTTCTCAATAAATTTTAAATCAAAGGTATCAACAAAATTACCTACTGCGATTTCTCTAATTATTTATTTACATAGCGTCGAGACTTTAGAGATATCGCTGATAGACATTTCTTATAATTTCAGCTGACATATCAATATGTATTTTGCAATATAAAGAAAAGAGTTTTCAGTGTTGAAAAGTTCGATATTCGTCAAAGAATTTGCGTGCTATGAGAACACTCAGGTAAAATTACAGCTCAATCACCTTCATTAATTTAGTTTCAGGATATCATACGATAACCAAAAAATCAAATAAAACAACAAAACATGAATACCAAAACGATATATTACTTAGACGAATAATATACATAAAGAAATACTTTAAGCATTGAACATTCTCAACACAACTGTCTAACATGTTGACATGTGATGAGCTATTAATTTGCTAATTGTGCTGTTTGTATAGTTTTGCATTTCAAATGTTTTTTTTTATGTTACGATATTATCTGTGGCCTTGTTTTACTCGTATCTCATACTTATTCTTTTACATAGATAGCTTTTCCGCATCAATACGATGACATAAAGATTGTCTCATTTAAATTTTACTACTTTTCAATAAGCTGAGATTTACTCCGACTTTGTTAGCAAACAAGCAACAGCAAAGTTGAAACTTGAAAGCAACTCCACAAAATTATGTGAAAAGGAAAAAATTAACAAAAGTGAAATAGAAGCCAAATGAAGCTGTTAAGATAACAAATTATCCAACTTTGAATTTGATTATATAAATTTAAATATACATAAACAACAAAAATTAGGAGTTTCACATTAGCTTCATTTGTTAAACTTACAACAATTTTTAGACTTATACGTTAAATAACAAAAGTCTAAAGTAAAATTTCTTATATCTATCAATCATCTAAACGAACGAAATTTCAACCAAAAGCGGAAATAAATTTGATTGTTTTTGTTTGAAGCCAAACTCACGGACATCAGAAATGCAACCACGTACGTAAATCAAACTTGATTTCTATTACACGATATGAAGAAATTCATCAAAAACCCGCTCAAAGCTTCAAGTATCTTTATAATAATTAATTAACGCAATTGCAAATACCTAATAGACATCTCAAACAAATATTTGATATTTAATGAGATGTTTCATATAATTTCAAAATTGAACTTTTATTTTTTTACAATTTATTTTTTACAGTTTCAAGTGTCGAACTTTTACATTCATGAATTCCACACACGGAAGATAACTTATTGAAGCATACATCAAGGTTAATGTCGTTTCATTGCAATTTGCAAAAGAGTTGACAGTTCATTGAAAATATTAATTTTCGTTCCCTTAATTAACGATACATTATTGATTAATAAAAGTTTCGTACATGATAAAATCTACATGAGTTTAAAAGTAACATTCAGAATACCATCACAAAGTCGACGGATTTGTATCTTAAATTAAATTAAGCGACTGTAACTGCTTAAAGATCATCGTCGTGCTTATTCATAAATTGTCAATTTCAAGTAAATAAAATAATCCCATTTCAAATCAAATTTAGTGCATTCGCTTAACACCCGCACATTATAAACCATCACCAGACTGCTTGCACTTCAATAAGTCTTTTAATATTTTTTTTTTGCAGTGACTGGTCTGCTCTGTCTGCTTATTTATAAAAAAATGTATGCGCATAACAAACTTGAAGTATAAATTCAAAATTTATTTCTCTGTTTAGACTTTTAAGATTCTAAATAGAGTTAGTAAAACCTGTCATTATTAAATAAGAAGTCCTAGAAAAGATTTCTACTATATCTTCTTCTATTCATTTAAAGCCAAACGATTAACTATAAAAAAGAAATCGACCGTGCCAACGTCATTATGGAGTTGCTAATCATCGTCCAAACAAGATTCCAAAAATAGACACAACACGATTGTATTTCAAAGTTTTCAATACTTGTGTTTAAGCTTTGAACAGTCGTTTTGTTCAGCGATTAAATAATCAAGATATATTTGAAATTTCATTTATGTCGCTAAGTCATTTCTAGCATAATTCATAATAAACTCTCAATTACATAGAATTAAAATCACTGCTCAAAATGTCCACGCATAGAAGTGTAACTTAATTGAAATGTTTGTTAAATTTATCTTTATTAAATTTATCAAGGTCTTCACGCTTTTCATCCTCCTTTCTTTCCCATCTCAAATGAAATGAGTTTTATCAAGAGACATATAAATTTTTGAAAAGAGTCGAAAATGGCTTGGGCTGCCGTCCTTAAAAAGGTTCATGATAACAGCGGATCTCACAAAGAAAAGGGTTTTGGTATATTTTTGTCTGTTAACTTCCATCCATTCTAATATTTTATTTTCTACGCGCAAAAAGTTTAACCATAAACCTTGTTTTTGCTACTTAAATTTTGTCACTAATCGATTTCCAAGAAGAAAATATAATTTTATTTATTAAGAAAATAATTTTTTAATGAGAAACATAAGTATAAGTTACAACCTCTTTTTGTTACATTTTTTCATAAATTTTATTTTACATACCAGAACAACCAACAGATTCTTCTTTTCCATTGCAAGTTGTTGATTTACTTGAATTTTTCATCAGAGCTTTCATTGAATTCGAAACGAGATGAGAGATGCAGGATAAACCAGTCTTGAATTTCACTCAATCTAAATTATAATTTTGAATAAAATAGCTTACTTTAGTTACAACTAGAACAGCAGATATCCAAACAATTCAGATAATGCTGGATTCATAGCCGCTAATATCTATAAAAAATGTTTGTGGCCTTGTGAAGGCCCTCGCCATTCAAAACTTATAAAAATTTATTTCACTCTTCATGAAACTTCTCGTTGATCAGTGAAAGACATAAAAAACATTGAATGAAAGGATTTGAATCACAATGATTCCCTAAATATGCAAAATTTTGGGTTTTGGATTCATAAAATATGTAAATCATTCTGAGATGATCTATGAAGTTTATATTTTGATCAATTATTTTCAAATACCTAAACATACACAGGAAGTAAATAAAGTCGAAGCCACCCAGTATATTCAAATTGTTGTTCGAGTGATTATTATTAAATGACACTTCATCACATATTTATTCTGATTAAAAATCCTCGTACTTGTGATTGAAGGAAATGTCAGAAATAATTGCATGTGGATGTAAAATAAATTCTCTCTTCAAATGAAATTATCATCCGGATAATATCAAGCTTTCGCCAAAAGTCATGAGTAAAGGTATAAGGAAAGCAGAAAATCATGCGATAACGGGTGTTTTTACTTACAAAAATTGCTGCAGCCAGCAGTGAGCTCAGATTTATAGATATGAAACTTTAAAAATGTCATACATTAATCGTCATAGCGAAACAAAGTGATGATGTAATATTTTAAAATGATCTCAATAATGATATTTGTGAAATCTTGCTAACACGCAAGACCAATTTGTGTTGGAATAAAATCTTTTAAATTAAGAGACAAGAAGAGTCAGCGAGGAAAGAGGAAGAAGTTAATGAGATGTCGTATGCTTAAATAACAGTTACTTTCTACAAATAAATCTATTCCAGGATTTACATGCAATGTCTGCTTTTAAAGTTGAACAAGAAAATCTCGCATTACGTTTAAATTTTTTTTTTTCACTTTAGGACTTTAAGTAAATTACTTAGTCATCATTGCTGAATGTTTCTTAATATATTGTACGGCAGCGTCTGCTTGACTTTCTTATATAGCGGCAATTAACGCAATCCTTCCATTATTTTATTCTTTCCACCTTTGTCATCGCTTTCTTTTGATTATCCTAATGGAAACAATATTTAATCTTAAAGGAGAGACATTGAATTCCAGCCGAGAAGAAAGAGATCATTAAATCATTCTTAAGACACTGTTTAGTACTTTTATTCAAATGAGTTTGTGCTCAGATACCGTCTGTATGTTGTTAACCATTTAATTTATGTCCGTATGGCACAAGCTATGCTCAATGGAAAGAGTTGAAAAGGAAAGATACTTTGTAGAACTGAAACCAAATAAGATTTAGATGTTTTAAAGATTTCAATTTCAAGAAATTCTCATTTTTTCTTCATTTTTGTTTAAGGAATAAAAGAATCAACTAACAATAAGTTGTCGATTTGATTATTGGTTCGAACATATAGAATATTAATTTATTTGACTTGTGTCTGTTACTTCTGTATGTGATGATCATTGAAACTATTTCAAAGCTCGACATTTTGATGTCAGGCAAGTTCTTCTTGGAACCAAACTAGAAATAATTTGTTAAAAAATATTTTGTTTTCATGATTTATCTCTAATGGTCTACCATTAGCTTAATACTTTTATGTTGATTTCGATCTGTCCTTCTCTTCTCGATTTTCTAACTTCTTTACATTCCTTCTTTAAGAATACAAATAGAAATTTAAGTTTTATTCATTCTTTAAATGAGAAAGCGACGCGAGAAGTGTTTCGGTTCAAGCACATTCCTGAAGATAGATCAATTGGCCTGCTTGAATATGATAGTCGCAAATTATTTTTTTTAAACTCATTTCTGTGAATGTTTTGTTAATGACGTCATGAGAAGATGTTGAATTTGACTTGACTTTCTTATAGACATCCAATGAATTTCGAAGAACAAAGACTTTAAGTGCCGGGAAGAATTCAAAGAAGAAACAGTAATATTTTGAAAATTGATCAGAAGATAGAAAGAGAATCGGTAATGAACTCTTCCCACACATGTGTAGCTACATCTAAATGTATTTTGTTTTCTTTTTGTTGAAATTGTCGATATTTTAACTTTCCTGAGAGCTTTCATTCTTCACATTACTATTTGCAAACTCTCATAAATGATCACGTTTCGTCTGTTTTGACTTTCTGAATCATTTAAATTCGTGTAGTGAATGTTTTTTAAAGTCAGCTTACTATGATGATGTTGACTGATGTTCAAGCAATATTACTATGGAAATCACTCAATTTTAGGAAGAATATTTTTCAACAGGAAAAAAGATGTAAATTTCAATCTTGATTGTCGTCGCGACAAATATGTAGGTATTTATGACGAAACAGACAAAAATCAATGAACATAATTTAAATTATCACGCTTATGGATAATTTTTTGAAGATTTTTCATTATTCTCATTATCAACTTAAATATTTTAAAGATGCAACATAATCGTGTATTAAAAAAGGCAGAATCAAAATTCTTTTCAGAATTATTAAAAATGTTCTGTAACGTAAGAAGGAAAGTCCCTTGATGTTTCCAATATCGTATCTTCGTTCTTCACTTACATATATTTGTTCATTTAACCTGAAATAAAATATTAATTTCCATTTGCCACATTAAATATCTGAGAATCATTTCGAATCCCGTGTAACAGCATCGGACACAACAGAAGAAATCCGGTTTAAAGCAAGCCAGAAAGCAACCGTCTCGCAACTCTTTTTTTTTAATTCTATTTGTCGTGTATTTTTATTCAGTTTCTGAACTCAATGAAATTGTATTTGTGTAATTTATCTTTTCTCACTTCTTTTTTTCTTCTTATGGATACTAGTTCACATTCATTTCATCTCGTTTTGAGCACATATCGCTCGCTTACTTGCTTCGTTCGTTCGTTTGTTTTCACATTTCCTTCATACACTTTTCGCGTTTATTTCGTCGGTGGAATTATTAAATATTGTTATGATATGTTTCGTTTCTTTTGGATGGGAATTTTAAGTGTAAATGTGTGGATAAATGTCTGAGAGGTTTTTTTTTTCTTCTTCTTTTCTTCAAAAGAAATAAATGAATAAGAGTCGTGAAGAAAAATCACGGTCGATGAATGGAACATGAAGAAAAAATGATAATAATAAAAACTGTGAATACGAAAACAGATGGTTCACTAGTAGAGCTTATGATTGAATTTTTTTAATAATTATTTTAAGAGCGTGATTGTGTTTCGTCGCTTGTAACTTTGATCATTGTTGTTGTGATTTGATGTCATCGTAGAGTAAACTATTGAAACAAACATGGCGTCATGAATCTAAAAGTTTCTCAGCGGGTCTTTGGATGAAATGATTAAAACTTTTTTCTACATGGAGTTAATTTTAAAATCTTACTTCTTCACTCATTTGTTTTAAATAAATAAATCACTAAATATTTTTATAAAGTAAGAACACTGTGAAAATTTAATGAAAATATAATCAAATGATTTATTTAGAAGAAAAATCAAATGCTGTTTTTAGAAACACTAAAGTTTTGAATGATATCGAATTGCTGGTTATACTTAAGTGTATATTGAATAAATATTTCTATAACCAAAGCAATGGGAATTAACACAACCAAATTTCTCCCCAGCAAATTATCTTCTACGTCTTGATATTGTTGGGCTAATCAAAATTCTTGAGGAATTTTGGTAATGAACAGCAATGTTCATGAATCAAAAGAATGCTATTTGAAAGAAGAAATATAAAAGAAAGAAATTTGTTTATTAAGAGTTTAAAAACAACATAAAGTAAGTTAACGATCTACATAGCGGTATTTTAGATCATCATTTATATTTTCTTATTTTTATTTTGTGTTCACCTCGCAGCAAGTCAATATTTTTAGTAGCGAAAAAAGAGCAATGTTGAGAAGTTATTGAACATTATGCTTTTAGGATTTGTTTAGAATTCTGTTTCAATCTTGTTTTCCTCCCATTACTCTTTATTTATTCTTCTTATTTAATGAAAACTTTATAGATCAAATTTCTATTTCATTTTCCAAGTTAAAAGAACAGGTTATCAAGAAATAAGAAAATTTCTTCCATCTTTTTTCCTTTCTTGATATCAATCATCAGTTTCCTTCTTAAAATGTTAAAAAAATTCGGGTATATTGTGAACATGAATGAATCAATACATACAGAGTAAGATGGAAGGGAAGAAATAATAAAAATAAATGTTAAAATTTTTACGATCAGAAAAGTTTTCCGTCGTAAACCGTCTTGAAGGAATGTGACGAGATGAATCCAATAAATCTGAGATGAAATGTGAAGGAGCAAATTATGGTTAGAATGGAAAGAAAAATATGGCAAGGACGTGGATATAGTGAAGCTTTTGTATCACGAAATGAATGTAGACATAAATGAAGATGAAACATTTTAGATCACTTCGAACCCATAATGAAATGTGCCCCCGGCACGTCCTAAAATTTATGACGTTTGCCATTTTTGGTTGAAGACAATAAATTTGAGGATTAATTAGAACTTCCTTACAATTATCGATTCTGCGCCAATTTCCACATCCCCAACGCGCCAAGTATCATCTTCCACCCTCTCGGCATGGATGAATGCTTGAATACTTCATCATCATTGCTTCAATCTTCATTTGTCTCAACCATTATGTGCTCAAGAATATCCATTCATGCCAAGAACTTTTTCTCCTCTGTTGCTCGTTTCACTCACCATAATAAAACCTTCCGTACGTATAATGTAGCTAGATTCGAGTAAATTTCTACAAAATCGATTTCGCATAACATCCAGTCTTGATATATGTAAATATATCTGGTTTTATCGTTAAGAGATTTCATCCTAAAATGTTATTCCAACTTCTTAGATATTCGAAAATGTAAGTAGAAAATCTAATGTTGATCAAACGCATGAATGCAGCTTTAGTGCAAAATGTCAAGATGTAAAAGATTGAATGATTATAGTTAACAGTGGTCAAAGTTTGAATCGGCATCATTTTATATCATAAACTATGCTCATAATCAAAGCATTTGATTTGTTTGAATTTGAGGATTCAATATTTTGTTAAATATTCATAAATTGTTTATAATTTTTCATACAGAAATTTCTAGACAGAGACATCAACCAAATTTTTTTAAGAAAGAAAAAGCATGAAGAAAAGTGTAGTCTTGATTGGCGTTAGAGTTTTTATTGATACTTCAAAGCGAAACGAAACATAAACTTGAACACCTCTGCAAGACATTAAATTAACATAAAGTCGAGTCGCGCTTTTGAATACGTTATCATCGTTTATAATAATTTATTATTTATCAATACATTCCAGTTTGTCGTAAAGCTTTTCTTTGAGATCGACTTTTTCAACTTCCAATCAATGGAGAAATGTTTGGTCAATCAATTCACAATCATTCATCGTTCTGCCCTCTCCTTGATGACATGTCAACTTCAAGAACATTATTTATTGTTGGAATCGTAGATGGCACACTCGCACTTGTAGATCATAGCAACAACTAAGTCAAGTGCCGTTGAATCTGAATAAAACGTTTCTACCAATAATTATAAAATAATAAAATTAAACGCAGTCTTTTCACTCGGCATTTTTATTGCTCTCAACTCTTTAACGCAACATGTACTTAAAATTAATACTTTTATGACCTAAGATCGTAAAAAAATTGATTTGTTTTCAATTTTCTTAACAAGTGTACGTTTAATGTTTCCTTCTGTTTGAAACGATACTTCCTTAGATAGGATAGGAACGTTGAGCTTTGCACGATCGATCGTGCGGATTTCATTCAGCAAAGTTCAATAATCTTCTTATAATCAATGCTTACAATAACAACAACTTCAAGAAATATTTCATTGTAAAAATGAAGAAATAAATGAAAAATGGAGAAGAATATATTTTTCCGCGACTAAACTATTCCAAATCCAGATTATTGCGGAAAAATTATTCCATGCCAGAAAATTGCGGATATTTTTGAAATTTTTACCGTTAGAAATATCAAAGTAAGAATTTAATTTTATGCTATTAAAATTAAATTCTACATGATTTAATTATTAAGATAAGAAATTATAATGCTAAATACATTATATTTTCACTTCTTATCTCATTTCATAATTAAAATTAAAATCTGCAAAATATTTTGTCACGCATTTAATTTTTAACGGTTAAAATTTTAAAAATCGTTCCGCAATTTTCTGCCCGCAATAACATAAACCTGGAATGTTTTTCTTGTAATTTTTTCATCTGGAAAAATATATTCTTCTCGAAAAATGTAAACCATCCTAATTAATAAATTTAAAGCTTCATAAAGAAAATCAGCAACAACAAGGAAATTGTTTAGAAATGAATTTAAATTTATTACAAATTAACAATCACAACTTTGATTCATTTGGTCTTTAAGACTCCATAAAAATTCGATAAAATATAAGAAAACAAACTTGTCCACTATTCTTTATGGTCAATTCAATTAGTCGTTTTTGTTAGCTTCATCCACCTCCAATGTTTGTCACACAACACCTTAAATTTATTTGTAGAGAATAGATGCATATTTGTAACATGTCGTCTCTTTGCTAGATACGCCCAGATTTTATAGAAATTGTCTACATCAAGGCACTATTAAAATTAATTTTAATCAATTGAACTTAAGTAGAAATAATCAATATATAAATTGGAAGCAATGTATTGCCTAAAGATAGCAAGAAAATTTCTGTTTCTGCGAGTCTGTTGAAAAATAATCTGATTTTATTAAATATTCTTTTGACCAAAACCCATGACAGTCATCGCGTCAACCTCAAGATGAAATTGCATTTTCTCATTTGAATTCTTTAAAAGTCACTTTTTAATAATATTTTTTCCCATCCGCTCGACCAAGAAGAATAAATGTATATCCAAAGCGCGTTTAGTACATTGAACTTAAATGTATTCAACTTTGCTCTCATGTGCTCAAACACAAGAAACTTGCTGTTGTTAAGAAGATGAAGACAAGCGTCGTTAAAGGTAGTAAAATAATTTCTCACCGGTTCACTTCTTTGCTGTTCGAGTTGGAACTTGGAAGTAAAACATAAGCAAATAAATAAATAAATGTACAAAAATGAAGTTTGCAGACGAAGGCAAGCGACAAAAAAAGGCAGAACATATGAGATAAACCAAATCAAAAATTGAAGCTGTAACTGTAACTACAGCAAATGCTTAATTTCAATGCGCAACTGCTCAAACTCTTCCTCATCATTGTACAATACCAAATTCTTTGCTTCTTCAACTTTTTTTTCTTTCTAGCACATTTCTTAAATAGTTTTCATCATATTTGATGTTCTCCTGGCTGCTTGTCGAGTACGAATTGAGAGAAAAAAGAGAGAATGTCGGGATTTTGGACCAAATTTTAGTCTTATACAAAGCAAAGCTCCGAAAGCTCATTCGTTTTACTTAACAAATCCCATTTTGTTGCTTATTTAAACAAACTTTTCCCTTCAGAATCATTTCAAAATCATTGCTACTAATTATACAGAATTCATTAATCGGGCCTAGGAGTATCGCTTGATTATTCCATGTTACTTTTGAAGAAAAAGAACAAAAGTAAGTGGAAAGAGAAGAAAACATAAAATCTGGTGGTTTAGTGATTCGTTGCGGGTCAGCTATGAGGTAATTGCTTGCTATTTCTTCTCGCTTTGCGCTTCTTTCTCGTTTCATAAACTTCGTAAACTTCTCTCTTCTCATTGAGTAACATTTTATGATTGTCTTCAACATTGCTTTGCTGTGATATGCTGTTCGCTGTTATGTATAACGGAATTTTAATGAGAATTGAATTCAAAATTCGAAAACTTTCTTTCAAGATCATTCAGATTCTTTTTTCTTTCTTTTTTTAAATATGAATGGTTCGAATCGTTGCAACCTTATGGAATAATAAACTAATAAACTTCATTCACGATGTTGAAAATGCGAGAGATTTATGTGCTCTCGTAAATAATCCACCTACGCAACACCACATAATATTCGATTGAAAATATACTTATGTTGATTTTATAAGAAAGAAAAAATTAAGATTTATGAACTGTATGCGTTGTTTTGTTGGATCGTGTGTTTGTGGTTAATTTTTCTGTTTGAAATCACGATTAGTTTCATCATATTGACTAATTATTTCTTCAACGAAAACTTTGTTTATTTTTATTTTTTCTATCGCCTTTGAGCTTTTCCTTCGAACACTCATAGGATGATTAAATTATTCTAATATATTATTAAAATGTTTATGCCTTGATCTGCATAAAATTTTATTGCTTAAATATCTAAAGATTTATTTATGTTGTCTTCAGAAGAAATCATCTTAAAATTTAAATAAACAAAAGATAAATACTTTCAGGTAGTGAAATAAATATCGAATGACTATTTTAACATTTATTCTCAAAGTTAAATTATTGAGTTTGAGTCAAATTTATCTTAGAGCCATAGAGAGTCAAAGAAAATTTTTCAACATTTTCCAGATTATTACATATTCGCTTAGAAGCTCATTCAAACTAATCATTTTCTTGACGCCAATTAAGTCTATTTTTAACCATAAAAATTAAGAAAGAAAAACTGAAAATTATTTTGTTTACTGACTTCAAATTCCAGTAAATTTTGCTGCAAAAGCAGATGATTTCGTCGTTTCACAAAAAGAAAGAAAAAAATGTCTAAAATGTTTGATAAACAAGGTTGAAATAATAAACATTAAAATAAAAACGTGAGAAATTCTGTTTTTTTTTTCTAGGAAGATTCAGCATTTTTAACAAACTCAAGCCATAAGAAGCGACATGAAATCATTTTCTAACATTTTTTAATATCGCAGAAATATTGCTTAACTCAAGTTGAATGAAAATATGAGAAATTGAATTTCTTTTCCATTTTTTAAGTGTTGAAGCTTTTGTTGGGTTGGGGACATTCGGTCAGTGAAGGTCAGATCCCAATATTTACTGAAGATTGAACCATTCATCTAATACAAACACTGTCTGTTAATATTTGTAACGTTCTATGAATGCCTACTTTTGCTTTATTCCAGTGTTTTTCAGTAACTCCAGAAAATGCTGAAAAAATGGTTATGTGCTCAATCTAGAGACGAAATTTTCATCATTTCTTCACAGCTAATAATAAATCATTTATAATAACTTTTCTTTCCACCGGAAAAACACTCCACATCTCTCATTCTCGACTCTCAAGCGAGACGTGGTAGCATTTTGAGGGTTTTATTTCTTCGTTTCTCCTCGAGACCTGATGAAATATGAATTGTAATTAACGAAATTAATGCGCGATGCTAGATTACACCTCATCGAGGGAAAAACCTTTTCGTGTTACTGTAGATTTTTAGAGCTTGTTAAGGTTGTAATGCTGCTATTTTTCGTAAATTTTTGTTCGTTCTCCTTGATCATCACGACTGCAAATTCATCAGACATTCCAAAAGTAAAGACGAAGAACTGAACTGCGTTGTTGTGGCATTTCTTCTTCTCTAACTCGCATAATCAACATCTTACTATCGCGAGTCTGATTTTTTTTTCTTCATAAAGTTAATGGGTAATCTTTCCACTCAGCACTTCCTTTGTTCTTCCAAAATCTTTCATAGTCTGGCAGAAGATTAACATTTATCATCAGAGCTCACACCATTTTTATTTGGAATATTTGAACAACTGTTCTTGTGCATATATCCTATTATTGCATGATGTTCTCTTTCGACTCAATCTCACAGATAATTAAGTCGAAAATCTTCATTCCTATTTTATTCCTTCTTTTATTTCTTATTAATCCATATAAAGCATGCATGCATACATTTGCACACCCACACAATCATACAAACATACTTTATATGCGGGAAATATGCGAATGAATTTCGTGAAAACTTTCTGTGAAAACCGCAAACAACAGAATTCGTTAAAGACATCAGCAGTATTGCAACGTTATTTCAAGCTAACATCAAGTGCTCATAAAAGATAGCAAAGCAAAAATAGAAAGGGGAAAGAGAGATGGAAAACATTTCCAACCCAAACGAGGAGTCTATAAAAGGAAGGAAAAAATTCTCCAAACCCAAAACATAATCCTCCAATTTCGCTTCGTTTCCACACCAAGTTTCCCCTCACTCTCCTTGGCTTCTCTTGTTCATGAAAAAGCATCGAAAATGCTCAGTTTTTCACTTTGTGTGTGGAGGCAAAAGTTTTCACATTAGCTTTTCATTGCACGTAGCGCTTTACGAGATCTCAGGTCGGGAAATATTTTCCATTGATGATACATGAAGATTTTAAGAAGATTCTTCTGAAAGTTTCCTGAATAATGACATTGCTTCGAGATAAACCCTATCAATCCTTAGAATGAGAAAATTGTATAAAATAAATGGATAAAATGGAAAACTCTCTGTCTGATGCAATTCTTTAAACTTTTCTGATGATTTTTTATTCAAACCAAATAGGGGCATTTTCTCTTCCTTGTCTTTCATTTTAAGCATAGTAGAGAGAAGTTACGAAATATAAAAAAATTATTTATCGATTGAATTATTTTCGATTCATCTGTAGTCGATCATCTGTAGTCGTTTAATTTCTTGTTGTTCTACTCTTATCTATTTAAAATTCCACATTTGAATGTATTTCGTAGTTGACGAAACAAAGTGAAAACTTGAATATTTACAAAAATATTTGAGGTCTCTTCATATAAGTTAGCATAAGCTCAATATGGCTAAGATTATTAAAAAAAGAAATTTACAGAACATTCTATTCTAAATAACGAATGAAAGAACAACAGAACCTTAAAAATCTAAATAACAAGTTTTGTTTTGTAGTAGCTTTTCGATTTGCGATTTATAAAGTAAAGTTTTCTCTGCTGTGTGGGATGAAAGTGTCTTTGGATTATTGACCTTTTCGCATAACTGAAATTGTCTTTTAATTCTGTTATTTGCCTAACATTACTTAGAATTTAACTGTGCAATTCAATGATGAGACATTCTGAATTTTAATTATTTTGATTTACAGCAGCAGTAAAAATATTTCAAGAAATGTGGTTGATCTTTTCTACTTTTTACTGCTGTAATTTCTACAAGCTACTTATAGGTATAAACTCAGGAAAAGGAAAAGTTTAAAACAGCAGTCATTGTTGATTTTTGCCTCTGAATTCTTTTCATTAGGTTCAAATAGCTTATAAAATGTAACTTTTCTCTTGTGATCATCGGAAACAATAAAAAGAAAAAACAAATTTATAAGAGCATGAACTTCCAACAGTAGAAAAATCCACAGCTATTAACTCAATTCACACATTAAATAACTAAGAAATCATCGAGCATATCAAAAAAATGTTGAATGTAGCTAGGAGACGGCGAAAGAACAGAAATTTACATAATTAGCTTTTGACTCACACGAACGAGTTTTGTAGTTACAACATCGACCCCCGAAAGACGTTAATGTTTGCAAAGCGTTTTAAACAATGGATCAAAAAAAGAACAACTCTTCCCAATGATTTTTGATAATTGTTTGTTTTAAGCCATGTGAAGTTACTAAGCAAAGATTTTTTGATCGACGACAATTTTATTCATTATCCGACGATAGAATGTAGTTGTAGATCAGATATATTAAAAGTCAAGATGATACGCAATTTGAATTCAGTATCCAATTATTTAAAATTTTCGAACATAATGTTTCATGTAGTAATTTAAAGCTACCTTAATAACCATCGACGTCAGAGGATTATATTTTTGTTCAATCCTACAAATCGAATTTTCTGACATTCTTCTTATCAGTTAACAATTATCATCGTCCCACAACTGCGCATTATTTTTAGAGACAAAAAAATTTGAACATATTTAGTTATTTTAAGGAATTTATCGCGAGTAAAAAACTGCGTAATCACCGCAACGCTAAACGATAAAACGACATTGTTAGAGTTTGACATTGAAGTTTAAATGATCAATATTTGTGTTTTATGTATTTATTGTATTCAAAAGAGAAAGAGAGAGAGAGAGAGGGAGAGCGAGAAAGAGGAAGAGAGAGAATGCAAATATCAAATATCCATAAATGGATGCGACGCGCAACCGTGTGAATATTTTATGTTCCACACAATTTGCAAAAATAAAACACAAACGAAATATAAAATATAAAATTCAAATATCCATTCCCATAAATTATTATCTTTAAGTTTTTAGCAAAAAACATGATAAAAACTAACACTGCTTCATGTTCTTCTCTCCGTCATGTCTCTCTTCCATTTTTTATTCAATTTTCTTGGCTTGTGCTTCTTGTTCCTATGCTTGCTTGCTTCTTCCTCTCAAAATTGTTACACTCACTGCAAAACCCGCTGTATTGATTTGAAAAAGGGGTCAATCATGATGAGAAGCTGAACGATATGAGCATAAATTTCCAGAAAAACAGTATCAGTAATAAACGAGTGAACCAAATCAAAAAAAAAGATTATGTATGTATAATTTTGGGCAGCATAAAAATATATGTTACAAATTTTTATATATTTTTTATAGCTTTATCATTCTTGTTTCTTTCAAAAACTGAATTAAATGCAAAGAAGAAAATGGTGAAAAAAGATCAAGAAGCATAAGCAACATGACATGATCATTATGTATGAAACCACCCCTTGAAAATTTGAGAATTTTCTTGAGAATTTCCATAATATCGCCGCTCTCACAATACCTCGATTGTCATTTTTCGTAGAAAGAGTTCTCTTTAGTAGTTCGAAATCTCTCTTTAGAGTGTGAAGTTTAAAAAAATTAGTCTCTTAAAACTTTTGAAATATTATTTGAAGCAAATATTTTAATTTCTTAATAATTTCACTCTAAATTCCTGTAAACCGTGATTACTTATAAAAATTTTAAGATGAATATGCGACAGCAGAGAATAACAACATCGCAACAGGAAGTTTATCTGATTTATTTAATGGAACACACAGAGTTTGCCGCGTCTAGAATTAAAGATGGTGATTGTTGCTGTAGTTTCGTTTTTTTTTCGTTTTCCCTCGCATTCATATATTTTTTCAGTGAGAAATATTCATTGAATACATTTTTCTTTTACGCTCACTTCACAGGTGAATCGAAATACGATGAAAATTGGAAGGAACTGACAAAGATGTTGAACAACACCTTGGGACCGAAGAAATCAGTTGACGAATGGAAAATGGTAATATATAAAAATATGAAGTCTAATTACTAATTATTCCAATCTGTTCATAACAAACTGGACATTTTGCTTTATGAATTACATATAAATAATTATTATCTCTTTTTCTTTCAATATTTATATCTTAAATGGTCAGGTTTTTTTCAACTGGAAAAATCAGCTACGCACTCGTGCGAAGAAGCTTAAACAGATTCAAGATGGAAAGACGGGTGCCGATGACAAGCTTGCCCTTCAAAAACTCACTGCTGTCGAGAAGCGTGCCTTGAAATTGTGGAAGGAAGACTTTCAAGATAAAGACATTGCTTCGGTAAGTGATAAATGAACTATTTATGACAACTTTTCACGCTTCACTGTGCAAATTTGTTTTTATAAAATACTCTTATTTTATTGATTTCACTTAAGCACATTGCATTTTTTTCTTCACCTCAATGTTATGTGTCTCGAGAAAACGAAATGAAAGAAGAACGAAAAAAAGAGACTCAGGCATATTCTGGAAGCTTATGTTTTTATTTGAAAGAATGAAGCAAAAAAGAGATATTCGTTCAAGTTTAGATACATCTTTCTTGTTTTTCTCAACTCAGCGACATTGGAACGTGGAGAAATAACAGAGTAGAAGAAGGCATTATTTTTCTTGCTTGTAAACGAAGAAAAAAAGATTGTTTATGAGACATGCCAACGAAAAGCAAAAGAAGAAGGAAAAAAATATTTATTAAACTCTACACATAGCACTTCATTTGGCTTTTTACTTCTGAGAGTTGAGAGATACAAAAGCAAGCAAGAAATGAGAGAAATCGATTTTTTCATAGTTCACTTGTAGGAGCGAGATAATATACCTAATTTGCTGTAATTTGCGATCTCTTTCTATCGCATTACCGTCGACTGTTGCTTGCTTTTTATACAAACGATAATATCTCTCTTTTTTCATTTAATAACGACGCTCTTACTCTTTCTGGTGTTTATCTTTTCCCCCTGAGTTTATTTTTAATGCAACACACAAAATATTTCTTTTTATACTTACTAACTGTGGATAGAGAAGTTCAAGCAAAATTTTTGAATGAGAATACTTACTACCCTAATTTCTTGACTCCTTTAGATTCTCAATGAGATTGAAAACAAAGACATAACAATAACACCAATCAGTAAACAACAGAATGTTAACTTAAAGAAAAGAAAAGCAAGCGATTCAATCATTATTACGAGCAATACTCAACTGGCCCCCCCATCATCAACACCCACCTCAGTGGTTTCCGTTCCAATAACGATAACACGCACCAAAGACGATCAACAACAAGTTGATGAATTGATAAACATTAAACTTGAGCCCTTTGAAGAATTGTTGACGAGCAACACGCAGCTTAGAAGTTCTGCTGACATAACAGTGCAAGAGATTCTCGATTGGGCGAAAACATTCAAAATTCCACAATCGGCAGTCAATGAATTACTTCAAATTTTGAAGATTAAACGTATAAAAACAGAGATCAAAAGTGAATCGCCAACAAAAGTTTCAACTGATGGAACCACCACAAGCTCTCTTCAACAACGTAAGAGACATTATTTAAACTAATTTTATTTTCATTCTCTTATAATAATCTCTCTCACATTTTTATTTTTCGTTTATCCAATCTTCATTTCATTCCGAAACGATTATCTTTTTGAATTCGTTTCACAATCTCACTCTCTGTATTTTTCAAACTCCTAATAACATCCTAAACACAAATTCCTTTAGAATCTGTAGGTCTTTTCTCGAAAATTTTTCAACGCTTAGAAGGAATGGAGCGTAATCTCATGAATCGTATGACAACGCTTGAGCGAAAAGTTGACATGAAAAATTTACAGCAGTTGAAAATTCAAAGCCCGAATCAGCATTCGCCGCAACCAAAATGAGATTCGGTTCCACTGGCTATCATCCGAAAGCCAGAACAGAGGCAGCAGATTTACAAAATTGTAAGGAAAGTTTAAACTCGCTTGCATACATAATTGCAAGAAAAGAAAAATAATAAAAAGTATTTTTGCGTTCAGTCTCTTAGTTTGGTTCTGCTTGTGGCATTATTTGATTTAAAATAAAAATGAATTTAAAAATTGAAACACTGAAAAACTTTTCTTTTTCTTTTTTTCTTTGAAAGCTTCGAGCTTTTTTTACGTTCGGCTGCTAAAGAAACACGAGTTCCATTAGGATTGCTTCTTTATCCTCGTTTTCTAATGATACCATCAAATGACTTCTCCCCAGAAATGTTTCTCTTTTTTTTCCTTCTGCCACCCACTTTCGAGTCGTTTGGTGAATTCTCGAAAAGCTCTCATGAATATTTAAACAACATTCATGATATGGCATATTCTGTTTTCTTTTTGGTTAACCATAACTACTACGATTTCTCCCTTTTACACCTTTCTTGTGGCGCATAGTTTCACGTAGCTCAGAACAAACAAAACTTTTACACACTTTCGCGCCTTTTCTTTCCACGGGCTTTGAACGAATTCAAATTGAAATGAAGCTAAGCTTAACTACACGCGATCGTTGCGTTATGTAGTTTCATTGCGGTTTTAAATGATTTTTTCAAAAGTATGTCAAATAAGTAGATATTTAAGTTTATTTATTTATGTAGATAGTATATATTTAAAATCTCCCATGAGACTCACTGAAATGCACAATTCACAATTCAAAAACGTAAATTTTAAAAATAACTTTTCATTGAACGAACATCTCTACATAATCAGTCTACGAAACCTTTTCATAATTAACTATTAAGAGAAAAATGACGAAAGCTGATAGAATAATTGTAACGTTTTTCTTCTTAACTTATCATATAATGAGACACTAGTAATATCTTCGCATTATCTTCAATTAACCAACGATGAATAGACATCACAAGTCTACAGAATCTTCGATAACGAGATTAATGAATTAATGAATGAGTCTTTTTGTTAATATTTAAACCAGTTTTAAATCTCATTTCAATATTTATCGACACTTTTATGTCTTTGTTGTCAGATAGATGCAATAATATTTTCACATAAAACTGCAGGCGTTAGTTACAGTATAAATATGAGAAGTGAAAGAGAGAAAAGAAGATTTATAAATTATGCATGAATCAAGATATTAGCAGCGCCTCTAACAAATTAGTTTACAGCTTCATTTGCATTTTTCGTGAATTTAATTATTACGAAGATAAACCGATTTAGTTGTGGAGGAAATGAAAGTGAGCTTCTCAATTTTCACTGAAACTTAATAATCTTATTAACTGATTGGTTGTTACCTTAAAGCTCCCGGTATTTGTTACTCACTTCAGACGATCAGCTTGTTTCCTTACTAACTCAATGATTGACTGAGGCAGTCAAACTGGTTATTAATATATACAATTAATCTTATCTTGTGATTTAATTGATGTTTATTTGCTTGTTAATTTCATCGCACACACAAATGATTAACAGGTGTAACAGCGAGAAAAGTTGATGGATTAATTCATCTTCGTCATTGAATGAGATTCCGACTGTTTTTCGGAATTTCTTCTCGTGCGGTCAAAGAGCAATTGAATGACAGCAGACGCGTGTGCGTTGCATGTTTTAAGTATTTACTTACGACGTTAATATGAGTCTTCATTGAAATATTCATAGGGCAGTTTAATGGATTTGCGTCTTATAACAATTTACTTTGCTTCGAAATCAGCATGTAAACAGCCACTTATCTTCAATTTACATTTACATTGAAATGTATAGTTCTTTCCCCATGTGGGTACTATAACATAACAATCACGAAAGAAACGTTTTATTGTCATCGTTAAATCCAATTTGCATATCACGATGATTTTTTAATACTTTTTTTTTTTTCTCTCATCGACAGTGTCAGAAAGATTTAACACTTTTGTGTATCCAATTACGCTCATCATTAATAATAAATAATAACAACGAAATGCAGAGCATGAAAAAATTTAAAAAATTGTTGTCTGCTAAATGCTTGTTTGCATTTGTAACTAATTAGAATAATAATTTTTAAATATTTTCAGTAATCATCGAAATTTCAAATAAAATTTGCTTCCAATAATAATTGACCAGTCTCGACAATGTTCTCAAAATTTCTTGTTAATATTTTTAAAATTCCTTCAAGGTCGAGTCAGGTTGCAGTTCTTGAAACACTTTGTAATTTCAAAACGAGATCTGAAGGGAAATTTCAAAATTTCCCAATGTCAGATCCAGAAGAGCAAAAATATCGAATTGAATGTGTTAAAGCTGGAGACATGCATCCGATTTTAAATTTCATAGAAAAAAATTATTTCCGAAGCGATCCCCTTTTAATAAGTTTGAAATGTTTTCATCAAAGAATGGATAAAAATCTGGAATTTTACATCAAACAGTCTCTGCTGCAAGGCTTATCGTTAGTTGCCAAGGAAAATTCTCGGGAAAATAAAATTTTGGGTGTTGCCGTAAATCAAAAAAGTTGTAAATGGACTGCAAATTCAATAGACGAGTTGGGAGAAATTTGTGAAAATATTAACACTAGCAAATTGTTCCACATTTGGGCGTTACTTGCTAGAGAATCAGAATCAGAAATTCACGATTATCAATCAACCAACACAATTTTCAATCTTGGATTGATTTCTGTTCATAGAGAGTTGAAACATCGAAGACTTCAGGCTGAACTTGCATTTCATTCCTTGTGTCTTGCACGTGATCTAAACTATGAGTTGGCTCGTTTTGATACTACAAATGAATTCACTATGAAAATTGCTGAAGAGGCAAACATGACGAAAATTTGGGAAGTTCCTTACAAAAATATCCTTTGTGGCGATGGCAAAACTCCAATCATACTTCCAAATAAGCCTCACACTCATGCCGCTGTTTATTGCATCAACTTAGACGAGTTGAATTTGAAGAATTTGTCTGATTCTACAAATTGAGCAGAAAACATTTCTTTTCTTCTAAATTATTTAAATTATTCAATAAAAAATACTAGAAAATGTTGAGATCAATTCAAAGGAATTTATAGAGTAAAATGTAATTCAAAGAAAAGATTGACAGACATATTGATTCTAATATTCTCACAAAATTACTAATTAATTTCAACTTGTCACGCTCTTTGTCAGTTGATTGATTTCATATGATGCATAGATAATTAGCCATAAATAAACACACATTGCATTTCAAAATAAATAACAATATTCCAATGTTATTGAAAGAGGGAGAGAGATAGAAGAATGATTAATGAGTGAGTGAAAAAACGAATGATGATAATCAATAAAAAAAAATCACTTTCCAAACCCCCAAAAGCTATAAATTCGAATGATTTTAGGTAGTAATGGACACCCAACGATTTTAGTTTACTATTTATTCAATTGTTTGAGCAACAATGTGGTCATGGTGAAATGTGGAAAGGGATGTTATATCCCCTCCCTCCCCTTATAATAGTAATGACAATGCATGAAGTAAACATTGATTCAATGAAAACTATCACGAATGTCAATTGAAGTGTCAATTCGATTAAAATACAATTCATATATTCATTGACATTTAATGATTAACATATTCATTATTAATCTTCTATCCGCCTATCCACATGTTTATTGAGAAGTAAAATAAACTTTGAAAGAGACTTCTAATTAAATCAGGTTTCATTGGTGTGATTATATAATTTTCCACTTGATAATTGTAATACAATAAGTCCCCTTCCGGGAACCATTTTTCTATTTTCACGTGAAAAAATCACAAAAATAAAAACTCGTAGAACGAACTTTGGATATAAATATCAAAAGAAAAAAAAAGAAAACGAAAAAAACATCGATATCGGCTGATATCGGATAAGGCTGAATGTAGCCATTTAATAATATTTATTAAGCTTTCTATAGCACATAATTTTCGTTTCCACTTCCATGCTATCTCATTTGTTGGTAAATTTTCTCTTATTGAAAGTTCATTATATGGCATAAATAAAACGTTTTGAATGCTTCACTTCCAAAATTTTCATTTATGAGAGTTTTCATGATTTTGTGTTTTCTCATAGCGCACTATCAGTGCTATCGATGCATACAAAAAGCTCAAATAATGACATAACTTTAAGATAATAAGATCAACAACAACGAGAGCCATCAACAGCAGCAAAAAATATCAAAAGCTCAATTTCATTTTCCTCTCAATTCAATTTTCTCTCACACTTTCCACTTTTTTATCTGACACAAGCGCCAACTTCCCTCTCCTGATTTTATCGTCAACACACGAAGGAATAAAAAAAATGACGAAACAGCTTTCTTTACCCACCCAAGCTCATTCGCCCACCATTTATTCACTTCTCATCATTTTATTCTATTTCTGTATACAATATGCTTTTGGATTTGTTTTCTCTTTATGTGTTTTATATAATGATAAAAGCATTTGAGTGTGTAGATGTGAATATTCGACGTCATGATCCAAGGGGCTGTTCATCGAATAAAATTGGCCGGCAGAAGCACCATTGATGCATTGAAGCACTAGACATATTCCAAGAAAAAGTAAGCAAATTCTTGGAAAAAGGTCATTTTTCTTGAAAAGCACTAGTAATTTTTGATGCTTCATTGGGAGGCAGCCGGCAGAAGCACTACGATGATTTACCCCTTGTCATGATCGTTTACGAGAGAGTGAGAGACACAAAGAAGAAGAGAGAAATGTAACAGGCAGCTTTATTTCATATTCTCCATGCCACCCTTCACCTCACCATTCACCACCCCCAAAAAGCCATTCTGTTTTCAAACAAACACATTTTCATAATCGCTCGACTCTAGCCACCCTCTACACCAACAACATAGAACTCATTCGACAAGCAGAAAGTGGGTAACACAAAAAAGGAAATCCTATGCTTCGAGGCAACCCAACCACCCCCGTAAACTCGTTTTCATTCTTGTCGTGTGCTTTTTATATTTCATGATTTTTTTTTCTTTCTTTTCGTTCCCACTCTCACAGAAGTGAAAGAGGCGAAACATTATGGAAAATTTTCATTCAATTTTCATCTCTAGATTTTATTTTTTTTCGTTGTTGGTTTGTGCAGGGTAAATAGAAAAGAATAAAAAAGAACGTAAGAGAAGAATGAGATATAATGCTAGAGAAAGCTTTCAATGTACAGTTACCGAAGCAGCTACCGATTGAATCGAAATACATCGCTCGTTCTTCTTACTTGCTTCTGATTTTATTCTTTCTTTGTTAAACTGACATTTTTATCATTACTTATATTTTGTTTTTTTTTCTTCTTTCTATCGCTAACTGAGTGTGATGCTATGTTTTCCATTTCCATGAAGAAAATAAGTATAAGATTAAACTTAGATAAAAAGATATTCAATTCTGTGCTAGATGTTAAAAAAACATTTTCCTTATTTTGTGTCCAGGAAAGTCGGATAATTTTCCTTTCTTTTCTTTTTTAATTTATTTCCCAAGAGAAATGTCAGAAAGTTTTGTTATTAATTTTGATTAATTTTTTATTTATTATTGTCATTTAAATATCTATTCGAAATCATGAAGAAAGTGGGAAGCTTAATTCAAGATAAAATATTTATACCAAAGTCTTGTCAGAATTTTTCTGAAGTTTGAATAAAGTCTCTGGAATCCCTGAATTCTCTGTTCATCTCAACAAGCATTTTATGTATTTCTGCTTCTTTTTATCATGCTTTTTCCATCACCACATAAATGTACTTTTTCCTCTGAAATTATTTTCAACCTTTTTCATTTCTCTCCATCGCTTTCGCAATCGCAAGTCACCTCCACACACTTTAGGAATACATATTAATATGGGTTTATTTCATTCTCTCCCTTTCCCTGTCTTCAGTGGCTCGAGATTATTTTTCTCTGACACTTCGAGTTTGGCTTTTCTGTGCTATAATGTTCTCTTCTGTGCTATGCTTGTTGAGAAGAAAAAGGACATAAATGATGATAGGAAAATGTGGAATGGAAATCTTCTTTTCCTTTTCTCTTTTTTTTCGGTACAACATTTTTATGGTATTTTTGTTGATGATTTCATTGCCTTGCATTGTTACATAAAGCGGCGACAAAACTTGTTTGTAGTGTACAAGCCGATGTTAAATTTTTGTTCCTTATTTCCATTCCCACCCTGACTCTAACTTTTGCTGCTCAATCGAAATATAAAAGAATGAAAGAAAGAAAAGAATAAATAAATAAATAAATATTCTCGTATCTAGATATTAATTCATATGTGCGCTGCTACATTTGGTACATCATGGCAAGCGATAATATGTTTTCATGTTGTTTCCATTTAAACGGTATCACCACCCTCATACATAAGATACATTGGGGAACTTTTGCTATGAACTAGAAAATTAAAATCACTTTTTATGTGTCATATAAAATGTGTGTGTGCTGAGTATGAACAGTAGATGGTTGTGTGGAAACAGGCGCCATGTTACATGTGACGCGAGTGCTTTGAATACATAATTGGCCAGCATTTCACTCTTTCTTGATTCCTTTGTTGCTTTTTTTTATTTTATTTTTGAATTCAAGTACTTGACTAACTCAAGCATAGTTTTTCGATTGTATGTATGAAAGTGTAAACTGCACTTAATCTTATTAAGTATAGTGTGGAAAAACTTTCTGCAAATATCATCGCCTGTAAAATTTTCCGACGAATTCTATGTACATGGTATAGATTTTTAATAAATGTGGAACTACAAATGCATTTTGAAATTTACTTTTATGATTTTACATTTGAATAACTGATTGAAATGTTGAGATATGCAAGCGTTTAATTTTTTTAGGTTTGCTTTCCTGTGTTGAAGAATCAAAGTAATGTACTCGAGAGTTATGTTATTGGGCCGTTACAGCATGTGGCAAGGGAGCAATAACAAAAAACATGTAAGAGAATTGCGGGAACATAATTGAGTGCTTTTCACAGCATGAGACAGATTTTCAAGAAGAGTCATATCACATGTGATGAAACGAAACAACTTTAATTTTAGTTATGTCTGAAGATTGAATAAATTTGTTTTTTTACCTTATTTGAAACAATCTTGAGTTCCCTGAGATTTGAGACACTTTAAATGAAAGTTTTTATATATGTCAATTTTCCTTTTCAGGCTATCAGATAACTAAATTCTCTTTTCAGTTAAATTCAATTTAATCGTCACGAAATATTTTTCCAAACGTTTCAACTTACTTTCTATTTTAATTCAACACTTGTTGCTTCACACAGACCTTCGAAGAATGTATTCAATTTCAACCCCCAACGGTGCTTTATTTTTAAAATAACAAAATTTTTCTCTCTATTTTTATTTTTGGTGCCGGATTGTTAATCAATATTTGTTCATGAACAGAAAAAAATTATTGAGAGAGTTAACGAACAAATAAGTGCGAAATGAAATTTGATGCTTTAGTGGGGAGAATCCAGAGATGAAGTTACAATTTGAGTTCGTAGCTTTCTTTCAATACATATTTAAAATTTATTTTATTTATAAAATTTCTTATAAATTTGCAACTTTAAGTCTAACGAATGTTAGATAATCAACCAAAATCACAAATCGTATTGAAGAAATAATCACTGTTATCCTAATTTAATTAGTTAAAAATTTAATTACTATTTTAAATTGGTAAATTACTGTCAATGATAAAAATTCGTCGTGATTCCTTTCTCTACACACATTTGTCACCGATATTTGCAATGAAATTATAATAAACTTTTCACCCTCAAACTGAATATAAAAAATGAAAATGAAAATCGAATATGAAATCAATTTATTATCCGTAATAACGCGCATTTTTTAACATGTGTAAAGTGTCGCTTTAGCCTCCCCCGCTCACATATCAAACATCGTGGAAAAATATGTATTTTCATGTACAATTTTTTCACTGTCATTTTTGTTGTTGTTGTTGTCTGTGCCTGTGAGAAGAGAATGAGATGGTTTATGTATCAATGCTACCCACATTTGCTGCTTCTTTATGACCATCCATCGTCCCACTTTTCCTTCAACCCCCAAACGTATATGTGGAATATATTTTCAGTAGTACATAAAAACCGATTTTTTTATGTTTATGATTCTCTTTTTTCTGGCTAAAAGTCAAATTAAATAAAAATCTTTTTTCTGTTTTTCTGTTCTTTCAACAGTGTTGTCGTTTTATTTGAAATCATGCTTTGAGAAGAAAAAAACTTTGAGTGTTGGAGTTTCACATTTTCATGACTTAAATAGGAATTACGTAAAAAGTCTATTAGGAAGAATGATAAACAAATGATTCATTTTTGTGATTATGAAACTGAATTTTTATTTTGAAACTAAGATTAAACATGAAGTTTCGTCTCATAAATTCGACAATCTTTCAAGCCGAAAGCTGCAAAAAAAAATATGACATGACAGTTTCCATAAATTTTTATGCGTTTACTTCCAAGATTCATTATTTTAATTATAAAGTTCATGTTTTGATTAGATTCAACTATCATTTTATCCTTTTCAGAATTAATTTTTTAGAAGAACATAATTTTATAGATACGCAACAATTGATGTAATAAATTGAACCAAAAAAGAAACATAATAAAAGAAGGGAAGAAGAAGGAGAGAAGGGATTTGCTTTTAAAAATATCACAAAATTGGTAATAAAAAACATTTTGTTGATGATATATTGTTTGTTACATAAGTGCATTGTCTTAAAAAGAAAACAAATATTACGTAAATGACTGAATAATAAATGCTAAAGTCTAAATTTAAAAACGAAGTGGAAATTCTATTTTAAAAAAGTATAAAAATTGATCCGTAGGTGGATTGACTTACAAAGCTAAGATTGAAAGAAAAGGAAAATCACAAAATACGTAGGCGAAGAAGCTTTCATTAGATTTTTCTCAAATAATGATGATGCTATTTAAATTAAATTATTTAAAACATTGTTGACGATGAATCGTGATACAAGCTTTTATTAAAAGATGCGTTTATTTAGATAATTATCTAACTTAACAATTAAATTTTCATGTCATGTTCGTGTTTTCAAGAACACGCAACAACAAAAGACGAAGAAGAAGCTTTCATCAGTCACTTTTAAATACATATAGAATATGTATTTACGTCATTTCAAATGTTGAAGCATATCTATGCGTAAGATGATGTATATGGAAAAAAAGAAGGAAGAAAAGCTTGTGACACAACAACATCAATGAAGAGAGTAACAAACTTTCATTACATCACTTTGGCATGAAGCAGAATGATTTTTTTATGAACGTTTTTCATCATTTCACTCAGTTTGCTTTACGATTCGCATAAAATACTGTCGTGAAATCCAACCGAGAACTGAGAAGAATATCATTATTGCCTTAGGGATTGGAGTTTATGGTGGTGAGTGGGTGGATGTGCGGGTGTTATACCAAAGCTTAAATAAGAGCGAGCAAATATTTATGTGTATAAATATATACATATGCATGATGCTTCATAATAATAAGCTAAAAATTTAAAGAAACGTCTAAATCATATGATAAATAATATTAACTATGATCTCAATTTATGTAAGTAACCCAAGAGAGAAAAGCATATATAATAATATTACTTATTAAATTTTATTTGTGTGTAGGATGATGAATCAATCAAAGTAATTAACGGAAATTAATATTACATTTGTAAGCTAAAATTTTGTCACTGCAAATGAAAAGCTGACATCAGAATTTTTATATGTTTATGGTCATATCTTCCTAAAATTAATTGTATTTTGATATGAAATTTAATGAATCTAATTGTAGAGTTAATAAGACTTTTGTCAATTTCTTTTATTATCTGCTTGCCTTCACTGGAGTATCGATGTCTTCATCGGTTAATTGAAGATTTTTCGCTTGGAAAACTTGAACATTTAATATTTCATCGATGTTCAATTCTCTTGATTGTCTGTTTTCTAAAAGTCTTTTATTTACGAAAATGCATTGAAATATTTTTTAATTGCATTTTACCAACAAACCCATTGCTACTAATGATATCGATATCCTCTAATAAGATTTTCCTATTTCATTCTAGCTGCATTTCTGTCAAATTAACGTAAAACTTCATCATTTTCTTCGGCAATAAGTACATATATTCCTTTTTCGACTTCAGATAAAACTAAACGATTTTGTGTTTTGCTCTGACGTAAAATTATCGAAAGAAGAGATTGAAATAAGATATGTAAGGCACTCACAAGGTTTTGAAAAATTATTTTAAAAAAAGTGCAGGCTAAAAATGTATTTACAGTATTTTTTTTTATTTGAACCAAATTGAATTTATTTAATATTATATTTATTTTATCATCGATCAGTAAAAATTTTCCAGTTTGATTATTCATGTTAAAAAATTATTTTATTTCTGAATTTAAATGTTCTCTATCAGATTCAAATGAAAGATGCTTTTATTTCCATCTCGGACGTTCCTTTGGTGCTGAAGGCTTCTTATTAGGGTTTTGTCTAAAGGTTGGTTTTGGAATAGCTGATGATGATGATTTTGCTTTTGTTACTTTCTTAGTATTTGCATTAGCTGTAGCATTATTGAGTGCCGAAGCTGATGCAGATAATTTCGATGACATTTGTCGTTTCGTTGCTAATGGTTGTTGTCGAGAAGTTGCCGAAGATGATTTCGATCTTCCAGCTGCTGCAAACTTTGAAGTGACTTCAATCGGATCTACATTAATTTTCTTCGAAGCTGATCTTGTCAAAACTATTTGTTGTATTGAATCTTCTTTAGCTTTTTGTCGTGTCTGTCGATCAGATTTAGGGGTCGAGACTTTTGACTCTGATAAAATAGAAAATCTTGATTTTGGAGTTGAAACGTCTTCGTTTCTAGGAATTTTATGAATCGGTGATGAAACTGAAGAATTCAATGATTTTGCTGAGTTTAATAAACGCTTCGAAGCAAGTCTTGATGAACGCGTTGGTGTTGATATTTCAGGAGTTTCTGGAAGAACAATCGTCTTGACTGTTTCTTCAGCCTCTTCATCACTGCTTTCGGAATAATTTACAGAATCTTCTTTAACTTCACTTTCATCTTGTCGTGTTACGTTATCGTGTTCAACACTGTTATTGGATTCATTAACAGACTCCTGTTGCACTTCACTTGTTTCTTGTTCCACTTGAGGGAGATCGTTTTCCAATTCTTGTTGACTTTCTGATTTTGAAGACACATTGGAATGATTTGTTGAGTCTGCTGCCTTTTTTCCTTCTTCATCCTCATCTGGAATGACATTATTTTCTCTATCTTCATCAGGAAGTTCGACAGCTTCTTCATTTTCATCTTGAATGACTTCGTCTTCATCTTCTTCAGGAAGTTCAACAGGTTCTTCATTTTCGTCTTCAGAAATGCCAGCATCTTCATCAATGTTTGACGCAGCAGTAGCAGCTGTGCTAGAAAACTTTAATGGTGCCTTGTAAGTTCCTTTGAGCATGTCGCGAAAATCAGCAAGATTCTTTTTTGTTATCGCATCCACTGATATAGAAGACAGAAGCAATTCAAGTTGTGTTGCCATACCGCTTTGCAACAATTGATCTTCACTAATTTCAAGCGTTTGAAGTTCTTTCGAAATAACTTTGATAATGTCTTTATTCTCAGGATTTTCCTTCATCAATTCAATTAACTTTAAGCCAATTGTGTTGTGAAGATTCAACCCATTACTACAAAATATTGGACGTGAAGCACTGATAACATATTTCAACACAACATCCTGCTTAATTTCACGCAATGGACTGTCGTATGGCGCTTCAAGTAACGTTATTAAAGTTGGAATTAACGACTCATAAAGAATTTCTTGTTTCTTCCTTTTAATTATCGATTCGAAGAAGATTCCAAGAATTTGATTTATTTCAGCTTCTGTCGCTGGATTGAAGTATGCAAGAAGCAACTTCGATACCGTGTCACGAGTGCAATATTGACCATGAAGAATTAACTTACATAAACCAATAATTGTCGCCTTTTGAATTCGATGATCAACATTATTGTCCATTACATGTGTCAACATCTTCACAAACTCTACTGACGTTACAAGATCAATTTCTTCAGCCTCTTCACCATCGTCTGTATACAATGTTCGTCCACTTCTCTTACTGCGTGAATGAGATTCTTGGCTGAGATTATTCTCGTTATTAGCATTGAAATTTTCCATCTTCTCCATTGAGTACCGAAGAATTAAATCAATAATGCAATGAATCGATGCTTCCCATAACAAAACATTGTCGCTTTTAAACATTTGTGCTTTGAGAACGACATAAACGTCTTTACTGAGTGACTCATAAAGCAAACTGCAAGCAGTTGCTGTATTCAAAGCCCAAATTCGAGTCATTGTATCAGTTGATTCGAGATGGTAACGAACAAAGTCATTGTAAGTCTTCAATATTCCCGGTGTCAACGCTCGAACCCCATTTGAGTTGAGAGCAAAGTAAATAATTTGAAGATTTTTCAGAATTTCTGGAGCTTTCACTGTCTTTGTTGTGATGACCGATGACAAGCTTTCAAGAAGCATTTGTGATGAGTTTAATGACTCAGCGATGGGATGAAGAAGCTCAAGAAGCTTTTCCTTTAATTTTATGTACGATTCAGATGCTTTCTGTGCATCCGCGTATTGTTTTCGCTCAACAGAATTTCTTTCTTGTTCTTTCAACTCCATCATTTCCATTTTCAAACTATTGGCTTTAACTTGCGTGTTGATGTCCGCTTTACTAATCAATTGCTCGATGATTTCTTGACGTCCAATCTCATTTTGCTGTCCAAGATTCATCATATCAATGATGATGTTATTGAATAGTGTAAGACGTGTATCAACAGATGGTACAATTAATTCCATGATGTTTGTGATTTTTTTAATGGTAACTTCAGAAACTTCATGTTCCATAAGAATTTTCTTTAATAACTCTTGAAGCTTTTTGCAACCGATGTTATCACTGAAGTCACAAAGTTGCGAAATTTCAAGCATTATCATTAAGCAGTGATTGAAATTGAGCTTCTGATATTTTTCTACACCACCTGATGATGACACGAACTTAAATTCATCCACAAATTTCTCGATGTAGTCACAAAACACTGACAACTCTGGGAGAATTTCCATGTTTCTTGCACTTAAATCAGCTTCAAGTTCATCTTCTGACGATGATTCTTTTCCATCGTCTTCTTTTTCTTGATGATTAGATGATTTCTCGATATAATCTTGATGGAATTCCAAGATCATTTTCCAGATTATCAACCATTCAAGACTGTTGCTTTTCTCAATTGACAAGCAATTTCGGTGAGCAGTTTCACCAGTTTGAAGATCCAAAAAGTTGACAAGATCAGAAACTTTCTTTTTCCTGAAAAATTTCAGAAATTTATAAATAAAAAAGATTATTAGGCAAAGTAATTTAACTCACGTAAATACAACCGCCAAAGCGTCTTCCGCTAAAACTCGGAATTTTAACAATTCGTCGTCATTTGAATCAAATTTAAGAGCTTTTGCAAATTCAGCGTAATTGTCGTTGTATGAAGCAATCCAGTTAGGGAGGAGAATGTTGTGAACAGTTTTCTTTACCATTTCAGAACGATCATTAAGACCTGCTGTTAAAATTTTGATTCGATCAGCAATCTTATAAGATTTAACAGGAAAACTGGACATTTGCAAATATGTGTGACGCCGAACTTTCTCGTCAATATCTTGGAATCGTTCAAAGATGTGAGGAAAAACTGGAAGCTTTTTTGCAATCATAGTTATTGCTGTTTGTCTCACTTTCGATGCTTGATCTGACTCCATGTGATAGATATAAGCTTTTGTCACTTGATCATCGGGGTTTTCTGGGTCCTGTAAACGTTGTAACGCCATAAGAGCATTTTGACGAACAATTGGAGCAACGTCTCTTATAAAAGTTGTTAACATTCGATCAACTATTGCTTCCATGATGCCATCATCAAGCTCAGCAGTTTGAGAAAATGAATTCATAATGCTTGCCACTAATAAACAAATTCGAGCTCGAATTTGACTATCTTTTGATGTAATCTAAAATGAAGTTTAATTTCAAGTCTTTTAATTTCAAATTGCGTGAGAATTGACTCACCGACAAGATGTGTTTGAAAGTATTTGCAATAAGTATGTGAGTTCCTCCATGTTCATCGTATTTCTCGTCGAATCTTGCAATGAACATTCCAAAAAATTTAAACATTCGTGGTACATTTTCGTTTATTCCTTCACGTATAAGAAACAAAGACAAACATCGGCTAAATGCATCCATAAAGTCACTGTGATTCATCTAAAAATGGTGTTTAAGAATAAATATGAGAAAACATCCAGAAAATATTTTGCTTCTTAACAAGGAATAATATTTCAAAGAGTTCAAGACGTTATTGAAACCTCGAGTTGCAATCTGACTTTTGAACTGAGATTATCAAATTTAAGACGGTTCTTCCATCGTTATTGAGTTTGGAGAACCAGTCAGCTTCATTTTTACATTTCTTGGCCGCCGGCTTCCCTTTAGTTTTTTCTTTTACTTTCTCACTTTCATCGTGCTTTTCATTTTCCTTATCTGTAACAGGAAGTTTGCGACGTCTTGGCATTATAATAACTCACTTGTTTTTTTTTTTGTCGTTAATAATAAAAATTTAGAAACAAAAAATTTGATATTCTCGACTTTGATTGTAAACAAGTAAATTAACCGTTTTCGACTGATCGACATAATCGAATACCATTTCAAAATTTCAAAGTGCGTTAAATTCTTTCTCGAACTCAATCATTAATATTTCGTAGTACTAGATTAAAATATTTTGAGAAACGTGAAATTGAATAAAAATTCAAATTTTTATCTTGTTTGAATTGTCATGTAGATAGCTTTAAATAGGTTTGTTTAGTTATATCTACAAGTTTCAATGACTACTATTTTAAAAGTGTAGTTTGAAAAAAACGATTTTTATTCTAATATTTCCTTTTTTAGAAGAAATTCATGAAAAAATGGGTAAAAAGCAGACATCAAAGTCCTCACAGAGCCAAATAAAGCTTAAAGATACGCTATCAAGCAAAGAAAGAAACGAACTCAAGGTTCTATCAGATGCAATCTTAGTGAAAACTCTTGAGCAGCCTTCTGATGAGTTCCAACATTTCATTGAGCTCGATGGTTTAATCCAGCGAATTCGAAAGATTGAAAGTGGAATTAAATCGCCAATAAAATCGAATCGTGACAATGAAACTATTGATGACTTTGTCAGCTGGTGTCAAAAGCAAGGAGCAAAATTTTCAAAGATTCAACTTAAGAAAATCGGCACTGGTTCGGATTTGGGCCTCGTAGCTAAAGTTACTTTAAAGAAAGATGAAAATTTTATTGAAATTCCTGACTCAATGATTTTTTCATTCTCAAAAATTCAAGAAGATCTTCCAACTCCACTTAAACAATGTCCTTTGTTTGATGGAATGAGTAATGTTCGTTTAGCATTTGCTTTGATGATTGAGAAGTTGAAGCCAAACAGTAATTGGAAACCCTATCTTGATGTTCTGCCAGACAAGTTCCGCACAGTTCTTTATTTTACGCCAACTGACATGAGAGAATTGCAAGGAACAGTCGCCTTATCATCAGCCCTAAAACAAGTGAAATTCATCGCTAGTCAATATGCATTTCTCTATAAATTTTTGCTCACGACACAATCATCAGCAGATTGCCCGATGGTTGATGAACTTTTAATAAGCTTCACGTATGATTTTTACTGCTGGGCAGTGAGTTGTGTAATGACGAGGCAAAATTTAGTTCCACAAGGAGAAAGTAAAGAACTTGAAGCAGTTCTTATTGGATTGTGGGACATGGCAAATCATAGCAACGGAACAATCAACACTTGTTACAATGAAGTGACGAACAATATTGAAAGTTTCTGTCTTAAAAATTTTGAAAGCGGTGACCAAGTGACAATGGCTTACGGTGACCGATCCAATGAAGACTTTTTCATTCACAATGGGTTTGTTTTTCCTGAAAATACAAATAAAAGTTACAACATCAAATTGAGTTTAAGTAAATCTGATCAACTCTTAGATGAGCGCACAAAATTGTTCACAAAGATTGAAGTGAAAACATCAGGAAACTTTCAAGTCTCTCCTGAGTTCTCAAATGATTTAATTGCTTTTGTGAGGATTTTCAACATGACTAAAGATCAATTGATATACTGGAACATTGCTGACAACGCCAAAGATTTGCTTAATTCTGACATCAAGTTGGATGAAGAGTTAGAAGGAAAAGTTCGCATGTTTTTATTGATGCGTGCAAAGATTCTTTTAAGAGCTTTTCCAACTACTCTCGACGATGATGAATCGTTACTAGCTACACAACTCCAAAGAACTAAAACAATGCTCGTTCAATATAGAGTTCTTGAGAAGAAATCGCTACTCGAAATCATTGCAAGAATCGAAAATATCATAAAAAGCGACAACACACAAAATTAAAAAATCAATTGTAATTTATTGTAATTTTATTTTTTTCCAAGTTCTTTTTTATAAACTAAACATGAGTAGAAAGAAATAAAATTTAAAAAGCACGTTTTCATTGATTCGTTATTAGCAACACTGGAATTAAATCCAATTTCTAGTTATTGCATGTAATTTGTTAAATTAACTTTATTCTATGAATTAAATTGAAGTCAACATAAAAACTTAATAGAAAATTTCTTGAAAATGAAAACTTTCTAGCTTTGAGCTTTTCTCGAAGCTTTCACTCTAAACATTTACGCAAGCAAAACACTTTGTGTTAGATAAATTGTCAATCATCATCACGTGTTGTTGAAATCAATTTGCATCATTCAACAATTCAAAAGAAGACACTTCTAGGCAAACTTTTAATTAACTTTCCGCTTAAAACTTTTCATGAGTTAGATACTTGTTAGAAATTTGAGTTAGAAAGATACCATAATGCATCAGTTATTCAACATATTTATATCAAAATCGTGTTAAATGTTGGCAAGCGTTACAACTTCCATTTATCACTTACTTAGAATAAAAACGATGAAATCAAAATGTCGTTGTATCAAATGAATTTTTTTTTTAAATTATTAAGCAGTCAAAATCACCAAGAAAAAAACCAAACGATTTTCACTGAAGTTAGAAAAGTTTTCATGTTGCTTTTAAATAGATTCTGCCAACTCGTCAATTCTACATCTGACAGCATGTTCCACAACTTCCAAAGAAGCATAGTCGAGTTCTTTCACCAAGCATAATGTTGCAGATAATAAATTCGAACTCTAAAATAAGAAAAAATATAAAAATGAAAGTTTAAAAAAATTTTAATTTGATAACTCACTCGGTTGACAGGTCGTCGATGAAGCCCAGCAAGATGACTTAAAACAGCATTTGAAATAACATTATCATTTCGTCTTCCATCTCGTCTGCGATCTGACATTTCTTCACCGAAGTCTTCTCGTGAAACATTTCCATTTCGATACTGATAAATATCTCGACGTTCATCAACATAGCTTCGATCTTGACTCCCACCATTTCCAATCATACTACGACGCATTGCTTGTTGTTGATGCCCATTTTGCTGGTTATTGCCATTGTGTTGTGAATTCTCATCCCATTCAGTGAGGTCTGTTTGACTATGTCTGTAATGTGTTGATGGTGGAGGTGCGCCACGTTGATATCCATCGCCTTGATAATAATCCTGAAAATGTCAGAATTTCATTATATTAACTTCAATTCTATTTGTAACAACATCAAATGAAACTTTCAAAGTAAAAAAAAATCATAAAAATTAGTTGGTGAGAGTAAAGTAAGCAAACCTTCATTGATTGTGTCGACATACTCGATGGCAGATTAGATCGTTGATCACGATAATTTCCGCTGATTTGTGGACTATCTTCAGGTGATCTCTAATACATTTCATGAATTGTATTGATTATGTTGTTGTTAATTATGAATGTGTGCATATAAGTAAATTAAAATGTGCACTTTGCGAATGAAATGTGAAGAAGTTATCAACTTACCTCATAAGATTGCTGAATACTTCGTTGATTTTGATATCTTGACGATTGTGAGTCTGATGGTGAGAAATTGTCAGTGTGTTGTTGATTTGCTTGTGCCGGTGAGCGCTATGAAGCAAAATAAATCATAAAATGTTATGAGTGCAGAATGAAATGTTTGCCTTGACTAATTGAAATTTTAATCGAACATATCGAATAAGCATGCAACAATTTATATTTTTTAAAAGAGATGTGACATTTTTTTGAAAAGAAAGATGATTGTGCATGTTAAATACCTGTAATGGCGATGATGGAACACTTGATGGTCGTTCAATTGGATCACTTACACATTCAGGATCAGTCCCTTCCGGACTTTGTTGCATTGGTTGCTGATGAGATGTAATGATGACAAACACGGACATAGACATGAACAAGAATGTTATGAAGTAGGAGAATAAAGTTAGTTCGTTAAATTCATGAGAAATGATTTTGCATGTTTTAGTTTTTGATCGCCAATCAAATAAATTTTCATGAAAAATTCAACATTACCTCTCGTATTGGACTGTGGCCACGGAAGTTTGATGTAGCTGCTTGTTGTCGATATGCTGTCTCATAATCTTCTTCTTCATGCTGCTGTTGTTGTTGGTGCTGCTGTTGTTGTTGATGATGGTTTTCAGATAGATTTGGAGCACGAAGTGCTTCATTAACTTCTTCCGGAGTTACTTCAACATTATCCAATTTCAAAAGCTTTGGTAAAGCTCGAAGAACAACTTTTCGATAACTTTGAGAATAAATTACCATGTTAATTAATAAACTTATATGTTAATAATAGTATTTAATTAAATCGAAACTTGAACTCACTTTGGACCGGCTGAATCCACACAAGGATTTTCTTCCAACCAAAGGTATTTGAGTTTTGGCAAATTCTGAAAATATCAAATAAATCTTACTTAAATCAAAATTTGGTTCAAGATCCCTCGCATTAATATTCTTCGGCCTTGGCGACGCGACCTGATGAAAAATTCATTCATTTGACCCAAAAACAGAGTAATAAGAAGAGAAATGAAGTCATGCGACAACTTTGAGGCTGAATTCGTTACACAAAATACTTCCATTGTCGGAAAACTTAATGACGTCAGATTGAAATGCTTTGATTGTGAAAGTGCGTGCAATGAAAACATTAGAAATTTGTAATTATTAACATCTTAAGGACATTCACATTTCCTTTGATTTTTTGTCGAGGTCGGGAACGGAAATCTCTTGCAATCGAAAGTGATTACATAAATATTCAAATGATTTACGTTAATTGAGGAAATGAGAGTTAAAGGTTTACCTGTAAGTACACCAAATCATTGATATCCTGAATATTGTTTTTCCTGAGGTAAAGTTCTTGCAAGTTTGGACAATCTTCAAAGTCTGATAAGCTTCTGATTTTGTTGACACTGAAAAGATGAAAAGAATTTTCAATATAATATTTCTCAGAATTATTTCAGTTTATCTTTTATTATCACCTCGTGATCTATTCAAATATATCAAAAGAAATTTTTTAGAAGAATTCGCCAGTTAACTGTTGGATGTTGAGTGAAAAAGTCGCGATAAGAAATATCGTATATTAATGATGACAGATAAACAACTTTATCTCAAATCAATTCCTTTTGACTCAAAAAGTGTTAGATCAGAGTCAGAAGATGTTAAAGATTTGATCGTGCAGACTTTTAGACGCGCATCGGAAGATCTGGCGACAATTCATCGACCTTCATCGGCGTTTATTGCACAAAAGAATTTTATCATGGAATTATTTACAAGTCACAATGGAAGCAGTCGATCACTTGACTCACCTTCTTCCATTTTAAAAGACAAACATTTGGAAAATATATTTAAAGAAAAAAGCAGGAAAGTTGGAAAGTAAGCTTCTTTCTTCAATGTAAATTTTTAATTTATTTATAATCGTTTTCCAAATCCTATTAGAGATTCACTCTTCTTAATGCTATCGGTGTTATACGCTAAACTTATCTTCGTCTTAGGAATTGCTTTTCCTGTTACTGACATTTTATCAACCCGTGCCGACGTTTCAAAGAGTTTTTATCAAGGATTTTATCTTTATCTTTATGTTGGCAGTCTAACATTTCTGATTTTTGTTTTTGCTACTCATCTAAAAAATCGTAATTTATTTTCAATCATCGACACATACGAAGAAAAATCAAACAATTTCGGTACAACAAACGAAAAAAAGCGTGTGATCAGATATGGAAGTTTCTATCTTCGTGTGGGCGCAATCGCTTTTGGAATTGGTTCGATGGTTTATTTAGGACTGGAATTTGGACAATACTTTGAAATGAAAGCAGAAGACCATTGTCAAAATGCTTTGTTGGCACTCAATCCTGCAGTACAAATGATTCTCACAATTTTTCAAATGCAATTCATTTTTCTTAATACAAAAGAACTTCACATGACACGATACAAAAATCTATCAAGATTTGGATTGATGCACATGATAGCAACGAATCTATGTGAATGGATTTATGTACTTGTTGAAGAAACGAAACATGAGATTGATCATCTTAATTTCGTTCATAATATTCATAAGCGAGCGACATCACTTACGGTTGTCATTGAATGTCGAAGAGAGAGTATTATGGGACGTTTAGTGCAAAATGTTTCTCCATTTCTTTTTCCTTGCACCATCGAATATTCACTCATTTGCGCCGTGATTCTTTATGAGATGTGGAAGAAAATTCAAATAAATCATAACCACTTCTTGAAACGTCAAGATTCATTGATGGGTCATCACACTCACAGAAATGTCCATTACTTGTCGGTTGATTGCTCGCGAGCTCATCGTGGATTATTTGCCGGCATAGTCTGCATTGTCATGATAATAATTTCACTTATCATGTTCTTTGTGTTGGATAATGAGAATAAACTTAAATCAACTGCTATCATTGAAATAACATACAGTGAGATAGCTTTGTATGTTATCACAGCCATTGCTGTTATAATTGCGATGATGAAGATGCAGAATTTGCAGTTTCTAAAACCATCACGTAAATATGTAAAATATTTTTTAAATCTTTTCTCTAAATCACTTCCGTGCTTTTAAAGAATCTGGCATTGGACTTGATTGCACACTTCTTCTTTTGGCTCAAAGTGGAGTTTACATTTATTCCATGTTTAGTATTCTCGGATGTTTTCTTACAAGACATCAATACAACTATAGTTTTCTTGGGCTGATTTCGGAAGTTTTTTCTATCATTCAAACATCACTTCAAACAATTTTTATTTTGGATGCATGGTGGCGTCGTATAAAAGGACAAGAGCAGAATAGAAAGAAACCAGGCCGTGAAATTATAACTTTCCTTCTCATTGCAAACATGGCAATTTGGTTTATTAACTGTTTGATTAAGAATCGAGCAAGTTTTCGTGTTTCTCATTTGGAGTTCTTTGGCGTTGGGGCCTGGACGATTATCACCCACACCTCAATGCCTTTGGCAATTTTCTACAGGTAAAAATTTATTGAGGTCAATTCGGGACATTCTACGTTAACATTCTCCTTTCTTGTTCAATATTTTAAGATTCCACTCGACAATTTGTCTCTTTGAAATATGGAAAATGTCTTACAAGCTAAAGAATGAGGAAGACGAGCATTAATTTTCTAAAAAGCTTCAATTAATCATTTTGTTTTTCTCACCAATAACAACAAGAAATCGAGTTCAAGAGCTTTGGAAACATGGCAACAACGCTTGATTTTGATACAAAACAATAAACACTTACCACGCTTCAGACGTTGTGTATTTCATAAACCATAATAAAATGTACGACTGCTGCCAAGAAGAATCAATTCCTATTTAAAGAAACACCATAAATGGCCACGGCTTTTGCAAAAAGAAATCTTTTAAGGAGTCGACTTTACGTGTTGCACTTGAATTCAAATTGAGCGTGAACAAACTTTTCCTTTTTTAATTTTATGAATCATAAAGAAATTTATAAAACTGTAGAATTCTGTAAATATCTGGACGAGTATTTCAAACATTTCAATAAAATAATCTCGCGAAGTTTTTCAATTTAAGTCAATTGCTGAAGTATGAAAGGGAAAAGTTGTAGGAAATAAAAGTTCTTTGACTCAACAGTGAAAAAAATTTCCTTAAGTCATCCAGAACACTGAATTATGAAATCAATTTATCATTTTCAAACTTTTGTGAGCTAAAATTCGTTCTTAGTGAATTTTATTGACAAGCAAGAAATCAAAATCGATTTTAATGAATGGAAGATAATAAACAAGAAAATATTTTTTTAAGAATAACTTGCGTGGGCGATGTTAATATTTTTATCCAACAATACATAAATAAAATAACAGGACACAAATGGAAGTTTCAAATAGTCATCTCTTTTGGATTTTGAATTAGTTCGGTACCGGTAATTTGATTTGTTTCAAGCGTTCTTTACCAAGGTCGAAAGTAATTAAATTCTCAGCCGTACATTGTCAAACATGTTATCCGCCTACACACATTAAGTATAAACCACAACACAACGCAGTTTACACCATTACGAATTGAATCAATAAAAAAATATATTTATTTGATATCGCATGACGCTGTGGAATTATCAGAAAATATTATAGTGAATGTTATATGACACAAATAAAAGTGTAATCGTTTTCATTTGAAAAATCAGGTAGGAAAGAATAAACGACAATAATAAATTTACATTTGAGCGAATATAAAGTAAAAAAGAATTTTCGACATGGAACATCATTTCCAATTCTAATTTTATCAATAAGAAAAATTCGATGTTACGTGAAAAGCAATGAAAATGAAAAGAAATAAATTTTCCAAAAAATGAAAATCAATTCCTTTCACTTTTGTTTTGTTTACACTAATATTCTATGCTTTTAGTAGCATATCATGATCAGCAGACGAAAGATAATATCTTCAAGGTGATTTCAATATTTGTTACTTCTTTTTTTTCAATGTAAATGAGGTCGACTCACCTCTAACTTTTCCTCATGACTTATTAATCAAACCACCTAATCAGATTGATGGACATAATATCGATCGAAAGGATTTTCCCAAGGGGCAGATCATGGTAGTGCTTCTGCCCCCTGACCTAAATGGTGCTTCAAAAAGCACTAGTGCTTCGTGCTTCTTGTTTCCTTCAAAACTGATTTTTTCCACATTTTTCGCTTTCATTTGGTAGCCCAAACATAAATTTATAGAAAACACTTAGAAGCCGCAACATAAAGAAACGTATTCATTTTGTTGGATTCTGTTCTGTTTATAACATTCTTGTAGGAAACGGCTTTCTTTGCATCGCTTACTATTCACATTCACATTTGGAATTTTTCCCAAAAAACATCTTCTAAAATTGATTTTTATTCAAGCATTTAAATTGAAACTTTTTTGATCTTTTAAAACTTTTGGGATGTTCATAAGTGATGTTCTCGGAATTTATACATTTTAATTACTATGAATTTATTTTGATAGTATTGAACATGATTTATGATCATCTCAAAGCTTAAACCTCAAACTTAACTCATACACACTATCATACATTACAATCAAAAATTAAAAGAAACCTGTTGGGGGAAACCTGTTAGTGCTTTTAGTGCTTCATAGTGCTTTTAGTGCTTCATAGTGCTTCATAGTGCTTCGTAGTGCTTCTAGTGCTTCTTGTTAAAATAGTGCTTTTGCCCCCCAATTTTTTTCGATGATCTGCCCCTTGGATTTTCCGAATAAAGCATTAACAAATTTTCGTGAGAGAAAATTGAGAGAAGAGCATAAAATTTTCTCTGTTTTGATTCTCTTGCNAAAAAATATATTTATTTGATATCGCATGACGCTGTGGAATTATCAGAAAATATTATAGTGAATGTTATATGACACAAATAAAAGTGTAATCGTTTTCATTTGAAAAATCAGGTAGGAAAGAATAAACGACAATAATAAATTTACATTTGAGCGAATATAAAGTAAAAAAGAATTTTCGACATGGAACATCATTTCCAATTCTAATTTTATCAATAAGAAAAATTCGATGTTACGTGAAAAGCAATGAAAATGAAAAGAAATAAATTTTCCAAAAAATGAAAATCAATTCCTTTCACTTTTGTTTTGTTTACACTAATATTCTATGCTTTTAGTAGCATATCATGATCAGCAGACGAAAGATAATATCTTCAAGGTGATTTCAATATTTGTTACTTCTTTTTTTTCAATGTAAATGAGGTCGACTCACCTCTAACTTTTCCTCATGACTTATTAATCAAACCACCTAATCAGATTGATGGACATAATATCGATCGAAAGGATTTTCCGAATAAAGCATTAACAAATTTTCGTGAGAGAAAATTGAGAGAAGAGCATAAAATTTTCTCTGTTTTGATTCTCTTGCGTAATGAGAATGAAAAATTATGTTTAACAATTTCACTTTTTTTCATAATTTATTCACTTGCCAATACAATAACTTTTATCTATAGACAACTTCCGTCATTTCTTTCACATTTATTTGAGTTCAAAAGTGTAATGAACTTTTCCATCACCTGGATATTGTTTGGGAAGGACTGGTCTGAACGCTTTCTTGTCATTAAGCCACCAGTAAGCTAAAGCAATTGCCCCAACGACAGACAGTGTTGTAAGCATCATAGTGGTTGGTGTGAAACGGGTTCTTGCTAAAAGATGACGTGTTCAAGAAAGAATCTTTGAAATCAGAAACATAAATTCCTCATCGAATATTTTATTTACCAGTGCTATAGCGATCTTCTGAATATAAATCATGATCTACATGGAGTGGCTCGCCGAAATTACGTTTAAACTCAGGGAAATCGTATGGATAATGAGCACTTCTCGTATCTACTGATTCATTAGGCAATTTTGGGTAATCACCAAATCCCATTCCATCGTCTGGATATGGTTCGTATTCTTCAACAGGAATTCCATATTTTTTAGCCGCTGCTTCTCGTTCCTTTTGTGTTTGTGGATACGGTCCAGGCTTGTTGTCTTTATTCCAGTGACTACCGTAACTGACAGCAGGCACTAAACAACTTTTATTAGTTAATTTTGAAGCTACACGACTAAACTTCACGAGCGCAGCCATTTTTCGAGTCGATTCTTTTTCTATCTTTAACTCTTTTTTCTAACGATAGACTGCGCTGTTGACACTCAATTTCAAAGAAATTTTCAAATTATTAGCGGGAAAATCGGAAAGTAGTCATGCGTGTTAAAGGAATTTATTTAAATTTCTTCAAATCACCCATTTGTAGATATTTAATCGATTCGAGCAATAAAATTTTCAAATTTCAAACTCTTTTGAATATTTTTTTCAGATTTTTTCCTAAAATGTATTGCTAAACATAACAAGCATGCATATTTTCTTTCTTTATTTTTAAAATCTTATTTTAAAACTCTAATTCAAATTCTCATTCTAATTTTGGATAGATATGTTGCATGCAAATAGTTTATTTATTCGGTAAACAAGAGAGTTATGAAACGATGCACATCACCTCAATGATATTGTGCATGAAAACAAAGTTTTCCACTTCTATTGTTATGCGAAGATAAGCCATAAAAAACGCGATTAACCAAGCTTGCACGAAAATAAAATGAATTTAAATTTAATTAGAAAATAGTAGTAGATATGTATATAGCATATGATTATTACACAATATATAAGAGAAAGAAAAAAAAACAATTAAACCTATTTATAAGCAAATTTCTGTTTTTATTGACGAATTTAACGGTCTCGTTAAGCTACAAAAATAACTTAAAATCAGTTTTATTTTTCGAAGATGACGCAATCTAAATTTCATGTGAAGTCAGTGAACGTTGTTATCAAGTGTAGCTCAGTTTCTTATCATAAGTCTTTAAAATTGGAGTGAATTGAGAATCGTAAAAAGAAATGAAGTTATTGAAGAATAATTTGGAAGCTAATGAGCTCCGATTAGCTGGTAATCAGCATTACAAATCATATCGATTTTATGAAGCTTTGATTTGTTATAATAAAAGTATTTGCAAAGCAATTCCCGGATCAGAAGATTTCTCGCTAGCCTTTGCAAATCGATCAGCCGTGTATAAGGAAATGAAGGAGTTTGAGTTGTGTCTGGAGAATGTGAAGCTAGCAATTGATTGTGGCTATCCACAAAATAAGCTTAACGTGCTACTAGAAAGGCAAGAGAAATGTTTAGATATGGTTGACGAAGTTTTTTGTCGAACAAACCCTTGGGATTTTTTCAAACTTTCATATCAAAATAATGAAGAAATTCCTTTTATTGTTGACTGTATTGAATTACATGAATCAAAGGAATTTGGTCGTCATTTAAGAACAAATCGAACTTTGAAAGCAGGCGACATTATTTGTATCGAGGAACCTTTTCATAAATTCATTGTCAACAGTGCAAGATTCACTCATTGTCTCAATTGTTTAAAAAGTCAACAGTTGAATCTTTTCCCGTGTCTAAAATGTGATATTGGTGAGTGAAAGTTTCAATAAAATCAACACTGATTGATATTCACACTTCTAGCAATGTTCTGTTCAAAAAAATGTATGAAAATCTCACAACGATTTCATCAGTTCGAGTGTCAAGTTATTGAAATCAATGAGCATGACGACAACAGCATCTTTGAAATGACGCATCGAGTGGTACAAGAAGCTTTGGGAATATTTAGCAATATCGAAAAATTTCAAAAGTTTATCGAACAAAATTCACAATTGAAGACAATTTTTGAAATGAGTTTGACGAATATTGATGATAAGAAGAAAGAAAAAAATCTTTTGATTGCAACTAACGCTCTTCAAAGAAATAAAATTCCCGCAGAAATGAAATCGTTAATGGATCAACATGTTGAACTTATGAGATCCATAACAAAGAATGTTAAACATCGAGAATTTTTAGATGAGTTCATGCGAAAAGAAATGGAAATTGTCATCACAAACACTTTCGGTCTTACAAGTCCGAATGGAAATGAATTTGGTGCGGGAATTTTTCCATTGTCATCGTTTTTCAATCATTCGTGTTCACCTAATGTAATGAGAATTACGGTAGAAAATAAACTTGTCTTTATAGTTTCACGACCAATTGAAGAGAACGAGCAACTCTTTGTATGTTATCGTAATGACTTCATGGAAACCTCCACAGAAAGTCGAAAAGCTGAACTGAGAACTAAATACAATTTCGATTGTGTTTGCGAAGCTTGCATCGAAAACTTTCCTTTACTCATCGACATTAAATCGACTTCTTTAAATAAAATTTCTCCCGAAAAAACATCAACACAACAGTTCACCGAACAGATTGCAAAAGCAGAATTTAAAACAAACTGCGAGTTCATCAACAAAAACTCGAAAAATTTTCCGAATTATGAAGTTTGCAACTTAATAAAGCGAAATCAAAGTCTTCTTGAGTATCTGGCAAACATTTCTTCATCATTTTCATGGTGAAGTTGCTTCTTTCAACATCACCGAATGGGAAATTGCGCAAAACTTAATTTTCGCACCAATTCTTCTTTTTCTTTGTTATTATTGTAACGCTTTAAACAATTTAATGAACTCTTTGCATATGATGAGCTTCAACCAAAAAAAGAAGAAAGAAACAAATGAAACTACTCAAATTATGTTGGATAAATTAATATTTATGAATTAAAGTTTTTAAAAAGCCAATAAAAGCTCGTAGATATTTATTAAATAATTTCTATTGTTGCACTCATTGTAACGATTTCAATAAAAATGTTCATCCAATCAATTAAATTGCATTTATAATTATGGCCAAGCACTTCGATTGTTATGAACAAATAAAGATTTATGAATAAAATTTGGGTGGCACCTTCAAATGTGCTTTTTTGTTCACAACTGCAAACAAGCAAATCGATTGATGATTTAATTGAGAAGTTTGAGAAGAGATTGATTTATGACTATCAAGTAAATTAAATGATGAGAAAAAGTCTCTCGCATTACTTTTCCTTTTAAGTTAATATCAGGGAAGTTTTAATCAAACTCAATATCAATGAACTTCACTCAGACATTGAGAATTAAGATTACAACAACAAATCTTAAATAGTGTTGTGCTTCATTTCAGTTTTTATTTATTTTAAAGTTTAAACCATTCGATGATGATATCATCGCGACAACAATTCCCACACAATATTTTTAGCTTGAAGTAATGGAAGTGAGTCACAAGAAGTCATCGAGTTTAAGAGTAAATACGGGCAGTCTCATATGGATAGAAAGGAAGTAAAGAAATAAAATCACGAAAGAAAGGTCGAAATTGAAGAATGAAGGCTTTTAGGCACGTCATTTAAAAGCACTTTGAGCTTATTGACAAAATCAAACGTTCGTTGTGACGGCTGCTCTTTAAACAGCTTTTGATCAAGTTGCATTGTTGTCACTTCGCTTTACATTTAAAAACTCAAAAACATCAATATAGAGTCGTTTTAAGCGCAGTAACTTTTAATCGCTATTACAAATCTACACTCACACACACTCGATTAAAAATATTGAACTACTCCACGTATTATTTTGTTGATGTTCAATCTCTCGCCGATTTTATTTAAATGGAAGTGTTGATCCAAAATTCGCAACCAAAAAAAATTAAAATGAAGCAAGATAAAAAGAAGAAAACAACTGTTTTCCGCATTTTGCGCCTTTAATGTGTAATTGGAATTTCAACTTGCTTGCTGAGTTTGATACTTCCAAAATAGATAATTAATTTATTGTTCACAACACATGAAGAATTTTTTGTGTGATTTTTGAATGACGTTGAAAATATGTAATTTACTACTTTTTTGCGTTTGAACTTCAGAGTCAACAGCTACCTAATTGAAATAATTTTTTCTGTTCTGTTAACATGACATTGTCTAAAGATTTGTTCAAACAGCTAATGAATTGCCCATTTCAACAACAAAGTCACAGCTAACATTTATAAGTCTCCGTTGTAGCGGAAAATGAACGGTTCTTTAGGTCTGTCGTTATCTTTCTCTATTTCTTTCTACTTTTCTTCTCTTCCAACAAACAACAACTTACTTCTATGTTGAACGATCATTTACTTCTTGGATCGCAGATGAAATATCGAAGTGTATTGTGAAGAGGGAAAAGTGGGTCGTTATTGGAATTTTTATTCATAACAATTCTCAGCTCGTTTGCTTAGTGCACATCGGTAAACAATTGAAAGAAAAAGTTTTCAGGAAAAGTTAAAAGCAATGAAAAACGTGAAATGAAGTAAAGAAAAGTTTTGGATTGTTTGGAAAATTGGCGTTCATTTCTAATGAATCGCGAAGAATATTATTAAAGGCCTTGCACTGGGCCCTTAAAGGCCTTGCACTGGGTTCACCATTTATTATTTTCTTCCTTAAATTTTAATGTGTTATCTTTTAATTGATGTTGTAATTTTATGTATTTAAAGAAAAGATTGGGTTTTTTACGCCAGTTGCATTACACCATATAGGTACATGTCTTGCAATTGGCTTTTTATCCCAGCACACAGAAAATGAAACAAATAAAATAATAATAATAATAATAATAATAATACTATAAAAGGTGTGGAGTGGAAGGATACGTCAAGCTTTTAATCAGAGGAATTGAAAATGTTTTTGTGTGCGTTACAGATGAGAAAATCGATACAAGCATGGGACATTTGTTTTAAAAATTCATAGAACATAAAATGTCAAGGTCAGAACATCCTGAGATATGAAGGTCAATGGCATCTTTAACAATTTATAATTAAATTATAGATTTTACTCACCTTAGAGCAAGGACTTCCACTCCTTTTAATCGTCGGATAATTGAGACGTCGGACAATTCCGAACCCCTAGAAAGAAGTAAAGTTCCATTAGTGTCCATAACATAAAATAATGAACCATGAGACATCAAGGCGATTTACAGTATTGGACAATGGATACATGATATATCTGTGCATGTAGGCGTCTCCGCGAAACTTGTTTTTAAAGAAAAAAATACAAAAAAAAATTGGCTCGAAATCTTACAGACTTCGGAAATGGAAACTTTTAAACGAATGCTTAGCAATTCTTATTGACACAAACTTTCTATGTAACATGCACTTTTTAATTGCTATTTATCTTCTGGAATCATTACAGCACTTCAGATTAAAATTGGGCCAAACATGACAAAGGAATTTCCTCGTTTCTATTGAGATATTCAGAATTTTTACTTTTGATGATGATGAATCATTGGAAAGTGTTAACAAAATAAAACGCACCAGCAATTGAGCTTTTTAATTGCAGATAAATCCGATTGCTTGCTTCGAGCTATTATCATTTCCTCCGTCAAACGAGCCATTTCACTGATGTTCTTTTTTCGTATTTAACTCTTTCAAAAAGCGTAGTAAAAAAATTATAAAATAAACAAAAACTTTTTTTCTTTTAATTCTTCCAGTTGATCATAAATAAAATTCGGTTCAGTTTAATATTCAGATAGTTAGTTATCTTTGAGTTACACTTGTATTCACTAATTTCCACATTTCGCGAACACGATCAAGAAAATTAAAAAATTGACTGACGTCTCCAAGGAATGATTCAAAAATGTTGGAATATTTTTTTATGTTATTTTGTGAACAAAATTGTCTTCATGCCGATTTTAGCGCTATTGAGTAAAGTGTATTAAAAGTGAACTCTGTAAGCCATCTGGTGTATTTGAAATAAGTTAAAAATTTAAAATATTTGCAACGGTCAAAAAGGATTCAGCTGGGATATTAAGGAATTGAAAACTTCTCTCATTTAAGGCAGCGACACCTTGTGACAAGAATTTATGTTGGAAATTAATGGAAATGAATTTTCCTTGCATTCCATTTTATATTCTATTTCATTTTATCGAAGAAAGACAAATACAATTTCAAGCATTATTACATTTGCACTCACGTGGACTCATTTTCAGCTGTCGTGCATATTTCTACATCCTATGTAGGTATATTTATTCGCGTTTCATCCTTATTTAAAGTTTTACTCATAGTGCTCTTCACAAGTACCAACAATTCTACGAATGATGTTCAGATAACATCATGCTTTTATAAGATTGAAGTTTTGTTTACTTACACACGTTTTATGTAACTTGTTACGTACATTAAAAAACTATTGTTGTTGGTAAGAGGATCAATATTCCGTTGAATTTAATTAAACCTTGCTTGATCTCCTAGAATTGTACATAAAAGTTCTACAAAAGAGGCTTAAAATCAAGCTCTATTTTTATTGATTAAGTCATCATTTTATGTAGAACTGAACAAATGAAAGATTTCCAAAAACATTTTTTTAAATAAATATTTGATTTTTAGCATTAAAAACCTCAAATATTAACAATTAATAAATTGAAGGAAAAAAACATAAAAAATTCATTTCCTTCAATTAGTCCTGACTGTTTATGTATTTCCATTCACAATTAGCTATGAAAGAGAAAATAATAAATAAATTATGTAGAATTTCTAAGATACAAATGATAAGTGTTTTGCTATTGGCATCGATTATTGTAGAATGAAATTTTTGAAAGCTACACAAAAATTTGCAATGTTCCTAAACATCCAACAATTGTAAGTTTTTAAATAATTCAAAGAAAAGCGTATAATAAGAAACCAAATTTTTGAGTTTTCAAGATTGTTCAACATTAAAAAATTTACGTTCAACTTCAAAGCCGCAGGAGAATAAAACTTATAAAGATTCAAATTTAAACTTTCAATTCGGTGAGTAGTAGTGGGATTTGTTTTGCATATCTCTGAAAACATGAGTAAGCTTTTTATAATTTTTGTCCAACTGATGAACATCACAAAATGTGCCATCAGTTTTCCTTCTGTTGATTGAAATGAGTCATGGAAATTTAATAAATTTATGAAAATAAAAATTTTTGTAAAGACAATTAATTAAAGGAATGACACATAGAAAATTTATATGAAAGATTGTTGTAGTAAATCTCAACTAGGTCAATTTATTTGAGGATAATTTACTTAAATAAATACTTCTATGAAAATTCCTTAATTTCAAAGTTATTAGAGGGGTTTGTTAAAAGGGCCAGAAAAATGGATACATCCCAACATGTTATGAAATATGCGTTTGATGTTTAGGAGCATCGACCTTTCTTTGTAAGCGAGTATAGAGAAAAATTGTAATAATAAATTTTAATTCCATAGCAAGCACAACAGTTTCTTTCTAAATCTGTTTTTACTTAAATTCCACAACAAAACTTTTTTTCAGTCAAACACAAGCTTCATCCTGAAAAACGTTTTCACAAGGAAATTAGATTATCTCATCACAACTTTTGTCAGTTGAGTGAAACAAATTTTCTGCATTTTTTTTTATAATTTAGTGAAAAATTTGAAATCTCTGGGGATTGAAAATAATCAGAAGTGTGTAGACAGTTCTACTTATAAGAAGATTTAATTATCTCGATTATGTAAATTTAGTTCTAAGCTTAATGAAATCATTTGTTATCTTTCACATAATTATCGTTGCCAAGACTTTCATGCTCTTTATGAACTTGATAAATTGTAGGAGGAAAACTTACAAAAATGTAGTAGCAAAGTTTATTAAGAATCATTAATAATAAAAACATCAGTTATCAGCTAAAAGCTTTTCACAAAGTGTGTAAACTTTTGAAAAGATATTAAAATAATAAAAAGAAACATCCCAAAAAAAAACGAAAACAGAATCAATTAAAGAAAAATCTCATTTTCAGTTGTGGTCGTGGTTTTTTTTCAATAAGAAGTGCGGAAAAAATATTTTCTTTTCATTCTGATTCTCAAATCCGTAATTCAAAACGCTTGAAGAAAAATCACTAACCTACGTCAACAATGGAACAGCCTACAACATATTTTCTCCCTTTCTCCATCATCAGCATTCACTTAATCTCATTCATCGTTCACCACAATTGGGCATTAATTTGAAAAAAAGGACTCAGTTCCTTCCTTTAATTTATTGTGTCAATGATGAAAAAGCTTTTCCATTTTTCTCCCCATGAATGAACAGTCAAATGCTCACTCAATTCTCCTAAAGCAAACAAAAAAAAAGAAAGAAGTTAAAGGATGGAATATCTTGAGAAAACGGAAATTAGCACAAGACAAACTGACAATGATGCGAACATTATGAAGAAGAAGAAAAAAAACATTACAATGTGATGAAAAAGAAGAGTTTTAATGTGTGTTTCATTCGCTTTTCCCGTGTTCGGATATCACGTGATTTTATTAGTAGTGGTTTAGTCCATTAAATTGATTTGAAATTTCTTAAGGCATGTGCAACAAAAACTTGAAATATATTTAAGAATTCATTTTTTCATAACTTCATGAGTAAATTTATAGTGAATGATGAGTCAGAGAAATTAATGGCAAGTAAATCTTTTATGGTTTCCTTTATCTGACACCATGGAGAAGAAGCCTTTCGCACTCTTCATCTTCTTTTATTCATCATGAGTGGGAATGAAGGTTAAAAGTCTGAAATCTTTCAACACAATGTAACCTAAAGAGTTGTTAAATATCAAAGAGAATTTGAATTTATCATTATTAAATAACATGCTGAGCCTCCAGAGGAATGTTTGTGTAATCAAGACTTCAGCCGAGACTTTCATATTTTCTCATAAAATTTCAATCCTACAATTTATGTAATTTTATTCTTAACGCATACCAAACTCACATCAACATTAACAATAGAGGAATATCAAAAAAAAAATTGAAAGGATTTCAAAAGGTGGCGTATGAATTGGATTCTCAAATTATGATGAATTTTTATTTTTCTTTTTCATTGATACCATCCCATTCAATATTTATTTCTTCCTCTTGTTGTACAACTCGAACTCTTCTTTTCTTTCCTTTGCCATAACATGCCACAAGCAATCATAAGATATTCTCAAAGAAAATGAAAAATAATCAAAAGGAAAAGAAGTAAAATGAAGATGATTTTTATTGAGATGCTCAAAGATTCATTTTCTTTCATTTTTCACGTACATTACATTTATTTTGTATTTTGTATATGAAATGTAAAAGTTTATGTACAAAATGCTTAGAATTATGATTGTGTGGAAACTTTCTATTTGTTTCTATCAGTCGATTAAAAATATATAAATATGAAAATTCTTCCCTCTCCTTCCTAACAATTAACATGTTTGTCTATTCATCCGAAATGAATTGGGTGTAACAGGATATCAACATAATTACCCGACAGTTTTCTCTCAGTGAAAGGTAAATCAATGTTAAACTATTTGTTTTGGACTTGTGTCAAGAAAGGCTTCAAGCAAACATCAAAACGAAGCTTTAGGTAATCTAGTCACAAAGAAATTAATTTATTTACTACCTGAAGTGAATATCGGATCAAAACCGTTTCTCATCTTCTGGAGCATTGGATAGGATTTTTAATTTGATTGGTAATTTGTATCAAAAGTATTGCTATGATATGAAAAGGTTCAGGATATGTTTTTTATTCCTTTTGATCTTTCAATCAAGAATGATATGTACAAACTTTTATCACATCAAGATTATTTTCTTTTTACTTAATTAAACTTTTGTTAATTGACTGCTTTCAAATTTTATTTAAAGTTTGAATTGAAAACTTCATCAACTGGAAAAGCTGTGAAAGCATCATTTATGCTCTAATAGACCAATTGAATTTATCAACATTTCCTTCCTCTCTCTTTTTCAATTCAATTCATGGAAGGACATTCACCAACATTATTTTTATTGTCCTTTAATTTATCATGACAAAAATTCAGATAAGAAGTCTAGGAAGCTAAAATACTTTATAAGATTGAGAGAGCTGTTTTTTGGTTTATGTTTGTATGCTGTTGGAAAAGGCAAACATTTGAGAAGAAACATGCCTTAGGAATTCGAGGAAAATTGATAGAAATTCCATAAATATAAACGTATGTCTAATAATAAAAACAAACAATTCAATTTTATAATTCAGTCCAGTAGATGACATATTAGTAAGATGACAAAATATTCTAGTCACGTATTATAAGAAAACTAACATTTAAAGAAAAAAACGAATCAGAATAAACTTGATAAGGTTAGTCTCGATTCTGTCAAATGGACTTGACGTTCAAATAAAAATAAAATAAATTACCATTTATGTGACAAGCCCACTCGCAAGACAACAGCATAACCAACAATGTTATTGACAGTAATCGATGGAGGGAAATAACAAATTTCCTTCTGGTTCATTTAATGTGAAGAAAACATAAACTAATATTTCATTTCAACGACAGTTACCTAATCATTGATGCATCAGATAATTTCAAATGTCGCAAAATGCCATTGATTAGCGACACAACATTGACCATAAGCTTATTTAATCCTTTTCTCGTTGCAGCTGAAACATAATTCAACTGAAATTGGTATAAGCCTAGTTTATTAATATTAACATATATTTTAGTTGTTTAAGCAGGTAACATTCTTGTTTAATATTTAGCAACAGATGTAACATGAATGTTGCTTAATAAAATTTATATTTTTCTAATTCAGATTTTTCAAATAACTGTCAGAATGAAATCATTTAAATCATTCACGAATAACAAGAAAGAAAAATTTAATTTTCAACGTAAATAATAAACAAAATGATTAATATTCAGCATTTTAATAAAAGCAACATTAGCAAACACATATTTTTATGAAGCATTTAAGATCATGTTAGAAGATCTACTTAATTGAAACGGCGAGTAAGAATGTATGTAAGTAATGCAAAGAACATAACAACAAATAAAGACAAACTAACTAGCAACATAAATGTTCGCATAATGAAAGCTTTCAAAATAATTAAATTACATTTTCACTTCACCCCGTGAAAGAAAATTTATGTTGGGTTGCATAAGTTACTTAGGAAGAGAAATATTTTAAACTTTGATGGTCTTGTGGGTGTCTCAAGGAAAACTTGAAGTGTTGAATATTTCATTATAAGATTTCAGATTATTCATAATTTTATAAATAAGAATTTATTTGTGAGCATTTGAAAGCCGTAAGATGAAAACTTTTCAATTTTCCTTTCATGGTTTCATAAGAAAAAGTTTTCCTTTCTTCTTTCAAACATTCTAACAAGATCTGAACTTTCAGAAAGAAACGTGTAAATAAATATGAAAAGATTTTGAGACAAAAGACACCTACCTAAATTTTTCAAAATGTTTATGCTTTTTAAATTGCAATAATAATTTTATTTTCATGCCTTTCTTTTCTTTTTTTATCCTTTTATAAAAAAAAAAAGAGAATTGTGTCATTTACAATTTTCTTTTCACGTCATTTGCATAGAAATGTTCTATGCTAATAAGTTTACGACGAAAGCGGAAAGTGGAAAGGGATGAGTATGCTACAATATTGTTATTATATTAAATAAATAAAAGAAGAGAGTCTCATTTCCATTTCAACAATCACATCATATTAAATAAGTATAATTAATTATTTACAACAATATCATTATTTTTATGACATTAAAATTTCTACGACTGATTGTTACATTGTGGGACGTAATTAACAAACAACTTATTTCTCGCAAATTCACTTCTGCATTTCAAATATAAAAACTCCTAAACATTTCTGTGAATGTTTTTCAAGACTTCCTCAACAATTATTTGTATTTTAATTTCACATATTTGTGTGGGATTATGAAAGGTCCCACGTTATCTTTACGTAAATATTTTTTACATTATTTTAGAATAAACAAGGAGGAAGGATAAAGAAAAATGTTTGGAGTTCGGTTTGAGTTACGATAGATGAATGAGATGTCGCCCGTAACTGTCATTTCCACTTGCAATTGAAATATTTAATATTTCAGGCATTGAATGTAATGACACGTTGCTTTAGGGTGATGTGAAGCTAATGAAAAATAAAAAGCGTGGGTGGATCGGTTGACACGAGCTTTTATAATAATTTTTATGATGATGGACCATTATCATCATTACTGTTTGTTCAATTCAATTTACCTGAAATTGCTTTACGATATTCCCTCGTACTTGTGTCCCTTAAACTTATCTCTTCCCAAAGCTTTGCAATGGTAGAATATTTCATCATTTTAGTTATCTTTTCTTTCTTTTCTGAATACGCTTTCATAAAACGCTCTCAAAATTTGCCCGATATCAATGTATAACATTACATTCATCAGATGAATGTTTTTATTACATATTCTCGTCCTGCTTCAAGCGTAAGTAATTTTACTCCTCTGTTCGTCCAAGGATGTTTAAAAATATTTTTACGAATCAGACAAAAAAGACGAAATGAGAGAGAAGAACACTTTATCGATTTTTCTTCTATTTTCATCTCGATTGCTTCCTCATTTCGGACCGAATGAGACTTACTGACCCTTTTAATATTACATCCATCCTGGATGTGTAAGTACATCAAGATTATCAAGGAACGTGATAAAGCAACAAGTTGAGGAAAATGTTGAAATAATGTTAGCAGAATTTTTTAAGATATCTCAAAGCTAAATTAAACTTTTATTATGAACCTATGAATACAAAAAGAGTCCACCAAAATCTCTAAAGGAAAGCAAAAGATGAATATTTACAGGTCCCAAACCAGAAGCTAAAGTGAAAATTTAGAAATCCTTAAACCATTATGTTGTAGATATATTTGTGTTAAAATACGTTTCAGTGATTTCATTTGTTGTGGAAGAAAAGAAGTAAACGAAAATAAAATCTAAAGCGTTTTAAAGAATAAACACACAAATCCAATGAATTTATGAAACAATTCAGCATCCAAGATCAGCGTAGAAATGAAAATTCTCTCAAAAGAATTGAAAAGATGGCAAGCTTTGGGAATAAAAGAAATGGAAAAAAAAGAATTCTGGGTAGCTTTTTACATTACCAACTCTCATGTGAGCTATGAAGAAATTGGAACTTGAAATAAGAAGACGAAAGGGAAAGACACAAACTTTGAGTTTCAACCTTCTTAAGCGTCTTCATTTTTCATTTGATTCATTTTTATTTTACTTTTTCAATTTTCATTCCAAAACCGACGAAGACGAAAAAAATGTTTTCATGCCAATTCATCTTTGAGACGACCGTTTGTAACGTGGAAACTGAGCTTGTGAAGAATTTATTATCAAATACAGACTGCTCCCTTTATCTTCTTTCTTTTTCCTCATCGAATCTTGGTTTCATTCATGAATTTATTTATGCAAGTATGTCAGAATAAAGTTGTTATGTAAAGAGAGTTTGGATATTTAGATATGAACTTTATGGCTCTATCTCATCCTAACTCACCACATTGTTTGAGTTGTTGTGAACATCAAATTGTTTTTATAATTTATTCTTGTGAATTCCTTTGAAGCACGCTTTACATTAAGTTCCCAGCTTTGCTTCAATTATCCCTTTGAAGATGGGAATGTGAGTAATGGATGTTGTCTGATAAAGTTATGCCTCGCTTTTTATCATATGTTGTTTTTCTTTCTTCACTTATTTTGCATTCAATTCAATCTTCAATCACAATCTTTACCATTGCGAATATGCTTCGAAGCCCAAGAACTGGGGATTATCAAGAAATATTTCATTTTCCGACCAAAGCAATTTATAGTAAGCCACTGAGTCTCTACTTCATTACTTTCTTCCACAACTCATAAATAAAGTTGTAATGATAGGAGTTAAAGAACGTGTGAATGTATAGTTAATGAGTTATCATGTTTCTACTTAGATAAAATGAAATGAATGTCGATGATTGCTTCCTGAATTTTTCAGCATCGATGGATTTGTATTGAACAAAGAGAAAAATTGAGAATTTTTTTGCTGATATTCAACATAAAACATAACTCCAAGACGACAAAAGCAAAGTTTTCTGCGCTAAAAAACACTGAACATGGAAGAACGAACTGGAAAATTGCTTTGAATGATTTTCTTTTCTTGGTCAATTCATAAATACTGAAAGAGAAGAAATATTTAATTACGGAGGTCTTGCTTGAAGTTGCAATTTTCCAAGAAGACGATGAAACTTTGAATTTATTTTCCTTTCATTGCTTCTTCTGTTGAATTTTATTATTATTTTTTCATCGCTATGCAGTAATGAGATGAGAGTTGACAATGTGAAGTGAAAAACAATAAAATTTATTGTTAATCTTCATGTTTCAAAAACAATAATTACAGAAATAATTTGTTGTTTAAAATGCAAATCGTTGCAATCATTTGTGTTTCTGTTCTTGCGGAAAGCATCATTGGGAAGCTTGATGGCAATTTCAAATCGTTTAGTCTCTCATTTTGCCTATCAGCGCTCCAAGGATTCTTTGTCCTTAAAAAACTACTTCAAAATCTCATCGTTTTTGCTACTTGATTTTGATGGAAATTTATGTCAATATAAAAGAGCTGCCAGCTGCCACAACACTGTCACCAATAACCCAATAAATGTCATGGTCGGACAAAACAAAAAAAAACTGTAGAATCAATTCTAAGCAATAAATTACAAAAGAAAAAAAATCTGCTTTCAACTAAAATAGAAATCTTTCTAGTTTTCAGATATTTTTATTTCTCTTACTCAGATATCTTACACATAAGATTTTTTCATCAATGAGCTCCAAAGTTATGGTGTAGTTTTTCAAAAAGAAGATTTCATTTTCGTCTTTCCTCTCATCCCCTCAATGAGCCGATCGATGAATAAGAAGAAACTTCTGTCACAATTAATTTTTTACGTGACATGAACTATGTTCTTAAAGAGCAAACTATTTAATAATATTAACTTTTTCTTCTTACCATTATTTTATAAGTTAGCTAATATGAGAAATTCAATTAAATTGAAGAATTTCACTTTCTTAGAAAATAGCATTAATTCACATTAGTTCACTTAATTTGAGCAATAGAACTTGATGAACTTTATCTTAATATTAGTTCTTCATAGTTTAAAATCAAATGCAATTATATTATTAATAAAAAAATCTTTTATGTAACGGCTCGAAAATTTTTAAAAGTTTTGAACTTTCCAAGGGAAAGCAATTGTGTCTTGGATGATAAGATATTCGTCCTTTGCATGTAAACTTGTGTTTATGTACGTACATGAAATAAAATTCTTGCACTAATATTAAGTAATGATTCCTTTACCTTTCTCTCAATTTAGACAATAAACTTTAGTAAAGGAATATTTTTCCTTGCGAAAAGATGTACAATGCAAGATACATGATCAGAATCGTTGAACCTGTGTCATTGAAATTTCAAACGTATTATAAAAGCATAAGCTACGACTCAATGAAACTTATTTAAGATGGAAGCGAAATAAAAAGCATGCTAATTAGAATGAAATTTGGTGAAAAATCTTAATAGTGGACTTCGGTAATGTACACAAGAAAGGACACCGAATATTGAATTAAAAATTTATTTTAAAATAATTTTCGAGTCATTATTGCAGCACATCATTGCAACTAAAGATATGAAAAGAATTGAAAGAAAGGATTGACGACATCGTAAAATTGAATAATTTGTACATTTATTACTTCCACAACAAAACACACCCACATGATGTACATAATTCAAGCAAACGATGACTATAAAGTTTTAACATTCATTCATTCATTTCACTCTTGTCTACATCGTGTTGTTGAAAGGATTTGGTTTACTTCCCAATCGGCTGGCTTTTAGAGAAAATGAGAAAATAAAGGAAGGGCGGGTTGTGCATTCGTTCAGGCGTTTGTTCATTTGGTCGTAGAGCTCAATTTGATCTGTTGATTCTTCGATTTGGAAAGTGATATTGTTCTAGGATAGAAATCTATAGCTTCAAATAGCTTAAGGGGAAGCATTGTGCTTCCTAACATAAATAAAAAAAAATGAAGCTTTCGTAACGCTAAATACTCTCATAAGACAAAGTTTATGACTTTGAATATCTATTTCATTAGCGACATACAGAAAATATACAAAATGAAATTTATAACTTTATTCGTAGCTTTTTTCACTTATGATGTAAAAGTAATCGACATTTATTGTCCGCAATACCCAATGATGTTATTCTTTTTTCATTAATTCCTTTTATTAATTTTCCACGATTTTAATTACCATCATTGACCTGAAGTTCAGGTCCTGAACAAGCGAGCTTGATGTGGTGAAATTACGATATCATTGATAATGAGAACAAGTTTTTACGTTAATCTCATTCCATTTCAACAAACGAATATCAGACAATCAGGCAGTGGATCAAATCTTCTTTACACTTTTAGGAATGGGAAGTAGAATCGACTTTTATTTTTATCCCTTCAATTGAAAATACGATCGATAAAAGGCACGACATAGTTTCGGACTTTTATGAGAGAATTAAATTTTATTAATGCTTTGAAAAACAAATTGCTTTAGCCCGAGGTTATTCAGTGATTTATCATAATTAAATGTCGATGATAGTTGGCACTCATTTCCACATATTTTCTCAGAAGTTACGCAATGATTGTCGATTAATAATTAGTAAACACGTTTCGATGATGATTTGGGTCAACCGTCATTATCACTTTGGTTATCCTTATCAGATGGTTTGCTCTTCTTCTTCTTGAATACTTAAACACTTTTCCTTCGGTTCTTATATTCATATCATATGAAATGTCAAACAAGAAAGGAAAATGCATGTAAATATGTTTTCCGGGTCGTTTATAAAGATATAAGCACGATCTGAGTTTAGTTGAAAGAATTTCTTCTGCATTTTCATGATATTTTAACCATGCGATGAAAATGTTTTCAACTTTTTCCCATCTTTTCCCTCTTCGAACTATTTAGTACTTCGATATTCAACATATTTACATTTATTTCTTTTCATATTTCGATGTAGATTGTGAGTGAATTAATGGCTAACTTTATTTGCTTAGTTTTAGTATTTCAATAGAGAATGGGATATTAATTTAAATGATGCATAACAATGAAAGACTACGGATGGGACAAATTTTTGGGTTTGCTCATAAATAAAATCATTTAAAGACGTGAAAGGCTTCGGTTGTTTAATATAGTTTCAACATTTACTCTTATATAAGTACACAAGATGAGAAACCCAAAATGTCTCCATCTCTCTCTCTCTCTCCCTGTGTCGTTCGTTTAGTCATTTGTCAAATACTTTAAGTATATATCCCGGAAATAAACTCTGAACATATCAGAGCAAAGTAGAACAGTGTGAACAAAATCAGCATGTAATAATTAAACATTCAAACTTCGTTCGAAACGCCACATGACCAAACCAAGTTATCGTCGTCATTCTATAATGGAATTTTTGTGAAGTGAAAGCAAAAGTATGTAGCCACTTGAGTCGAATAAAGATGATGTTAATCAAGTTCAGTCGACAACTGTTGCTATTCACTTGTGGTTCCTGCTGGAAGAAACTTTGAAAAGATTTTTTCCTTCTTCACTAGTTGTCCGCATGCAGCGAAGCTTTTCTAAATAATTTATGAGTTGTTTGAACTTGAGAGGAAAATTTGTTCATGTTAAGCGATGAAAACTTCACGAATCACTCATTTTAATTTGAAACTTAACATGCTTATCCTTTGGTTTGAAAAACAAAGTCGAGTTCTTTTCAAACTTAATTGTTGACATTGGAGAAACATGTGATGACGGTTTCAAACGAGCACTAAAAAGTCATTAAATGATCCTAATCTTGTTTAATTTTTCCCACTGATTATTTAGGTTTATTTAATTATTTACTTATTTGCAGATCCAAATATTTCCGTTAACTTACCCTTTCATCATCTATCCCAATGGAGTTTTTCATTCTGATGTTGACGATACGATAATCAAGTCGAAATCTTTTTGAAGTTCTGTTCTTACTCGAACAAACTCAGCATATATTTATTTACTTCATAGAATAAATTATGATAGAATAAAATGAAGCGAAAGTCCTTGAAGAGAAGGAGAAACCATTGGGGTTTTCTTTTCTGTTTCACAACAACGCCTTTCTTTCCTCTTTTTACTCATTTAACATAAATCAACATTGTTTGAGTCTCACTCAGGCACAACACATAGAACAGCATCGTAAAAGAAGAATAAGAAGTGAGAGAAAGCACTTAAGAAATTCCTTTGGTTTGTGATATTGGAGATGTTAGTTAAAACTTTTCCCATCGCCTTTGTTCTTTCAATCGTCTCTATACACGTGAACTAAACACTGAGACATTAAAATTTTCTCTAAGCGATATGGAAACAACAACAAAATAACTTCGTGCTTTCACCATAATCAACCGTGTCTGTTATTTTGCTATTGAATGTTTATTTGTGCTTGTTTTGTCGCTCAATCTACTCCACTTCTTGTTCCGCTTCTTGTTCCGAAACAAATTTTACTTATATTGAGAGCTGTCGTGTTTATTTAGTCATGAAAATCACCTCAAGGTGCTCGAACCTTTTATCTTTCACTACTTTTTTGTTTGTTTGTTTATGTTTCGACTCGAAATAGAGAAGCGATGTGCACTTTAATTAAACGAACTCTACAAGATTGGTATATATGTGAACATTTAATTCGACCATAAATTCATTCAAGCAATAACTCTTCACTTACATTCATAGTTTGCAAACAAGGGAAATTATAACGCGCAATAATTCCCTAGTTAATTCTTCAATTAAATTTACGCAGCTGGAATTGAATTGAATGGAAAAATAAACGCAATCATTATGTGCAATAAATTAGAGTTTGTTATACTTTAAGAAATGTAAAACTGAGAAGCTTTTGTAAAGCTTTTTTATGTTGCAAAAAAATGCTTATTTGAGCCTTTAATCGAATTCAGATGTTTTGAGTTGATTTTGAAAATTCCAATGTTTAATCAAGCATATGATAAAGAAGAATTATGAAGAATTTTTATGATTTTCTTCTGAATTTATTTGTATTTTCTTTCAGAAATGTGAGTAGCGTTAAGTCATTTTAGAAGAATTTTCATTCGCGTTGCAGACGACACTGAAATTAAATTAAATGAGATTAGCGTGATCCAGAATTTTTGTTGTAAATTGAAAAATCATTTCTTCAGTGATTTTAAATTTTTAGAACAAATGGTACCTATTTATTTAAACATAGAATTTCTGATGAAAAAATTCAAACTGAAACGATTCAAAAATTGATATAAAAGAATGATTCTTAAACTTTTAAATATTTTATTACGAATTGAGTTTTTCCACTTATTTTCAAACTTTTTACTAGTATAAAACATTTTAAGAATCATTTCATTTGAAAGCTCTTCCATCGATTTTTTTTTTAAATTTTTCTTTACTTTTCATTATAAAAATATTAAAATATCAAAATTAAATAATTATCTTAGAAAGAACATCCTTTCAGTCTTAAAGAGAGCCAAAAATAGGAAACAAACGAAATCTAATCAAAAAGGAAAGAAAACTACAAAGAATCAAACATTCAATTAGCTAGATTAAAATAATTGAAAATTGATTGATATAAAAGTTGACAACACTTTTTCTTTTTTAATTCAAATATTCTTAAACTTTTACTCAAAATAAAAGTAGAATAGAATTTAATTTCGCATTTTTTAATTTTATGGTGAAATTTTGATGAGAGAGAAAGTAAAAATAAAAAGCTTGAATTAACCAAAAATTAACAAACTATTATGGCATTACACTAACTGAAATCTAACGATCTATACTACAAATTCTGTAGTTATAAGAGAATCCAAATAAGCTTTCAGCTTTGAAAGCAAAAGATATCCTAACAATTTAGCTCATTTCTAATCTCACTACTTGTTTTCTTAAAATTATTTTTAACTGTTTCATATTTAAATATTTAATGACAAATTATTTGATCGATGGGATTCATAATTCATTATGAATTGCCCATAATTGGTTGAAAATGTCTTCATATTTTCCTCACAATTAAAAATGAAGATAATTGATCATGAAGTTTCTTGGTTGTAAGTTAGATATCTTAGAAAAAATCTAAACTTATCAGCAGTTAAAGCTTTAAAATGTTGTCACCTTTCCAAGCTTTAATCCTAGCAATTTTTTTCGTTTCTTAACACTAAGTTTACTCCATAAACTTGCTGTCCCTTCAACTAATAAAAATTCATCTGCAGAATCAGCATTATTTGTGTTGAATAAATGTTTCCCATCATACTCATCAACTTCATACTTCTTCATGTTCTTTTCGGAACGAGATTCTGGCGTTGAGACAAAACCACTTTCAGGTCGAGAAAGCGAAGCCGGTGGATAAGATTGAAGTTGACTAAACCAGCGGGCGACTTTTGCAGTCGATGTCATCTAAAACAATTAAATAGGAAATTAAAATAAAACTAAAAACATAAACTAAAATATTAGAAATGAATTTTAACAATCTTTTCAAGTAAATATTTTTCTCAATGAATTTTATTGAAATATTCTCAACTACTAATTAAGCGTACACTTTATTATGCTTAGTTTTACATTTTTCCTTACAATCTCTTGTATGTTTACAGTTTGTTCCATACCAAATTCTTACTTATTATTAATAAATTTAACTGCAAAGCAATTTTAGTTTCCTCGCATTCTTCTATTTGTTAATTAAGAAATTTTGAACTTTAAACAATAAAAAAAGTTTATACAATTGAATTAGATAACAATTTTAAATTATTAAAAGTCATTTATTTGAAAATATTTATTTGAAAAAAATTAAATTTTATAATTGTAAATTTAACATTGGAAACCAAAAGGAAAAGAAATTATATAAAAATTTAATTTGATTGTAAGTTAGGAAGACTTTTATTTGATAAGGAAAGTTGGGTTTAAGATTTGTAAAAACTGAGACTTTGGAGCTTATTTAACTTTACAATTGTAATTTTTTAAAACGCAATTTGATAGCAAGGTATGCTTGAGCTACTCAATCGATTATTAGCATTTTTCATGTCTTTTAAACTCTTTTTTATTCTTTTATTGTTCTATTTCAATTAAATTTTTCTAGGTAGCATTTCAGTTAAATGGAGAAAGGATTTTTGTAAATATTTTGAATTGTCTAAGGAAATTAAGTACTTATGTATTTTGTCTTTGGCATCAGTTGAAAGAAAGAGAAAAGAAATGGAAAGTAAAATAAATACAAAAAAAACTTGTATAAAATCAGAAATATTTTATGATTGCACAAGTGAACTTCATCAAATTTCTTTGTAAGGACTTCGTATGACTCGTGCTATCATCTTGACTAAATATTATTTCGTTGTATGACGAGCCCATTGCGTTCTGTGCACATGACTCATTATTTGGCTACGATTGGGAACTTTTTCACTTGTGCTGCGTGTTATGAAGCTTGGCTGTGCTGGAAGTTTCCTTTGATTTGTTATATTGCCCGCTTCATCTGTGACTTTGAGTGTCACAGTATTTCCTTGAGCTTTTTTCTCTCCTCTGCTTAAAATGGGCGTCAAAGCTCTATGTTGTTGTGTAGAAGGACGTTGTAATGTGTTTCCAGCCGCTACGCTTCCACTTCCACCACTTCTCCTCTCGCTAAAATAATCTTCATCAGCTCGATATCGTTCTCTTCCTTTTTGTGCTTGTTGATGGTTTAATTGCTGCTGTTGATCAACTGGCACAATCACTTTAACTTTTCCGTCATTGTCCAATGTTGTAACAGTTCCGACCTGCGACAATGGTTTGATGAATGCTGTATCGTTGCTTGAATTATTAAGATTGTTATTTAGATTGTCCAATGATCGATCAAAGCTGTCACCAATGGGACTCATAGTGGAATAAGTGGATGAACTTCGATTTAAGGTTCCAAGTGGAGATGATGCAGCAATGTTATTATTTGCATTATTATTGTTTATGAAATTTTGTGCTGCGGCGTTAGTAAACATGAAATTGGAATCACCAGGAAAGTTTGGAAGAACAGCTGTTGGACTTGGCGTGAAAGGTGAGCTCACCGGTGTTGAAGGCGTTTGGAATCCAACATTTAAATTCTTCAGTCGATTCAATAGCTCCTGATTAAGTTGATATAGTTCTTGATGCTGTTGTGGCATTGTCAGCTTTTGTAATTGATTATAAGTTTGCATTGTGTTCTGGTACATTTGATATCCTTCAAAATTCAACCCCGTTCCGTTTTGCTTTGAACTGTATGCGTTGTTATTGTTCTTAATATCTTCATTTTGCAAGTATTCATTTGATTTGTTGTTCATGATATTTGTAGGTGAACTTGAGCCCAACAATGATAACGTTTGAAGGTAAAGTGGCAATTGCGACTGCAAAATATGATTAAATTTGATTTCATCAAAAAAAATGCTTCATTTTTCAATTAATTGAAAACATTTAACGAAATCAACACGAATCAGCATGCCAAGCTTTAACTTACCTGAGATATTTGTCACAGTTTTTCATTTGTCTTCTTTCTGTACTTTTTCCTTCTTTAGTCAACACTTAAACTAGAATTTATTTCATGCCGTAACAGAAAATAAAAACAGAAACACTAACAACGCCATCTAGTGTTGGAAATTGTAAGCTTTCACAAAAGCTCTTTTAAACTTTTACTAGCAAAATCATAAATTTAAGCGTCATTTGTTAAAAAATTAATAAGAAACATTGAAACACGAGAATAAATGATATATAAGAATTCAGCATACCTGAGGGGCCATGCCAATATTTGTTGGTGATAGTCCAGGTCTTTCTGATTCATTTAATCCACTTAGTGAAGCAATATGTTCTAAGAGTTCTCGATTTTGTTGCAAAAGCTGCTGAGTTCTCGCCTGAAGAAATAAGGAATGAAATCATAATTTAAATTTTTAAAGTTTTCTTACTTGAGCTTCAATTCGTGCATTTGTCTCTGTCAGTAATTGTTCTCTCACTAAAATTAACTGAGCCAAAGCTTGCTTTGTCTGCTGTGTTTGTTGTTGAAGTTGTTCCTTAAGTATTTGTAATTCGCGGACATTTTCCTTGCTGCTGTCATCAGAAAGCTTCAAGAGATAATTAAAAAGACATAAGAAAATGTAGAAAATGAAAAGAATGTTAATGTTCAAGTTCTTACTGTGATGATTTTGTTTGGTGAAGGCGGCGCTATAAGATTGTTGAGTGGAGTTGATAAATTCTCTAAATGATTGGGTCGCTGAATCTTTTGAGGCGAATCTTGAAGGATTGGAGTTGTATCAAGAGCTGTAATTTGAAGGGGAATTACAAAAAGAATACTGAGAGAAAAAAATTATCTCAAACCTTTCTTGGGTTCGTCAAAATCACTCAAGTTCTGAATATCCGATTGATCCAATTCTGAATTCAGCTCTGAATTGTTTTCGTTGTTGTCTTGCTTCTTTTGCATGGAGATCTTGTGGCAAACTTCAAATGCTTGTCCCACAGTCCTGACGATTTTCATCGCTTGCGACTATCACAGAGAATGAAAATAAAAAAAAAATTGAAATTATTTAATTAAAATTATTTGATTTATGTTTGCCAAAGAAAAAACGAAAAGAAAAGAGAAACAAATATAAAAAAATAAAAAGATCAGGAAAAGTTTAGGAAGTAAATTTTCTTAATTAAATTTTTCATTGATTCGACTGCGAAAAAAATCTCGTCGGGAATTCACCTCAAACTCTCCGTCACTCGCACTAAACGAAATATCCTCGTCTCTGAAGCAATCATTGCTACTTTGAATTGTGCTGCCGCTACCTGTTGTTGTCTTTGCATACGCTGTACGACTGCTGTTGCTTTTATCCAGTTTTTCTTCAATCCTTTCAAGTTTATCAAAATTTGTTTCAACTTTTTCTACTTTTGAATTATTCTTTGCAAGTTTTTTAGGTGAAGTTGGTGGACTTTTTGTCGTTGGTGATGATTTAGGCGACGGTTCGTTGAGCTCTTCAGCACTTTTACTTGTGATATCTTCTTTTTTGTTTCCTTTTAAAGCTGCGATATTTTTGTTGCTACTGAAAAAGCACGAGAACTTACTGAAGTGGTTGAGATCGATGTCAGGTACTTTAAAAAGTTTCTTATGGTTGTAGAGATGAGCTTTGAATGACTTTTTTGCTGTCGGCGTTGATGGCGTTGAATCGACTTTCTCCTTTTCTTTCTTATCCTTTCCCTTTTCCTTACCCGACTTCTCTTTAACCTTCTCCACCACAACTTCTTTTTCACACTCTTTCTCCACTTCCGTATCAATATCCTGCATCTCGAACTCGATTTCTTCCATTATCGTTGGCGATAAATTGCTACGATCAGCGCTATATGACGGAAGTTTCGCTTCTACTGAGTGATGTCGATGTAAAATGTTCTGTTTATGATTTGGCCTCGTGTGAAGAACCGAGTCATCGCTGGCAATATTTTGAATTTTAAGCTTTGCTTTCATCACTTGTTGTGGTGATTTTTCGGGCTTTGCAACGTCTTCTTTCGACGCCTTTTTCTTGCTTGAAAATAAAGACGTTGACGTTAACGAAAGTTTCTCTTTCGACTCTTTCTTGCTCGATTTCGTTTTCGTTGAAGACGATTGCGATTTTGTTTGCTTCTTCTCGTTCACATATCTTATGTCATCCTCGTCGTTGAATAAAATGTGTTTGTTACTTCCATGATGACCATTGCCACTTGATCCTCCTGATCCATGATTTCGTCGAAGTGTCGAGTGCTTTTGTTGCATTACTGGTGATTGTTCTTGATAACGATTCGATGATGACGATTCATTTAAACTGTATCGATTACGATGAAAATTTCCAGCCGAATTGTAATCATCGTACATGTACGACGAATATTTCTCATTATAACTTCTTGGTCTATCATCGAAAGGTTTTGTATTGCTATTATAGTAATAATCGTCGCTATATTCGTCATCAAAGAAGTCACCGACATCATCATCGTAATCATCGTCATCATCATATCGAGGATTAGTTTGTCTACCGCGATTTTCGGTATATCTTCCATAACCATCATCATCGGGAATGTTGTTGAGCCCATCATCGAGTGATTGACTCAACTCTTCCATCCTTTTTATTCGATTTTTTCGTTGTTGTGAGTTGATATTAGCTGCTTTGTAGCCAGCATCAACATCCAAAATGTGGTGCATCATCTTGTTTTCGAAGTCAATCAAACGATTACTTTTTGAAATGAATTAATTAAATTCTTCAGAAAATTCTCACTTTCCTTGTCCATTAAAATAATTTTTCTTCTTCATTTATTTTTCACTCAATTCTTTACACCGCAACTACACATCGTCGTTCCATTTTCATGTCATTAAAATTTCTCCTTTTTAACTACATATTATGGATGACATAAAAATGTTCATTTTTCATATCTATAAACACGGAATTTCACAAACAATTTATGTTGAATTTGTCTTGCAGTTAATTAAAATCTTAGATTTCCTTTCAAGACTCTTCTTATCCTGATGACATTTCTAAAAAAACAAGAAACAGAAGTTGATGACGAGGAAGGAAAACTTGACAAATAATTTCCTTCACACTAAGATTCACATTATTTATTGCATCCAATTATTGTGAATTAAGAAAGTCACATAATTTTACTTTGACGACTGAATCGTCTGAAATCCTTTGAGGAACTGTAACATCATCAGCTAATTGAGAAAACCGTGAGCGTAGTTTTTTTTATAATTATTATTTGTTGCTTCGAGAATTTGAATTCTTTTTTCATTTCATAGACGTTAAGTAATTTTTTGTAAAGAAGGTCGATTTGAAGATGACGTAATTAGTAAGAATTTGCATTTTATTTGCAAAACGAAAAAATGTCTGAATCTTACTTCACATACACGTGTGAATATTTAAGAATGCAACGAAGCTATTAGACTTCTTTTATTCCATTTGAAAGGAAGAATAAGAATGTCCTAAATCTAGACATGCCCGTTACTTGTCCAATTTGGAATTTTAACTCTTCTTCTTACTCTTACTTTGTCTACGAACTAAATGTTTTGACAGAATTTTCAAATAAAACTTTAAGTGAATTACTCATGTTAAAAATTTAGAGCGAAGTTTGTCTAAATTTAAATTATTTACAAATTTTTGCTGAGCACGGGGAAAACATTCAAGCGAAAGCGCGCTTTTTGATTTGATTTCTTCTTTTCTTCTATATTACCTATTTTGTGTCAATGGAGACGATAAATTTGATTTCTAAGAAACATTAAATGTCAAGAGAACAAGCGAAAGATGACCAGAAGAATAAAATTGATAGAACTATGATGTTCTGACGTCGACGAATATTTCAACATCACAACTTTTGACGTCAATATCGAAACTAGAGACCATTTTTTTATGTCTTTAATGATGCATTGAATGTTATTTAATTCTTCTTATTTCAAATTATCTTCGAAATTTCAAGGCTTAAGCAGCAATCAATCACAGCGATTTTGATGAATATTAAAGTTCAAATTCTGCAAGGCTTATGAGGCAATTTGGTGCAATTTTCCGATTATTTAGAATGCCGATAGTTTCTTTCTAAACTCTCATCAAAAGCAACAGCAATAATAGTTCATTTTTAATTACACATTTATTAGCGCGTTTTCTATTTTTACAGTCATCAACAGAAATTAAAAACTTCACGAGCTAAAAATAATTATTGTGTGAGCGAGAGAATATCTAAAAATTGCACAGGAAGAAAAATGATCCAGATTGTTGTGCACGGTGCACTTTGGCTTTTGTGAAATATTTTCAAAGTTTTTCATTTCTTAAGAGCAAAAGTGGTTTAATTTTTTCAAACGGTAATTTAATTAAAAGTTTTCTACGTAACCCGGAAACTTCAACAACAAAGATGCAATTTTTTAAATCGAAGAAAGAACGAACTTATTGCACATCTTAGCTTAAACTTCAAGATCTTAAAAGAAAGATGGAGACATAAATAGAACTTTGAACATTTGTTTTCACATCTTGCGGAAATTATTTTTGAAACACCAAAGGAATTCCTTTTAAATTAATTAGATCAGTGGGATTATTCATAAGATAAAAAGGAAGAAGAAAGAAGTGAATTTTTATTCCATCCGACTGTGATTGATGACACATTGGAGCTGGTTGGCAAAAGTTAATTGAATATCATCTCAGGGGTCCATTGAAAGTCGCCATAAATCATTACATGAGTTTTAGAATTATTTGAAGCAACCTATGCGAGTTGTGATTTTATGAATATAAAAAAATCTGTTTATGTCAAATAATGACTTTGAGTCCATCATCGCTAATATTTCTGCGACCTTTATGGTTCATTTTTGAGAAAAAAAAAAGTTCAAACAACATTAAATCTAAAAAAATCTTAATTAAGTTTTTTTTTTCCATCCTTTAACCAGCCCCAGACGTCGTCCGATGAAGAATATCGTGTCTCATTTCCACATGTTGTTTATTTTGTTTTTCAAACGATGGACAGAAAAGAAAATTGTGGAAATGAGAAAGGAAGAAGATAAATATTCTTTTGGCTCGTAACATTCATGACAATTTAAAAATTTTCCCATTCACAGGCAGAACAATTTTTCATGTCTCATGGCAATCGCTTCTCAAGTAGACATTAAAAAATTATCTCAAATAACGATCAGTGACGTTGTGAACAAATAATTTCCTCATTTGTTTTAATCGTTCCTGTTGTTATGTTGATTTAGCTTTTCTTTGTTCACCATCACAAGATTTTCTTAAATATGGAAAAGTTTCACTTGTTTTTGAACTTTTTTTCGTGGGATTATCAATAAAATTAATTGATTTATGACTGATTCAATATATATGATGAATTCTTTTATAGCAATTTTCCAAAAATCCTTAGTCTTAGAACACTCGAAAGATAAACTTTAAACTTAATTACATTCATAGAAGTATGTGAGTGATTAATCTTTGCAAAAGTCAAGAAGAGGCGGGAATTAATGTTTTATTTATCTTTTATTTAATTGAATTATTCTACAAAAAGAAGAAGAAACGTTTGAGAAGTTTTCCCGCTTTTAGGATTCTTTTTATGCATGAGTTAAATGATTTACATACGCACTCAACAATGTTTTATGCATGTAGAAACATTTTAATTTCTTGTGAATGTTTTTTTCCTTCTTTCTTATCTTATAAAAATTCTCATCTTATCGTCGTATGAGAAGCGCAATACCTTAGTTCATTATTTTTTATTCATTTCCTTTACTTTCTATATTCCCTCCAATGTAAAAGCTTATCTACTAGCTTCACATATAACAGTCGTTTATGTCGACAACAACGTTGAGCATAAATATTTATGCTTGCTGTTTAATTTGTCGAAAACAACATTAGCGTTAAAATTATGTGGAAGCTTTCATGGGGAAGTAAAAAGTATGAGTGGGAAAAGGAGTTTTCCTTTCAATTTCTTGAGTGAATTTTTCACCTTTCTCAACAAGCTCAACATAATAATCTCAAGATAAACAGCTTACGACGAAGATTACAGAATAACAATCTTCATCAGCCTACTGAGTTGTGAGTGTTTGAGAGCAAATGAATCCAGTCTGAAAGAAACCTGAGCGGTTGAGGATGCGAGCTTTTGTCAAGACTACCATCGTCAAAAAACATCGTTGAAGAGGGAAAATGTACTACAAAAAATCATAAAAACTTCCATTAATTATTCACGCATATTTCTCAAAGCTTTCAGCAGCTCAACGTCAGCAATTGTGATGCTGATGTAAACTTCCCTTAAGCGTTGAGCAGCGTATTTAAGAAAATAATTTATTATCAGAATATTTGTGTTCGTTGTGGATCGTGATGAATAAATTTCTGATGTTTCAAAAAAACATTTCTCATTCAATGAAATATGTCACGTGAGAAAGTCGACTTTTTTTTCACGGAAACAATGTGCTCAACGAGTGGAAAAGTCAATTAAATTTTATAATTCCATCATCCGCTTTTGTTGTTTTCTGTTTTCATCCTTCGGCATTCGAGCAAATGAAAGTGGAAATTGTTATTTCCATTCGAAAAATAAGACATCAAGTATTGAAAATCACAAAAAATGAAATATTTAGAGATTTAAGGAAGAAATTTTCATGCCAATTTATAAAGAATTTTCGCTTGTTCTTCGATTGTTATTTATCGTGAATTAATCAAAATATTTTTGTAGTGAACTAATTAAAATCTTTTGTTTCTTTTCTACCACAATATTTGGCAACACAACAACAGGCAAGATTTAAACCACTTTGATATATTTCACTCGAGTTTTTGCCTACAATCACAATGAATTGTTGACAATGAAAATATTTTTTAAATTGATATTCTTACGTGAAATTTCTTCTTTAACTTCAAATCATTCATTTCTTCTATATATCCCCACCGATTCTACATTCCTAGATTGTTACGTCCCGCTCCTCATCAATTTCGTCAACAGTTTCACCAATATCATATTAAATAGAAGAAGAACAAGCATTAAAGTTCAGAAGATTTTTCACTTTATTTTGGGACGTATCGAAATAATTTTTTTGTTTCTTTTTTCGTAATCGCAAACACAAATTTGTGAGCGGACAAAGAAGAAGCAAAAGAAAAGAAAGGAAAATGATGATTTTTGCGATAGACGGGACGCGACAAGCACAACAGAATCTGAAATATCATCGGGACAACAACAACCGACGATGTCAATTTTTTCTTGTGTTCTTTTTTGGGAAGCACAAACGAATGAAAATATTTTTTCTTAGTGTCATTCGTCTGACACAAGATTGAAGTGATGACTGTTAAATTAAAGAAATTTAGATTTACCCCAAGAAGCTGATTAAAGAATCGAGGTGAAGAAGGCATTCAATTTCATCTTCAAACAAACTTTTAGTTTTCTTTTCTTCTCCGTGCACGATAACCTTCGCGGGTAACTTAATCGTTTTCTTTTATCGTGAGATTTCCCCCGCCGAAACATTTTCTCACTGAGACTTACTTCATCCAATGTCAAGTTGAAGCTTGAAATTATTATTTTTCATAAACTCACGCGTTTGTGTGTCTCAAGAAATCTACTCGGTCTGAGTAACTGCGAAATATATTTTCACAAAGCCTAGTTTTAAGGGGAGGGTATGTAAAAAGGAATGCGAAAAATGGAAAGCTTTACATGGATTGAAATAAGCTATTGGAAATATTTTCAATTATGCTGAAGGCCATGACTACCTAGTTGAATTTTGTTCAGCTTGTGCTATTTAGAAGACGACAGAAGAAGAGAAATATGATTGATATTTTGAAGTGTTTTTCACAATGAGACTTGGCGCAATCACTTTAGCTTTTTGCGTCGTTTTCGAAGACACGTAAAGATAAAAAACATCATCAGAGCATTTCTATAAAATTGAGACTTTATAACCTTCGCAAAAAAATATGAAAAAAAGTTCAAAATTCGTTCGTTGATTACTGCGAAATTACGACGTGTAAAAGATCAAGTCACTCTCCTTGAAATAAAGCAAATTATTAGCCATAAATCTTCCAGACTTTCTTTTCTTCTTTCTTCGGCTTGTTTTGTTTTTATATTCTATTTGATCGAGAGAAAACACAGAATTTACAAATTTTCTTTTCACTGCTTTGTTGACGAAAAATCAAAAATATTTTAATTTGCTTTTTTTTGCTCAGGAAGTCTTAATTCACAATATATGGATACTTCTTTAAAGATTATCATGAAATAAATCTCTTTGTTCACTAATTACTGAATACTTGATAATTTTATTTGAAAATTTTACACTTTTTTCATTCAAATTTCTTCTATTGCAATTATTATTAGAATTATTTTTTCACTAATATTCATCACTCATTAAATCTTCGATTTTGCCTCTATTTAACTGTTGCATTGATTTATTATCTTTTTCTTCTCCTTAATCTTTGATTTCTAAAGTGTGAAAATGCAATGACTTTGTCTCAAAATAATTTCCTTAATCCACTTTTAATTCCTTTAAAAAATAATTTCCACCACTTGAAACTCGCTCTTTACTCCACGGTTTTCCGCTACATACAAAAAGAAAATTTTATTTCCACTTTTCACTAAAAAGAAAAATAGAAAAAATTCAGAGTGTTTTTCTTTCTTTCTCATCATTTTCATAAAGTTTTGAAGTGAACATTGCAGACGACGATGAGTGAAAACAATTTGAGTGTGATTGAAATAGTATGGTCAGACAACGAAAGGATCTTTACGCTACACCTTTAAAATTGCTGCTATGTCGTCATCACATCAGTTTCTTTTTGTTTGCAGTACACATTGTGATCGGTCTTGTTCTCTCGTGAATTTTTGCTTCACTGTTACAGTTACTCAAGTAATATATCTACACGTAAATTCTTTTCTGATCTCCATTCTCTTACAAACATAAAGTCCAGGTTATTTATTCATTTTTTTCTTCTGAAGACATGAAGAAAGCTTTACAAGTTCCTCGAGAAGAGTTTTCAATAAATATTTTGTGTTTTCAAAAATAGAATTGATGAAAGATTAATTTATTTATGATATTGATTGAAAGACGAATGGATTCAAAAAAATAAAATCATCGAATTTGTTGCATTTTTCTGTGACTGAAATTTGAGTTGAGAATATATTTTAATTCGAGTATTTCTCGATCAATTTTGACAAACTTGAAAATTTTAAAATGAATTTTTCATGTCATTTCCCAATTTGAAAATATTTTCTCTCTGCAATTTATTGATTTTAATCTATTTAAAAACCATTCAAACTTTATCATAAATTCGATTGCAAGAGTTTTAAAATCGTACAAACCTTCGTGAATATATTTGTGACAACATTTTAATGCTAAAGCCAATAATTTAGTGGACTTTAATCTTGTTGAGAGAATTAAGCATCGGACATTTCGAGAGATATTTCAGTAGAAACTGATGCCAACAAATGACAGCTGAGAGAAAGTCTTTACAGAATCAGAAATTAGTACTCGTGATCAACGATCGGACATTAAAACGAATGTTTCAATCTCTCCAATGGTCATCCTGAACACATGAAGCCCGAAAAGAAAACTTGTCGTGAGATCTCAATAAAAGAAATAAAACATTATATTTATCTAGCGTAATTGTTTAAAAATAGTACAACCTTGCAGCCAAAATTAACTTCAAATTTTTAATGAGAAGAATGTTTCCCTGTTCACAAATTGTCAACATAGAAAAATTGAATTTCTCTGTTTTTGTGTGGGAAAAATGTTTTTGTGTTTTTCTTTTCTAATTACGAGCATAATAAAACACGCGACCGAGATTGATGACGCACTTGACTTGTTCGGATAGTGTTCATAATGATTTTATGCAGATATTTAAAATTCATTAAATTATTCACAAAGTAGTACCAAAAGTATTTAATTAGAGACAGATAAAAGTTAGAAACATGTCAAATGGAAAACCTTCGTCTAAAATTCAGTTCTTTTTTAATCAAACAAACGTTAAAAAAGTTTGGTTCTACAGAAAGGAAAATGTCGTAAATTGTAATTGACAAGTCTCTTGAACAGAAAGCAACCCATAAAATCACATGATACAACAACGTAATGGCATCTCAATGACGAAAGAAAATCTCCGCTACAAAGAACCGCAAAATAATTTTTTTATTTTCGTGGAGAATTTTCATTAGAATTAACTTAGTGAAACGAATTTGTTGAAGATTTTCATGACGCCGTGAAATATTTACAAAAGAAATGAGAAATATTCGCAACTTTTTCTCTTTTATCGTTTTTTTGCTGTTTGTCAAAGAACGGTTTCTTTGCTTGTTATTAATATTTTTTATGAACGCGTGATGGAAAATTGAGCACGAGATAAAATAGAAAATAGTAACAACGGAAGTTTTCACCACATCAATACAAACGATGCTCGAAGCGATTTTTCATGTTTCGTTTTCTTTATTTTTATATTTTTCTGGTGGTTTTTTTATTATTACACGTAAGTCATGTGAAGAAAATAAATTATACGATAAATTTAAAAATTTAATTAAATTCAGATTGCAACGAATTTCAATAAGATTCAACGAAGGTTCTTTAAATAAAATTTGAGAAGATTCAATAGGTACAAGCACGAGTTTCATTAGCTATGCTTAATTAGAAAATGTGCTAAGTACACAACAAGACGGAATATTCTACGGAATATGAGAATTAAACCAACACATGTAAAGTTCACATCCATATCAATTATCGCATCAATAACGATAATCATAAATTAGTTAAACTTATGTACTGCCAAATAATTAAATTTTCTTTTTTTTCTTCTCTCCATCTACCGTATACAAACGATAAAGATGTGAAGAAGGAAATGTGTCTGATGAGTTTTGAAAAGATTTTTTAAATATCGTAGAAAGAAATGAATCAGTCATCAATATTAAATTACCGAAAACTGCCGTTTTATTTGACTCAGAGACTTAATTGAAAGGTAATCACGAGTTTCTGCTTCAGCTTCTCTCCTTTCAAACAGGTCCAAGTAATTTAAACTCTGGTTTGATGAAGATCTCTTCGACTGTTTTAAAAATAAATATCTAAGATGTACATATCTCGTCTCAGAAATTCTTTTCTTTGAAAAATCTTGAACGACTTGAGAGTCTTAATTAATTTTTTTTTAACTTTCGTTTCAGTTTTCGAGGCGCTGGTGACGGAATGAAAGCGCCAGATGAATGTGAAACCACAATTCTTTCCCAGTGTGTTGTAGGAAAGTGATCCGTAATATAAAAAGGAAGCTTCTGCTTATTGTCGAAAAGTAAACATATAAGTTTGACGTAGGTTATGGATTGCTCTGAATCGTGCCACGATCATGAAATGACCCTTCCTTTGTATTCTTCACAAGTCTAATTTTAGAATGAAATAAATTTATAAGCTGATTTTGGATTGATCTTGCCACGTCGTGTGAACTACGCAACATCTTTGAATGATTTGTTTGATCTTATTCACAAGGTGTTGATTTCGAGATACTAATTTGACACAACATTTCAGCCTTCATCTCTTTTTTTATGTTTTTCGTTGATTAATTAGAAGAAAATTGTTTTTCCTTCATTTTTTCAATGTCAGGTGATTGATGTTTTCTATAATCTTTTTATCACATTTTATGCTTTCTAAAAGAAGTTATTTGGTTTTATTTCATAAATATTTATAAAAGATATCCAAAGTTTCAGAAATCGTCAATCGCTAAAAATTCTCGTAAAATCGTGTAGTATTTTCATAGCAAAAAAGAAACATTCAAGTAAGAGGAATATGTTCTTAAAAAATTCAATAAATCAAGTAATTAAAACATTTTTCTAATTTTCTTCTGGTTTATGAGCTGAAGATTAAGAATCAAAACACTTATTGGAATTACAAAATTTATGAAATATATAAACACATAATAAAAACTGATACACGAGTTCATTAGTAATACATAGAATGTAATGAAATTATAATCGAAAATACTTTATAGCAACAATTCAAATCTTTTTTCTTTTATCTCACCTTTTTATTGCTCTTGAATACCATGCACTTGAATCGATCTGTACTTCCATCTCGAGCAATGTAACTGAAGATTTTTAAGTCACTGCTATCATGCGACACGTAAAAGATTCGATATATCGGATGATGCATCAGCTCAATCTCTCCTAAATCGCCTGACCAGTTTTGTGATTTCTTCTGTGAATATTGAATAAATGAAAAAATGAAAATGTAAAACCGCATAACAGCTTTGTGAAGCTTAAATAATAAGCTTACCACTTTCATTTTCCGCTTGCGCTTTTTAAGAAAGATTCTTACACCATCTACCGATATCTCTATGGTAACTTTTTTCTTTTTAGCGTTCTGAATTTTATATTCATACTGTGGAATAAAAAGAAGAAAATATGAGCTTAAGGTAAGAAATAAGTAGCACGTTTCCATAACATTTTATAATAATCTTTTTGATAAAGAATGGAATAAGGAAGTAAAGTTAGTGAATCAAAATGATCTTACTCGAATACGTCGCATTGCCTGAACGATCTCGGTACGGCTTGTTGGTCTGGGTACTTCTTGAAAACCAATAAGCTGTAATTAGACAGATAAAAAAGACGGAAAATTAATTACTGTGAATCTACCTAGTAGAATGTCCCCGTTGAAAATGAATTTCATAGTTCGCCGACAGTAATTGGATTACAGAAAAAAATAGAAGAAGCCATGAATCATTTTGCTTCTTCTAATTAATTGATACAGTTTGTATCTTCTGTATCTGACTTCACATTTCCCTTGCCAATTTTTTTGTTCTTTTCTCTTTGTTAATTTAATTATTAAACTTTTGTGATTATTATCAAGGGGTAAATCATCATAGTGCTTCTGCCGGCTGCCTCCCAATGAAGCATCAAAAATCACTACATAGTTCTTTTCAAGAAAAATGACCTTTTTCCAAGAATTTGCTTACTTTTTCTTGGAATATGTCTAGTGCTTCAATGCATCAATGGTGCTTCTGCCGGCCAATTTTATTCGATGAACAGCCCCTTGATTATTATGTTTCTTTTTTTCTCTCTCTTTCTCTCTCTCTCACCTTCTCCTTTTATTTTCTTTCATTAAAAACAACAAGGGGCTGTTCATCGTAGTGCTTCTGCCGGCTGCCTTTAAGTGATGCTTCGAAAATCACTAGTGCTTTTTAAGAAAAATGGCCATTTTCTAAGAATTTGTTTACTTTTTCTTGGAAATTGTCTAGTGCTTCTTTTCAAAATAGTGCTTTTGCCGGCTCATTTTTGACGATGATTTACCCCTTGAAAAACAACGATCTCATTTTATTCGATTACCATCTAAGACAAACATTAGCTATAAATAGCGAGTATTTATTATTATTTTTCTTATACATCATTTCTTACATATGAATATTCTCGTAATAACCGTCGACCCGACACATATATTTAAAGCCAATATCTGGTTTTGCAAAGAGTAAAATATGAAAACAGGTTTATTACTTGTTTCTGATACTCTTTCTTTATTTCTTCAATTCACTTTTTCTTTCTATCTTATTATCCTTGTTTGTGTTTTAGTTTCTTTCTCTATTTATGGATGACCAAGTTTAATCGATCGGAAAATTATATTTGTGTTCCTTTATTTATGCAAAATTTTCTTTTTCACGTCATTTACTCAAATTTCTTTCATGTTTTAAAGTGCAAATTGAGTGGAAATAATTGTATTATGAAATATTAGCGTACTCGTAATCTCTAGCTTGAAAACTGTAATAGTTTCAGATTTAAAAACAAAGTTAATATTGTAGTGCTGGAAAATTTAATTTAATTTGTGGCTGAACCATTCATGACAATCAATTTCAAAAGTTACTGCTAATATTCCTGAAATGAGCGCTTCCATTCCAGTTTTGTTACGTCAAAAATTTAAATTGGTCAATAGATCAACAAAGTAAGTAGAAATTCAATTGAGCAATAAAAACTCAACAACATTTCAATTTTGATCAAATAATAAAATAAATAGCAATGAAAGAATAGCAAAATTCAACTTGCGAATGTAAGTTTGCATAAACATAAAATTCAGAGTTGGTGCACAATTTATTCATGTGTTGCTTCCTCTACTGAAGATTCTTTTATAATTCAAATTAATAGATGTGGTCAATTGAAATTATGACCGCATTAATCTGCAATCGTAGCGAAATGTTTAAATGATTCTTTTCATGTCATTTGAGACTTCAACCAGCATATCCTATAACTGAAGAATTCCCTGATCGACATTCAATCCCGCACAATCAACAAAAAGTCTGTTGTATTTGCATTTTTTGCATGAATAAAATGGAAATTTATTTGCTTTTTATTCAGAAAGTGGAAAAAAGAATATATGTCAGTATAATGAACCTAGTACCTTACTGAGTAATCAAATTATTCAGAATTTAAATTATTGAAAAGCATATCAATATAATTCCACATAAATAAGCAACTTTCAATAACCGCATTGTTCTTGAGAATAACATGGAAGTTACTTCACTTAGCCAAACTCAAGATCAATTTCGTTATGGGGATAAAAAGAAAACTTTTCAGACGATTTTACCAACTTCTGTAACAAATCGCGTGCCATGAACTCTCGTGAACAGTCTGTCTCACTTTTTTCTTTCTTTTTTCAGTTTCGGACTGTAAATTATAAAGCAAAGGCCAGAAATTGCATGTAGATTTTATTACAAGATAAAACATTAAAAATTTGCTTAAATTATCGTGTCGCGTCGATGTCACAGCAATAATTGAGTGGTTTTTGTGGTTTAGGAACATAAAGTTGATGTATTTAGAATTTTATGACAGATTTATTTAGCTTCTTTAATAGAAAGACACAAAACGGTTACCATCCACCAACGCAACATAAGAATTTGAAATATTTTATTGTAGCAATAAATGGCTTCATTAATGAAAGAAGTTCATTCTAAATGATTCCATAATTAATATTACAAAACTAATTAAGAAACTTTATCATCACAAATTTTCGAAATTTCCAACTGATTTTTTTATTGACTAAATTGAACTCAAGTCAATAGAAAACTCAACAATCTTTATTTTCTACTTATTCTAAGTTTTCGTTTGGGAAAACGCTTTTTACTTCTTAGTTTAAGATTATTTTATCTGAAAGGGTTGAACAAGCTTTGAGTCTATTGAAGAGAATGAGAATTATTGAGATCATAACATAAATTTAAGTTCAATGAATGATTCAACAAACATCTACATATGAAGATATTTTTCTAAATGGAAGCAATAAAATGAAAGATGGAAAAGTAAGAAAAAAGTTTTTCACTGACTACTTAAACGCAGAAAAACGAGCATGGAAATGAGGTGGTGGAAGTTTTCTTCTTCTCAATCTGTCGACGCTGAAATAAACAAAGTTTCATGTCATACAACTTTTCGACAACGAGAGGATGACAACCGAGAAATTGATTTCTTGTGAAAAAAAGAACAAAACTTTGTCGTATGATAAATTACGAAATTCCCATCCTACTGGATGAAAAGCAGATTTTATTGAATTTACTGAGAGGACATCGATGGTTAGCGTCGTCATGATTTGGGCTTAGACTTCAACTTGAAATTTAATTCGGGTTTGAAAAAAGAGACGACGAAGAAAGAAAATTTCTTAGATTTTCACCAAAGCGTTAAAAATATTCTAATAAACAAAACAATTTCTGCAATGCTGTCACAAATTATTTTATTGTTTGTCTTTTTACGAATAAAATTAAGGCAAAGGAAGAAGAAAAATTCAAATTTTCTTCGAAAATTCTCTGAAACTTAACTAGAGGGTAAACATTTCTTGTAAATAAGATTTACTTGTTAAAAGAAAACTTTTATAGCCTGAAAAGTTTTTGGTATTTCCCACTTGTGGACTTTCCTATGCCTATAAACCATAAATTTATGTGCGAGGGAATTTTAATTCAAAACAACCATGGAACACCAGAAATATGCTTTCAACAAGATTTGAGAGCTTTAAAATAAAATTTTATTAAATTTGCAATCTCTATTGCTTTTAAAAGTTGATGAAGTGCATCATTTCAGTGCATAATTTCGTGAGATTAGTTTTCAAAATTCAAAAAGTGATTTTTTCATGAACATGAATGCTTTAAGTAGCTTTTCACAACTCTCAAACTGTTTCTGTAACTTTAATTCTCTTTTAAGGTTCTTGTAATGCTGATGAAGAAAAAACTCATGAAGAGAAGCCTTAAAAGGAGATTTCAGTCGTAAAATTCAAATGAATTAAGTTTGATTCCGTAAACACGAGCCTTTTGCACGCATCTCATGATAAAATCGAATTAAGATCACTTAAAATATTTGCAACAATTCTTGTTCTCCTCAAGTGTAAGCAGGAACTACATATTGAGTTCCATGACTATAAATCTTCGCATAAATTAAAAATAATCTAAACATCAAAATTAAAATGATATGTTCAGGACAAAAAAGAGACATTAATGAGAAAAACATCATGAAATGAAATACTGCAATGACGTAAATGAATATTTGATTCCAAACAGATTTCGCCACAAACTTTGAGATTTATGTTAATCTTTTCATGAATTATGATTTACTTGAATTTTTTACGAATCTTTCTTTTTATTCCTTTTGGCTTACAAATCTCTGTCCAAATACTAAAATATTAAAGATTTTATGAAGATTTCTAGAGTCCAAGTAATGCTATTCAAGAACAGAATGATCTGAAGCAAGTAATTATCTTTTAATCGAGAAATAAAAGAAGAGCGTAGAATGAAGTAGATTTAAATTATTTCAAATCATTTAAACTAAAATTAAATCTCTTCGTGACACTACAAAATGTTGACTGCTTCCAAATTTGTTTTCGATATCACCAATCACAATCTGATTGCTTCAGGGATTTTTTCACATTTTGAAAATCAAGCTGGAAATTAGATTGCAAAACGAGAAGTGAACATCCTGAAATGTCAACAACTAAATCGATAAAGCATTTTAAGAATGTATCACGTACCGCTTCTCGTTTTATAAAAATCTTTCTAAAAAAACATTAAAATTGAATATGTTTCGATCCAAATCAAGTTCTCTTTTCACTATAAAATATATTTTATATCCAATCAAAATTTCTCTTTTCATAAACATATCATGAGGGATTTCCAACGAACAAGTTAAGGAGGAAATTGCCTAGGGAACGAATTGAAATTCTTTCCTACCTGTAAAAGAAATCTGCGTAGGTTTGCGAAAAGAAAATTTTCAATTTAACACGTCGTCACTCGATTCATTTGACTTTCACAATTTTCTATCAATTTTCCTCTGTGTGATGAATTGAAATGAATAAAAAGGTAGCATACCTAATTAAATACGAATGAAATGAATGCTTCTTTTAAGGTTTTTAAATATAATTAAATTTTGTAAAAGTTCATCATCTTCTCATTTTTTTAATTATTCCAAAATTAGTATCGTTTCAAACGATTCGTTTGAAATGAGCAGAAATTTGAGTAAACAGATTGAGACATGTTGATACACTTGAAGCATAATTTAATGTTTTATTCAGTATCCATGTTCAAATAAGAGATTGAGGTCACGAAGTGATGCCAGAAATGTCGCGCCTTTTTAATATCGTCAACTTTAAAACTTGAATTGTACATATTTGCATTTCCATATAAAAATAATTTTAATGCAGAATTTTTTACTGAAAATTTCATTAAACAAAAATTACAATAAAAAGCGATGGAAAATGAGAAATAATAATGGGAAAACTCTTTCAGCGTTTTTCATGATTCTCGTACTTCTACTTCTTTTTTATTTGCTGATAGCACATGGACCAAAATTTTAAACAAATTTTCAGCTCTCTGAAATGAACATTATGGAAAGGAAACTAAGGAGTAGCAACTTTAATATCGATACAAATGTTTACTTATTTCTCAGTCTTTTCCCTTCCTCATTCAAATATAGTCAGGATGTTGTTGACATAAATTGGACATAAATACATACGAGAAAAAAAGCTTTTAACATACGACGTTGAACATTTATTGTGAAATTAAAAACACGTTAACTTCATAAAAGTAAAGAATAATTTTCGAAATTTTCCCAATATCGCAACTTACATATATTTTTATGTTTTGTATGTTTGTTAATGGTACATAAACGATTTCCTTCCACTAAATATCATGACGGAAGCTCATAAGAAAAGGATGAAGTATATTCTTGAAAGCGAAATCTGTAATGTTTTTATATCAAAACATCGTAATTTGTTACATGTGAGTCTCCACGTCGACAACATGACAAACACTCATTCAACTTATGTACAATAAAAGATGTTTACACAACAAATTTTCTTTACCTTTGCTTGAAAGCTGATGCCTGTATAAAATGCTTCTTCCGAGTGAAGTGGAACTCTCAGATCAGGATCATCTTTGACTAAATTGTACGGTTGTGACGGCATTTTAGTGGCAGTGAAGTTTCTCTGCTGAAGGAATTGCTGAAGGGAACACTGCTGATATTATTTTATTCTTACAAAAATTTATCACTCTTCAACTTCTGTTGTTTCTCTTGGTTCCCGTTTTTGTAATGGAATCTAGAAAAGAAATTAGAGAGAACATATTGTCATAAAAATGTTTACACACATATTTTTTTCTTGAGCTTTAATAGAAAATACGAGTTTTATCATTCGCGAAAGCTTTCCTTATCCGAAATTCTTTTATTAGAGACAAAAATTCGCATCGTAAAAGGTTTTTATTCTATGCTTATGCTTTGCGTACGTTTATCAAATTCAGTTAAACAATGCATGAGTAACCACAGTTTTTATGAAGAGATGAAGTATTTTTGTTACTTCCATACGGAATTGAAAGCTTTAAAAGCTTTGTGGGATTTTCTCTTTATACCCTTCGCTATGTTTAGCTGCTTCTATCTTCCACTCAATTTCATTCTAAGAAAAATTTTCCCCTCAACCAAAAGAAAGATACAAATGCATGAATTTTTCTTCTATTGCAATGTTTGCCATACAATAATAAACGAAAAAATTTAAGGTCACGGAATTTGAGGAGAAACCCTCAAGGAGAAAGTTTTGAGACTATTAGGAAGATTTCTTAATTCACCATGAAGTATGAAACTGAAACTGACAAGAAAAAACAGTAAGCATACAATCTGTTTTGCATAAATTTCGCTAATAAAAATATATGTGGATATATAAACTTATAAGTATCTATTTCAGCTTGTTTTTTATGAAATAAAAAAATTAAACGTTGTGCTACTTTCCTTTAAAGACCTCGAGAATCTAAAGGAACAGATCTTCAGGGTGTTTGACGATTATTTATTGAGATGAGAAAGGACAAAAACAAAAGTTTTTTTATCGCATTTTGAACGTGAGTGGAAATAATTTTCTTTTACCCAAAGGAATTGAATGACCAATGTAAACTTTTCCGCTTTCCTTTTGAAACGGAAGCGATAAAGCGTCTTCATAAAATTAATCTCAATTTTGTTTGCAACCTAAACAAATTTATCTTGAGCCCAAAGCCAATATTTGTTTCGACAATAATGAATAGAAAAAGAATTACTCGCTGAATCCCAAAAGCAAATGATAGGAAGAGGATTTTCATTTTACTTATGGATGAATAAAAAGAGAGTAAAGGATTACATACGCAAATAAAAAAGAAAGAAGATAAAAGCTCTTTAAATTCATTACCTGACGTTGTCATAGAAAGGTTGAAGCGAAATGAACAGTCGACAAGAGTGATTCGTGCTCGAATAAAGTGAGAGTATGTTCTTCCATCTAATCATATGGAATTTATAAGCAGATATTTGAGAAGGAAAGGACATCACGTAGAGAAGAGTAAAAGTCTAAGATAAACAAAAATCTTCGGATGTAGCAAAGAAAACGCAATTGAATTGTAAGTGATGGGTGAGAGAACGTTTTAGACGTGATGGGTAAAACCTTTTTCCACAAGAAGTCTTTTCTTGTTCGATTAAGTCAATTTTCTCTTCAAGCACATAAAAGAAGACAGAAAAATAATTAAGTTCCATCTACAAACTTATTTCAACATTAATGAAATTAAAATCAATGCTAAACTTGTCAACAAATCAATCTTTCCTTGATTTATTGATTGTTGCAGTTTATTTACACATATTAAAATCATTTGAGTATGCATATTTAACAATTTCAACATTAAAATTATTTAGAAAAGATGAATAGCCAACAAAGTCTTAGTTATGGAAAAATACTGAAATAAGATGCAAACCAATATGGAATTTGCATTGTTATAAAATTTTGTAGAATTATTGCGGTGAGTGAACCGAAAACTGATTTTGCTCTAGGGCTGTCATGAACTCAAAGATGAACTGACAGAATCATATTTGCATAATTACTGCTTGATGTAACGATCCATCTAATTGTGAATTCGCTTAAAGGATTTCAAGAATCGACAACAAAAATTGTATTACTCAGTTTCATATAATTATGATCTATTAAAGTATATTCGTTGTGTGAGGTAGCAATGAATTACGTTTCAGATCCATGTTTATAATAAACTCCAATTAATTTCGTTTGAGAGAAACATTTCGCAAACTTAACGCTCACTTAAATTTAGCATTTGAAGAAAGACCAACTGAAAGAGTCTTAAAGACAACAGACATTCATAATCTGTTATTTAGGTGTCTGGTCGTGTGGGACTCATGAATCATTTGTTATCATCGTCTTAGATATGTATGTTGAATATTTACTTACACACTGAGACAAAAAAATTAAAGCAATAAAATTCAGACCTAATAAAGATTTTTGCTGTTCAAATTTATATTTGCATTAAATGTTCAATGTGATAGTAAAAATTTGTTACACTCTAAATTTCTTATTATTAGATATCAAACAGCAAAAAAAAGACATTACTGAGCTTGCTTTTTATTGCTTCTACATAGTTTTTTTCTCTCAGTGGTGTCATAAATTTTCATCCCATAACGAGTGTCAAGATGTGACTGGAAAACGAATTTATAATAATTTCTCATCACACTAAATAATATTTTTTGTATGTTCAACATTTGCTTGCCAACGATGACTTAAGATATTCTTAAGTTCAATGTTCTTCTTAAGACTTTAACATTATTAATATTGACTAGACGAGTCGATTTCAATTGAAACACAAAATACTCCTGATAGCTCTCAGCATTTAACAAACTCCCTACAGGGAGCACAGCAATAATCGACAATCAATTTCAATTTATATTACGATGGATTATTTACTTTCCCATTTGATTTTTATAACGAAAAAAGGATCTCCATTCATATCTTTTCAACTTTTCGTGTGCAATGAAAATTTATTTAAAGATCGTCAATCTTAGAAATAACATTCATTCACCGCTGTTAAACTGAATGAGGATAATTTTATATCGCTGACGATTCCTCACGAATATCCAATGAATTTTTTGTTTTAATGTTTTCAGAAAATGGAAATTTTCGCAGACACGAAAATTATTATAATCATAAGCTTTTCATGATGGTGCGTTGTTTGAATTTTTTATGAGATCAAAAACACATAAAATTGCAATTTAAATTTGTAATCACTAAGGAGAGGAAAAAGCAATGTAAATATATGTTGATATATAGGTAAGTATTCGTTTGGGAATGAGAGCTCCTGGTTTTGGTCGAGCATATATGATAATAATGCAATGTTAATAAAATTCGATTAACCAAAGCAATTTAAATGTAAAACGCAAATTTCAGATTCGATAGCAACGTAAATGACATTAAAGTCGTTTCTTTTAATGTTATCTACGTTGTATACGATCAAAAATACCAGTTGAATTGAAAATTTACTTCAAATAATTAATAAAGGAATTCGGAATAAAATTCAAATAGAGATTCGACATTTTAGATATAAACAATGAAGATTTGAAACCAACCTTCTTTAAACATTTCAGACTGATAAGAATATGAAGCTTAAATAAAAGTTACCACAAATCTTTAAATAAAGAAAAAAAAATTCTTTTAAATGGAACACAATGAATGTCGTTTTTAAATGTACGCTTTGACAGAATTCTTTATAAAGAAGTCGATCACAGAAATGAAGAAAATCTTCTGTTATTCAATTTCATGCATCGGAGACTTTTCCATTTCCTATCATATCCTTAAGTCTACTGTTTGAATATCTTCTATAGTCATGCGATGCCATTTTAGTCATATAAATAATTTTATGTTGGTATTTTAATTGAAAACTAATCGACAATACTACACCGGTTGCATTTAAGTTATTTACGTGACACAATAATAAAATTGAAGCGCAATTAATTTAAATAAAGACAGAAACTCTATTATTTATTACTATTCAAATTGATGTCTATAAGAGAAACTTCCAAAAGTCCCAAAACTTGCAAGTCAGATGCTAATTAATTTTACAATTCTACCCACTTCGCAATAAAATTTATTTTCACATCTTTTAAAACCGCAAATTAATCAGAAGCCGCTTTAATTACTTTCACATCGACATATCTGAATGAGCGATAAGTTTTCTCAGTTTTTATGACAGAAATCTGTTGAGTTTCTCCAAATTTCCAATTTTTAACATCAATCTTCTCTTCGTCATTGTCGTTGTTGTAATCGCAACATAAGACAGGCATGTTTAATTTTAATTGCATTAAAAGAGCGACACTCATTCAACTTGACATCTTTCGTGAACACACGACATGTGTGAGAGCGCCAAAAGGTGTTTTGTTTGCTTTATGTTTTGGAATAACGAATGGCGAAAGCAGATAAAGGAAAGAGAAATTATTTTTATCATCCAACTGCGCAAAAAAAGCCATTTAATGGTGTAATAAAAAAAAAGGCTTTAGAAATTCCATAAATGCCCATCAAAACAGTTGACTTGCCATCAATGCGTTCATGTTTGCACATTATATACACAGTTTCATTTAATTACATTAACGTCAAAGTTATAGATAAAAAACATGGAGGCAAAGAAGCTCAACAACTTTAAATGAAATAGTTTTTGCTAATGCCTTCATACACTCGAATTTCCAAACAAGCAAACGAATAACTTTCATATTTATTGCATTTATTTTGGTTCATGCCTTTTTTTACTGAGGTTTTCCTCTCGCCAGATTTTTTCAATTTTCTTCTTTTATTTCCTTTTACATTTGTACGTTTGGTCGAAATTGTTTTGAAATTCTAAAATGCTTTTAACCTAGCAATTGCAAATGATTGTTCTTCCAACAGATGCTTTCATTTGAGAACTTTAACTAAAAAAATTTCTAATGCTTCTATCACTGCACATATGAATAGGGATCTGTTTAGATTTCAACAATACTTCCTTGTGTTACATTCTCATGAACAGAGATTCATCTTCTTTTCATTAATCTCCTTGTACCGTTAGCCTTTCATGTCATAAACCAGAGTTGTAAATACGCAAGCTTTTGAACACGAACTGGGGAAATTCCGCTAATAACCTTAAGATTATAAGCAAAAACCACCGATGAAGTTTTGACTAATGACTTTTTGCTGTTTTCTAGTTTTCTCATACCCAAGTTATCAGATCACAAATTTTTAGTATTTGGGAAAGCAAGGCACAAATCTGTTTACTATGCCTTGTGGGTTTACTTTCCCCACATACTCTCAAGTATGATAAAATTCAATTCTGTTGTTGTGCTGTCATTGATACTGAACGGATGGATTAGATAAATTATGAATGTATTCGATATTCGACAGACATGAAGAGTTTAATATTTATTCAAATAATTTGGACGATTGGAATCCATAAAAGATAAATCAGGAGATCGTCGAAAAATATTTTTGACAAAATTGAAAAAGTTTCGACCTCAATTTGAAAGTCGGGTAAAGTCACATTCAATTCACCATGATTATTCAAATTTATATTAATTGAAATGCTTCGACTTCTCAACAATCGCAATTTATTAATATTCAACATAAAAAGAACGAATAGACAATAATTAAACTTTTTCAATTTAAGGTTTCCATTCATCTTTAATTTTTCCTCTGAATTTTCTCTCAACTTAATAAAAGAGCAAAGTTTCGATAAAAGAAAAGTTTCAGGAGATAAATTAATTCTGAAAAGGATTCTTTTTTAATGTTTTTTAAAATCAGCACGAATTAATATTATCTGAAAAAAATGCATTAAGGATTCGAAGCAAATTCAACTCTTGCATAACAAAATGTGCATTTAAAGTCTAACTAGATAATTGATTTTGTTTCTCGCATTTTTATTATAAAATATTTTCAAGGCTTCCTTCATTGTGTTATCTAAGTTTTTAAAGTTTTGCAATTTATAGATATAAATTATTTAAATCAAAAAAACGATCAAAGTAAAAAAAGTTCATGATGTAACTTTAAAAATACTGCAATAAAATTAAATGATTTCGCTGAATTTGATGAACAGAAAAAAAGTAAAAAAATCAATTTCAAAAGCACTTTGCAAATTTTAACTCTTTGAAAAGGTTAAATGCTTAAAAGCTTTTTTTTTCTCTTTAATAGATCATAAAAACCTGTGATGATCACAGCAATAACCAGAAGAAATAGTGGCTGATGAATAAGGAATATTGATAGCTTAATCAGAAAGCTGCTGCAGAAGCAGAAATTCAAAGAATGAGATTTCAGTTCAGTCACGACTTCAATTTCCTGAATTAGAATCAAGTTGAGACAATGACGACTTAACATTAATGTTTTTCTTGTTTCTCAAACAGAACCCAAATTGCAGCCTCATACAAGTACCGAGAAACAATATGTAATTAGTTATTTTTCTCACGATTTTCTTCCTTAGATTTACTGATAAAATTACTTGTTTTGAACTGCTTGGCTCCCATCCAAAAGTTGAATGAAATTGAAAGAACAATTCATACAATCTCCAAAAGTGAAACGCTTTTGGCAATTCAAGTCACAATTGAATTTGCTATATTTCATAAATTGAATTTAATTTCAGCATCAGATGTTCTATTTGAAAGATGTATCAACCACTTCCTAATTTGATGGCGTCATTTAGTCTCTTCGATTATTTTTGAAGCAAATGACAATTGTTATATATTTCGTTTACACTCTAAATGCAAAATACTGTGATGATTGATTCTTGAAACAATATTTTCACTCCTAAATACGTCAGATTTTTCTTAATGTCATATTTTTGATGAGATTTAAAAGAAATTTCAATCTTATTGATTATGTTTATGATCCATAAAAAAATAATAAAAATAAAAATGACGATTTTTTTGAATTCACAATCATTATTTAATGCTCAGTCTCGTTTAACCGCGATATATTTCTTTATTCATTAGATAGCCAATATTTTTTATCACGCAATAAATACTTTTGACCTAAAATAAACAATAATTTAATTTCTTTGAGTATATCATTTTAGTTCACGGCAAACATTAAAAATCTTTTTGATTTGTATCATGAAACATAATTGTAAGTTTTATAAATATGCGACGTTATTCAGAAACATGTTCTTCGTATCAGTTTCCCCTTTGGTTTGAATTGCTTATCTTATTTTAGAAAGTAAGACATTTTCTTGAAATTTTGTTATCTCTCGAAAAAAGATGTGAAAATTTAAACAAATTGCAATGCAACAAATAGCTACAATCAAGTTTTATTTTGTATGCCACTACTCTTTGTGCATATATTTTGATTGCAACTTGTTAGGAAAGAAAATAAGAAGCTTTCTTGAGGCTGTGATTTCCACTTTAATGACTTTGAAATTTTTTCAAAGATATTCAAATCTGCATTGCCTTAGATTAAAAATTGTTTAAAAATCAATCTTCAATAAAATAAGTTCATTGAACTATGAACTTTTTTCGGTTTCCCCTAATTTTAATCTCATCTTTTCTTTATGCTTCTTTCGTTCTTGGTTCTAACACCAATTTATCTTTGTTTGTAACTTCAGGTTCAAAGCTTTGAAAATTTTCAATTGTTGGCTGACGTATAAATATATAGCTCATTACCAAAAGAAACAAGTTTGGGAGTATACAAAGCATAAATACTTCCTTCGTGTATTAGAACAATTGAAAATTTCAGAAAACCGGTTCTTACATGAGAATTCTTCTCAGCTGCCAGAGATTCTCTTCTTCTCCTACACATCAATGTAACTTATTATTTGCTTGACTTCTCCACTACATCAAAATTTCATTAATGTGCTTATTAAGCAATATTATTTGATGAAGATATAACACGTAATGTTTTTAACAAAAGGAAATTCATGTGCTGCAAAAAATTTAGGTATGACTTAGAAAACAAATATTTGGAACGGAAAACACGAGAATTCAATTTTCTTTAAGCTCTCTAAAAGTCAATTTACTTTTTCTGTTATTGAAGTTTCGATGTTATGTATAACAGAACCATAAAGTTGGAAATCACAACCATCGTGTATTCCTAAATTGCCAAATAATTATATTCTGACATTCATGTCGTAGAAAAGAGTAAAAACCCAAAACATTACGTCATAAACAACTGAGATTTCGAAACATACGAAAAAAAACCTACATATATAAATGATTAATGATATACTTGAGCAATTATCTAACTAAGAAGTTGGAGAAAAATCTCTGGCAACAAACTTTACCATTAGACTATGTAGATGAAATTAATTTCTAACATTTTTTAACTCAATTAATTTCTTTGCTTTGCCTTTCATCGCTTTGTTTATTATCACTTTCTTTAATAAAAGCAATCGATTGAAATCTGCTCTTGATGTTTTTAATATTTTCAATTGAATTGTAGAAATCTAGTAAAGCTTCTATATTTCGACGAATTCAGATCATCATGTTGCATTTAACTAAAGAACATTTATCTTTCAATCAATTACAAAGCCATTCTTTCAATCATTACTGAAGCGTTATAAATAGATTTTTGCTTCTATTCATAATAAATTGAATAGGAAGTCTTCTTTGTCGAATATTGTCAACGCAATTCGTGACGTTTAATTTGATTGTTAAGAATCTTTTGTGCTTCTAGCTGTCGTCTTTATTAACGCTGCGCTTTATTTTGTTTATTGTAGCATATTTTAAAGTATGACAAGGAATCAATGTTTCAATTCAAAATGTCAAATGAATTAAGTATTTTAATTCTTCTTATATTTTTATAATTTCATTTCAGTTTTTATATGAAACTTTATTAATGAAACTTGTAAAAAAATCATAAAATTTAAAATAAAAACCCTTTAGGAGTTACAATTAATGCCTTCTTGTGCTTTGACTTAAACATCACTCAGTTCAGGCTTCATTCCGAATCATAAAATTGTTGCAACCACCAACAGAACAGTACTTTCAACCAACAGATTTCTCAAACTGTAATGTGATGCAATTGAAGACATAATTCGGAATAAATATTAAATCATAAAGCATCATTAACTCAATTTTATATTAGTACTCAGGATCAAAGCGATAAATGTTCTATATAACTGGATTGTCTCAGACAAGATACAAGAAGTTTCATTATGATATCAAGAAAAGTATTCAGTGCTAAATTTGATTGAAATGAGTTTCATTCAAAATTCACGCAAAAAATTTTCCATATTCAATTAATTTTTCATTAGAATTAATTCTTTCTCAATCAAAGTTCAGTAATCACGAAATTCATGTCTGAAATTTGATAAACCACACGAAATCATTGAAAGAAGATCTCTGACGTCAATGAGAAAATTTATTTCATCTTTAAAATGATTTATTCTTATTTTTTTTCTCCAACTAAATGAAAGATGGAAGAATAAGTGAAAGTAAATCTTTGGAGGTCAAACTTGAATCCTTGGGCATCTAAACAATTTAATTCATCGGTAATTAATAGAGTTTTTTGCTATGAGGCTATCATTATCGGTGCCTTTCATTATTTATTAAGATTATTTTTATTACAACAACATGCAAATGATTAGGTTGAACTCTTTCAGCGATCGTGATTTCCACGAGGCAAATGCATATAATTTATAGTTTTATTGTTAGGTTCAACTCTGTTCACACTCTCATGACTTTCGAAATCCTTTCAAGTTTAAAATGAATTAAATAGCATAAAATGCTCAATAAAACAGATGTTCAATGCGAATAATAGTGAGATTGAATTAGAAAATAAATTTTAAAATTCGTTGCTTTTCATTTAACTTACTTATGCCAAATGATCATGTGCTCATGTCATGAAGTCATTGACAACCAAAGTAATTGAAAACTATCCCGAAAAAGAAAAGCTTCACACTATCCCGAGCGGCACACACTCGCCGTGCCGGAGGCATACGTTTGCACTACGACGATTTTTAGTTGGCACTTCCTTTGGCTTTTCCTTCAGAAATCAGCGAAAATAACCGAGGTATCAATTTACCACTAACAGTTGACGCTACGGTGCTTCCCCACATGCCATTAACTCTAAATAAGGCTACCATAAGGCAGCTTAAGAAATTCTTCACTAGTCCAACACATAACTAACTTAAGGTGATAGAATTAGGCGATAGCCAGTAGTTTTTAGCCAAATGTCTTTCATATGGCGGATTCTAAAGGAAAGCCTTCCCATTAAATGGAGACGATACTCGTATGCCAGATTTGTGAGAGACATCGCCTATTGTGCCGCTCGGGTATGATTTTAGTAAACTTTCAAAAGGGACAAACACGTTTTCATATTATTTCTCTCAATATATAATTCAATTGCAAACGTGAAGAAGTAAAATCTTTCGCAAAGGAAAATAGTAAAAGATATCATTACGTTAATGGAGTAAAATACTGTAGAAATTTTCCGAATGTGAATTAAGCGTCACGTGACACATTGTCATGCTAACTCAAGAAGCAAAATCATTCGATATATGTATGTTCACTTTTATTTCTTTTATTCAATCATGCCCAGGGGTCGGAAGCTTAACGATTTTTCGCAAAAAGCTTCTAAGCTTCCGCTTCGGCTTCCCAAAATTCTGAAAAAGCTTCCAAGCTTCCGCTTCGGCTTCTCAAAAAAATGAGCTTCTTTAAGCTTCCGCTTCCGAAGCTCAAAAAGATGAGCTTCTTTAAGCTTCCGGCTTAAAGTCGGTTCATTTTCCGAACCGGTTCATTATGTTTCGTTAAACCAAATAAAATCATGCCCAGGGGTCGGAAGCTTAACGATTTTTCGCAAAAAGCTTCTAAGCTTCCGCTTCGGCTTCTCAAAATTCTGAAAAAGCTTCCAAGCTTCCGCTTCGGCTTCTCTAAATTCTGAAAAAGCTTCCAAGCTTCCGCTTCGGCTTCCCAAAATTCTGAAAAAGCTTCCAAGCTTCCGCTTCGGCTTCTCAAAAAAATGAGCTTCTTTAAGCTTCCGCTTCCGAAGCTCAAAAAGATGAGCTTCTTTAAGCTTCCGGCTTAAAGTCGGTTCATTTTCCGAACCGGTTCATTATGTTTAAATTTCCGTTAAACCAAATAAAAATTCAAAGCATGCTGCAATATAAAAATTTTAAGCTTCCTTCGGCTTCTCAACATTGAAAAAGCTTCTAAGCTTCCGCTTCGGCTTCTCAAAATTCTGAAAAAGCTTCCAAGCTTCCGCTTCGGCTTCTCAAAATTCTGAAAAAGCTTCCAAGCTTCCGCTTCGGCTTCTCAAAAAGTTGAGCTTCTTTAAGCTTCCAGCTTCCGCTACCGCTTCGGCTTCCGACCCCTGATCATGCCAATTGCAAGATTGTATTAAGTCTGTGATTCTTTACTCACTGTCAATAATTTCTTTTATGCAATGAGATGCGAAATAATTATGTTTACTTACCGTTTCCACGTACATTGAATTTCTTCCTAAACTAGAACTGGTTCATGAGACAATCATTTCAATCTAACCGGGAAAATAGATGTAACTTGATTTGTATTTTTCTTTTCTGCAAATATAAGAAAATAAGAGAAATATTTAAAATCTAATTTGTGGTTTCCATAGCCGTAAATTTAATTTACAGCACGTAATTGTTACTATTAAACTTTTATTCAAAGTCGTATGATTAAATTATTTAAATTTTACACTCTGGTGATTTTACAGCATTTGCCAGTTGTGGAAATCAGATAAATTTATGAATCATAAAATGAACAAAATTTCCCTATGGATTCTAATAAATTTCTTGTCGAGCGCAATCCAATAACCAAACATCTTCGGAAGTAAAACGTTCAGGATATTGCTCCACTTATGCAGGCTTCAATGAACACGATGTGTATTCAAGAAAATATTCCAAAAAGAAGAGACTTGTTAGGTATTGAGTTGTGGTATAACAATTGCGGAAAACATTTTTTCATTCATTGAATGAGAGCTTTTTGTTGGAAAATCAAAGTTCCAGACTCTAATTCTCACATCATTGTAAGCTTGTGTGAAAAAGGCAAACAGAAAAGAAAGAATCAGTTTTCCACTCAATCTTTTCATGTCGTCGAGCTTCTGTTTTCTCTTGCTAGAATTGGCATGTCAAAACTTTTGTTGTCATATTCAATGTCATTGTTGATGACAAGATTTTATGACTTCCTATAAATTGCTGGAAATATTGGGAGAAAAGGAACATGAAATCTGATAAACAAGAAGAGTATGACATAAAGTCATCATGAAACCTTTCTATCTTTTATTGACGACGTTGAGATGTTCATTGAAAGAGATATTTTTTGTTATAGACGAAAGGAGAAAGAAAACCAAGAAGACAAAAGTAAAGCTAAACATAATCATATTGTTCAATCCATTTTTGATTTAATTTCTCATAAACAGAAGTTACATGTCAATTTACTATCAAGCAGTTTATCTAAGCATATAAGTTTCTCGGATAACTTCCCTATACATAATTCTTATCACTCAGATAAGTATTTTTACGTGTATTGAAATTGTGAAGAGATAAAACGTAACGATTTTGATCGCCTGTCATCATAAGTTGAAGATGGTGTTAAAGAAAAAGAAATAAAATAAGTTGAGCATCCAATCCACATCTAGTGAGAAGAACAGGAAGAAAGTGAAGGAAACGAAGATTTTTACAGAGACAGTTATCATGCCTGCTCACGATAAGTTGTTACGTTCCAAAGGGTGACAGATTAAATTATGTAAATCACTGACGATAATGCACACACTCAGATTCATACAAGACAAGATGTTTTCCTGTCACTCGCTGAAAGTGAGTTTTTTATTCATATTTGTGAATAAAGAAATGAAAACGGATGGATTGAGATTAAAATGGAAAACAGCCCATACGTTGAAGGTTTCATCACAACAAGAGAATTAAAGCTATTCACTTGAGCTTGATGTTATTTATTTTCACTTGAATGAAAGTGAGAATTTGTATTTTCAAAGCAAATATTTTATTTCTGCACAGTCTGTGACTCAGTTCAGCATTAAATATTAGAAATAAATTCTTTTTGACTCGAACATCGGTAAGAATACCAGAAAGCTTTTTGGGCATTGTTTAGCAGACAAAAAAGTTTAAAACCATTAACGCAGCCAACAGCCATTAAAAGTTCATTAAGAATTCATTTAATTTCCTTTTCTTTTGCTCGTCCCTTATTATTCCAGATGAATTGAAATTTATAGGATAAATTTGAGCATCTTTCATTCAGTTGAAATATTTCAGGAATTCTATTTGAGGGAGTAAAATAAAACATCGACATAAGCTGTTTTAAAGAGTCTTTAGCGCATATAAAGCTTTAAATTATTTTGGGCTTTTTCATGGTTTTATTGAAAATATCTCAGAATTAAATATAAAGGAATAATTTAATGGAAGCTTTTCCCCCTTTTCCAATCTCTCAACAAATTTCAAAGTTTTTTCAGGTAACACTGATTCATGTGTTGTTAATTTCACACTTGACTTGCTTGTAGGATTTTCATCGTTCATTTTGCCATCAATTACAAAGAAGGGACAAAAAAAACTTTTCTGAGCAATTTTCCAATTTAGATTCCAAAATGTTATCAGCTGTTGATGATCCATTCTTGTAAGGTTCATTTCTAAATACCTATCGGTTAAACATTTCTGTTGGAAACCCCCAAGTTAAGCCTACAAATTGTTGTCTGTTCAATTTGTTGGAAAATCCTTAATAGGAGTTTAGACTTCAAAAGAATGATGTTCTCACATTATTATTACATAAAATCCATGCATGTTAAGGGATTTCGTTTATGGTTCTCTAGATTATCATTCAAGCATGAAAATTGTCATATCTTCTAATTTTATGACGAGATTATTTGTATAAGATAAAAAAAATTTCAACGAAAATGTTCATCTCAACAAAAATCTTCAAATTCATAAATGAATCAAATAAAAGTCAGAAATCTTTTGACCTCAATTAGAATGGGATAAGTTAAAATGTAAACAGCATGTCAGTATTTGATGTGCGTCTATCGATGTCATTTATAAGTTCAGAAGTAAGAAGAAAGAACGTCGTTCGACAGACAGACTTAAGACTGATATTTAAAAATAATGAATTTGCTTGAATTGACTGCGAACATACGATACGGAAACCTTTGAATTGATTTTCATAATATTTCCACATGTTTGAAATTCATTTTCATAATCATTTTCCATTCACAATTTTCATTTAAAAAATTATTTTTAGTCGTGTCAAAACTTCTTTCGATTTTCATCATCATCATCGGTTGATTTTATTTACTTGAGAGTAACAAAATTTCCGCCGCTTCTGCTACACAAAAGATGAAAATTTTTCTCGATGCTAAAACTCATTACTTTTTCTTTTTTCTTCATTCTAACCGAACATTAGGCGCTAATGTATCATTTTGATTATAATAATCTATTATCAGTGGTATTATCAGGCAAACAAGCTTTCAGCAGATGATAATGATGATGGAAAGTGCTACAATATTTGATGACTGATGACATTACATTGTCAGCACATACATAAATAGAATACATACGATGTGTTACTTTTACGCTCGTTTAATTTTTATACCTTGCGATGTTTTTTTAGAAGATTACCATTAAGTTGAATTCTCGTGTTGAATCATGAAGAGCAACAGACCTTTTTCAAAACAAAGAAGCAATATCAAGGTAAGCATCTTAAAAAGGGATATCACGTACTGAATTTCAAGACAATCAACCCCGAAGAAAAGGACGAATAATTGAATCAGAATTATCTTCTTTTATATCCACACTAAAGAAAGGTCTTTGCTTGAAACGTGGTGTTTTGGAGAACATTTTAAGATACTTATTGAAGCAATCATGTTTTTCTCAATGATTCAACTTACTCGTCTTCATCCTGTGATGATTTCCAATTTCTTACAACATTGAAACACTTCATTTAATGAAAAAGAAACGAGAGAAGAAATTTTCAATGACTTCAGTAGAACAAAGACAAAAAGGGTTTTCGTAACGATAAGTCTCTCAATCAATCTTTGATTGGTTTCATAACCTTTTCAAGAGCTTTATTTAACAGCATTGATAATTAGGAAGGAAACATCCTTCTAGCAGAATTTTCATACATTTACTGGAGTGTCTTAAATTAGTGAAATTTTTAGTAAAACACCAGAAAGTAGAGAAAATTCCTTTAATCTTGCAAAAGTTTTAATATTTTCGGTTATCTTAATCCTGGCATTAAACTGTAATAATTCTTTGAAAAAGATTTCTAGTTGAACCCGAAAAAGCTTTTAAAATCCCATTTGAAACTCTTTTACAGATAAAACTTTTCCTTCTTCCTTCTAACATGTTCAAATTTCATGTGACTGACTGACTGTGCAATGAGAGAAATTTAATTCTCATACTTTCATTTTTCATCTCGTGCTAAAGTTCATATTGAGCTTCATTCCATAGCCATTTTATCATAAAAAAACAGCAATTTTGGTAAAAAAATTCTAGCATTCGCTTCCTTTTATTGTGATACTTTGGCTTACCGTTGTCTGTCATTAATGTTCGCAAAATAAATAATGGAATGTGAGGCATGAAAAGAGCGATGTTAAAAGCATAAATCAAAAAATGAATGTAAAAGGTGATCTCAGATGAAATTTGATGTATTCACATTTATAGTAGTTAGTTTACAGCTTAAAGCAACAATGATCTAAATCATACATCAAAGGAATTTTTTAAAGAGAGAAGAGATGTTGATTGATAAGTACAGAAATGTGATGATGAGAAATTGCATCGAAATTTTACGATTTTCTTTCATTGATATGTAAATTTTCATGTCACACTAACATTTAGAAAGTCACATAAACACTCTCAACATGATTTTTGACCTTAAATTTTACACACCATTTGACTATCGTAAATCGACATAAATCAGCAAACGAATGACCCGAGATTTACGTTATCTTGAATATTTTTTTTATAGAATTACTAATGGCTTAGCTTACAACAAAAGCATTTATCACAAACAGAGCCATACGAAAGCAATCATATTTCATTATAACAGATAATAATAAAAGTGGTTACTGCATGGCTTTGTGATAAAAAGGAAAAGAGGGAAATATTCTTAAAAATATTCAATGTTGTCCCATAAATAATCGAAAATAAAAAAGCTCGTAAAAGTATGAGCATAAATTTCGCTCGTTGTTTAAGAGATAAATATTGTTATTGTTATTTACCATAAAAATAATGTTTTGTTCTCACATCTTTTTATTTTCTTAAAGGGATCAGGAAATGAGATGGAAATTCATGCCAACAAATTTTAGGCAGAAAATAAGGAGTTATCACGGAATTTCAATATTTGCATTTCAGATTTCTGAAAGCTGTTAAAATGTTTTATTGCTTTTGTAACCCCGCACCATGTCAATTGCAAATCATCAAGTAAGAATTGTCTTGTGGCAACTCAAGACTTCAACTCGAATGTGTTTTCCTGACAAGTTACCAACATGTTGTACATATTCCGCTCCAAGCAAATTTGTTTAAAAGTCAAAACATTTTTCTCTAAATTTATCGAACAATTTTGCAACAATTTTTATTATTTCTTCTTAAACAGTTTCAATAAGTAGCTTCCAGCATGAGTCAGAAACTCCAGTCACAAGTTAAAAATCATACAATGTAATAGTCTACATATTTCAAAACAATGAAATGGCAATATGCAATAATGTAATATTTAATACGAACACATATCAAGCACACAACACTTGAACTTTTTAATTTACGTAAATTCAATTGCAATTAACATCTTTCTTCATTTCCATTCCGAACATTAACATAATTATTATAGTCATTTGTGCAAATTATTGTTCTACAATTTTTTGCGATTTGAAGGAATTTCTTTTTACTCATAATCATTTGCAGTGTTTACAAATGTGAGTTTTATGGGCGGAAGCCGCAACATAAATATTCGAATATAAGTTAAGAGATAGTTTTCTTTGGTTTGGTATGGAGAAGTAAAAGTGTAATTGTCAAGCAGAAGTTGGTGGTCTATAAGTATAACCCATTGCCATAAACATTGAGAGTGAATCGTCGGTTAATTAAAGTGTAAAAGAAACATATGAATAAACAGCTGATATAACGGCTATTTACAGTGACCAGACACAGCCTAGTCATCGAAATCCGAAGAAAAATATTTATGAATGAAAAACGGTGAATTACTTAGATACCTGTTGATGAAACCGCGCACGGATTACATCATTCAGCTGTTGACAAAATCATCGTCGTTCATAGAAAAGCAAATCTTTTCTGTTGAAACGGTGAATGACGTTAGCGTTAAATATCAACACATGTTTCGTCGTGAGAGAATTTTCCTGATAGTTCAACATACATTTTAGCATGTCGAGAAGAAATGGGTCAGTAATGCGTGTCTTCTACTTTATTATGTTGATCCAGATTGTAATGGAAATATTATTATTTATTTTATGAGAAAACTGACGTTCATAGATCGCCTCACATCGAAGAGATGAATTATTAAGCTTATTTATTCGCCTCTTCAGTGTTTTTTCTGACGAAAGCTTTTTCGTTCATGTCATGATACGTTACTCATTTTTTTTAACATTTCTTTTGACATGTCGTTAATATTCTTAGAAAATCTAAATGATATTTGCGATGTAAACAAATTTTGGTATCGTTTGTTGAGCCAAAAAAGTGCAGACTTTTAGTCTCGGTACGTTTGCTAAAGTCTATTTTGGAATTTCCCTCTTTTTGTGCCAATAACTCTAATGGATATTTCATTTGAAGTCAAAAATCCCTGAAATATTTCTCAAGAAACTTCTTCAAGCGAACAAACATGCAAACTTAAATGAAGAACCACCAATAAAAAATGTTGCTGGAATGTCCGGAGTAAATGAAGAAAATTATAAGAAGACGTTAGAAAAGCCTTTCAAGACTTTGGCCAGTGAACTTTACTGCCATCTCCTTTGACCCACACTTCGACGAAAAAGTAAATCAAACACAAAACAAAATGAAATTCAATCTTCAAAGCCTCTTAAAACCACTCAAAACCAATACAAACAAAGTATCAAAATATGAAACGAAACGAAGAAGGCCTTGAATAATGAAAAGAAAACCAAACAAATTTTAGCGTATGTTAAGAACTTGATACGATTCGTCTTTAAAGCAAGTTTTTCTGACTTCTTGCTATTTTAATACAGAATTTCATTTCAAGAAATTAAATTAAATTCATGAAAAGGAAGCCCAATGCTGCTTAAAAGCAATATGAAGATTGAGGCCGACAGAGAGTCAAGAATGGAACATTTAATAAGATGAATTAAAGGAAGAAAGGTTTATGCACTCAAAAACGTTTCACATTATGTGTCGAAAACAGGTTTTATCCAAAGAACTTCTGTCAGCTGCTGGTCAAATCATCAATTGTGCGATTTCATCATGCAATCGTATTTTTGAATGCATAGAACAATAATTTTAACAAAATGGGAATGAAAAAAAAGTTGTCTAAATTCGGTTTCTTAAGAACTTCTTATTATTGAACACAAATATGAATACAGGGAATTGACACAGAGATGATTCAGATTACATTCTTCTTAAACTTGAATAAAAAATGTTCAATTTGAAACTCAAGTGGCGTTCCAATACGTGCAAGTAAAAAATCGGCTTCAATTTTCACAACTTCATTCTTGGCAAACATGATCGAACTTCTCTTTTTTGAATCATTATCTTTATTACCTCACGTTTTCATGTTGTGTAATTTTCAATTTTCTTTTGCTTCGACTCAATTCGTTCCCTGATCAAACGCTAATTTTCCGTTAAGTTATTTCTCAATTCACCTTCGATTGATTGTGACTCATGTTTGGAAATCGAAAGTATCCGCTTGACTTAACTTCTTCGACATATATGCAAAAGATAAACAAACAATAGAGTTATGTTTATATGTGACACACACTCATATTTTAACTTACCCTTCCCAAACTGCCGATCCTTTCCCATAATCAAGTTAAGCAATTCTTTACGTTTACATATAAATTAAATTTTGCGTCACCTGGACTTCACTGCGTTTATTCATTCAACTTATGTTTCACAAAAAAAGAAGAAATGAAATCAACCGAACCGGTTCTTAACAGCTGAAGGAAGAGAGGAGAAATGAGACTATAAAAATTTAGATTCAATCCCAAACCATAAGAATCACAATAAATTATGCAATGTAAATTGTTTCATCATCTGCCTATCTCGCAAAAGGTATGAATAAACAATCTTACGTATGCCTTTTCTTTTCTCTTAATAAAGCCAAATAATCCCAGTGATTAATTAGCTTAAGGAACAATTAGTGAGAAAAGTTAGATTAGATTAGGAAAAGTTTCATCCCAAGGAAGTACGTATAATCAGAATTATGGCCTAAAAAAATTAATCAGAAAACATTCTTGTTTCTCGTGATTTCTCATTAAAATTTCAAAAGAATATTCTTATCTTCAATTAACAAGTTCATGTCTTTTCTTAAGACTCTTAAACATAAATCATTTCAAGTGGGATTAAAAATTAACACAACGCATCGTAAAAAATTGACGCTAATGTCAAATAAAGCAAGAAAATCATGAGAAATGTGAGATGTTATGAGCCCAACTTAATAAAAATTGATATCATTATCATTTCGAGAGCGGAAAATATGTTGTCCATTTGTGTAAAAAATGTCCTTTCTATTTTCATGACATCAGACGGAGATGAAAAGAAAAATACGACAATGGTCTGCTCTCACATTATCATATTTTCATCGTAAAAAAAAAAACAGAATAAGCAAGCACAATGAAACGACCCGAAATTTGTGATAAAAGAAGCATCGAATGGATTAAAGAAAGGAAAGCAGCATAACTCATCTTATTGAAATGACCTGCGGCCATAATGCATCATCTTATGTTTATGAATGATTATGAATGCTTTCATAGATAAACTCTGTCACTTCATGCTGGTCACAGAATGTATATAAGAAGCTGTCCAAGTAACCATTATATCAGTATATACTGATTATGTTTATCTATGTCAATCTTTAGCCCATCATAATAAAATATAAAGCAAAATTCTTCTCCGAAAGAATCACATTCGCATCTATCAAATGTAATCAGAATCTTGCTTGTCATAAAACCCAGCTTTCTGCCTCATAGCAACACCAAATATGTCAATCTTTTTTCACTTCTGCTAAATCCTTTCTCAGAATCTTTTATGTGCCTCAAGGGTGGTTAGAGCGTTTACTCTTTTATGTAGTTTTTTCAGAGAAATATTTATTTCGTTGTGATCTTCAGTTTTTGGTCTCTTGAGAAGAAAACTTTTATTAGTAATCGTGAGAGCTTTTGTTAGGGAAAAGCTTTTTTGTGGCAATCTTTATTTATTTATCTTCAGTGTTTTGTTGTTGGTGTATAAAGTGGCTGATAAAAAGATATTCCAATGGTCTTGTTAAAAGAATCAAATGTTTTTCAGAAGAAACTTTGAAAGTTGATCTTTTCTTTTACAAGACCTTTCTTTTTCCTTTTTTCGGTCGTAAAAGAAACATCAAGCTCATAATTTTATGCCTGACCGTCTCCGACCAAAAATTGGTTTTCTTGTCATCCTAATTATGTTTACAGTCAGCCATGAGCCTCGCTTGAAATTGAATTTGATTGCAAGAAAAATTATCATTGTTGGAAATGATGCCATTTTTTTTATTATTATGATTTTAATTTTTGGTATTTCCGGTCGCGATGGGTAGAAAAAGATTTCGAAGAGAGACAAAATAAAAGTAAAATGTTGGAAGACGCTTGAGGCCACCCAAAAGGCAATTCGTTAAATTTCAATTCTACTCACACTCTAATTCTCATTTTTTTTATCCATCATACTTAGTATCTAAAAATTATTTTTAAGGTTTCTTATTACGCTTTATCACTCCAGTCCCTTTTAATTGTATCATCAAAATTGCCATGCCCATTTATTATTTATTTAAATATCATTCCCAACCTTCCCTTATTTCATCTTTACTTTCTTTGAGTACAAACTAAATGCCTTATAATTTTTTACGTAATTAAAGTATAATTAAACTAAGTTGCGCTAACTATCAGCGAGAATGTCGTTCTTTGCCGTTTCATTGCCATCTAGTAATGCAATTTAGAATTAAAATGGAATAAGCAAGAGAGTGGAAGAAGTGAATAGTTGTCAAGAGCAGTTTAATTCAATTATTTCTGTAGTGCTTCTTGCTGGTTTTCAATTTCCCTTTATTTACTCTATCATTAGTATACTTCGAATCAACTAAATTTAATTTTTATCGAGCACAGCGCTTGTAAATTTCCTTTTTTATGATATCTACTTAAGAAAGTTTCTTTGTTATGTTTCGTTTTATTATTTTTATTGTCTATAACGCCAAGCTCCCAAAAATGACGTCGCAATAAAGTTCCAATTAAAGGCATTGTCAGAAAGGCGTGGCAAGTCTCGATAATTTAGATTTTGCGAGAAATTCAATCTCTATTTTCATTTTTGATCAAAGCTGCTTGAAAGTTTCTCCGCATGAATGTGATGAATGTTGTAAAAACTTCAATTATTGTTGAGATTGATCATTATAAGTAGTCACAACAGCCGCCCATTGAACGTGAACATAACAAAGGCAAGCGCTAGCATGAAAAATGATGTTTCTATGAAATTCGCAAAGTGTCAAACCCAAATCCACATTAATCCATCACAATTGCTACTCCATATCTAAGCGAGAAAGTCTTTAATCGTGAAATTGCATTCACTATTTTTGTGATATCATTAAAATCTCGATTAAAGTTTTCGATTTATAAAAATGTTTTATTTCGAATGTGCAGAAATAAACGCACCGTGCATTTTGATAATGATAAGTTGATTTTTAATTTAATTTTTCTGCCATCTTGCATTTTGAAATCAATTTATAATTGGCTGCTGCATAGTTAAAGGAATTGCAAACAAGAAGCTAAATACAATGCACCATAAAAACAATGCTGAAGCAATTTTATCGAATCCAACAAATAACTCCATTTTTTCCTCGTTTGCAATGAGCTCAGCTGAGTAAATTGAAATATGTAGCATTGATGCAGCATTTTTTTTGTAGTGCACGTTTTGTGCTTCATGCAATTGTGATATTTTTCTTGTTACACCACAAGAAAGAAAAATATTTTCATTAGACAGAAACAACGATGATGATGATTGTCAGTTGCAGAAATTATTTAGAAAATTATTGGCAAACATTCATGTCGAAGTGATAAATATACAATGACGTATCTTGCTATTTACTTATGTTTAAGCTGCAACTTGCAACTTAGAGATGATCAGTAATGAAACATAAAAAGTTTTGAATCTGAAACAACAAACTCACGACTTGAGCGGACTCATGACTCACTAGTTAACTTATTTTTTATTTTTATATAGCAAGAAAAAGACTGAGAGAAGAAATGAAACAATGCAGAAGTTTTCCCGTTAATTTAGTCAAATTTGAACATGTGGATTTATAAGCCACACACGACTAATCAAACTAATCGCATTGAAACTAAATTCGACGAAAAATTGCTTGATTCGTCCTACTTTTCTTGATTTGTTAAAGCTTACAGAAAACAAATTATTGGATTTAAAAGCTGTCATGTTGATGGTTTTAATTTTTTAACTTCATCAATTTGAGAATTGGTGTTAATCCCCATCTCGTTGTCTCATTTATCAGTAGTCGCAACAAGTGTGCATTAGCGTCGGTATCAACACTATAAAACAAAGAAATTCGAGGTGCACTTATGGTTGGTGCAAGATCGTTTAACGATTCAGCATTTCTACGAAGCAATTTATTTTCTTTTTCGTCTTAAATGTTTTCTAGGAAGTGTTTTATGTTGAACCTTTTGAGCTAAATACAAGAAATAATTTTTTAGGCAAACTCGATTTGGCTTATGAGGAAATAAATTTTAAATAGATTCAAAATGTTTTCAAACACTTTGAACTCTGATTAGTTTTATGTTGATTTAAGTCTAATCAAGTTGACGATAGAAGAATTTCCTTTAAAATTAAGATCAAAGTTCAAATCAACATCAATGAGTTTCATGTTCATTTAAATCACATTCATCTAAAAAATGTATACTTAAAAGAAAACAAGATGATATGTTACTCTAAAATTATTAAATTATGTTGTTTTCTGCATATTTTTATCTTAAATATTATAAAAAGAATGATGAAGAAACTCAATGCTTTATTCAGATAAAGTTGATAAATCTCAAGTGAGTTTGTGAAACAACTTTAACGAGTCATAATTCAAAACTCACTTTAAACTTTAGCATTGTACTATTTTTTTAAATAACTGAAAGGAACTGAACATCTTAGTTTAACATCACAAAGATTTAAAGGATAATAATCTCGATGAAAGGGCAAAAACAGCATAGTGTACATCAACAACGTCATCACATAGATGAAGTTTTGTTGTCTTGTCATCAGACTCACTTTTCAATGTTATGTGACAAGAGGCAAGCTTATTTCACTCCAAATACTCCAATGCTAAGCAAAAAGGTTTGCATTTTTTTTCTTCCTTTCTAATCTTACCAAATTCATCTCAGCATGACAAAGAAAGAAAAGTCGTTCACCTAAATTTGTTTTTTATTAAGCAATCAGCACTGCTGCTGTTGTAAAGAAAGTGGGAGTAAATGTTACAAGACTCTCAACGCATTCAGAAAAATGCCATCGCAGCATGACTCCCTTTAGAAAACAAAATGCATCGAATACTTCTTTCACTTGAAAGTGATCTAAGTAAACTTCAGTCATTGACATCAGAAGATTTTAAACGAAGTAATTTAATACTCAAACAGTAATTATTGCGTCACGCTTTCAGTTTAGTCGCGCGATCTTCGAGCTTTGTCCATTCAACATTGTTCTCTAACGCATAATAAGCCAGTGTTTCAGTCAATTCCAAAGTTCAACGACCTCACTTCCAAATGCTAGTGTTTCATTTCCCCCAAAAAATATCATAAATGAACAAATGAAACCGTGAAACTTAAAAAGACGAACACCAAAAATCGATGGCAATGCACAAAACAAAGCATTCTCATGTGTTTATTCTTCTCTTTTCTCTTCCCCACATGCTTTCTTATCGCATACAGGTGAGAATAAGACTGAAAACTTTTCATTATTTAGGAAAATTCCACAGCACGGGTTTGTTTGAATGTTAATGAATTTCTAGCAGTCATTTAACAAAAATGATAATTTATTTAAGGAGAAAAAATATTTTTGGTCTTGTCTTCTCTAAGAAACACATTCAACATGAATTGTAGCGAAGAGACGATTCATTCCTCCCAAAATACAAAAACCGGTTTCAGATTCTTTTATTTCTTTTCGTCTTCATCTTAATCGCTCACTCATTTTCATGAATTTTGTTTCGAAAAATTTATTTAGGCTTTAAGGTTACGGCCAACCAACTTTTCTTCTTCATCTGCCGGTAGATCGGGTTGAAGGTCTCAAATAGTATCCAATAAAGCAAATGAATTGAAAAGAAGAACGAGAAAGGTTCAAACATAGGCAAACAAATGATTTGTTAGTCGAGAATGAAAAATGTTTAATGGAAATTGAATAAATTCAATCGCTTGCTTCCAGTGTTTTGTCATTGATTAAATGTTCTTGGTTCTTGAACAATCCGGAAAGTTTTATTTCTCTTCCGATCCGAAGAGCTTCCGATAAAAAAGCTTTTTTCTGGTTAGGTATTTACACTTGAAATGCTTTGAAAATTTCCTACGATGAGAAGTGTAAGCTATAAAAAATGTTATAAAAAACATAGCTGGGAGATCTCATTTTTGCGTCTTAGATTAACTGGAACAAGTGCATGGTTAAAAACTTTTTCTGCTAAGCTTTTTCGAGAGAATGCTTAAAGCTGTTTCAGGATTAAAATCACCTGAAGTTTTGAGGTGAGATTCTGTTAATCTTCACAAAAATGTATAGATACAATAAAAGTTTGGTTTTTTCTGCTAGCGTGGGTGGTAAGATGAACTATTTTGTGGGTGCTATTTTGAATGCTGAAGTTTTATTCTCCATTTTCCCTTTTTGTATGTTTATGCAATTAAACTTTTAGTGAAATGTCGTTATGGTTCTACAAAACATTTCAAATACTTTTAATTGAATTAAGAATATCTCATCTTGACTTTCTTGAGTCAAAAATGACAAGCAGACTTTTCACGTTAGAATATTTTAGAAATAAACTTCGTCTGTCGGAAGAACTGCTGGTGAACATTTTTTGTTAGGTAGAGTTGATGAAAATTTAATTCTGATCAATGTTTTCGGCAGAAGGTAGTTCGGCAAAATGTTCATTCTATTTAGAAAGAAATGATCAATTATCCAGGTAGGTAGGTGAGTTAAATGCTTTTATCTAATGAGTCAATAATGCACTTAACTTTTTCACCTTCTAATGAAACGTTTTGCTCGTTTCTATTGAACAATGAGTAATAACTTTCAAGTAACGAGACAATAAAATTAAGCATGTTGAGTTCAATGTGCATTGTACGAACATCGAATGATAAAAATAATTTTTGCAGACTGTTTATGACTCTGAAACACTCCAAGATGCTTTCTCAGACGAAGTAGAAGTTTCGACAACGAACAACGGTACTTCCGTTCATATATTTTAATTAATAACGCAAATATCATTTGAAATTGAAAGTGTCGAAAGGTAAGCGAACTAAATTGAGCATGTCTGTGGCGGATTTTAGCACGTCTGCAGCGTCTATTTGATTAGCATAACTACGCAAATATTTTTCGGTTTGGCGCTTTTTCTTTCGCCGAAAACAGGAAAATCAAGTCCGCATTCTACACACTTTTTTTTCTTATTTATTTAGGTTGATTGTCGTGCGAATGTGAAAGAGGAAATTTTCATCTCAATTCTATAAGAATTGTATTTTATTTGAAGATGAATTACTTTCCGTCTCCGCAGTTATTGATGAACTTAACGTTGAAATTATGTAGCTTCTCAAGTTTGCTAATTAGAATTGAAATTTTACTCATGATGGGAAATTTGACTCGCAACAATATTTAGACTGTTTTAGATTGACCTTGAATGTGACCGAAGCAGTATTCTTAAAAATTATATTTAAAGCTTCTCAAGTCGTCAAATTTTGATGACGTTAAACTGTTGATGTTTTATGGTATTGTCGGTTAAAAGTTTTAATGGCACTATGAAAGTTATAAAGTCGAGAAGAAAAATTTGTTGAATAATTAATGTTTGTGGTTTTTTCAGACGAAGAAAAATAATCTGTTTAGGCTGGAAGCCGCAATAGGAAGCGTGTTTGAGAGCGTTTGTTCATCCTCTGAGGTCTGAATGTCAGGCCCTCTCACGTTTCATAATCTCAGTAGAATTAACAATGAAAATTATCGATTATTCACGTACAACACGAAGTAAATTTCCGGTTAATCATTTATTGGGAGAACGATGGTTCTTTTTTGTCAATTGTGAGACGCCAGCCAACCAATTAAACATAAAACCAGAAATTATCTAGAAATATCTAGAAGCTGACCTGAAAATGGAAATCAACCAAACTTATTAATTTTACTCACGAATTCTCAGCAGTTCTTTCTTCCACTTGGCGTTTCTCCAACTCACACAACGTCCAAAAGTAGAATTGAAACATGAGAATCAATTGTGAATAATAATGACGATTCAAACAAGAGATTTCTTCAATCATTTCGTCTAAAGCCCCGATGACAAAAACATAAGAAGGGCCTTAGTGATCTCATCATACAGATGAATAAAACGCGAATTAAATTGCGCACAAAAGTCTCGAATGAATGTCATGCAAATTAATCAATTTCACGTTGATGCCGCAAATAAAAAACAAAATAAGCAATTAAGAATTGAGAGATTTTCATATCTCTGTTTAGTGCTGCAAAATTAAGAAGAAATTTTTTATTGAAATGAATTTATGAGGCAGACGAGCGAGTTTTATGGAAATATTCAAATCGTTGCAAATGTCTCGTTTTAAGTCGTCAAAAACTCAAAACAAATATTTCAAAAGAAAAATAACTTTCGGCGAGGTATTTGACATTTGATTGATTCACACAAATGAAAAAGTTTGACCTTCCAAATAAAAAAGCGTCTCCCTAAGAAATTCGCAAATTGCGTGGAAATACAGAAAAGATTTTCTAAGGATGGGAAAAAATAAGACAAAACAGCAATGTAAACACTGTTGGCAACAACAAAATATGGAAAACTGTGTGAGTCAGCAGAGCGAAAAGAATAAAAAAAGATCACAAATGTTTCTCAAAAGCTTAGAAGCTTTATTGCTTTGAAGTTGAATGAAGTCCCTAAGCCTCCTATTAATAATGAAATTTAGGACAACCGTCTTCGCAACCGCCGAGTGAAAGATAAATCTTATAAAAACATTCCACAACTTTAACAAAAGACATGCCATAGCATAAATAATGCAACATCATCGCACACCCTCATCGACAATTGTCAAATAAATCTCGCACTAAATAAATGTGCTGATGAGGCCGCCTTCTATCTAATGTTTTAACATTATTCACTCGCAACTCGTCGTTGGCGCTTTCAGGTGTGTGAATCTGATCAATACCATAAACTTTATAATTTTCGTTTTTCTCTCTGACTTGTCTTGTCTTTACTCCATTTCCTCTCGAGATGATGAAGTAAATATAAATAATTCATGGTGTGATTGTCTTCTTCTCTTCTCTTTCCTTTTTTTATTTGAAATTATCTTGGATCTAAAGAGCGAATGAACAAATGAAATAAGAATAAGAAGCAAAGTTTATATGTTGAAATATAATGGATTTGAAGACATTCCGCAAGCGTTCGAACATGTCATAACTACGGCTATTTTTTCACTCAATTTGGGTGTGAAAGGCACATTAGCATTTTATTTTTATTTCACTATGCTTTCTGATCAAGCATATTTGGATATATGCTTAAGAAAGAGAAATGCATTCATAAGAATTTACATTAATATAAATTCCAAATCAGTCGTAAAAAATAAAACGATACGAAAATAACGCACGATCAAATGATCACAAAATTTGGCAACGTTGCTTTTTTCAATGTTTCCAGATCTGCACTTGAGTATTGCTTAACGTCGCTCAACGTTGAATTTCTTGTGAATGAAGTATATTTGTTGAATATTTTTCAATTCATAATTCATTGCATATGCTTTCCCGGTCACTTTACATATTTATAACACTTAGATGTGTTTAAATGTTTGTAAATACAGTGCAAGCGCGATTAGCGAAATTCCCTTGAGCGTAAAAGCTCGATAAATTTCGACACACTCACATTTTCGAACAATTTTCGTTCGTTGAACGAAAAAGTTCGTTGAAAGCATAGCTCCGTAATGAGCACATAAGTTTATATTAAAATCACGCTCGTTGTAAGTAAATGAGAAAAAAAAGCTGTCTTGCAGTTTTCAACGCGTTCATCGTGTTTCTTTATAAGAATAATATATATTAGAGACGCGTAAAATACAAATGCAGCAAATTCATAGAAAAAATACTCTAAATACAAATAAAAAATAGTAATAAAATTGAAAAATACCGGTGAAAACCGTTCAAATCTTCGAGAAAAATGTGTCAAAGTTCTTAAGGATGCATTATCTTTGATGTATATTGAAATGCTTCGCTAGGTTGACAACGATTTTTTCAACAAAATTTTTGAAAAACATCGTTTAGAGAAAAAGCTCGTTAATTGTGACTCCTTTCGGTTCTCGCTAATCGCGCTTGCACTGTATTAAATAAGCTGCTAGCTTCTGATGTTGCTGTTTTTGTCTTTTTCATTCCGAGATGGCAGAAAAAAGAAGGAAAACTACATTCTTGGTGCAAATTCAATTATTTTAATATTGCATTCAATTTTTATTCTTGCTGCAACGTTGCGGGGGCTTGGGATCAATAAATTTATAAATAGAAACTCATAGGAATTTGTTTTCCAGAGACGTTTAACTAAAGTTCTTCTGTTTTTAACAAGCAATTAAATAAATATGAAAGTTTATTTTTCGAAAATATTTTTCAATAAACTTTGATTGATGTAAGTCATTGCAGATTAATCATCTGACAACTTTCTTCTGAAATATTTACAATATATGCAACTGAGTGTGTTGCTATAAACTTGTTGGATACAAACAATTCTTCTGCAGCTGCAATTGTGTAAAATTATTCAGAATGGTTTCTGTTTGCAAGTTTATTTGTTGTTTGAATTGCTGATTTTCATCTCTTTTTCTATTCCATAGAAAAGCTAAGCGTCATAAGTTCTCTTTTGTTTCACTATTACTGATACTTATGACTCATGCAGATTAATTGAATGCACAAAGTCTAAAGTATGCCATCGAATGCAGGAGAAAAAATTGCTGACCTTCAGTAGATAATAAGCTTCACATTTTTCTGATTAAAATCTTTTTGTGCTCAATATTTGCATCTTTAGTATTCTTATCAACATCCTATGATCAATCAACAATCAGCTAATACGAATTACTCATCAAATTGCAGTTCTGACTGGTATTTGTGAATTTACTTAATCTGCAATTCTTATTATATTTACTTTTAAAGTGACCTCATTATGGTGAGGTGAGAAATAAAACACAGGAAGTTCATTAAAAATGCAAACTATGAGATGACATTGTGAAATGCGAATTAAAAGTTGTGAAAATTGTTTCTTTGGAAATTTCTCTATCATAAATTTCTGTGCTGTAAATATTTTAAAAGTTTGATTTTATTAAGACACGCTAACGTTTACTTATTGATTAATGTCAAAGCCATTAAAGAATCCTTATTTTTATTGATAGAAATTTAAGAAAGCCAACCATGAACAACAAAAATCAAGTAATTGAACATGAGAAACGTTTGCTTTTATTCTAATTATTTTCTACTCAAATAAGATCAACAAGTGAATGAATGAAGCGAGAGAAAATTCGTGAATGCCGAGAAAGTTCAAGCACACCGATTATTTCAGCTAAATGGATGATTGAATTGAGGTTAGATGGCGGTTACTTTTACAGGTTCTTCTCTTTTTCTATTCATCTGTTTGTGATGAACCACTTGTTCAGTTCGTTTACATAATAATCTTTAGACAAAAATGTGACTTCTTCAATGGATTGTGAGTTAAGTGAATAGAAACTGAACAAGATCATATTTTTGGAGGTCAAAGTCAAAAGTGCTTTCATATCTTGTTCAATTTCCTGTATAGCATGTAGAGTTACAATAATTATTCACTCGTGCAAAACTAGACAAATAATATCGAATAAACGAACTATGAACTTTCTTCTCACATTTCTCTAAGCTCTTCAAGTTCAGCCATAACGATTTTACTTGTTTGTCATTAATTTATTTATTTAATTAGATTAGACTGTTTCTTGGGTAACTCAACAATCATAAGGCTATAATCTGGACAAACCTTACCAACGCAAGTAAACTGTTCATCCTTATTAGTGTGTAGTTCGCACACATTACTTGAAGATTAAACTATGAAAAATTAGTGATTAAAGTGGCTGCATTGACAAGAAGTAAGATTTTCTTGTCATTTAAATAATCCCTAAATAATTTCTTTCCTTCTTTCTTCAGGAAAATGATAACGATCATCAGCGATGCACAATAGTAATTTTTCTAATATTTTGTGGAAACATGCATGAATAAATTCATCAGTAGTAACGGTATAAGTGAGATTTTAGCGATCAGAATTATGTAACGAATAGAAGGCAGAACATTGAACCGAGAAGGAAACCAAACTGACATTTCAATTTCCATGAAGATTTCTTCGCCATTTCACCCTCAAACTTCAGTATTCCACACACAATACGTGATGTTTGGTTTAAAAGTAATGACGTTTTGTTTGTCATTTTGATATTCGCAAGGAAACAACAAACACTTTATGGTCACATCCTCTGAAATCAGTTGAGCATATCTATTAGTCATAAAAACAATCCACCTGCATTACGAACCCTAAAATAAGTTAGCTTTACTCCAATTTTTGTTTTTTCTTTCTCATCAATTTTAACGATTTCAAAACAATGTACCACGAAACGGCAGCACATTAAAAAATGACCAAATCATATCTTCAGATCGCATGTTCAAAGCTGATTTAAATTCGACAATCATTATTTATTCGAGTTCGCTTGTTTGTGTTTCAGTGATTGTTAACAATCTGCCTTTTCTCTGTGCCGGGAAATGAACAATAAACAACCGAAGACTATTTTGCTAAAGTGAAAGAAAACTTTTTATTCTTCGTTCTCGTTTTCCTGTCTCTGATCATTTTTTGTGAGAGAACAACAGACTAGCTGATGTGTCGCAATGAAAAATGAATTATGAGCTGAACGAGACGAAAAACGAGCGAAAATGATTTCTTTTCACCATTTCTTGTAGTTCAATAATTGATACAAATCATTTAGTCTGTTGTCATATTGTCCTTGAATGTTTTATTTTCGGAAATGATATATTTTGAGTCTTTGGAAAACTAGTAAATTAAATTTAGCTTTGAATTGAATTCAAAATATTTACATAATCACATGAGTCATTGAAATTTTATTAATCATGTACGAAGCTGATGAATTGCGTCACAAATGATCTAAAATGGGAAAACCAGACAATGGTATTCGTAAATTCACCAGCATCTAGTCAAATCACATGACGTCACTGATGGCCAAACAGCAACAAACACAAATCTTGTATAGTTTGAAAAAGCAAATTTGTAAAAGTTGATTTTGAATCGATCAAGTGTCGATGGACCTTGATGGGAGGAAAAAAAGGGAAGAGAACGAAACATGTGCGGCAGAAAATCGAAATTTATTTTTATTTTCTTTTTCTTTTCTATCACCAAGAAAACATGTGGAGAGCAATCTTGAATTGCTCGGGGTCGAAATGGAAAGTTTTCCATACTGACAGTTGTTTATAATTTGATTATTATCACTTACCTTTTTGCTGTTGCTGATTCGGCTCAATCGAAAGCAGAAATCCCTTATCAATAGTTATAAACTTTTTCTGATTCTTCGTACTAAATACTTTATCGCAAGAAATCAAGAAAAACTTTTCACTTTTATAAACTTAACTTTTTTTTAAAGATTCTATTTCCTTCACTTAAGTTCACAATAACGCTTTCTACAAGCCTTTCAAAAGAAGAAAGAAAAAAAAATTATTTGGCTTTCCATAGCGAATTTCATCAACATTAAATAACAACATCTTCGAGTAGCGTAAAACAATAATTAAAACTTGCAAGATCCACTTGAATTCTATGCTTTTTCGCTTCTTCGACGATAGCGGATTTCGTCTAGATCTTAATTATCTTTCGTCTCCAAATCGTCGCTTTCAAGAAAGCAAATTGCTTAAGGGAGATAATTTGAGTTAATTATTTAGTTATATGTCAACTCATTTGCTGTAAAATTTCTTCATGGGTTGTGCTACTTAGGCAACAACAGATGTCGAACTCTGAATATCTCAGATATAAAGAAAGGAGAAATTAACTTTCCTGAATATTTGGGGAATATTTGTAGGGGATCAACAATGGAAAAGTACCAGCTACGAAAACTCATTATTTACAATTTTTTTGATATTTCTCCTTTAACGGTCAAAGAGCATTTTTTGTAAAGTTAAATTACATGTCGGCTTGTACATATGTGTTTCTTTAAAAAAAATCATCGAATGGATGGTGCAAATTTATTTATTTGTTGTTCCCACTGGTTCTTTCCACTGCCTTGAAGCCTTTCAATTGTATAATAATTTGCGGTATGTGCTGAAGAGCAAAATAAATGATCTACCACGACGTCAACACACCAACCTTCAAGTTCAAAATGACTCTTACAAATTATTAGTGAACATTCTGAAAGACACTAAAGAGATTAGAGATACAGGCTTTTGTGAAAATTTTGAAAACATTAAATTGGTGAGTGTGTTGATGCGGGTATAAAAAGCAGCAAGCAGAAAAAACACAATTTTTAAGGGAATCGTTCTAATTGAATCAGTTAGGACAAAAAAGACAATGATAATGATAAGGTTCTTTGCAACTTGTCCCTTTCATTTAATATTTTATACTGTCAATTTGTCTTGTCATTGCTCTTGTTGGTTTAAATGTTTAGGTTTAATTATTGCTTTACAGCTACTCGATAGTAATGCTTCCCTAAAATAATCACAACTGCACTTTTTTAATCATTTAAATTAAATAAAAATTTAAATTCTTTTTTCCTTGATTGTAATTCATAAACAATTTTGTTATATTTGGGTGAGATTTGTTTTTAACAAGGTTTTTAATGATTTCACTTACACTTATTATATTATCATTCTCAAGGATTTAAACTGATAATACAGCAAATCCTTTATTTTTCAGTTAATTAACGGATGTTTCAACAAATAAATTTATGCTCGAGCTGAACGACCAACCGAAACGAACAGCAATACGAAAGATACTGAACGATGCTTCAGAAAATCATGCAATAACACAAAAAAACCACAAGAGAGCGTAATAATTTGGAGAGAATATGAGAGAAAACTCTAAAATTACAATTATTCTATGTTATTTCACTTTTGTTGTAAACATGATATTTTTTAATACAAAGTTTCCAAGTTTTGCATGAAATATCACATTAAAGATGGCAAATTTCAAAATTAAAAACTATTTAGAATGATTACTTATTAAAACATAATTTTCTTAGGGAGAGTTTAGGAAATTTCCTCACAAATCGTGAGGTTCAACAAACAGATATTTGAAAACATTTATGAGGTTCTACCACTTTCGTCAAAATGTGTCTTGACCAAAATTTTTGAAATTTAAAATATGTTGCAGATATGTAGTGAGCTAACTAAATATTTAATTCTCAAGATTTTCTCTTACATTTCTGAAATTGTCAACAAATAGGTAATAAAACAAAAATTATAGCAATTTAGTAAAGCATCATCATTTGATCAAATATATACAAATCATGATATTTGAGATGCGAACATTTAATGAATGACAGCAGTTTTGCAAAGAACTGTAATCGTGAATCAAGCGAAAAATAATAATCTATAAGTTTATTTGTTGTCTGTGAAAAAACACTACAACGATATAGATAGAAGGATTAAGTCAAATTTTTATTAGTACGGTGAAACTTCAAATTATTATTTCATGATAGATTTGATGACTTATCAGATAATCTAATGATCTTTCAAAAAAGTAATCAACAGTCGGATGACCTACCATAATTGAATATTTAAATATTTTCTTGCCTTAAACACACTTTTTATTTGGCTAACCTATAATTGGAGAGAAATGTAAATAAAAACATATTTTATTTAATGTGCTTAACAAAACTTTAGAGCAAAAATACAAATTTTCAACTAAATTGCATAAAATTATTCTCCCCTTGGTATCCCCCAAATGGTATTTTTCAAATTTCCCCTTGTATCCCCCAGTTGCTGAAATATTTGTGAAAACATTGAAGGCTCCAAGCCCTGTTTTCAAGGCAAATTTCCATTTGTTTGGTTTAAAATAAAGCTAAATTAGCTATCTGTGGTGCTCAGTTGGTGTACGACTTCCTTTAATTGTATAAATTAGATATTTTAAAAATAATCATTGTTTCCTAATGTTTTTGTTTCCTAATCTTTATCAATGTTTTTATAGAAGTTGCTCAGAAATTTCAAAGTTTTCCAAAAATTGGAAATAAATAAAATAATAGTTTTCCATAACATTGTTATTCTTGATCATGCACCCTACGACATCATACTTGGGTCTCTACCTAAGTCCAAAACCATGCGCTTGAGTATGCTATTCTCTCTTTTTCTTCTCCTTCGCTCTCAAGAGAAAATAAATTTCTTCTTGATACAACTTCATAGTGTTGGNTTATTTAATGTATTTAATACAAAACTTTAGAGCAAAAATACAAATTTTCAACTAAATTGCATATAATTATTCTCCCCTTGGTATCCCCCAAATGGTATTTTTCAAGCATGAAGTTTTTGCCAAGAGTTTTGCATGCGCTTGAGTATGCTATTCTCTCTTTTTCTTCTCCTTCGCTCTCAAGAGAAAATAAATTTCTTCTTGATACAACTTCATAGTGTTGGTTTTGTGTAAACACGGTCAGTTCTCTCATGCTTCTCTCATAAAATAAAGTCAAGCTTTGTTGTATATCCCAACGAAAAAATATTTTCAGAACGATATTCTCATTCAGTGTCGAGACTCAGCCGAGTGTGATTGAAGCGTTTATTTTAATTTTTTTTGTTGGCTAAGGTGACATGAAAAGTGAGAGAAAATTGTCTCAAAACCATCGAAAAACAATCAAATAAAGATAAAGAAATATGGATACTTTTAATTTAATCACATTATCGTATTTTTAACGAATTTTAACATAATTTTGATTATAAAAGCATAGAACTGAACTTTTTTCTTGTGTGTTGGATGAAATGATAAAAGAATAAAAGTGAAAAAAAGCGGAGAGAGCGAGAACAAAATGGAGTCGGGACATGAATTTGAAATGTTTTAAGAACATGAAACATTAACAATAGTTTTTAGTGAAAAACGTATCAATAGTGGATTAACAAATTGACTTTTATTCATCATTTCGCAAGCCAAGTGCATTTATATGTAAATATTCATACTCTATAACATAAGCTAAGAAATTTCGCTAAATAATTGCAAAAGAAAAAACCCAAACTAAGTGATTAAAAATATTTTTCTTATTTTTATTTACACTACAATTATATTCGTCAACTTATTTTTGGTTCCTTTTATTTGCTTCAATCGAATATATTTCGTACGAAAATTACACTTTTTCGTAAGAAGTAGCGGAAAAGATGTGAGTACTTCTCACACATTTCATTTGAATTTCTTGCTAAATGATTTTTCATTGATAAAGAGTTTCGAGCATGTTTAGCGGAATTAGGGGGGTTGATACACACACCCATCTTTATGAACGCTTTTTTGGTTCAATAGACAAAAAAGAAACAAGTTTTTAGCAATAGTAATAATGATAAAATTTCTTTCTTCTATGTAGTTCCTCATCATTAATAAATAAATATTTTGACTTAAGATTCATCGTGTCTATCCAATTGATAAGGTAATTTAAAGTGAAAAATAATCAAGTAGCTTAAGCGATAGCTAGTGATAATATTCGTGCGTCAGTGTGAGAGCTCATTGTTGTGGAGTTTAGTTTAACAGTAGAAGATTTTAAGAAAATTACTATCAGAAACATTAATGGTAACATAGAAGGGTGAAAATCTTCTACTACCAAAAATCAATTGAAGTTTTAATTTTCTTTTGACGATTAAGTCAACTTTTTATATGAACAAATACATTCAGACAGATAACGAGTGAGTTGCTGATACAGAAAAAAGAAAAACTACATTTTTTCATCCCTTATATATGTGTGATTATCACTGTGTATGTGCTACATCAAATAAAAAATAAACCCGAACACCAAAATGTCCCATCTGATGCAGACAACATCGAAGGGTGCGCTGCAGCTTAAAGAGATTTCAATAATTCCTATCACAACGGGCGCTGTCGCTCAACCTCAAGGGAAGCCTTCGAGCTCCAGCCAATTAATGGCTGATGAAAACTCTGCCGATTCATTAAGGAAAAAACGTTGCACAGATCGATACGATTCGTCCGAATCATCTGACAGGTATGTACCAACTCCTTTTAATTTACTAGCGTCTTATCGATTTTACTAGCAAGCAAGCGACCGTTCTTAACATATTTTATGACCAAGAAAATAGAGTCACGTAGACACGAAACGGGTTCATCTTCCTTTGGTAAGAATGTATGAGCAATAAAAGAATACTCGAAGATATCTTAGAGAAAGACAGAAGAACTAAAAATGCATGAAAAAAAAAGAAGAAACGCGACGAAAAAAAAAGTTCTTAGGATGAAAGCAAATGTTTCAGAGTCAGAGACGAACTAACAAAAACGCAAAAGATGAAATTTCGAACCTATTCATCATCCGCGGCTATTAACCTAAAGCCAAAATGCAGTCAAAACCACAATGTTAAAAACCTCATGTTTCTCTCGCTTGCTGTTATATTTGCTGATTTGACTCTCCGACGAATACATTTCCATTCGACGATGACGAAGAAAAAAATCAAAAAAAAAAGAATTCCAAACAAACAGATGAAGAAATCGAAAATGTATTGAATAATCCCCGAATTATGCGGTTTGTCGGCGATTTCTTCTTGCCGTTCGCAAATACTTTTCTCATTTTTTTTTTCATCTTTTTGTTCTCTTCCCGGTTGATATTTTTTTACTAACGCAAAACATACGAATAAGTATAAAAACTTGAGGTTGACCGTGACTGTGACATACAACCGCGAATTTAATCAAGACTTTCTTATTTATTATCGCAAAAAAAAACTTCTCTGTATGAAAAGTGACGAGTTTGTGAATATTCCATCTAACTAACACCAAATGATATATTTCTGTGGTGCACGAATTTAAAATCTTTCGGCAATGAGCGAATACATAAAAAAAGTTTAATTTCTTTTGTTTTCACTTTTATTCTCAACAACAGAGAATTTTCATTTTCGCGCGCTCACGACTATAAATTTTTTATTACGCAATTCAATGTTTCAGAAAAAAAACTTCTCAATTACCTTCACTTTGCTTTAGTCGAAGTAATTTTCGTGCGGCTCGCGGGTGAATGGACCAACAAACAAAATATAAAATAAGCGGCACTGAACTTGACCGTCAAAACAACCGAAAAAAATAAGAAACAACAATCTCAGACAGTCGAATTCGGATATGATTTGCAAGCTTTATTATTTCTACGCTGTGAATGGACCATTGTCGTCTCGAAGAGTCGAGGTAGTTTGCGCGCTCACGCTGAATTACAAATTCATCAATTTTGATAGCTTCCTTTAGTTGTCTATCGTAGAATCAGAATATTCATTTTTATTATGTCTTGTTAATAAACGAATCGAATAACAAATTCTTGTTTCTGATTCAGACTCTTCTCGAAAACTCATTTGAAAAGAAATAATTAATTTTATTATTTACGTAGCTTCTCTTCTCGTTTTTTTTGTCATCTAATGATTATAATTTATTTATGCCAGGTGCATTTTCAACGTCGTCAATGAAATCTTTTCATAATAATCATTAGTCCAGTAACATTCATTGCGTCCAACGACACAAATCCTTTCTTATTCGCCCTTTTGATATCGACGAACATTTCAGTGAAAATTAAATCATACGGGCTACAAAGCATGATGCAGGGATAGAATGTGATTAAAATATAAAAGTATCTGCTATTTATACCATGAACAACATTTCGGACAAAGCAAAGTTGTAGGGAAAAAAAGACATATTTACTCGAAGGTTCATGTTGAAAAGTGAAGAACACTCACTCTAATCACACCAGAAAAGAATGAAGCCTGTCGTGTTGGGCGAAGAGAAAAAATAAAGGGAAATATTTAAAAAGAGTTTCAAAAACCAGTTTTCGAGTCATAAAACAGTTTGTAGAACGCTTTTTTTTTCTTTCTGAAAACGAATGTCGAACTCTTTTGGTTTGATGTATTCTAAAAAATGAAGAACTTGAGAAGAAAGAAAAAAGTTCCATCTCAAGTTCAATCTTCTACAGATTATAAAGGCCAGTTTCAAATAGCTTTGTTACATTTTATATGATTGAAGTCATCGCCTCTAGATCAGTTGTAAATACACACATAATGCTTCATGCATCGAAGCCCCTGATGAAGTTGAAATGTTTTAAAAAGAGCTAATGAAAAGCAATTCTACTTAAAATGATCATAAAAGAAGCAAATTAAAATGCTTAATTAATGAGTATGAAGTGCATTCTTTGAATGCGTTGAATTTATGTGGGCAGTGAAAACAAATGCAGAAACATATTTGTTGTTGCAGCCATTTCAAAGTAAAAATGGAAATTTTTAAAGAGTTTCCAAAGAAACATTTTCTCAAGGATTCTCTTCATTCGTTTATATTTAACATTTACGAGCGATTCTCGTCAATTTGTAAATATAATTTTATCAAAAAGCCCTTCACTCTCTCGTTCATATCCCTAAAAGTATAAGCTGCTACTCTACTGACTTTCATTAATGGAATTCTTTTCCTATGCAAGCAAAGTCCTCTAAATATCTCATCAACTTTTGAAGAATTCATCCATCCATCCAGATTGATTACGAAAAGAATATTTTTTTTGAAAAAGTTCACTTATAGCATGTGGTTTCCAATTCTCTCTCTCTCAATATACTTGCTAACATCGCTGTAATCATGGCAACATTTTCCATGTCGATGAGTTTTCACGAGAAGGGATTTTTATTAAAATATGTATGAATGAAATAGGATTAAAACTAGTCAATATTTGAATCAGAATTAACTGAATATCAGGAATAACCTATGAAAACATATAGAAATTCATGTTTGAAAGAAGACATAAAATGTTTGAGAAGTTCTTTCGCTCAAAAAATGGTTGAACACGATATCGAAACAAAAATTTAATATTTTTACCTGCATTTTTTACCTTCGTTAGTTTTGTATGTTGGTGTTGTTGTTTATTGTGAATCCAATGTGAACAGAAATCCTTTGTTCAGGGGGAAAATGAAACGAATAACCAAGATGAAATGAAGGAGAGAAAAAAGGAACGCATTACAGTTGGCTCTCGAGACGCTTCGAGGTTTCCGTAATTGCATAATGTCAAAAAATATTGATGGAAATAAAAATTATGTACATCAAGAAGTTGAAAATCATCAATCAAGAATAAGAATATCGAACGAAGCATGTGAATTGCAATATTGAATAGTTTCTGAAAAGCTTTTCCAAATAAATATTTCGTTTCATTTATTTTTTTTCATTTATAACCAGCAGCTAAATAGTCACCATCAATTATTATTGATGTTTCTTCCCTCTAAATTTCTGTCTCTTTCCTTCTTATTTCTCTCTCACGTATCTCTTCAATTAATTAATGACATAAATAAGTAAGAAGTTGCAATTGCGACATTGCCAGATTTTTCCTCGTTTCACTTCAACAGAATACTTTAGTTCGCTTTTGACAGAGAAAAGAATTTTCTTTTTAAAGGTCGATGTACATTATCATTTGTCATTGATCGTCACACACATCATCAACACAAATGCTTATCAGTATCACATCTAAAAATTACATAGCGTCGCGACTATTTAAACGACACTGATATGTATTCATGGCTCAGTATATTGAACCTGATAAGACGCACACTTGATTTGTCATCAGCATAAAATATTTTTAAATAAAAGTACATATTTGCTTTGGTATTTATATGCAATCAATGTTATGCATTTTTATCTCATTACGTTTGCATTTATTTTTCCATACATATGCGATTCTATGGTTTCTCTGAAATCAAATTAAATATATTTAATTAATGCATTTAAACGTAGAGTTTCAGAAAGGAAGTCACATTAAAATGATTCAAATTAATCAATACTCTCTTTAAAATCCTCATAATTTCAGAATATATTTTTAAGTTTTCAGCAACGCCAATGATGATTTGGAGATTTAAAGTCCACTTTTTTATACGTTTCATAATCTTCAATGCGATAAGCGTGCGAAAACTTCAGCTATAAATATGTTTTACAATCTTTTCGTAGTATAAAAATAATGATATGAAAGAATTGATTAGAGTTACAAATATCTGAAAAGCAAGGCACGAGACCAACAGAGATAAAAAAGTTAATGTTAATAAAAATTTAATATGTCTATTTCTGAATTATTTTGAACATGAGTGCAGGTAATTTTATAAACAAAGATACATATATAACATCCCGTTACGTTTCATAGAAACAAAAAATAAAAACTCTCGAGTAGCATAAAAGGCAGCGATTAATAATCCACGATTTAGTGTTGTGCAATCGACTGTTTGATTCGTTTACCTCGTTCTATGCAATCGAATGCAACAACAATTATATGCAGCAAACCGCGACACTGGCATTATGTTTCGCTCTGACTGTTTTTACAATTGAAAAAAAATGCAACAGCAATTGAAATAAAAATATAAAAATAAATGAAATAGAAATGTGCAATAAAAGAGAGAAATATTTTGCTGTGTCTGTGCTGGATTGAATTGTGAGTTGTGAAACTTTTTTCTTTGGATGATTCTCATTTTCATTAATACTATTTTTATATAATGCAACAGCTTGTAGCAGGCTATAGAGCCATTAGTTATTCCAAAATGTCTTTTTATTTATTTAGTCTTTGTAAAGTAAATATACGCCATTTAAATCAAACTTTTACTTTTCTATGTACATTCAAAACACTTTAATTAATATCATAAATGTTATTAAAATAAGATTTTCTTATTATCTGATTGAATGAGTCGAAAATATTCTTTCGCTAACATTTGCTATGTTGCCAATGTGACTAACAGCTTTGCTGCAATTCTTTTATTTAGAAATATTTTTAAGCCTCGTCTTGTGTTTTTTTGTAAAAATACAATAAACACAGAATGAATATCTAGATAGAAATGCAATTGAAATCGGCCTTCATACTAGGTAGGCAGAGTTGTAAAAACAATTTTTATGATTTTTGCAAAAAGCTTTTTCTCTATTCCCTTTCAAAAAGTCATTTACTTAACCCAATTTGTGGAGTTCTGTGAATGTCTTTAACTTACAAATGTTTCATGACTTCCCCTTGTCATGTGCGCTTGAAAAAAAACGATAAAAAGGCATTCCAATTTACTTGTTATCACATGTAAATAATAAATAATCGATGCGAAACCTGTGATAAGACATTTGGGTTGTTTGCGGAAATTTATGACGAACATTATGTTTACGAAGAGACGAAGAAGAAGAAGAAATAAGAAGAGAATGAACGTGAATAAGGCAAACACATGAATTGATAATGGCATTTGCGAAGGAAAACGATAAAGCGATAAGAATTTGTGTGTGAAAACATCAAACTGAGGGGAAAAACTCGAAAGCACTTTCTCACCTTTTCTTCGACTTTGTAGTTCAAGGAACGTTTTTATTTGTTTGTGGGGGCGAGCATTTATATTTTGTTTTCTTTTTGAATAAATGGGTTAATAATGCCAACGCATATACACATAAATTCACTGAGCTCACTGTAGATATTATTTTTTCAAGTCTGTAAATCAATAAATACATTTCTATAAAAAGTTATGACTTAATAATATGATTCGCAAAAATAAACATCAAATATTGGAAATGCAGTCACAAAGAAGAGATAGAACGTTCTATAGAATGGATGGCTCAAAATTACCGTTTTTTTGTCGTTTTAATAATTTTCGTCAGGGCTTCGGTCCGGAACCTTTTTCCTGTTCCGGAACAGGAAACGGACCTTAAGGGGACCATGAACTTGTTCCGGAACAAAAACGGACCGTTCCGCAAACGATAAATCTGTTCCGGAACAGGAAGAGGAGCTTGTTCCGGAACAGGAAACGGACCTTAAACGGATCTCGGAACACGGACCGAAGCCCCGATTTTCGTTCAATGCAAATTCAATTAAGATTTAAAATTCATAAAATTTACTGTTAATTTGTGTCATAAACTCCAATTTATTTGGAAATTTATTCATTGAATCTTTTCATTTTATATATAAATTCAGAAACCCAATAAACGGCCACGTAATTAACGAAACCCGTCAGAAGCAAATTCAAGTATCTTTCAATTTTTCATCACTCGATTTTTATATCCCTTTACTCGTCCTCTCGAAAACACTTCAAAGCCTCCCGCTTTCAAAAGAAGAGATACTAAAAGATTTCCTTCATTATTTAAAACATTTTTCTTCGTCTTTAATGTCGTATAAACATCATCACCGATGAAGGCATGAAATAAATGCTACAAACAAAATTTTAATGCAAATATATTTTATTTTTCTATATTTAAACATTATAAGACCGTAAATTTTGTCAGTTGAATTTGATATCAGGCAAACTTAACGCTCAAGTGATGAAAAAGAAGTGCATTGAAGATTGGCAGCGCTTATTAAAAACAACTTGACACTATTAAATAAAAATCATAGTAAAACGAGTAGAAATTTTAGTAGTAAGCTCTTAATGAATCGGCATTGTAACTGATGACAAAACTCCTTCTATTTTGAATATTTACTGCATGTTGGAATGCAAAATGCTTCGCTTGCATAAAATCCTCATAAACAACTAAGCAACTCGTCTAACGGTATATATTTTTCTTAAGGCTCTTTCAAAGCGTCTTTCGCAATTTTCTATTCGCTTAACGAGAAAAAAAACCGAAAGTTTTTTTTACTAAGATGATTTATGTGCACGACTGCTTGTAGGGATTAGTTAAGAGTCTCTTCTGAGTCATTTCATGCTCAAATGCAATTTATTTTGCAATAATAATTTTTCACTTATTTCTTCAATATTTCAAGCGGTTGAGGTTTCTCATTTCAACAACGATTTCCGGAGATAACTTTAAAAAACAATAAAGTAGACCACGTGATTATGAGTGAACATTTTTTTTGTCTGGGGTTTTGCTTGCTAATTAGCACAATAATCTAAATGATTACAACCCGGGCTATGGCGCATTTTGCTTTTCCGTCTGTAATGCATTAAAAATAAAGTTGGACTTTTGTCTAAAATTTAAATAAAGTTTGAAGTCAATGTTGAAGCATAAATAAATTAAAATGAACAAAAAATGTTGCCATGAAATTGCTAAGGAAATCAGAAAATGATAAAAGATTTTTTAACAAATTATCATCAAAATGAAAAAAAAAAGTTAAACATAAGAAACAATAAAATGAAAAATTGTTTCCTAATGTGTCGAGAACTAAAGACATGAATGAATGATAAAAAAATCTACAAGAACTTCTTCTGAAACAAGCATACACTTAACTTGAAAAATCATAAAATTATGTTTATTTTCTATCGAAATATTTCTCTTTTTCTCATCTTTCCAATTCCTCATGTTTTAGACACTTGAAGTTTCGTTTATTGTTATGTTAAATAAAGCATTAAAAGACTGAATATCTAACGCAATGTAACGCATAGCAACCCTGCTTTCTCGAGTAAAATGGAGAAAAAAACGCTGGTAAAAAAATTTATGTTCTTCATAATGTGCTTTAATGTTGTTTTGCTCGCTCCGTCCAACCGAAGAACTTGGAAGAACTCGAAGAACTTATTTACGAAGAGAAAGAAAGAGAATTTCTTACACTACAGTCACAGCTCTTTTCTCAAATATTTTTTTAGAGGGTGTGAGAGAATCTCTGCAAATGTTATCACAGCGAGTGGAAAACCTACTCGGAAGTGCTTACAACATCTTACGAAGGGTGGCAAAAGTTGTATTTTAGTCTTCGTTTATTTCTTCCAACCCGATGCTTATGCTCTCTTATTTAAAAAAGATTCTGAAAGGAAATCAAATTATATGTACGAGCTTCATTTCATAGTAGTTGTGAACATTACAAAGTCTGTTGTCGAGTATTTATAGCAGGAGACGGGAAGTGTAGTAACAGGAAAAGTTTGAAAGAAAAATAGGAAAGCGAAGCAATTTCAATGCAAAGATTTTGATTTAAAATTAATTTCTTTCCTTTTATGCGAAAGGAAAAAATGGCGAAAGCATTTTATGTTCTGACATCCGAATAATGGAAAGAAAAAGTTTTTTTGAGAATTCACTTTAAAGCTTTTATGATTCTTTATGGATGAAAGATCAAAAAGGGAGCATATAAGTATGTAATAAATAGAATGAATAAGAAGAAGAAAAGGGACAACATAATAAAATGAGGAAGAGAGTACCTTATGCTCGTGTAGGATTTTTCCTGATCTTATCAATTTTCTACTTTTCTCTTTCAAGTTTAAAATTCATATTTCAAGCTTATAATCATGAGCATCTTCATCTCTATCTACGTAAACATAAAATATACAACAACTACAAACATCAAGCGTTTCTTGTAACGGTAAACTCCAAAATATTTATTTTCCAAGATTCTTTCAACTTGATGGTTCAAAATGACCGACTCTGGCTAAGCCATCTAAAAATGAAGACAACAGTAGTTAAACATCATAAAATTTTTGTTTCTTTTTTTAAGTTTTAAGAACCATTTCAAACCTAAAATGATAGACAATTTTCTTAACCAGAAAAGAATTATTTTCTCCAATTTTCTCCTTCATGCTGTCCGATTGCACGAAATATGTATGTTAAAAAAATAATTTTGAATCCACTGACTGTTGCGGTGTAGAAGAGAGACAGTGAAATAAAGGAAAGAGGCGAGATCAGAAATGATTAAATTTTAAATCACGTCTGCCGAATTTGCTTTGAATCTTATCTGAAGAAAGAAAGAATCATAAAAATCGCTTCCTATTTCATAAAAGATTTTTTAAAGGGCAAGAATGCATAAAACGACTTTGAAAAGTCAACGAGAAAATTTTTCATGCAATTACTCTCTAAATGATTCGTTGTCGTTATCGTCACATCGCTGACTTGAACGAAAATGTAACTCTTAGAAATTCCTAATGAGCATTTAAAAGTGAATCCACAAGAAAGTCATACAAAACGAAGAGTCGAAAAAGAAAAAAAAATACTGAAAATAAAACGATTGAGGGAATTAAAAAGAAACGTCTCATGTACACACATAATTCAAGAGATTCTCCCGTTCTCAATACGTCGGTGGCATGGTATGGCTTAGCATAAGATAACGAGTATTATTCGACGAAGTAAAGGAAGGCAGGGCAATGGAGAAGCAGCATCGTGAAACGAAAAGAAGAAGCAAAGTTTCTTTGGAAATTTTCCGTCTCAAAAATTTTTTGGGTTCACTAAGAGACGAGAAAAAGGTTCTTCTTCTAACTAAGATTAAATCTTGTCTCAACCTTAAGCTTTTTTCTTTAGTAGCACTGCTGGTGTTTTCATTGACGAAATGCTCTTATAGGAATCAGATTACTTATAATGTGATTTCTAGAGAAAATTAATTCAGTCACAAAAGTTATTTATAAAAATTTGTATCAAGTTACGAAATGTTGATAAATCAATTATTATTTGTATATTAAAATAAATGATTGGAATTTTTCTAATAACTTTAGAAATATTCTTTATCAAGTTTAGAAAGGACAAGTATAAGAAATATTTCTCATGGAAAACGTTTTGAGAGTCATTTCCAACGCAAAATCTTCTTTCATTTACACAAGCGCGAAATGGGAAATAAAAATGTTTAAAGAAAGTGAAAGAAAAGACGAAAACTGCTGAACAAGAGGAAAAGTTTTTGTAAAGATTTTTTGATTTTTTCCCTTTTTATGTTAAAATGAAAATTGAAAGTAATTAAAGCAAAGATTGTCTAGAATGCGTTGTGAAGCCAATGTAATGACTTATTTTGTACCTAAAAAAGGTTTTCCTTTTCATTTTCACTAAGTAAATAAAGAAAAGATTGGTGAATTTTTTCCCACTTTTTTTTCTAAGGATTCACCAGACAAAGTCACAATCAATCTAACGAACAATCAAATTTCTAAATTGAAACTCTTACAATAAAGAATCCTTTCGAAACAGTAAAATAAGAAGTTCTTACATGCATCTCCACATGAAATGTCATTTCTCTGCGCATGGAGAATCTGGTTTTAAGTTAAGACTTTTAACAAAGAGTAAAGAAAGAAGTGAAGATGGCAACATGCAATTCTTAAATATGTGCAACATAAAGAAATAATAAAATTGTCTCTTCACGTTCTTTTTGAGAATGAATCATTATTAATATGAACATTTATTCGTTTTAACTCGTCTTGACATCTTTCACGTGCTACTTTCAGTTTTTATTTAACAAGAAAAAAGTAAAAGAAGTTTAAGACGCAAAGTGAGTAGCATTTTATCATGATAACTGCTTCTCCGCTGTTTTGTTAACTTTATTCGCTAGCCTGTTCGAACATATGCTTTTAACGCGCACCAGGCCTCTCGTGGTTTGACTTTACAGCGAAACAAGGCAAATAATTTGATGCAAAAATTATTATCATTAATATTTTTGGGACTTTTTGACTTATTCTTCTGCCCTAATCAAAAGAAGTTTCCAAATTATAAAAAACGACATCAACTTTGTTACCAGATGTCAATCTTGCTGCTTTATTGACAGCATGTAAATTGAATTTTTCATTTCTTCAATATTTTGTCTTTGACTCTTGTACATTGCATTGCACTGAAGTTTGAAGTTCAAACTACCTGCTGAGCTGCAGACATTTTACCTGGAAAAAACTTCTATTTTGTTCCAAATATTCTAAGTTGTAAAGTCTCATTGTAACCATCTTGGTAACTTTAGCCTTTCGTCTGTATAAATAGGGAAGACGAAAGATCATTACGTCATGAAATGCTTCTCCTGTTCTCCAAAGGTCTAGAGAAGGTAAAAAAAATGGTCACAAGATGTTTATTGAAAAAATATAAGAAAAAATTTACTCGATATTGTTATGAGGTTTATATAATTTCTGTTTCGTCGTTGAATGATGGCAGCTGATTCTCCGTTTGCGTTTATTCAGTTTTATCACCTGTTATTTATACATATCCATGTTAAGAACTTGAGAAAATAGAAACAAAGAAGAAATAATGATGGTTTCGGTTTTATTTTGCGCTTTTTACTTAAATATGTTTCTACAAAACGAATATATAAGTAATGTTGGGGCTGTTCTCAAATGGATTGATGGAAAAATAAATATAATTTCATTGAGAGAAACGTGATACTTTTGGTTCCTTATACATTTTGTAATTTGAAGAAAAATCTAAACTTCATTGAAGGGTGCAAAGAGATTCGTCAATTCAAAGTTCAAATGAAAAGTTGAGGGTTGGAAATATGCAAATTGATCCACTCAACAGTGAATAGGATTCTTCTGCTTTTTTATTTAATGAAAAATGCTGCTTTTTCTTACTATTTACATTACAATCTTCATGTCTGTAAGCGTTAAAAGAAAATGTAAATTGAAATGTTAACAGCACAGCGCATTCACTTTTTAATTGAGAGAGAAACAAATTAATTTCCAACTTCCCAATCACATATTTGATCGGGTTTTCTTCAATACGTTTTATAATGAACCGAAAGTTTTGCAAATTTTTCTTTCTCACGAATCTGTTCAGATAATGAAAATCGAATTTCGATTCCCACAATATAAGCATACCAAATCTAATAATTGCTATCATCTGCCCCCAAAAAATGTTGATTATTGTTTAATGAAAATCGCTTCTTCACTGCATGCTATCAATTCATTCATTGTAGCTGACGGGATGCCCCCTACTAGGAAAAATTAATTCCAGTTTTTTACTCTAAAATTACTATTTACTTATTGTGGTATACGCAGGACGAACGACATCGAAAATTTTCCTTTTTTGAATTCAAATAATTTTCATTCTAAATCTAACTTCACTTTTTCACCTCCCCATAGCCTAATCAATTTTAATTATTTGTAAATGCAAATTGTAGCTTAGAATTGAAACAAAAAGTTTTATTATTCTTACTGTTTTGGTGAAGGGAAGTCGATACCTAATCGATGTGACTGCTTAAGGAATTATTGTTCGGATGGAATGGTAAAGAGTTTCATAACAATTAACAATGTTTTCCTTTTGAATATTTGTCAATTAAAAATCCATTACAATATTTTGCTTACAATTGCAATGGCTATAGTCGTTAGATATCAATGACATGAGCTTCGAATGAGAAATTATTGTTAAAATTATATTATACTGAATGAAAAAGTGAAAGTGCATTGCAGATGAAATGCTATTATTAATGAAATAAGTTTGTGCAAAGTTTGCATTTGACAAACACTATAAAAGCCCGTGGCTCAACACCAACGCAAATTGTCGGATAGCAGACTCAGGTTTTTGCATTATTTATGTGAACGTGATCCGAAAAAGCAATCATAAGTTGTGTGCATGATGCAGTGATGCAATTGTAAATAGCAAGCAAGAATTTACATGTGTATAAGTTACCGTTGGTAAATTTATAACTTGCATAAACAACATACGATTTTCTAAATGCAAGCAATCTCAGATCTTGAGGCTTATTCATATTTAATCCAGTTGTTCTCTTGTTTCTCGTTCACTGAATTGTACCCTTGACTTGTGTTTAGGCTTGGCGCTTGCACAATTTTCAAACATTTACTGCACATAAAATGCCATGGAAAAACGAACATACATACATAATTTAGCATTATTAACTCAAAACTAATGAGCATGCATATTCAACATAGATTCTCCCTGCACTGATATTCCCTAGTCATAATAATGTTTGTAATAATATTAAAAAATCTAATGCAATATTCAACAAACATTTCAGTTACGATTCGTGAGAGTAATTGTTGCGCCCTCAACTGGCTGTACCATTTAATAAAAAACGAAACTAAAACTTTTAACATGTTATCATGAAAGGCTAATCCATGAACACAATTAAAACTCTGACAACAAAAGATGAGAACTAAATCCCAAATTGCTATGGCACACAACTACACAAATTATAGAAATTTATTGTTCACTCAATCGCTTCCCATCTCTTTTACTCACTCGCTAGATCTTCCTTTTAGAAATAAGTGAAGGGAAGAAAATGGGGACGAGAGAATAAAAGAAGAGAAAAAAAATGTACATATTCCACCCTCCCGTAAGACCAAGCAGCACGCTGACTGTGCAGTGTGTGCGTCTTCATTGTATGTAGAACTTCCAACCCTGCTCATTTCTATTCTTTTTTTCTACTGCTGAACTTGGGTGTTGTGTGAGAAAATGGCTTGAAAAATGGCATTCGCATATGAGTATAAATATCAAATGAAAGCAAATGTTATGAAATAAGTAAGAACCATGTTTCATTTTTCTCACATTCTTAATAGTAAAGTACGGTGAAGAGGATGGAACGGGAATCGAATTCGGTTTTTCTTTCTTCTTATTTTTATAAATATTTTCTCACACCCCATGTTTGCTAAAATGACGAAGTTATCGCAAGCATACAATAAAAAGCGATAATATTAACATTATTAAATTAATTTAAATCTTCTTGATTTCTTGACTCCAATTTTCACTCCATCATGAAATCAAACGAGATGTTCAATGCTCCATACAAATGTTAGAAGTTTGAAGAAAAGTTGGAAGGTCATAAATCAAAAACATGTGCAATAAGTATTCAGCTTTCAAAGTGTAAAACGATTTTTAAATTTTTCACACTTTGTGTGAGCTACAAAACGAATGAACAAGCAAGTTTGATTATAATAAGAACGAAGTTTTATCGTAATTATATCTTAACAAGTCTTTTAACACAAATCAAATACTAAGAATGAAATTTTTCCTCTAAACCTTAGAGAATTTAATGAATGTCTGTGAGCAACACTGATTTATGATAAAAATTGATGTTTGTCATAGTGCTGCTGATGACAATTAATAGACGTTGTATGAATTAAAACAACTTAAAACCTCAAAAGATCTGAAACATCAAACAAAAGTATTTAACACAATATGCATATTAAAACAGTGAAAATTGCAACTGTAACGGATGCACTTTGTTGTAAAGGTTCTCTTTGAAGGCTAACATGAATATGTATATGAAGTACTCGATGTGTCTTCGACGACGTCGTTTAACGTCAATTCGAAAAACAAAAGATGACTTACATCTACATGTAGATATTTAAAGACTTCTCTTTAAAAGAAAAAAAAATGAATCGACTTCGTTCCTCCTTTTCTTTTTTTTCTTTTTCTTCGTATTGACTTCACATGTTAGGCTGATGTTTAAATACGTTGAATGTGTAAATAATAAGTTCAAATTTCCGGCAAAGTTAAACGACTCTTTTTTTAATTTACATTTCCGTTCTCGGGCGCTGCGCTCTATGAATATTTGAGTGTTAGTTTAGGTTTTGTCTTCTTGACGCATCAAATTTCTTCACTAGGTGCAAATCGCATAACAAAATGAGCAATACATTAGCAAAAGATAATGAACTTTCTAATGTTGATTGTTTTTTCTGGTTCATATCTTCAATTTGTGTATTGTCTTATTGCATTTATGCAGTGTTCATTTCTGTCATCAAATTTATTGAGAGTCCATTTCACTACGCATTTCACGATTGGATATCTTTTTTTTATGATAAAGAAAGCATGTCATGTTACTTCATACTCTCGAACTCTACCCTCAAAACAAAACGCTTTTCTGAAATGTACAGATAGATATAGATTTCATGAAAATCATTAATTGAGTGGAAGACAATGGGGAAACAAATAATAATAATTATAATGTACTTTTAAATCGTAAATATTACATTGAAGGGGGTAATTGTTGTGCTCACGACATGCCACACTGCATTCCCATTCATTATTTCTAGTCCAAGTAAATATTGCTAGCAAAAGCATGTGTTCAAGCAACCGTAACTCGTTTAGATGGTGCAAATGGGCGAGAAATTTTTGGCACCATCTCTACTATATTCAGAATTATTTTACTTGAAGTATTCTTATACTTACTTATGCTACATGAGGGAGCATAAATTTATGCTGAATTATGCAAAATTAGATATGATAATTTCTTTCGACTTTTGAAGTTTTGTTGATACTTTAAAAACCTGAAAAAGATTTTCTTTTTTTTCTTTTCATGCGCTTAACTTTCAGGGATATAGAATTTAAAAAAATTTCAAAGAGCGCAAGATCCAGGAAGAAATATTATGCGAATCGTGTGGATCTCATGAAATATTCATTACCCAACCCCCAATAGCTGCCTAGCATTTTCTGTTGTTTATATTCATTAATATACTGATGGCTTCAAACCATAATACATATTTGAAAAAGTTATGCCAATGACGATCTGGTCATGTAGCGGCTTCCAACACTCTCACATTATGGACAAATTAAGATTAAATTGAAAATCAATTTGCTTTTAAATTATTTATGAAGCTACGAACATTTTTATTTTCGGCTGATAATTGCATTATGAAAGTGCTATTTTGCAGCATTATCCTGGTGCTGAAAATGTGATGTTTCCAACCCACAGAGTTGATAATTTTTTTAACCGTGTAGATATTCAGTTTTTTATAACTCACAAAAACTTCTCATTCCTCGAATGTTATTGATTTTATATGTTAACCAATAACATGGAGTTTCCAGTGCGCGGTTTTATTGAATGTTTGTACACCGGAAGATATCATTTTTAGGGTTGTTTACGCTTACGTCATTTTCCATTACACTTTGATGTTTTCAAAGATGTAAAGCAATTAACTGATGAGGTTTTTTTTTGACTTCAGAAGAAAAAAAATCTAATAAAAGATCAATTAAAACTTTCAGTATGGGTGAAAGGTGAATCGATATTTACTTTCATCGTTTGTGATTTTCCCTTTCTTAAATTGATATGAACTTCCAATTTAGAGTTTGAAATAAAACTAAATAAAAACTTTATCAGTAATGAAATCTTATTTGTATCAAATCGCTATAGAATTTATTAAATTAGGGATTGAATATAAAACTATCGCTCATTAAATGATTCGCAATATGAAATACTCCTCCATGCCCTTAATGCTATATTTATTGTTTGTTCACCACTTCATTTTTCAACTCTCCCTGCGATCGTCACTAGTTCTTCTCATATCTTCGTTTGTTGAATTGTTGATGATGAATTCGAGGAAAATTAATAACCATAACATAAGGGATGGGGGTAAAATCATCACATGTGTGTAGATGCTGAAATGTATGGAAAGCAGAAAAAATAAAAAGAAGCCAATAACAAAGTGGTTGGAAAATTCTTTACTTTGAGGGGTCATTAAACGAGGGTCGTTTCCTTCTTCAATCAAAATCGACGAGAAAAAAAACCGGTTTGACATGAACATAAAAAGGATTTATAGCTTAGCTTATCACAAATAATGATCAGATGAATGCAGTTTTTTCAACTGACCACGTGTCACATTCAATTCGATCAATGTCCGTGCTGTCACATATTTAATGCAGTTCAATGATATTTTCATATTTCTTCATCCTTTTTCCTCAAATGTATGTCTTAGATGAGATAAATTTCAATAATAGCAAAATTATTTGGTTTCACTTGCTTAACATGAATCCAATTTGAGAGCTTCTAATGCGATTGCATAATATGAAGAAATTGGCACAATTATTACAAAGTCTCTGCTTTTAGGTGACATAAAACCTATCAACCCCTTTTTTGCATGATGTTGAACAACTGATGGGGTGCAAACGGTTTCCTGAGAATCGTGTTTATGTTTAAGCTGCAAAGCCATATGCAATTAAAAGTCGAATGATAGAGCGAGAGGGCTGAGTGGCGTAAAAAATCATCCCATTTATTGAGTTTTATTAAAAGTGTAAACTCTCTCGTATGCACATATTTGGCAGTGGGAATTTTTTTATGTTTGAACCTTATTTGACCTTTTCATAAAATCGTCGTTGATTTTCTACTTAATTTTGATTTTGTTCTCTGCCACTTTTTTGTGCTCTTATTAAAAAATGTTTTAACAGCCGACATGAAGTTAACTCAACAATATAGAAAACGAAAATTGAGATTGTGATCAAATATTTATAAATGCTTAATTGACCCATCGATTTACTCGTTATTGCAAATATCGGACACTGGGAAATGCTATCGTCATTCGAAATTTCATTGTTCAAATGAACTAGGATCAATTGTAATTCAGGAAATGAGATACCAGACAAGAAAAGATTTCTCTTATTCATTTTGCTGTAATTTTCATCTCACCCTCATCATTTATGATCAAAAGTTTTGTTGTTTTTTTATCCACTCAGTGTTACAGTAACTTTTGAGAATCTTTTCATCCTTTATCCGTTGAATATCTCGATTTATTTATGTATAAGCCATTTTACGTGTGCTTCAGGAGTAAGGTTGTTCCTAAAGGTGTGTGCGGATTTAACCTTCTAGGGTAAATCATGGAAAGCGAGATTGCTTTTACGAATACAACCCAACGAAACCCCTAGTTAGTGGAGCAGTAAAAATCTATTTTCGTTCAGATATTCCATCTTATTTGATCAACAAATCGGAACAAGAGAAAGAAAAAAAATGAATTTCTGGTGCATTAGAAGACACCGAAAAAAAGAACAAAGAAATAAAAAACCGGTTTCAAAGGCTGGCGATGAACTCACCGAGCATTACATTTTTGTTCATTCGATTATCATGCTTTTTGGAATCTATTTTTGAAATGATGAATTGAATTGCTTTCGATTAGATTTGGAAAATCATGTTATATACAGTAAGTTAAGAATATCTCTCATATTTAAATATTTTTTATTTTCTTCAAGTCTTCTCAGTTTTGGTTCAATCGACGAATTTTTTCACTTTCCTTTTTTTATTTATAATTCATTAAATGAAACATTTTTGTTTTAGCTTTAACGATAAAGTCGTCTGTTTTAGACAATTTTTAACAATAACGAGCCAGCGAAATTTATCTTTTCATACAGAATGACACAACAATTGAACTTTTTTTTTATTCGTTCACGTATCATTTGCTATCGATGTCTCCCCTAAAACAACAACCTGCGTCTTGTATGAATTCTGCCAGTTTCAAAAAAAATTGAACTTCGAACGAAACAAATGAATCTCATCATTCAACCAGGAAACTGATGGGAAGAGAAGACAAAAAATGTGCGGTTTCATATTGATTTATTTTTGTCTGTTTTACCACCGATTTTTCATGATCGCTTGCAACGTGATCCTGAATGTTTCTATGCATTTTCAACAGAAAAAAATTTGTTAATATTGTTGGATAATCTCATTGTAGCACTTTTGTCTCCCACTCTCGAAATAAATTTCATGCCGCCTAAAGACAAATCGCTACCAAATATTCTTTTTCCATTTTCATTTTCAACCTCCCGGGTGTCTAAGCCTATAGAATATAAGTCACACGTTGCTTGATGCTGTGTAATCGCTCTGTAGAAAAAAGAGAAATTGAAATTTAGATTCTCAATAGGAGAAGAAGAAGGTTGACAGAAAATTCTGTAAGAACTCCTAGAGAGATTATCGCTTCGAGGTTTTCATCTAAAACATTTTGAAATGCTAACTTGCAATGCACAAAAAAATAGAAAACGAAATGATTTCAGTATTAAAAGTTAACATACCAACATTATTCCCTGACAACTAGCCGTGACAACGTTTAGAATGAAAAAAATGTTCCTGATATTCGATACTTTTTGTCGCTTCGAATTTTATTTCTAATTTTAATCAAAGTGGAAATTCCTAATCAAGTAAATAGCCTGTAGCTAAAATTTGTTTTCGTTCGTTAAACATTTCTTCAACTTAATGGAATAATATGAAGCGAAAAGGAAAATTGTCATTTCAATATGTCGTAAGGAACCACTTTATTGTTTCTACAAGAAATTTCTACTTACATATTGTTTTTAATAATTAATTAGACTTCATAATTTTTTATTTTCATATACTTCCTAATAATTCATTCAACATTCAGCTAGGGAATGAAAAATCATTTTTGAAAAGAATCTCTTTCGATTAACTTTAGTTTTGATTAATTTATTAATTTATGTTTTTCTCTAGAATTAAATGAAACGACTTTAAGAAAAAAATGTTAAAGTTCTTTGTAATCGTTGCATTATATTTCGAAGCGATTTGTTGACTTCTGAAGTAAAAATAATACATGAAATTTCATGACAAAAGTCAACATAAGAAGACTCTTTTCCAAACTTATCATGATTGAATTTCGAGAGAAATAGAAAGATAGAGAGAGTTGAAAGTATTAAAGCCCTCCCGCGTTATTTATTCACAATGCTTGTGGTTGATATTAAACATTTAATGTCGTGTATTGAGAACATCGAAATGTACAAAAGTGCTTGTTAAGATTCTTATCGTGTTGAATTTTTTAATTCTTCAAAAAGTGATTAAATAACCCACGAGAGTCAAAAATTTACGGCCTTTCAGTGTTAATTTGGAATAATAATTTTTAAGTGATCAAATCGTGTAATAAAAAATTTACAAGCTGAGGAAGGATACTCTTTAGCTTAATCAACCCTTTTTAGGGGAGGTCGTATATGTGAAGAATGCTGAGTGTTGAATGTTTGTGAATTATTAATGTCACCCTCATGTTACAAGAAAAGAGAATTCAAATTCAAATCGGGGACTCATGAACAACAGCATAGTTCATAAGAAGTTTCTCTATTGATTTTGTTTAATATTTTGGTTCTTACTACGATTTAATTCATAAAAACTTAAAATGAAAAAAAAATTATTCAACCCTAAATTAAGCAAAACTTTATCTGTTCTTAATATTTGCGAGTAACACTCATTGAGCTTGTGGTGAACGTTCATTGCAACAAGTTTGAAATTTATTTAAATATTTTTATAATTTTTGTTTTTGGATTTGTTTAGAGAGCTCATTGTTTGTGTGCGCTTGCATTTATTTTGCTTCTATTAATAACACTTTGTGATGTGTACGAGTGCAACGTCAATTTTTACGCAACCCTCATTGATGTTAATTTATGCTAAATAGTGTTTTCCCCTTCTCACTTTTAGCTCAAAGCTATGAGAGTCCCAAGTAGGTACTTATTTCTTATGATTCAGATGCAAACGACTATTGTTTAAGAGTCTTCGGCTATTGTGAGCGTATGTAAGTGTTTAAGCATGAATCTTCAATTTCTTTAAACAATTGAATTCATTTAAAGGAGAAATAAAGCGGGGAACTTGAAAATAAAAGTATCATGTTCAAACTTAATTGCAAAATGATTGCGATGGGAACCAAAGTCGCTTTTCGAAGAGCATAATTGGACATAATTGAAGCTTCATTATGTGATACTTTCTTGTGCAATTGTAACTGAGTTAAAACTGAGCAAGGTTTACATTGTGGAGTATTTTTATTAAATGATGTTATCGATAAAAGTCTACAATAAAAAATATTCCTGTGAAAATTAGTTTGGTGTAAAATGCAAGCACATTTAACTTAATGATAATCGGAAGTTTGTCCATGTATAATATATACAGCGTTTTATTGTTTTGCCGACCGACTTTACCTGACTAGTAAGTAGCTGTTTAACCTTCGTAGAATGCAATTTATTAAACAGACGTTCGCTATGAAGACACATTAGTATGTGTATGTGCTTCACCAATGCTTCGGGTTCAGCTGAATATTTTCGCGTACATTTGAAACCGAACCTTGCATTGTCTCGCTTCCTCTTGTCGTTTTTATTTGTTGCATTGATATTTTAAATCGCAAAATATCGAAGTGCATTGTCATTCGTAACTTACGAGATTAAAAGCCTAACGACTGATTCAACTTGTTTAAAGACAAGTTTTTCAGAAATAAGAAAAAAATTATTACGTGTGGTTCTTTTGTCACTATTGCAAGTCAGCTCTTTCTTGTTTTAAGGTCATCATTAATCATTTATTTCATGAGCAAACGTTCTTCTTAATTTATTGGCGCGAACAAAAAAAACTGAGTAAAATTTTTTATTTATTCACAAAAGACAAGCCAATTTCATTGACCTCTACTTTTTGTGCGCGAGCGCAACGTTCTTGTTAATTAATATTCATTTCAAGAGCAGAAAAAGTTTCGTTTGTGAATGTTCCAACATTGCAACGTATTGCAGATTAACGTGTGGGATAAGATCATGCACACGAATATAAAGTTCTCATTTTTAATAATCGCATTTGCAATGAAAACTCATTTGGCAGACACAATACTTAGCCAGTTGAACCACCTCTTCATCAAATAACATAAGCCGAGTTAATCTATGTAATACCGTCATATAATTATATATAAACGCATAGGTACAAAAATGAACAAAACACAAATCATAATCATGTCCAAACTTACACTGCTTACAGACACTTAATTGCCATGGCTACTGGCCTTAATTACCAAGATAATTCTAATTGTTGAATCAGTGATTTACATTCATAAGATTCTTTTCATTTCCTTTCCACATCTAATTAACGCTACTGCTCGTATATTTTCAGACAAAATTTTTTTAACACGTTCTCGACAATTTACACATTTGATTCGTGTGTTGTATCATCAGCGCTTTGCACTTCTCTGCTACAATCCATCGGCTGTTATTTGTTATTGAAAACGTCTGGAATTATTTAAAGTTTTTTCCCCACTCATTTCGTAATCAAGTGCTTTGCTTTTGATTGTAGGCATCATTTTCCGATCCCATCATTTTCGGTTGATAATTTAATTTATTTTTATAACTGAACCAGGGAATGGAAATGAAACCTTCATAACATTTAATAAAAATTTCACGAATCTATTGCCGGAATTATTAAATAATAAAAATTGCCGGCGGTGTTAAAAACTGATAATCTCTTTTCTTTTTTCCTTGATTCGAACACTACTACATTTCGTTTATGAAAATAATATGAACGAGGGAGTAAAATTGAGTTTTTTCAACGATGAATATTTTGTAGAAAAATATTTTTTTGTTTATATTTTTGCACCAACACCATAAATCGATTGAGGGTAAAGGCAAATGCAGTACTTCGTAAAGAATATCGTTTGGACAGCGTGCAAAATATTAAAAAGTTTATAACCTGACACTGCTAGGCACCACTTGAAACTCCCCGTCATTTCATTGATCCAAATGCCAGATCCAGAAAAGAAATATAAAACTTTTTTCATCGCTACATTAAATGTATTTATCAATCATTTTTTGATTTTTTTTTCTATGAAAATTAACTAAAGCTCACAGAAAATTATGCATCAGCTTCGTATCGAAGAACAGAAGCTAGTGTAGAAATCTATTATTCAAATTATAAAATCACTATTTGCTACGAAGAAGACAAACGGTTTCTGCTTTTGTGTGTGTTATTACAAAGCGACTTCTTCAAATTGCTTCTTCTCCATTCTGTCGCCTTTTCATAAAGAACTTGGATACAAAACTGAACAAATAGGAATTTGTGTCAACAGAACCAAGTAAAATAGTAAAATAATAATCATTTGAGAAAAGTGTTTAAGTGACTTAAAGAAGTGAGAGCAAAAATGAAATAATAATAAATGTTCATCGTATGAAATGATTTTTTACTACACGCAGAAAAAATGAGAATTTTTTTTCTTTCATTCATGTTGTGATAGGTTATGGAGAATTTATTATTATACAATAATTTCGCATCTCTCACTTTATGCCATTTCTTCAATTTCTTCTTATTCGCGGATTTTTTTTTCTCTTTTTGTTGTGCTTTAAATAAATACTTAAATTCACGCACGCCGCATAGATATGAATTTGTGTACACAAACACTGCGGCGAATCGTATCCGGTGTAAAGAGAGATTTTCTCTACACCGAGCCCTGAAAAAAATTGAAACGAAAAATTAAAATTCATTGAAGTTCAAACTCTTCTCTTCTCGTTTGAATATACATACTAACACTGAACTTCTCTAAGTGAAGTCTTTCATCTGTATTTCTTTCTTGATTGCTACTATTAGTCTCAATATTCTCCTTTTCTATCTTTCTCTCTCTTCCTCACGCACCGTATGCAAGATTAATATATTTTAAGCTGTACACAACACATTGTGTTGTTAATATTATTCAAAATAAAGCACACATTACGATCTTTCGAGCTCCAAAACATGCCAGCCTAGGCTTGCAAAGGCCGTGTGGTATGTAACATCGCACCATAGTTTATGTTATAAATAATTTAGTAGCATAAACATACAGCACCGAAAAGAAAGAAAAGCAAAGACGAGAGAAATAATATCAGATCCAACAACAGTAACAACAATATATTTTAGTTGAAAAGTTTATCTTTTTTTCAAATCGCTTTTTGCTGCTTAGCTTCGCCTCGTGCTCTTTTCTGTGAGCTGGAGAAGGCAAGAATATTTACTCTGTCTGTATATTTTTTCTGAATAGATAGTGTGTGTGTATGTGAATTTGTTTTGATTTTAATTCTCTGCAATAACTTTAAACTTTTGAAGTAATTTTAATAAACAAGGGAAGGGAAAAGAACGACAAAAGATAGCAGGAAAAAAAAAGTTTAGCATGCTAAATTATTTATGTAATTAACTTCTACTAAAACTTTTTCTTTATAGAATTTTGATAGTTGCTTATTTCATTTCTTGTCATGACTTCGTGTTGTTTTGAGAATTTTAAAAGAAAAGTAAATGAATTTAAATGAGATTCAGATTTCAATAGCTTTTTGTGACAATATTTAATCAGAAATTCCGAAATGATTTTAAGCTTCGAGATAATCTAATTAAAAATATTTGTCAAATCAAAACATCTCATTCGAATCAAAAAGATATGTGGAAGGTTTATTTCCTTAATAAAAAGCATAATCAATTCCTAACAACATGATTTCATTTTTTTTTGGAACTTTCTGATAATGCAAATGCAAATTCATCGAATAAACACTTTTCACTTTTTCGAGTCTCGTAAAATCTATTGAAATAATGTATAAAAAACTTCTTTCTTTATTGAAATTTCCGTCAGTTTTTCTTTTGGAGCTAGGAAAAAGTTGTGAATTATGTGATGTCATTGCAGACAAAGTAAGAAAGATGAACGTTGTTGAATATGTTGGTTGAATTCCTCCCCAATTCGAAGCAAGGAAAAATATTTTGAAATTTCTATGCACGTTCTAAGTGCGATGTGACTTGCGCTGTCTGGAAGTAGAAAAGGAAATTTTTTAAAATGATTACTTTTGGATCCCTAGAGTTTCTTCCTTTATGGATAAGTCTGAAATGGGCCGCAACATGAGACATTTCTTCTTGCAAGTTACAATGTTGGCTGCAAGGAAAACAAGACGAAAAAAAATTCTGCTGATTGAGCGACAGATTTTAATTCTTAAGAAAACCATTGCTAATGCAACAATACTGAAGCAACTTTATTAATTGTCGTTTCAACTGAAAACTCTTAAAAAGAAGCTTTGTTAGGGGTTTTATGATTTATAACTTACAAGACTTTTTTCTTAACCAAACCAAAGCATAATGCTTCTGAATTTACATACGAAATCTTTCATTTTTCTTTCTCCACTTGCGTTTGAATTTGAAACTTCAACAAGAATCTAGAAATATTGAGAAATTACTATGACTCCATCAATATTATTATAATATTTCTCGTTTCTAAAATAAATAAAAGTATGATAGGGAACAATGTTCTCTCATTTACACACTCAGTCAGGAGAAAAACTGTGAAAGAAGAAAAAGAAAGAAAAAGATTATTCATCATTTCTACGTCCCTGTATGTTACTTCAGCATACAACCGAGTAAATATTTGTATATGAATGAGAATGTTGAACTCGAAAAAAGTAAGAAAGAAGAAGACTTTTATAGCATTCGTCGTCGGGGTCTCTTTCGTGTAATATGTTCCCTGCTTACTTTATTATTGTTGCTTCAATTTCATAGTTAAGTAGATATTTGGGTTCGACGGATTTTTAAAAGAAAGAAGATGAAACGAACACTCGGAAGATTTTAAAACTTTTTTATGGACATTTAGTATTTATTATCAAAACTCAAAATGATTATTCCTATTATCGCTTACCAAATGTCGAATTTTTAAGCTTTTGCATGCTGAAAATTTAAGCAGTAATTAAGCCTGTGTTCAATCATTTAAATCTTTCATGTCTTTTAATAAATGTGAAGTCGCAATTTTTAGCTTATTATTAAGCTAGGAATAATTCGAGATTATTTAATTCATATGTTCTTGATATTTGATTCACTTGCTTCACTTGCTGCTTTTCTATTTCAACTTACGTATGTGTAAACTTTAATTCACAGACCGTTAACTTCTGAAAACGACCGATAAACAATGACAGTCAATGTCATTTTACTCCAGACACCAACCACACAACGCGAATCGCAAGATTTATACTGCTTTTTTTCTTTATTCTGCCTTTAATGAAAACTTTTGTGTAGCATTATGAGAAATTATGTTCTTTATTTATGGTTCTCTGGGTTTATGTTTTATGGGTTGCTTTTATTCTATGCTACATGTCGATGAGCTACGATGAGGAGAAAATAATGTTGGGTCGATGCCACGTCGTGCTGGTACGGAAATGATATGGCGAGTGATGATGAGCCAATGAGATTTATATCATTGACGGTTTCGTTGTGCTATCCCTTACGATTTCCTAAACCGCAAGAGATACAGAGAGCAAAAAAATATTTTACAGATATTATTTTTCCCACTTCCTGTTTTGTCTCGGATGAAAAACGGAACTCATAACTTACCGCTCTACGTCTGAAATTTTTATTTAAACACCTAGCAACAGTCACTTCAATTCAATGCTTCAAAGTCATTGTTGAAAGTGTATGAATTCGATTACATTACTTTGCGCGCGAATAGAAAGGTACATAGAAGTGTCTATATAAAAAATACAAGCCATCATTAACAAGCGAGACATCATTCCGGATGTCAATCGACATTCCTTTCGGTAAGAAAACATTCACAAGAAGAAATAGAATCTTTTATTACCTTCACAAGAAAGAATTTAAATGGATGAGATTTATTCATCGCGAGAAGAACTTTAAAAAAAAATTCATCGTCTCTTTCTTTATGTTTCCAATGTTCTTTCTTTGCTGTTGAAAAGAAGTAAATGCTATGCGAAGAAAAAGAATTTCTTAAATTTCGATTTCTTTTTTTTGCTTATAAAATAAAAAGAAGAAGTGTGGAATGTTGTTCTTGAAAGGCTCTGCGAAAAGGAAGAAACAGCACGATACAAAGCATGGCATCTTTCTTATTAATCTGAAATAGAACGAGAATAAAAATTCGTTGAAGATCATAAACGTGTGTGATAAGTTAACGTTATATGTAATTCTATTCATTTCCCGAAAAACTCATCATCAAATGTTCTCTCAAATGCCTTATAATTCTATTAAAACCAACAGTGTTGAAAATTTCATGGTTTAATTATTAAATATTTATTCTTCAGAAAAGGCCAGCATCGCAGCCTAAACAATCTATTTTCTAGCAAGCATTAAAGTTTTTATCGAAAGCATTCCTAATAACTTTCCCGACTACTATTCCCACCCATAACATTTATTATGTAAACAGAGTAATCATGAAATTATCATTAAACATTAAGCATTTCCGTAAGCGAATAAAAGTTTGTTTCTACAAACTTTTGAATACGCACACGAAGGTTCGTTTTAAGCCATCCATAAACATCCTTTATTTAGAGTATTTTGCATATATGCTCGCTTACGATGCTCAAAGTGAAATTTTTTGATCTGAAAAACAAGCTGAGATAAAGCGGGATAGAATTTGTAGAATGCCATTAACGTGGTTGTTTTGTGTTTCGGGGACGCCATTTATTTTACGAAAAGGGATCAGAGGGGAGATGATGAGGTTTTTCACTTTCTCGCTTGCTTACCGAAGCCTCAGCAAAGCAATTTGTAAGAGGAACAAAACGAAAAGTTTAAAAACTTTTTCGTGAACTCTAAATGGGGGGACGAGTTCCAGCATCGTCAGATACTGAAATACAATTTTCCTCTCGTTTTACAACATTAAACACAGGAAGAAAGCAGCAATGCTTTCGGGTAGAATAAGTGAGTAGAATGAGGTCGCATGGGGACCATTTTGATCTGGCGAAAGTATTTGCTCCTATGTGCAGCAAAATTTTTCCTTAGATATTTTTTTCCAGAGAAAATTGGATTTTTTCTTCTCATTTTCATGTTCTACGGAATCTCAAATGATCGAAATGTTGTCTCACAATAGATTTTTTCTTCATGCGCATGCTCATCACTATCATTCTTCTGTACGCACGTGATAACAATGAATTGCGTTTGTCTACGTCCGCACGTTTTCAATGTAAAATCATGTTTTGAATGATGCGCTTAGAAACGCATTGAATGAGTAAGAATAGCAACGTGAATTAACAAATCTTTTTTCACATATTTAAGCAAATAAAACCTAATTAAAAGGAAAACCGAAAGATTTTGATGAAAACACAGACACAATATTGAATGCTGTTATCAAAGGCATTGACACTAGAGCAAGGAAACGACGTCACGACTACATAAAACTGATTTCTCTTCTTCTTACTTAATGTCTTTCTTCCAGTCTGCTGCTGTTTTCCTCATTCAATTATGGAAGCAACTTTAAATTTAGCAACGAAAATCTAATTGTTGAGAAGTTTTCGATTTTCTGCTTGAATTAATCGTGGAATTCAATTTTTCTTCCTTAACGCATTAAAAGACGTACAAAGAATTGAAATACAAAAAATAATTTGTAATTCACTTTAATGTCATATCATCAGAGAAAGGGAGAAGAATACAAATAACAGAAAATGCTGATAAATGCAATTAATTTCATAAAAAAATTGTCTTTCATCTGAAACAAATGTTTACAGGCCACCACAGAGGGAGAAAACAAAGAAAAATGAATTAATTTTTAATGAGGAATCTTTTGAGGCGAGGGGTAGTTGAAGACAATAAATAGAACATTGGAATTTGAATGAAATATTTTATTCAGAAATTTTATGAAGTTATTGAACGACCCCTTGGAGAGCGAATATAGAGATCAGCAAAAGCAAGGGGGATATTAACAAAAATATGACCGGGAAAAAGCACCAATTTGCCAAAAATCTCCAAGAAAACCTAACAAATTCTTGGGAAATGAGGAAAAGCACTATGTTGGTCAACCCCTTGAATAAGGGGAAAAATTGAGAGCAAATATTATTGAGAATATGTGTCAGTGCCACCAACACATACGCAAAGATATTTCTAAAATAATCACATGGTCTGTAAATGCATTTGTGGGAAGACGAAGAGTAAAGAAGCAACATTTCCTTCTTTTTCGCTCTATGTCTTCACAGAACGAATTTTGATTACGTTTTCAAGAACGATTCTTCTTGAATTGTAAACCTTTATAAAAAATATATTTTACCCAGCCTGAAATCTGATACATATGAAGAATGTCAATCGATTAAAATTAGTTTGTTTGATTGGGCGATGACATCATATTTTATGTCCAAATTTCTCTTTCTCCTCATTCAATATCAGAAGATGAAAACTGAAGATACATGCTTTTAACATCATGTCTAAAATTTTATTCTTTCTTCTCTTAACGAGACTCTGAACAAAAAGAGAGAGAACGGATGAAGTCAATGGACGAAGTGGAAAAAGCAAAAATAAAAAATAATATAAGAATTCAAGGCCATAAAATTCTCCTCACCCGACGTGCATGGATATCCATATGTGCTATTTAAAAAAAATCGATGAGAGAAATTAAAAGAAGGCAAAAAAAATCTCGGAACTGAGACGATTTTTCTTCTTTTTTTATTTAAGAATAAGACAGCACTGCGAAGACCATCGTCAGGTTGCTTTATTATGATAATTTATATTTCTTTCTTCTCCTTTGTTATGTTTCATGATGCTGTATTTGTTGTTGGAAACACTTGAACAAAGTTCTAGCGAGATTTTCTCTAAACAAAAAGAAAAGAGAAACAGGTTCGTTGTTTCGATTTGAAGATGCTTCCAGACCAAATTCATAGGACCATAGCGAGAAAACCACTTACAGTAATAGAAGAGAACTCATGAATTTGGTTATGAGATGGAGAAAGAAAGTTTGCATAAAGTTTTATTATTTATTTCTATGTTTATTTATTACCTTTATAGAAATATTTATTAAAGTGAACGGTTAACGGAAGAATAATTTACCTACACACACAATTTTTCCCTTCTTTTTTGCGTACACCCTTAAATGCTTAAAAGATAAAACAATTCAGTCAACGAAGCTTAAAGGGATGATGAAACTTTATACGAAGACGTTTCAGATATTTCAAAGATTCCACATTAAGAATTTATCCAAGAAACTTGTCAAATGTTCAAGCAAAAGTGGATCTTAAATTGGAAATGTTGAATATGGCGTGAAAAAGGAAAAATTTTCCCCAAAAAACCTTCAGCATTCCGGTAAGATTTATTGAAGAATTTAATAAAATGAATAATTTATTGGGAAATGTCTCGAAGTCGAAATTGAGAAGAAAAATTTTCCTGGCTTCGTCTTTTACCATCTGTAGAAGGCAAGATATTGCAATTAGAAGATTATATTTGAGATCTGACCATTTCTCTTAACTTTAGCAATAAATCGAGGGAAGATTTGTGGTTTTCATGGAGCTTCACATAAACTATTAGGGTGAAAAGTTTTTGGATTCTCTATCAAGTGCTTTCATATGAAATTCAAAATGCCAAAAATACAGAATGTAATAAGACCAGACAGTTCATGCAGCTCAACCTTTCTTCACCTTGCCATGACCGTGATTTCTTACTGACGCGACGAGTCAAATCGAAATATGCGCGCTGAAAAATAACCTCCAGACACGCGAAAACAAAGCAAAAAAATTTGTGGCATTGTAAAACGATTTCTGCATCTTCAAAAGCCATAGAACCAAACTGTAATTTGTGTCGGCATGTCGGTGAACTGACTACGCGGATTCTAAAGTCATTACGTTTGAGTTGATTTACAGGCACTCATCAAGAATTTTTCGAGAAACGAAGAATAATTTTTATTGTTGCAAAATAATTAAATCGTCTTATTTTTCTTCCCTACCCGAACAAATCAACATAACACTAACAAATGGAATTTTTTTAAAAAGCAACGACGCAGCTATAAAAATAGTTGATTGTCTGGTCGAATCTGATTTGAAAGATTAATTGCTCGTTTTGTTGAAACGAAGCATTCTCATTTATTCTTGTAAATCGCATTATGAATGCACGAAGAAACTTTTGACTCGTTTGTGCTGACGAAATCTTTTTTTTTTGTTTAAATGTTTATTGCCAATTAATTGCCAACAAGCGACTGATCGTCAAGTATTGAATTCTTCACATAAATGTCTTTGCTCATGCTAGTTTAAATATATGACAAAGACGCGATGAAAGAGTTAACTTAAATGGCGTTTTACCTGAATATTTATAACCATGGTTAATTAAGTTAGAAAATAGCATAACAGGAAAGTAAAATAGAAGAGACGAGACGAGACGAGTCAACATTTCTTGTTCGCTGTTTTCTGAAAAATCCTTCGATAAAGAAAGTTTAAAAAAGTTCTGCAATTTAACCACCACTCATATTTAAATTGAATGAAAAGAATTTTGCTGCAAAGGAAAACTTCATTCTCGTACTTGATGTCTTATATCAATATCCACTACTTGTCTATAATATTTATTTCTTCCTCGATAAAATTAAAGCGGAAATTAAAAAAAAAAGAGGAGAAATGCCAAAAAAGATGTAGCTTAGGTCGTTCTTCATCCTATTACAACAAATTTCAAATTTTAAAAGTACTCAAGCTCTCAAAGCTCCAACTCAATTCCGTAATGACTATCAATCTCCGGACTTTATCCATTTGCAAAAAAAATTGAGATCGATCGGCAACGAAAAGCAATCGCTAAATTGCATCTTGTTTCTGAAATGCGCAATAAAATGTTGAAGAAGATTAAGCAACAACAACACGACAGTAGAGAAGAGAACAAGAAGCAGAACAAAAAGTCTTTGAACCTGCTGTAGCATCATTGTTGTTGGGGGCCTTTGTACATGGATCTTGTTTCGTCTGTTGCCTGTTTTCTTTTGCGTTTCTCACTCGTCGCAGTTCCCTGTATTTGGATGACTGACATTGGAATACAACTGGTTGGCTTTTTTCCTCTTTGTATCGATAGGAAACATTACAAAGCTGCAATGAGATTTTTTCTCTCTTCCTCCGCCATAAGGTGATTGTGCAATTTGTGTGCAAGTTGATTGTGATATCTTGACGTAATCATCTGATGGTGGTGACCATGAAGGTCAGTGTTGCGGAACGTAGATTAAACGTTGCACTTCAGTTCTTAGGGGAATTCTTTATATGTGCAAAGTAACTGAATGAATGCATTTTCTTTTTCTCCCAAGGTACACGATGAAGGAAAAAGAGTTTGCGTTTAAATAAATACTTATTAACTTGCTAGTAAAGTGATCAAGACAAAAACCTGTTAAAATCGTGTTGATTTATGAATCTTTTTCGTTTTTTTCTTTAAAGTGGTGTCGTTACAATGAGTGCAGATTCAACAGCCACAAGCGATGCTTCCGATCCAGGTTCACCATTTAGCCACACATCAACAAGCACAGATGATGCTTCAGCAGTACAAGCACCAGTCGGGAAAAAGGTTACATCGGAAACGACGACCACAAGTGTAAGTCCCCAAAATGGGAAAACACTTAAAAGACAAGCGCAAGTGACGGAAAAATGTGATAAAAAGCGTGTGCGAAAAGAACTTTGCTGCAAAAATAACAACGTAGAAATCAAAATTATTCCGATGACTTCAAGCGCATCTTCTCAAAATCCATCACAATTAAAAAAGCCGAATAATGTTATTAAAAACACTTTATCAGCAATCACCAACTTAAATGTGTTCAAAAGTCAAATGAGTGGAAAGACTGCAACAGCTGTTTCACAGCCGCCACCAATTGTGATTCCATCAGTACAACAGCCACCGAATTTAGCTCAGCTATCTCCATCAACTGGTGTTGCTGCAAACATCAGCAAATTGACAGATTACTACAAGCTCAAGAAAGAAGTCACCAACAATCTCAGCATTGAGAAATATTGTAATATGTTTATGAACCTTCAGTCGGTTAGTAAACAGAATTTGAAAGGTGGAAAAGCTGCAGATACAAACATAAGTAAGCAACATGCAGCAACCACAATTACGCCAATTGTCAGCAATAATCAGAATCAACAGCAATTAAAGTCACCTATTAAACCTATTAATGTTCCAATCAAAAAAACTATCAATGAGAAGAAGACGGCGAAGATTGCACCAATCATTCCAGTTGCAAGGAAAACAACAAGCAATCAAATGCAATCATCGTCGTCCCAAACGCCATTCAAAATCTCACCAAAGAAACCAGTTTCGATTGCACCTAGAATCGAGCCAAAACCAATAGCACAAAAGAATAACATTTTGCAACCAAAGCCAGTTCCAATAACTTCAAACAATATTAAATCTGTCACGAATGGAAAACTTGTTGCATCATCACCGTCATCTTCATCATCTCCATCATCATCATCACCGTCATTGCAGCAACAGCATCAACAACAAACTGTTTTGTTGGCTGCAATCCGTATTCCGTCACAACAAATGCAAACTCAAACCCAACCACCACCTTTGAAGATTCAAAATGGTCTCATCCAAAAGACAACGACAACAACCACCACGACAACAAAATTAGCACCATTACTCCAATTTCAACAGATGATTCCGAATTTGATACAATTGCCAAACTTGGTGGCTTCAACCAACAAAAATTCAATCGCAAAAGTTGCATCGTCGTCAACTCCTTCAACAACACCACAACAGCAGAATGTTTATGTTAACAACACAACGCTTACTCAACAACAGCAACAGCAACTGTTTATGAATGGTGCAGTCATTAAGCTACAATCGTATCCTTCGTCGACATCTCAAAGTAATCCACAAACGATGACATCATCCACACCATCAAATGTTGTAGCTTCAATGACAAATGTAGCTCACAAATATGCGATGCATCATCAGCAACAACAACAGCAACAAGCATTTGCTGCACAACTAGCAGCACAACAAATGCAACAATTGTTTATGACAACTCCTGTTTTGTTCAACACTTCTTCGATACCAACCGTGCTGACATCGCAACTTGCTGGGCTTCAACACGCTTTCAATCAACAACAGATTGCTTCGTCAATGGCACCACCTTGTTCAATGCCAGCTCTTCAACCGATTCAATCATCTCTTTTGTCATCATACTCTACAAGTTCCATGACATCAACAACAAATAGTATGCAGTTGCCGAGTATCAGCACAATCTTACATAATCATCCAGGAATGGCAGCTGCGACTCAACAATTCCAGAATATTCAATTGCAGCAACAACAAAATATTCCAACTTTAATGAAGACTTCAACAATGTCATTGCCACCATCATTGACAATTACATCGGGTTATATGCATAATCATCAGAAGATGACGTTATCGGCACCACCGCAAGCAACTGTGAATCCATCAGCAAAAACAATTCCGCCACTCGCACCGGCTTCAAATATTGCCAAGAATTTACCGAAACTCGTCTCAGTAACAAGCTCATCATCTCAAACATCACCGAAATCACCGCCTCCGCTTGTTATTAATCAGAAAGTTTCACTTCCACAAGGTTCGCCAATTGTTACGTTAACATCAAGTTCAATGAAACAAGATGCGATTGAGACAAAAACGAATGCAATTTGTGTTGTTCCACCACTTCCATCGCCTGCTAAAACACTTAAAGTCGAAGTCGAAACAGAAAAGAAGATTACAATCAATGAATTACAATCCAAAGATACAAAATCTGCCATATCGGTGATTATCGAAGAGAAGTCAACGATTGAATGTGCCAAAAGTCCAATTTTATCACAACCAACAACAATCCGCTTTCCACCGGTCAATGGTAAAGTCACAGTTTGGAAGAAGTGTATAAAAATATCAAAGACTGGTGTTTGTAACTGGGAGAAATGTTCAAAACATTTCGATTCCAATTCGGATTTATTGGATCACCTTCACCAACATCACATCAATGCACAGCAAGGACCGTTTATGTGTTCATGGCGAGACTGTAAGGTAAATGGCCGTGAAGGTTCCAAAGGATGGTTGGAACGACATGTCATGTCTCACGTTGGCTCCAAGCCGTTCAAATGCATCGTTGAACGATGCGGTGTGAGATTCAGTAGTCAGGTACGCTCTTTTTAGCTTTAAAGCATTAAAGAATATCATTTAATTTTATGTTTTCATTGAATTCAGGTGCAATTGGAGAAGCATGTGAATGGTCACTTCAACAACTCTGATCAACAAAATGGAAATAAACGTTCATCAGATCCACCAGCACCAAAAAAGATTAAAAAGGATCAAAAGAAAACAAAAGTTCGTCGTCAACCATGGTCCGGTAAGTTAATTCAAAAAAGAATCCGCCGGAAATACCAAATAAATAGTAAATGCGTGGACACAAAGCGTGGGATTTCCAAAGAATTGTTGTCTTTTCTTTTTTTCCTTTTTTTTGCTACTCATCCCACCTAATAACTGAAGTCGGCAATAAATAAGACAACACATCACACTTCGATCTCCACTTTAAAAATTCTTAACATATTTAATTTTTTATTTTCTTTTATTTATGAATGAAGTTTCTTCTTCTTGCTTTATTTTTTCTTCTCTATCGTAAATGAATGAATGAATGAATTAATGAATCATTGCGAAATACAAAGTCAACTCATAGGAAGTGCTTTTTCTAAAAATATGTAAAAATGATGATACAATGCTTTAATCTTGTTAACCACTAATCACATTCCATACTCTTTCATTTTTCTTTTGATTATCTGCAAAAATGTCTAATCCTATTAACTTAAAATCGAAACGATTCGCTAATCATCTCATTCTTCTATTTTCATTATTTAGCTCGTCGCTTCGATTTCTTTGATGTTGGCATGATGGATATTTTACAATATCGATTAGAAAAAGCTGAATCTGTGATGCAGGGACGCGATATTGAAGTCACATTTAAAGGAAGAATTATTGGTAAAAGACGAGTTCTTGGTGATGAAGATGAATATCGAGTCACGTGGAATCCAACAAAAATGTGAGTTTTGCAACGTGTGAATCGAAGGTCAAAAATTGATGTTTTCTTCTTTTGATTTCGCTTGATTTCACAGAATCGATGATGAATGGATTAAACGTCCGAAAGAGTCTCACAAACCTTCATTCCAACTTATCAAGAATGTTTCAGTTAAGCGAATGACCCCATCGCAACGTAACGCTCTTCAAGATCATGTCTCCACTATCACAAAAACCTCATCACGGTCAAATGGCTTGAGGAATAGTCGGAAATTCTCATCAACCTGCTCATCTCGAGCATCAGTTACATCGACATCGACGTGACCTAAACGACAAGCTCTTAGCATCAAAGAGCATGTAAAGCGTGGTCGAGGACGACCGAAAATTGTAAATGGATGTTCAAAGAAATTTTCTAAAACCTTGTAAGACGACAGAGAATTGTGAAGTGTAATTACCTATTTTTCTTCAATCCTTTTAATAATGTAATTAGATATTTAATTTAAGTTACTTTTACCAAGTGATACGGAGATTTAAGAAGGTTGAAAAATGATTTTAATTTCTCTAACACAAATGAACTGTAAAATAATGCGCTATAAATTTGAGTCAGGAGAAGAAGAGAAAACAAAAAGGATTTTCCTTTTCTAGCGAAATTTTATTTCTAATTTTATTTTAAATTAAGAAAAAAAAGCCATTTGAAGAAAGAGATATTCTAAGTTTGATACACATGTGCTAATTGCGTTACATAAAAAGTTTAGCACTTGGCAAAAAGAAAACTCTTTCGTTTTAAAATGATCTCTAACATTTTAGGCAAAATTGTTAAGAAAATTCGTAAATTCATTCAGTGTCACTTAAACAAAACTATGTATCTAAGCTTTTACATATTTAGTTGAAATATTTTCTGTTCGTATTCGTAATTTTTTAGACGTGAAATTTTCAAGAAAAATTATTGAATTGAACTTATATTAGAGTGTAACAATTCGTGGTAATAATTAATTGATCTCAAAAGTCGATTGAAAACTTTCGTAATGATCATTGATAACATAACAATATGAATTAGTGTCGCTGAATATTCGAAAATAAAAATAAAACCATTCTTGCAATGCTCGTTTCTTCTAAATAAATATTTTTTGATATGCAATATGTTTTCCTTTCGACAGAAATGGAATCTTCTTTCTGGCTTAATATCTTTACTGGGTAAAGAAAACTCTCGGAAATCACTCAAATACGTGGGAGGTTTTTCTCTTTCAAAAACCTTTAAATATGTACATAAAAAATTAAACATTCTCTTAAATGTTACTTTGAAATTAGTGATAGATAATGATAATTGCGTAAAGAGATAATGATAAAAAAAATGGAAATGAAATCACTTGGCGAACACACTCGAAATTAAAAACAAAAAGCAAAAGCACTGCCAAACAAAATTAAATTAAAAAAATAAAAACATTTTTAATAACGTCGCGCAAAGATTATAAGTAATTGACGAATTATTTATGAAAAGTAATTTTAAAAAAATTAAGATTTACTTTTGAAACACTGGAAAGAAGAAACATATAAATGGAAAAAAAATTAAATTGTGACTGATAATTTCTAAGAGCTAATTAACAAGCAACATTGATTCAGGGCTAAGAACGCACTCAAAAGAAGCCCCATTAGAAAAACTTAAATAAAAAATCATGTCACTGCCAATCATTGCAAGATATGTATCGGAAAATGCATTGCAAGCTGGACTGGCATACATAAAAAAAGAGAATTAAAGAAAACAAAGTTTCTGTCTTCATTTTATCTATAACTGAACTGCCATTGGTAAGAAGAGAAATGATTTCACAAGACTAGCAACACTAATGCCATTAAATTTAATTTCCAAGGAACAGCATGTTGAAAGCTTTCATGATGTTCTTTTAAGGCTCTCCGTTAGATTTCTAAGTTTCTTATTTTTTCATCTGATTATTATTTTAATTACGTCCAAATATAAATTAGCATGTAAAAGAAAACAATACAAAAAATGAATGAAGGTAGTTTAAACGTTAAGTTGGAAACAGGGAAATGTTAAAATATATGAAAACTTGATAACATATGAATATAGAAGGAAAATGACAAAGCAAAAGCTTGAATGATTTAAAAACCAATATAAAATACTTCGAGTTCTCATTTTTTTGATGGAAGAAAAATTTTCATATAAAAATTTTAAACTTTATTTGCCAAATAATTGTTTTTTGTCTGATAGGCAAAAGTTCTTGAAAATAGTCATAAACTTCAGCTTACATTAAATGCAAGAAACTTTTTCACTTAAATTTCCGCTTGGAAAATTTTACAATTTCAGTGCAAACAATTTTCCCCTTTCGCGTAAGCATAGTAAAGTATTTGGATATGATAAAGAAATGGTAAATTAAATAGAATAGAGTGGATGTGAAATTTAAGAAAAAAAACTGATCACGATTATGAAATGAAAAATCGTTAAGAAAAGATTATGGGAAAAATATTGAACTTGTGTAATTTAGATGTGTTACGATTATGAAAAAAACTTATAAGAATCATAAATTTAATTTCCATCTATTTTGAATTTTATTATTATTATGCTCGCCTTAGTTATTTTGGATGAACATAAGTTTTTGATGATAGGGTCGTAGTCATTCTTAGGAAGATAAAATGACACAGTTCGGTGACAAGAAAAAAAATTGAATTTAGGAAAATGTGAGAAATCAAAGACTACCTCAATGCAGAAATCATAACAAGAGAAAAATACAGAAAAAAAGAAATAAATAGTTGACTACTCGAATGCAAATTTTTGGGCATGAAATTAAAAACAGTTTATGGAATACTTATAAAAACAGAAAATAATTTTATACGAAGCATGAAACATTTTAGACTCTTAAATCAAACAAAAAAAAACTTACGAAGCAAGCCTTAGTAAGAAATAAAAAAAAATCGATAAGTTAAAAATTATCTAATTGAGATCCACCGAAATTTCATCTCATCATACCAATTGTCAATATTTTCTTTAGTTTCAATTTTTTAATATCTTTTAGATTTGGAGTAAAATTTTTATATCCATTCATTTCTATATTTTATTTGTGAAACTTTTTCTCTAACTTCTTAGATATTTTTTAAAGAAATTCTTAATCGTTTTTCTGTTTTCTTCGATAGGATTTAGAGAGCGAATTTTATATTTTCTTAAGGGTTAAATAATTATAATGTATACAATTGCCCTTTTGAATATTATTTGTAGGCGTTTGCCATCTGCATCGCTGAATCCTTTACGAATAAAACAAAAACCATTATCAGACAAGGTAGAGCATTACTTTGTATTATCTAAACTCATTTAAAAAAAATAAAAAAAAAGATTTAAAAATTTTAAATTAATTTATTTTATTCCTGAAATTGCAGTCTTATCAAATGGACAGACATGCTTCGAATTTTTTTCAGAGATTATGATTAATATCTATTCAAATGGAATGTTATTTAAATAGAAAAATATTTCATAGCTTTCGAAGTGTGTGGCATTGAAAACAAATGTTAACGGTTTTCACTTCAAAGCTATGATTTGCAACGCTTCAAAAACCCAACCGATTCAATCAAAACAAAGAATTGTTTAGTCAGAAGAGTCATTACAGATTCTGATCGTCATGGATATATTGTTACAAGACAATCTTGGTTACGATGTTTGGGAAGTTGAGGATATACCAAATAATACGATCTCATCGATATGGATTCTTGGAAAAAGCTATAAATATGAAGAACTTGAAAGGATAAGAGACGTAAGCTAAAAAAATAAATATCAGAAGAAGAAAACATTAATTTTTTTCTCATTTGAATTTCGTCACAAAGATGGTGATGTCAATTCTTTGGTGTACGTACCGAAAAGCATTCCCACCTTTAGGCAGTAGTCAATACACTTCAGACAAAGGTTTCGGTTGTATGCTAAGATGTGGACAAATGCTTTTGGCAGAAGCTTTGAAGAGAGTTCATCTGGGAAGTTTTACATGGTCGCGCGACACTAAGGACAAAATTTATCTGAGCATTGTAAATCGATTTGAAGATAACAAAAATGCACCTTACGGAATCCACCAAATTGGTACGATGGGACAAGACTCAGGAAAGAATATTGGTGAATGGTTCTCTCCTAATGTGATAGCACAAGTTTTAAAGTGAGTTATAATTCATTTATTGATTGTGAATTTAAAGATAAGCAGAGTTATTGTATATTTAGAAAACTTGTACGTTTGGATGAATCATCTAATCTCGTCGTGCATGTGGCTTTAGATCATCAAGTAGCTACAGAAGAAATTCTAGAACTTCAAGACACGAGTGAGTGGAAGCCCATACTTATTATAATTCCTCTTCGACTTGGTCTCAATGAAGTAAATCCAATTTACATCGATGGTTTAAAGAAGTGCCTTGAGTTGAAAGAAACATTGGGAATTATTGGTGGTCGACCCAACCAGGCTCTTTATTTCATTGGATATGTAGGTGATGACATTCTTTACCTTGACCCACACACTTGTCAACGTAGTGGTACAGTCGGAAATAAAGAAAATCAAACAGAAATTGAATTTGACGAAACATATCATCAAAGATTCGCCGGACGAATGACATTTTCATCAATGGATCCATCAATAGCCGTTTCCTTCATTTGTAAAACGAGACATGATTTTAATAATTTAATAGAACAATTGAGCAAAAAAGATGATAAAACTCCATTATTCGAAGTGATTCAATCGCGAGCAATACCATGGACAGCATCATCGTCAATGGCAAGTAGTAGAGATTTGGAACAAGATTTAACTGAGATTTGTGGAGGTCAATCACATGACGATTTTGAAGAAGTTCGGAAAGAAGAGGGATCTGAAGACGAATTTGAAATTATCGAGTAATAATGTTCATTAAAATGTATTCCTTTTTAATTATCTACGCATTTAGGGATTTTTTTAATTTGATTAATAACTCTTGCAATGCTTTAATATAAATTTCATTTAAATTCACACAATTCTACAGATGTTGACATTTAAATTTGAATCAGACAATTATGTCAAATTTTCTGCTCTGCCCAAAGCTTTCAAATATTTAGATATTAGAATGTATCATCTTCATGTAGATATACTCGTATGAAATGTTATTTCAACTTTTCAATTTTCCAGAAGAAAATAAAATAAAATTAATTTGATGATGTTGTTAATTCCTTATAAATGCGTGTGTCAATAAATAAAACAAACGATTTTTAAAGAACAAATAATTGGATTTTAGTATTACGAAAATATTTTAAATTGAAATTCGGAAGTTTAAAAGAAAAATCTCATGCGACGACTCTGACGATCGTGCAAAAGATTGAACTTATTCACCAATTGATTTATGTCGTTTGCTGCCTTTGTTAATGTCCCCAAATATGTTATTAAGCCAACATCATTGGATTGTGTGTGGAATTCTTCCTTGAATGCTGGACTTTGAACGACTGGTAAGCGATGGCTTAATGTAAAAGCTTCGCGGAGTATTTCAAGATTCGGCTTCAATTTTCCATCTTGAACATCTTTGACATATTCTAAAACAAGTTTGATGCGAGAGTGAAGCATCTTTATAGCAACATGTTGGGCAACCAAATGTTCAGCAACTTAAATTATAAAAATTTACTCATGAACGAATTTTTCACGATCAAAAATAAAACCTCTTACCAAAAGAATTTCCACCAGAATCATTTGTTTGTGCCATGGCATGTCGAGCGACATGATCAACACCAATCCGTTCAGCTTCTTCAGTCGCTAAAGTATAAGTGAGTGGAACAAAAAGCATCGTAGCTTCTCCTGCGACAATATCGATGACAGATTCAAAAAGTTGGATCGGTAATTGTTCAACATGTTTGCTACTAGTGTCCATTTGAAGGAGAATTGGACTCTCATTAATTTGACAGATCTGTCGATGAATTTTGATGTGTTTTTCATTGGGCTGTGGTGCAGTTGTGTACCATCCCAAGAAATCGAGATCACTAAACACCTGTTTATCTGAAAAGTAATAAATCAAATAAAAAAAATACACAAAATAAAATATTTTCATAAAATTAATTATTTACACTGCTCCTCCTTTGTATTGTAATAATCCCGGTTTATGATAACATCATCATCAATGACTTCATATCTCAGCTCAAATGAATTATAAACTTCGATTTTTCTACCGTCTTGTTTGCCAATTAAAGCTCCATAAACTGCATTAGCTCTTCCTTCTTGTGCTCTTATACGTGTCCAATGTTCAGCTATATTCATCAAAACTAAGGGATGTAAAGATATTGAAACTGATGGAACTGCGTTTTTCGCTAAAATTTGTTTCTGTATTCGTATTGAAGCAGAAGTCGAAGGAGATTGGTCGATTTCATCAATTTCCATCTTTTCTAATCCTTTTCCTGGTTTATTAGAAGCCATTTTCTATTATTTAATACGGAAAGTTTTTGCAATAAAGGAATTTATCTCTTTACAATAAAAAGTGCCTATCGTCGATTTATACTCTCTCCACCTGAAACTTCCCCAAAGTCTAGTTTCAGGTGGAGTGTGTACAATTTTCTTAGACAGACAGACATTTCATTAGACAGACGGATTTTTTGCCACTTTGTATGGAAGGTCAAATCCACGCGAAAACCTCGGTCCGCGGAAACACTAACTAGTTTATCCTCGGGTCACGGCCCCCTTCCATATATCACTGCACCGGCTCGCTTTTAATAATTTATTTTGACGAAGGGTAGAAGTTGTGGACTTTTCCTTATGTTCTAAAAATATTTAAATCGTGTGAATCAAAATTGAACCTTTTTGAACAATATTGTAACTGACATCGAGCAATTTACCAATAAAATTCTTTAAAATTAAATAAAAATCTGAGGAGTTAATAAACAAAATTTTTAACAATTTTAATTCACAAATAAATGAAAAGAAATGCTATTCTGTTTTTGTTACATACCTATGCAAGCATACATGTATGAAATTTCTTTATTTATTTCAATGAAACTTCGATGTTCGAATTCGCCTTATGACAGACAGACAAATGGAAAATTTGTGACGAACATTTAGTAAACTTCTCCGCCAATTCGCTCGTTGTTTTTAAAGAGAAAATGATTTAGTAAATTAAGATTTAGTGTTAATATTACGATAAAATAAAACGTAAAATTGATAAAAATAATTATGATATGAAGTCGATTAATAATAACAACGAGAAAGGTTCAAAAATCCTCTCGAAAAGCGATTATAACGTTTTAGAAATTTTTCATGCTTTAATACAAATACATAATACAAATGATAGAAAACGATTATCCTTGCTAAATTCAACTACAAAACTCCTAACAAACGCTAGCAACGTACTCACAACAGAGGAATTTCTTTATTGGTAAACATCCAGTTCTATTTTTATTGTCTAAACTACATACGTTTCTAATTATATCCAAATATATATTTCTTACTCATCACAAACATCTCAATTTTAGCTTGAGCTCCAACTTTGTACATCAACTTACGCAAGTGAGAGCTGGTGCTTTACGAGTAACGCGATACCTTTTAAAGACAACACATGACCTACAAACATTTAACAGCCTTAAATTGGACTTATTAGTTTGTAGGAGTTTGGATATTCTACTTAAAAATGAAGAGGAAAGAATTCAAGCTCTCAAATTAATCAGAAAAATGATTATGATTTTACCTGATCTTGTTTCTCCAGCTTTGGTGCGATGCTTAGTGGCATTAGTAGATACATCAATGGTTGAAAATACGAAACCAGATCGAATAGTTCGTGCTTGTCTAGCAACTCTATCCGAGCTTGGAGTTCTTAACCCAAGGCTTCTTATTGTTTGCAATGGAGTATCAGTTCTAACAAGAAATGTACTTGAATGTGATTCACCAAGAATAGCTGAAAGCTTAGTAGGCGTTCTTTTACATTTACTTGAATATCCTCAAACGAGAAATATTGCTGGTGTAAGTCTCGATTGTCTTGCGGCGCCTTATTGCGATTTCACTTATAGACTCGGTATCATGGACAAAAACAAAGACGCACGAGATTTAAGGTTTAAATGTTCAAGATTAGCTCTCTTATCGGTGCTGAGAAGTTGGACAGGAGCACTTGAGTTTTGTAATCCAAGCAAAGCATCCGGTTTGAAGGCAATCATTGATATCCTTTATTTAAATCAATTGGAAGTGAGAAAAGCAATATTGGATCTATTATATGAACTACTTGGTCTTCCACAACCGGCATGGACTGACGAATATTCCGTAGCTTTAGCTGCTGTTGATCCCTCCGATTATCAGGATGAGTGGCGTCTTGCCGAAGGATTTGTTGCAATGGAAGGACGATCTGTATTGCCTAGTCTCGCAAATAAAGTGCCCAACATATGTGAAATTCATCAAGCCTTCCTTGTTTATTGTTTCATCGAAAACGGACTTCTTAATGCCTTAGTAGAAGTGATTGTGAGTAGTGACACATTCATATCTGTTCGTGCAACAATTCTACTCGCCAAACTTCTCCAGTTGATTCATACGATGTTACCAGCTGATATTTGTAGTACGTCACCCTCACTTCCAACGTTGGTATCGAAAGCAACTGGTGGAAATCATCAAGCAAAAGCAGCAATATCAGCACTCCAAATGTATCATCAAATGCTGAGAAATCGACCAGCAACATGCAGTCTCTATTTGGATGTCATCATTCAAAATGGAGAATTGATTAAAACGAGGCTATTTAAACGGGAAATTGATGCTCAAAAGAGCTTATCGAAGTCAGCTAGTCTCTCGCTGTTTGAACGAATACGAACAGACTCTATTGGCTCAAATGATGCTAGCGGTACATTCTGGGATTACTGGGATGTATTGCGAGATACAAATAGTTTAGGAAATGAATCAGGGACAATGAAAGATCGATCGAAGCGATCAAAAGTTATTCGACAGAAGGTCTTGGGATTTTTCGAAAAGTTCAGGGAGAATGAGCGACTCATCAAGGAATCTATGGTGCTTACACATGTCGATCCAAAGATGTGGGACTGGGACATTGTTGTCACCATATTCAAAAATAAATCCCTCAGCACGAAGCTCGATGAAAATCAACTAAAATTCATTAAAACCCTAACGCATTACTTCAAGCCGAGTAGCAATAAATTTTCACATATGGAATTAGGGCTTGGGCGACTTTTACCATCAAATGTAAATGTTGGAATCGAACTCATTGATTATCTCTTAGAGCAGATTGATGAGCTGGAATATATGCGAATTTTAACAGATTGGTGCTCGGATATAAGCATCCATTTGCAAGCGATTTGTAAAAAGAAGCCACACGTAAGTTTAAATAAAGTTTAAACAGTCAAAAATGTTAAGAAATTTCTTTCTTTAGGATTGTCTTTTTAGTCCAAGTCATATGAATAATACAATGTGTCAACAATATTTTCTCTTCATTGGTCGTATATGCCGATCTGTTAAAGGTGTAACGATCCTCAAGAACACCGACATTTTAAAGCATTTGATGTATTTGGTTGCCAACACAAATCACACGATATATGTGAAGTTGATTGTATCAGGTTTAGATTATTCATTAACATCGTCCATTCATTATCCACGTCTTATATTGGAGAAAGCTTTAACGTCATCACCAAGTCATTCGTCTCGTTTGTATGCGACACAATTTCTTCTGGTGTTATTGAGAGCTCGATTACCAACAGTCGAAGAATGGGGAATTTTGCTGCTTATGAAACAACTCAACGATAAAGATCGCGCAATTGTATTAACAGCTCTTGAGATTCTCGATGAAGCATGTCATGAGAATATTTACCTTTTGGAGCTTGCGCATGTGTGGCCTGATCTTTCTAAACATCATGAGCTGGGTAAATACATCATGATGAGATTCTATTCAGTTCCTCGTGGAATGAATCATCCAAGTGCCAATGTGAAAAGTGAAATTGATTTGTGGGTGAATGTGTTCAATAAGAAATATGTTTTATATGTTGAATCGGAAACTCACTCGTCATTAACACTTCACACGAAAAATGAAGAAGGCTTTTATAGCACTAGAAACAGTAGTCTTAATCAACGTCAAATCATCACATCAAAGAACCTTCCTTGTCATTTATACGGTGCACTTGCTCAAACGATACGTGGAATTGGCTACTTACAGAAACATGGCAACGTGTCGCAACTTCTCGACATTCTTTCATCCGCCAGATGTGGAAATGAAGAAGAATGTTTAAATTTAAAATCAGCTCTTTGGGCTCTTGGTCATGTGGCGACAAATCTTGATGGCGTTGAATTTCTTAACGATACAAGTTCACACGTTTTCGAGAAAATTATTCGTCTTACGAAATATTGTGAAGTTTATTCAATTCGTTCGACGGCCTTCAATGTTTTAAATCTGATAGGCTCAACAGTTGCTGGTGCAAATGCCTTATTTAAGCTCGATTGGGCTTCTGTTCGACACGATCGTAACAATGAATTTCCAATTTTGGAACCTGAAGATTGGCACTTGAAGTATCCGTCACCCGTTCGTTATAATCACGATGTACCTGCTTACAATTACGGTGCGATCAATGAAAATCTTTCGAATCTCACATCGACAAGTCTAAACCCATCATTTTATGTTGCCGATGCTAGTGACGCAACAACATTGAAGGATGATTCGGTAAGAATTCTTTATTCTTACTCACTTCTTTATTCTTTATTCTGCTTAATCCTTCCATAATGTTTTATGATAAATTTTTATTTCAGATTCATGATGGTGACATGTCAACGTCAACACAACGATCACGAACACTTCCAGCTGGTACACTTCCATCTCAAATGCAACAACAAAGAAGTGGTGCAAAGCACATTAGATCATTATCCGAGTCAAAGACATCGGATGGATTGTCAGGGATGGTAATTAATCGAACACGATTCAATTCTGGAGATTCAAATACTTCAGGTGTGAGCAGTTGTGATTCTGTCAACATGAGAGCTGTTATAAGTGAGAAATTAAATCTTCATCACCTTTTAAATGTTTCATTTTCGTTTTTTTCTTTTAACAGATGAAAGATTCCGTCGAGTTTCATTGACGGGTACGCCAATACGAGACACATCACAATTAACCGATCAGGATGTTCATGGCTATAAAAAGTTACGACAAATTCGAAGAAATTTAAGGCCTATGTTGAGTGAATCAGCAGCTGATGATCTTGCAGATATTTATGAAAATGAAGGGAATGGGCGATCAGCGGTACGAACACTTTTACCATCATTTTCTCTAGATTCGAAACGAAGAAACATTCTCAGTAGAAATATTGAGAGGCAAAGCGTTAATATCTCAGGGTAAGGACCTTTTTGTGCGCATTCTTCATTAAAATATTAACTTTTTTGCTGAATTACAGAATTGATGATATTCAAAAAAATATTTATGTGGCCAAATTGTTAACTCAAGTCGATACCAAAGGTAAGAGAACTTTAATTATTTTCTTCCAGATTACTTTGAATATCTTTTCTTTTTTTTCATTTAGGTCCTTGTTATAGAGGTAAGTTAATTAAAATTAATTATTTAAATTTTTACTTGATTTGCATGAAAAGTTTTTATGAATTCTTATGAATTTCTGACTCAATTCGAGACTATATGAAAATCATTTTCAAGTAACAATAAAAAAGGGGAAATAATTAAATACATCTTTTATATTCTACTTTCTAGGAATCTGTCTTCCAAGAAATATTCTTGATTTATTTCCTGAAACGAGTCATAGTGGAACGTACGTATCACGCTTCATTCAGGAATTCGATAATCTTGAACTAAATTTATCGGCTTCATCGATTCTGACAAAGAATCAATATTTGCATGATAGAGATATAACAGGAGCACCAGATGAGTCGGCAGTTTCAAGTATGTCAGATTTATCAACAGGAAATAAGCGAACGAGAAAGAAAACAATCACAACATCAATATTTGATTCAGCAAATCTTGTCACAGAAACAACATTCGCCGTTGGATCTACAAGTTCAGGTGGAACAAATCAAAAACATAATAAAAGTGAATGTTTGATGTGTTGTCGAACTCAAGTTATTAACAAGATCATCGACACAACTTCACTCAATATTCAAGAATCGAAAGATGCAACAACCACAATCGCAACAAATTTAAATGGAAAGACACGCGACCCGGACGTTTCATTATATTCACCAGAAAGCATTATCAGCGATGATTCCGCGAATACCAACATGCCCGATCGAATAACAAGCACAATCCTGAGGAATGTCATAAAAATGGCGAATCCAATAATGTTTAAAGCATGTCGGAAGATTCTTATGGAACTCAAACAAAAATATCCGCAATCATTTCAAGATATTTGCTTATATTCAGACATATGCAAGCACATGTCAAAATGCTCTTATCGTTTGACTGTACGACGTTTCATTCAAGAAATCTTTCTCGATCTTAATTACGATGCTTTTTCTAATGGCGTCGATTTAGTTCTTGAAGTTGCTCAACAGCGCTTGACTGATCTAAAACTATTAAATAACTCAAAATTATTTCCTTTATCATCGCCACCATCATCATCTCAGTCTCATCACACCTCAAATGTTCCATTGTCTTCAATTCCCATTCCAATAGCACCACATAAAATTCATTCGCTGAAATCACCTTTATTGGCGAGTGTTTATGAAACGAGCGTTGAAAATCTTATGGATTCTCCGCCACAAATCACCAAAGATGAAGTAGATGCTATAGTTACACTAAGATCATCTGATCGTAAAGACGATTCAATGTCGAAGTCGACGACACAAGTAACAGCGGAAGTTCATCCACATCGTTATAGTTTCGAATCAAGTGTTGTTGAACCCCATGAACCCATAAGACGCCGACGCTTTAAAACATTAGATTTAAGTTGTACAAAAAATATATTTCCAATCAAACATCGCTTGGAGCCGTCATCATCATCATCATTATCTTCTGCACCTTCTGGACCATTAGCAACCTCAACCCTCCGTCGACCGATTTCGTTGAACACTGGCACTACTTCTACCGCTACTGCCGCCAACACAAGTAGTAGCAGAGACGGACAGAAAATGCTATATAAGTCTGTCATCTCTACAAGTGATCATAGCTTCGATGTCACATCATCTCGTAGTCCAATTTCGCCGACCTTAGGTACGTTGTTCTGCGAGCAGAGACTTTTACAATCATCACGTTCCGAGGCTACACTAACAAATAAAAGTAAAAATAGTAAGAAGACAAGTGACAATGTCACAAGCGATAAATAAACGTTATTTGTTTTTTGTTTTTTAATTTCAAAGAAAAGAAGAAGAAAAAAGCTCGAAATTGATTCACAACAAAGCGACAATTAAATGCTTGATGAATATTTATTCACACACAGGAAAAGAAAAGAGAAATCAAATCAGATAAACATTTACATATAAAAATAAGAGATCCTACCGAACAAAACATGAAAAATGAAAATGAAAGAAATAACTTATCACAACTCGTATTCTCTACATATATTTATTATATGCAACATAATAATACTTATATGTGGACATAAATAGACAAACATCCCCACAAAATAATTAATGAAAGAAATAAGAAGGAAAAAAAAGAGAAACATCCAAACAAAAAGACTCGATTTTATTTAAGCAATTACTGTTTAAGGCAGCTTATTATAATTTTAATAATTAATAATTTAATGATTTTCTTTATTATTTTAAATATCTCTTGCGCTTCATAATTTTAATGCACATAACTTTAGGTTTTAATCATCACTTACACCTCGCTTTATTAAAAAATATGACGACACGACATGATATGATATGATAAATATGTACATAAATATGACGAAGAATCATCTGATTTATTTCCTCAATGTGACTGAATGAATATTTTCCAACTCTTTTTTTCTTTTTTTAAGTAAATCAAATAGTTCTTTGTTAACATCTATACGATTACGAGTGAAGGAAAAAAAAAAGTCTTCTTACTATTATTACTTGAAAAAGGAAGAAATCGGTTTTTAAAATTTTCTTGTTTTCTTAATTGATAGAAAAGAAAGAAGTGAATTCTTTTCTTTCTCATAAGAAAAGCTTTTTGAATGTCTTTTTATGATTCCATATTTCAAAAACTTTCCCTAAAATTATTCAACGAGGAGAATTGGCCGAAAATAATTTATATTTATTTACAAAGGAGAAATTTGGCTCTTTGGGGATGATTATCGAAGTATGGAAGAGTGACATTCAAATTGATATTATCTTGTTTCCTAAATAGCTACACATATATCTGCATATATTTAACAAAAATAAACATTTTTATCTTAAATATCTATCGAAGAATATTTTAAAGAAATTTTCTTCTTCGACATCAATTGAAGATAAGAAAATGAGAGGAAGAAATCTCCCCGATGAGGTTTACAGTAAATAAATAATTTATTAATTTATTTCATTGAAAACAAAAGCAAATACATAAGCAAAAAGTAAAAAGAAATAACTTTTAATCACAAAAGTTGTTATGATTTTTTTTAAGTCGATCGACAATGAAAAATATCCACCAAAAACAATTCCTACCTTAAATCATCCAATCGTTTATGACCCTTTATTTACTGTTTGATGGATTTTTCGTTTTAATTTTAAGATGTAACAAAACAAGATGAAACATTAATTAACATACATATATGTTTGAGTATCTCAAACGGTTACGGCTTTAAAGTTTATTAAAGTCGACCTAAAGTAGACATACAACAGAGAAAAAGATAAAAACTAATAATAAAAAAAATAAATAAACAAAAGGACAAAAGGATTTTCTAAGAAAATTCGATCACACCCACACAGACACATACAACAAACATAATCTGACACAAAATATAAACAAAGCAAAATAAACAATTCACTTAAAATCTCTTACTGTTCCAAAAGATGTTCAATAGTTGATAAACGAAAAAAATAAAAACTATCAGAATAAATAATTTAATAATTTTATTATTAACACAATTAAATGAGAAAAACGAAAAAGAAGAAAATGCAAAATCCTCTCCCACATCTAAAGTTGTAAAATATTGTTGTTGATAAAAAAAATGAACGAAGAATAAATTTTCTTTTTTCGAAAATTGCAAAAGAAGACTTGTTTTGTTTTTCTCTAACTATCTAGATACATTTCATGCTTATGATTCAACATTGAAATTTAAAGGATCCATTAGGAGATTTCTGGATAAGGGAGATGATCACAAAAAGCTGAAATAAAATAAATTCAACACCAAATGTTTTCAATTTTCTTATCATTTTATTACTAAACAATTTTCTTCAATTTTCATTCATATCAAATATATATGTATATATATATTTCTATAATTTTTCTCACTTTTTTTCTTTTATCAGATTTGAACAACAAGAGAAGGAATTAAAAAGAAAGTCTTCTAATTAATTGCGAAACTACTTATGTCTTGTATCCGCTAAACAATTTGTTTCTTTTTTTATATCGTCGACGAAAACTTCGTTGCGCTTTCTGAACTTCCCTATCAATTATTGTTAATCAATTCATATAGATATATTAGTTTAATTCTTTTATCAAATCAAAAATATTTTAAGAAACCAACAAACATTGAAAAGTGTAACCAATGTTGAATGTTAAAACTAACTAAAGAAGAAAAAGGCTTTCAAGTAAATAAGTTGTTCTCTCGTTATTTCTTTTCGTCATCCAACAACAAAAGGGATATTTTCTTGTCGAAACAGAAAACGTCGAGATGAAACTATAATCAATTTTCTAATTTTTCTTTTCTTTATTAAATAACTTTAAATAAAAAATATTGATGTTATTTCTCCCCTTTTATTTCATATTGCTAAATATTTATTTTTTTCCAACGACAAGCTTCTTTCATTCAAATATATTTCCTTTTGTAATGATCACCGAGCGGGGTATAACTTGACGACTTCGTTACAATGGGCCAGTAGCACTCTTTTCCCAATTCCCAATCTATCCCACATTATAAAAGCTTTAGCTGTTAATTTATTACACTTTCATATTTTATTTTGAACGTGCGTTGGCGAGTCAAGAACAAACCTCGTCAAACGGGAATGTTTTTATTAATATTCTTGATTCGCTTTCAACGTCAACCAAAATATGAAGAAAGTTTTTAAGATTTTAATTTTTTTTTCTTTTAATTCCATTTTATTATTTCAATTGTCTCATGATCCGATCCCGTAGTCCAATAAGAGTTTTTTTTTCTTTTTTTTTAATTCGTTTTAATGCGCATTTATAATTAACTTTCCTTCTTCTTTCTCACTTTTCTTAAGAATAATTTTTTGTTTTCGATTATTTTAACATATAGCTTTAATAAAAAAAATTTGATTTTTCCTCTTTTGTCACACAAAAACAAAATAATTAAATGATTTTTCTGTTTTCCTTTTGCTTCTTTTTTATATTTTGAATTATATAATGAATTGATGACAGAGGGCAGAAATGTAAAAAAAAGAAACATAAACTTGTTGTTATTCTACAATTTCGTCTTCCGTCGATTGATGTTGGTGATAAATTTTACTTTAAACGCATTCATTTGCGTGTGTGTGTGTGTGTGTGTGTTGAGTGTGGTTATGAGGAAAACTTTTTCTCTTGAAGACTTCTTTACTTACCTAACGATTAGGATTCCATGCGGAAGCTAATGAAGGTGTTGTGTCTTGGACATTTGATGATGCGCCACTAAGACCAAAGTCAGGGAAGTCAATCTGCGAATCTTTGTTTGGAGCTTTTTCCCATGGAGCACCTTGAACGACAAAGCCACTCTTGTTGCTGCCACTACCACCACCTTGAGAATTTTTCATTGCGTTTTCGAAGAGATTTACATAAGTAACATTTGATGATTGCTTAGGTGCTTCGCTGACATCTTGCATGTATTCTTCTTCCAAATTCAACAAGTGGTCTTTGCATGCCTCAACATCTTCTTCTTTACCCATTACTGTTACTTGATTCATGTCAGCATCGCCTTCACGAGGAAATTTTATGTCAACACGATAATCCTCCATAATTTGACGAACATGACGTCCACGTTGACCAATGACTCGTGAATGAATTCTAGCATCGAGGGAGACAACTTCTTTTACCATCTCATTATAGTCGCCGACAATTTTCAAGATCTCATCACGAGCAGCCTTTGCAGCTTCTTCATATCCTTGAATACGAATTGTGCTCTGTTCATCGCCAGCATCTTCTTTACGTGGGAAAGAAATTTGAACGCCATGTGATGTTCGAATCTTATTAATGACAGCACCACGACGTCCAATAATTTTTGGATGAAGATCAGGTTCAACTTGAATCTTCAACTCAAAACTTCTCAATTCACGATCTTCGCGATCTTTCTCCAAAGCTTTGACACGTTCAGCAATTGCGGTTTTAGCATCACGAACATTTTGTGCTGCACCTGATACTTTAATGACGTCCAACTTCTGATCTTGTGGTGACAATTCAATATGAACATCGTAACGATTCATCAACTCACGTACATCATCACCTCGCTTTCCAATAATCGAACGATGTAAGTCAAATGGAACTTCAATTTCTTCAGTAATTGGAACCAAATCGATGAGAGCTTGTTTTGCTTTTTCACAGTTCTCAAGTTTACCATAAATTTTGATGATATCGCCAGATGTATCACCACCATTAATCAGGTCACCTCCATTTGTTTCAGCTGGATTTTTACGTTCTGGGAACTTCACTTGAACATCAAATTCTTGAGTGATGCCTTGAACTTTAGCACCACGTTTGCCCATGACACTGCGATGATGACGTTGAGGAATGACACATTCAATTGTCACCATTGATTCTAAGTCACCAACAATTTCAATGATCCTTTGTTTAGCGGCTTCGATACCTTCCTTTGGTCCTTTCAAAGTAACACGTGTCGAATCAATTTCAGTTGAACGAGGGAAAGATATTGTGACACCCCCACATTCTTCACTTATACGATTGATGACTTCACCACGCTTTGCAACGAAATGTTTATGGTGCTTGGGATCAACGTTCATTTCACTTTCAGTGTTGTTGTTAACCTCACGAATAATGGCTTCAAGTTGAGCTTTTGCTGTTTCGACAATCTCTTTCTTGCCAATTATTGTAATGACTTCTTTGTCCTTGTCTTCACTTGTAGGGAAGATAATGCGTGCACCTGTAGAATCGCGAATCTTCTTTATAGAAACGCCTTTCTTACCGATCAAGAAGCGATGATGTTTAGGATTAGCTCGAACTTCTGCTGTGAAGCTTGACAATTGTTTCTCATTGCTGAGTTCCAATAATTGTTGTTTAGCACGTTCAACATCATCTTTCGGTCCGCGAATTGTCACTTTGTCACTCTTCGATTCAGCTGTTGGAAATTTAATGGAAACACCTCCACATTCTTCCATTATTGAACTTATTAACTTTCCACCAACACCAATCAATGAATTGTAATATTTCGGTGGAATTTGAATCTCTTCTGTTACAATATTTGCCAATTCATTTTGAATCTTTTGAATGCGATCACGTGCTTCCATGACATTTTCTTTCTTTCCTGTGATGACAATGACTTCGTTCTTATCACCTTCAGCTGGTAAATCAATTTCAGTTTGTGTTTCGTCACGAATCTTCTTAATATTTGCACCGCCTTTTCCAATGATAAACTTGTGGAATTGTTTAAAGATGGGAACTTCCAACATGAAGCTCGATTCTTGTAATTCTTTTACCATTTTCATCAAATGTTTGTGACACATTTCAACATCATTTTTCGGTCCACGAATTTTTACGATATCCGATTTTTCACTGAGATTCGGGAAAGTGATGACAACTTGATTAAACTTCTCACGAATCTCACGAATGCGTGCACCTTTACTTCCAATGATGCTTCGAAACAAACGATGATCAATAATTGCATCTTTTTCCCTCTCATTCTCAAGCTTCTGGATCATATCTTGCAACTCAATTTGAGCTTTTTGAACGCCTTCAGGCGAACCTTCAATACGAATTGTATTTGTGCCATCTTTCTCTTCAATATTAATCACAACGTCCATCTCATCTTTGATTCGATTAATATTTACACCAGCTTTTCCAATGATGTGCTTATAATGATTTGGATTAACTTCCATTTCAACGAATGTCAATCGTTCGATGTAATTCTTTACCGTCTTCTCCAATTGCTCAACAGCATCAGTCACTTGATCTGGTGGACCTTCAATCTTAATCTTTTCTTCATTGAATTCAACATGAACATTAGGAAATGATGACGTCAACTCTTTAATGCTTGCACCTTTACGACCAATGATATATTTATGAATCCATGCTGGCGCTTCAAGTGTTCGCGATTGAACGGAATTTGCTTTCTCATAGACAGTTGCCAAAGCATTTCCAAGCTTATCATGTGGCCCACGAAGAATGATTGTGTCAGTGGCAGCATCACTTGCTGGCATCTCAACTGAAACTCCAGTGATTCTTAAAATCTCTTGGATTGTACTGCCACGAGGTCCAATGACATATTTATGTTGAGCTCGAGGAACTTCAACACCGACACTCGTGCATTTCTTTTCCATGTCTTTGAATATGGCAAGAATGCGAGTTTTCGCTACTTGAACGCCTTCAGTTTCACCTGTTATAATGATTTCATCTTTCATGACCGATTGCGGTGGGATGTTGATGCGACAACTAGTTTCGTCAGCGAGCTTTTGCGCATATTCGTTGTTGGGTCCATTGATGAATGGATGATAAATTTTTGGGATCGTAATACGTTCAAATGCTTTACGTGATTGCTCGTCACTTGTTGTACGAATTTCATGTTCAGCTTTTTCAATTCCCTCTTTCGTTCCTTGAATTGTTATGACATCTTTTTCCTCGCTGATACTCGGCACACTGATCTTTGTGCCTGTCATCTTTTCCAATTCACGCAACTTTTCTCCTTTCTTTCCCAAAATCCAACGATGATGATCACGTGGAATTGAAATCTGCTTACTTGCTTGCGTTTGAAAGTGAATCAATATCTTACGACGAGCTTCAACAACTTCCGATGCTTTGCCAGTGATGAGAAAAGTGAGTGATTGATCTTTTCCACTTGTTATTTCAATATGAGCTCCAGTCTCTTTCATAATAGTTTGACATGATCGTAATGATTCGCCTTCACCAAACTTATCATTTTCAAACTTTCTTTCAGTCGATGGAACATAAAACACCTAAATTAAATTTAAATATTTTTTTAATTGTCTTTTAATGACCAATTTAATAGAAAAATTACCTGAGTTATAACAGAACTGCCAATACGCATCTTGTTGTTAGTTGGCGCCGTAAATTTGGGTGTTGCACTCTCAGGTAATGCTGGAAACAAGTCATCATAACTATAAGCTGGAGCACCTGCAGGTGTTGCTGTAGAAGTTGACTCTACAACTGATCGTCATCATAAAAATAAAGACATGTGTTAAAATTCTTAGGAGAATAAAATAAAATATTTAATTACTTGTTGGATCCTCCATAATTGGTTGAATGACGTCTTCTTTTTACTTTTCCTTAAGATCCTGCTTTCTTTGATTAAACTTTTACCCTTTTCTCGTCACTTTTCTATTTTGTTATGAAACGTTGCTGGTATATGCAGATTTTAATCGTGGATCACGTTAAACGTAAAAGTTATATAGATAATAAAAATTTATGATGTATTAACACAAAAACAGATAATTTTAAATCGTTTTTTTAAAATCCTCGAAGGTATCAATTGTTTAGTAGAATGTCCTTTATTCGTAGCAAGTCGTTAACAGTACCCCTGTAATAATTCATGTATGTGTGTGGATATGTAAAAGAAAAGAAAAGAAATGAATTAGAAATTATTGCCAACATTATCAACAGTTAAGTTTTCGAACATAAAGCGAATGATCAATGTTCATCAGCATAACAAAAAAATGTTCTCTCCTCAATAACAACAAAAAAAGAAGAGATTTCTGAGCAAAGTAAGAAAAGATCCGTTATCATTTATTACATAATGTATTTTCTCTCTCCCTCTCTGTGAATACTTCTACTCTCCATCTTTGTTCCCTGTCTCGATTCTTCTATATTTGGAATATGTAGAAGATAAATGAAATGTGTGTGAGACTTTTTACTCTTTTATTATTATCATCATCATCATCATCATCATCACACAGTCACAATCACGCCGCTCAACATAAATACATCAATATAATACTTATATGAATACGAAAGATTTAGTCTTTACTTGTTCGAATGAAACTTTGTACAACAAATATATTATTGATAAGTCATTATCATGTGTTGTGTGAGATTTATGAGAGATAGTTGTGAAGATCTTTCGTTTGTACATTCGTTCGTGGCAGAGTGTATGAGGAAGCCACGCAGTGACATATTTGTAATAGCTAATTGTTTCATTTTTATCATTTCTTTCTCACAGTTTTCTTTTCTCTATTCTGTCTTTCTATTCTTTTTTTAGTGAAACCGGCCTGTTAAGCTATAAATAGAAATTCTACATTCATTTAACATACACACGTTGTTTGGTTGATTGGTTGGGTCGAGGGACAGAAAAAAGATTTTATGGGAAAGCATCAGGTTGTGATTGCTCAGTTGTTATTTCATTCTTTGCTTTTGAGCTTCTTTTATTTTGCTTTTGTTGAACCCGGAACTAAATTTCAATTCGACTCAACTTTCATTTACGAAGTTCAAAAAGCTTTAAAATATATTTTCAGAAACAATACTGGACAGAGATTTCATTATCACTCTCTTTCTCTATTTTATCTAAAAGAAAATATGTGGGACTATGTGAAAATAAATCCAAGCTGGAGATATGCACGAAAACGGCATGCTATGAAATTAAAATTTGGCATGTTCTTCTTTCTTTTTCTTAAAGTATGTCGCTCACAAAAACTTATTAAAAAAAGAAAGAAAAGAAAATAAAACGAATGAGCGAGTGAGCGAAAGGAGTTCTTAATTGTTAACGTGTCATTTCATGAGCTATATTAAATCATTGCTTCAATGATTTTTATGAGTCTTTGATTTTAAAAGAAAAGCTATCAAGTCATAAACGATAGTCTCAAAAATATGTATGTGATGACCAGGAAAATTTTTCTATGGGATCGCAGTATTTTTTTTCTTCTCGACGTCGCATGAATACGTGTCAAGACATGTTTCAGACTATATGGTGGCAAATGAAAACAAATTCTAATTTACAGAGAGTTCTTTAAACAGGGACATAAACTAGTAATTTTTAAACCACAGGCTTTTCTTATCACTTAGAAAATCTTTTCCATATTGTTTTTTTACTGTCTCTTTCTCTCTCTCTCGGTATCACAAAAACATAACCAAATTTTAGGAATTTTTTTTATAGCGAAAATTCGTCAACGGAAAACTTCCATAGTGATAATGACTTACTTGAACTTTACATTTATTCGCTATAATTTCAATTTACTTACGATAAGAAATTATAATAAGATTCAGCGAAACATGAGATTTTATTTTTGATTTCGTGGCACTTTAGAATTTTGTTCAAAGTTAGTAGAACTATTGAATATACTTACAAAGATACTGAAATCCAAAAGTCCGGCCTAAATTTTATGTTTCTTACTCTCCAGAATTGAGCTGTTTTCAACCTACGTTGTAATTAACAATTTTTTTAACAAATAAACTTGACTGTTCGCTAGCGACAAACGATGAATTATGAGAGTTTGCCAACATCTGAGTCATTGTAGTTTACCACCCTTCGAATATTTAAAACAAATTATGTCGTTACGTTTTTTAAAAACGATCACTGAAATTTCTTTACGGTTTTATTGCAGCCCTTTAAAATATATCTATATAGGTATCTATCTACGTAGAAACAAATTTTAACTAGGTATTCTCAAGAAATTTTTTAATATCTCAATCCGAGCTCAGTTTGATAAAGAAAGAATATTTTCAAAACTTTTCATTATCCGATATAAGCTGAAATAATGAAGATGGAAATATCCTAAAAGTTTAATAAAAGTTGACAAAATTAATGTTCTCTAAAAAATAATCTAGGATATTCGATTCAATGTTCATGTCTGTTTTCATTAGAAATTCACTCTCGCACCATTCTATTAAATATTTGATTCTCTATTATTTTCCTTGTTCATTTCTATATTTAAATTTTTGATCGTCTTTTCCCCTTTTCTTGCATATTCGCATCAGTTAATGATTTGATTAATGATCGTTTTGTTATGTCGAATTAATTAAATTTTGTTACGTTTTGACGTTCAAGCTCTAAACTAATATACCTATCTGATTTAAAGTGTGTTTCTTCTAGCTGAGAGTCCAGTCTTAAGTACAATGAACTAAAAAGAGTTCGAAATGAATAGAGAACTCAATGACCTGAAATTTGTAAGCATTTGAAGATGACAGCAAAGCCAAAAATAATACAAAAAATATTAAAGTTTTCATTTTATTTATATTATCATATTTTCTGTAATAATATAATTTTGAGATTTTTTTCTTTTCATGTAGTTCATAAATTTTTCTTCCAATCAATCAAATTGATTTATGTTGACCTTGTAATTTGTTTTCCTAATCATTTTCACCGTACAAAATTAATGTTTCGAAAATTAACCGGGAGGAGCACAAGCTGCCTGTGTCAACAACTTGGATATCAAGTTTTATCGCTGCGCTCCTCTACACTGTCATTCCTTTCGTCGTGTCTTCTTATCATGAACAGTTAATTATCAATATATTTTTTTTTCTTCTCAGTATTTAAGTTTTGCGTAATAATTTTAAGAATTTTTATATTTTTTTTTTCTTTCATTTGCTTTCAACAAACATAAAATACTTGAAATTTTAAATTTTCTTATTTTATTCAATTTAGAGTCCCGCATTCAATTTAGGTGCAAGACATTCATGGATCAGATCAGTGACGTAGAGGAATAAATGTTATCAATTATCTTTCCTCCCTCTTAATGATATCTTTCTTCATAGTTTTAAATATTCCAACATTTGTTCCCCTTTATTCACGATCTGCGTATAATTTTCATCTCAATTATTTTTAATAAATCTTGAGAGGGTAAAGTTATTAAGCAAATATATTTTTTTTATCTTTTTCATATAATTTTTTATGTTTTCAAATTTTTAAGTCAATAACAATTTCTTGAAGGTAGATTTTTTCTTGTTTTGTGTAATGTAGCAATTTATTTTATTAATTAATTAATTTCAATTTCTCATTTTTGTGAATTATCCGAGTCATTTCCATTCTTTCTTTTCCAATCTTTCACATTATTTCTGCACTCCTCTGCACTCCTCAATAAGACAGGAAAAACAATTTTTTTTCTGTTGCATTATCATTAATTAAATTTTTTTTCTTCAATTTGAACAAATCGCCTAAATTTTTTTCTCTATTTAACAATTTTAATCTTTGTTTATCAGCCAAAAAGTAACACAATAATTTTTTCTTCCTTTCTTTTGTCTTATAAAAACAAACAAAATAAAAAAAATTCTTATCAAATTTCTAATACCAAATAATCACAATTCCCATCTTAAAATTAATTGATTAATCATCTTTCTCTCTCACTTTCTTAATAAAAAACGACTTCGTATAAAAAAAAGAAATTGATTATGACAAAATGAGCTCTTACGAAAACAAATCACGTTAAACGGATTGAATTATTAAAACAAGTAGCAAAATTGATGAATAACAAGCATCTTGACTCTCAATGAATCTTTCAAAATTCAGTAAAAGCCTATCTGGCTCTTAAAAATCCTAAGGATGCTGACTGTTTCATTATATGACAATCTATTCAGTCATTAACTCAATTTTGGAGATCAATTGTAGTCAAAACACTGTTAAACATTCAACTTTTAACGGACTAAGCATAATTATTTTTCATCATATCATCGATTTCATACTCATTACTAATTTCTTTTGATTTGATTTCATTTACTGATAAGGAACAAACATTTCATTTGTAATTTATTTAATAATAAAATAAAAGAAATTAAAAAAGAAACGATTATGACACACTTTAAGTGTCTTAATAGTTGTTGTTGTTCAAACATCGTGTGATGTTTCTTGATGCGTTTTTTAATTATGTATTTAAGCAAATGAAGAATAACTAGAATAAGAATTTAAACCATAAGAAAAAGTTAAAATTAGAGATACTTGTCATACAGCAGTCCCTAACTTTCATCATCATTATCATCAACAACATCATCAAATGTATGTATGTCCAAAATAATATTGAACAATTCTATTGAGAGTTACGATACTAAATTATAAAATATTATTATTAAAAAAAATGGATAATAGATATTCAGTTATAAAGTTGATTTAATCAAAAAATTAAATTTAATTTCGTTTTTTATCCTCTTCTTATGTGTTTTTGCGTAAATTTTAATCACACTTATCCAAGCTTTTCATTTCATTTCTTTCTTTTCATTTTTTTTTATTTTCCGAACGTACCACACATATATTTGGATTTGAAGACGATTAATTGAGGTGTGATTGTTTGTGTACATGTGTGGTGTGTGTGTACATTGATTGAATAATCAAAACAGTTAAAAACAATGAAAAAAAAAGAAACATTGCTACAAATTTCGCATTTGTATGGCGAGCAAATATGTGCACGCACCTGATAGCCCATTTGTTTTCGTTTTTTTCAAGCTTTAAGCATCAGCTTAATGCTTTCCATAATCAATATGATGCAAATGATGATTGTTTAAATCTAAGAAATTTGTAATGATGTGTCCATTAGTTGTCAAAATCTGATGATGAGCGGCGGCAAGTGATGCCTGAGGTTGCTGATGGTTGTGTTGAGTGTGCTGTTGCATATGGTGATGAATATGTTGCATCACTGGCGGCGTATGAGTGTTATTTGAGCCTTCATCCATAGTCTCTGTTTTAATCTCAATTGACTCTTTCTTAGGCTCAATTACCGTCAAAGTAGCAGTACCATTACCATTACAATGATGTTGCAAGTGAGGATTATTCATAGGATTCAAATTGCACACTTTAATGTGCTTGTTGAAGTCACTAATGTCGGACAGTTCTTGCTTGCAAATGTTGCACTGATAAATAACGTAGTTGGCAGTTGAGGTAGGTGGCAAAACCGCGATCGCTCCGTTCTTACCATTCTTTCCATTCTTCTTTTGATGAGTCAAAATATGCTTCTTCAAATTCGATTGCTGTGAATAAGACTTCAAGCAAATGTTGCAGCCATAAGGACGAATTCCCTGAAATATCCATTCATATACAAATTTATTCTTTACACTTACTTCCTTAATTAATAATAATTACCAAATGAATCATTTCATGCTTCTTCAAATTTGCTCTCTGTGCAAATGCCTAAAACAAACAAAAAAACATTAAGTGTTTGTATATAAGAGATTAACGAGATAAGAGAGTTTTTTTACAAACCTTATCACAATTTTTGCACTTAAAAGGCTTTTCACCTGATTTTAAATAAAAAAAAATCATTTAGAATGAAAAATAATTAATTATGATTTATTATTATAAATTACACTCACCAGTATGCAACATTTGATGCTTCACCATATTGGCATGTTGTGAAAATGCCTTTTGGCAACTGGGACACTTGTATGGTTTCAAACCTGTTTAAGAATATTATGTTAAGTATGTTACTCAACAGGAATAAAAATTTAAATTTCACTTACCATTATGTACCAAATTATGGCGCTGCAAATTTGCCAACTGCGTAAACGCTTTGTTGCAAATGGAGCTGAAGAAGCAAAATTATAATTTAATTCATATTTTTTAATAGAATTTTAACAATTATCTTACCATACAAAAGGCCGTTCTCCAGAATGCGCTTTAGTGTGTTTCCACACACTACTCTGGCTTGGAAAATGCTTTCCACACAGTTCACACTTGTACTTGCTTTCGGTCAAGTGTTTTGCCTGATGAGCTACCATTTCCTCGTTAGTATCAAAACGCTATAAATAATTAAGAGTTTGATTATGTTTATAAAAGCATATTTGATAAAACAGAAATATAAGGCAGAGAAACATCTTTGGATTCAGCACGTGCATCAAAAATGATAAAAAGAAGTTAAACTTTAAGAACTGAATAATTGGATCAAGAGCAAAATGAGTAAGAAGAAAGTAAGGAAATAAAAAAAAATGAAAGAGGAGTGTAGATATATAAGCCGCATATTCTCGCAGCAATATTTACAGCAATATTATTAATATCATCATCACCAGCAGTGAAGCAAAAAGGAAAGGCCGAAAATACTTGAAACGGTGGATGTTAGGTCGTTGGGCAGGCTCATAAATGAGTCCATGGTACCCAGAAGAAAAAACAACAACGTAAAAAGAAAGAAAAAAGTTAGCACACTCTTCAGAAAGAAACATGGAGAAAAGGCGAAATTTTTTTTCGGTTTTTTTTCTTCAGTTTCGGAAGAATAAGAACATCGAAAAAGCGAGTGTGGAGGAAAAAACTCATACAGGCACAACAAAAGCAAGCAGGCACAGAGAAAAGAGAGAAGAAAAAAAGATTGGTTGAAGCTGACGGGATAAAAAGAAGAAGTCCATTACATATTATATCAAAAGCATATTTTCAAGGTGAACTCACAACCGAAAAAAAAATCATTTTCGAATGTGAGTCTACTCTTCTTCTTCTTCTTCTTGTCGCCCCAATCGAATATTTTTTTCTGCCTTGTTTCTTTCCCTCTTTCCTTTTTAATGCTTTCTTGTAAATGCTTGTTTATGAGCCCCCACAAAAAAGAAGGAAGGAAGGAAGAAAAACGTTGATGATAATAAGAAAAAAAAGTAAAGCTAAATTAATCGTCTTAGCTAACCTTTCGGCACTGACCGCACTTGATTTTCACCAAGTTTTCCGAATCCCTTATGATGTTTGATACAACGTTAACGTTGTTCTCGAGTGAGAGTATCATTGATCGGCTATCAGCCGCTGACACGGCAACTGTGCTGTTTAAAGGAACGTGATTTGTACGGTTGGAAGTGTCAAGATGCAAGGGCAATGGTATCTGAATCGAATGTCCTTGTTGCTCATTTTGATGATCATTTTGTTGAAAAGTCTATCGTTATTTATCGTCGTTGCGTGTGTGCGAGAGAGAGAAGGAGAGAAAAAAACGAAAATTAGAAAATTTAAAAATAAAGAAAAAAAAAGTTTGCAGAAGGTTAAGAATCGCGAAAGAGAGAGAAAAAATCGCGTCTTGTCGTCAAACTCGTTCAATATCAATGTTCCTCAATGTAACCTCATTTTCATATAAATATAGAAGCCAAATTCTTATTGATATTGAATTAATTAAGCGCATGACATTTTCTGACAGTGGCCAGCATGCCAACATAATTTTTTTTGATAAATTTTGGCGAGTGAGACATTGCTAAAATGTGATTTTTTTTCTTTCTCGCTATCTGGAAGCATGTTTTAATGTCGGAAGAAATCACATTTTTTTTCAAATTTATGCTAATGATTTTCAATAAATCTACTCACCAATGGATAAAACATGATAAACTGAACTGATTAATAGCACTTTTAATAAAATCAAGTAAATTTAGGGCATTTTATTAGCAATGTGAAAAGTTTTTCAACTTTTTGTGAACTTAAAGTTTTTTCCGAGACTTGTAGACTTTTCGCCGGCTTAGGAATCTCCAATAGACGAAGGGTCTGTAGAAAGGAAAATGTTTTATTAATCATAATTTTCTAACTTAATTTTTTTAAAATAATTCAAAGTAAAACTTTATTAACTTTGATAAAAATTTAATATTGAATGCCTACCTGTATTTTTACAATCTTTAATTGATGAGACTTTCTTGATTCAGCAATAAATGTTGAGCATTAGAAACCAACTGATACGATTTGTAGACTTTCAACCTTCTTCAATATTGTTGTTTCGCAAAAAACAGTCAAGAATTTAAGCATATACCAATGCGAGACATAAAATCTGGCAAATAAAAACCGATTTTTGCAAAACAGTATGTTTCGTAAATTGTACTAGATTAATAAATCACTAAAATATATTGATCAATCAAGCCGACTTGCGTGGATTTGACTTTCCATACAAACCAGAAGCGAAAAGCAGCCTGTGCGAGTAATTATTGTCTGTGCGAATTCCACACTCTCCACCTGAAACTAACATCCATCACCTTCACTATATAGTGAAGGATACGCACCTACAGCAGATGTTTTCTCTTAATAACTCTTTAAGGAAGCACTTTTTAGATAGGATATCTATTACGAAAATATCCACTTTCGGGTCCACTATTAATCGTCTGAAGACATATTTTCAATTCATTGAGTCATTTGCGAGATATTCGTGTATAACACCGTGTGACAATGACGTTCCGACATAATAAAAAAATATTTAAAATAAAATGTCAAAGAAAGCCGAGGGAGAAAAACAATTCCAGTTTTTACAAAAGTATCTTAATAATGCGAGAAAAGAATCTAAGTCAAAGATACAAAATAAATGTTCCTCATCCACTTCTGAAGAATGTAAAAAAGATGAAGACTGGCTGACAAAGTAATAATGTTAAATCTCAATTAAAATAAGATATTTTATTAATATTTATTTATTTACTATGCAGGAAAGCAATACAAGAACTTGAGAAGGAAATGAACATCAACAAAGTGAAGCGCGAAACTTTTGGATCAGTCACAATGCCTAAAACAAGAACGAATAAACGGTTTCTTGAAAGCACTTTGAGCCATTGCTTGAGTCACAATAAAAGAGAGCAAAAACGAAATGACGTGAAATCTACAGATAAACTTAAAGAGCTCGAGAGATATCATAGGATGAGGAAAAGCAAACAAAAATTTGGCAAAAGAAAACATGAGTACAAAAAGCCCGAAAAAAGGAAAAGTCAGGATAGCAGCAGCTCAGAAAACTGATAAATCTTTATAATGTTTGATGAATAAATATAATTTTAAAAAGTTAAGTATACACTTCCAATAAATATATTAAAAATAAATTCTTGAAAGAGAAAAAATATTCACTGACTGAACAATTCTTTTTTCATAAAAAAATAAAAACAAATTAAAATAATTAGAATTTTATTCAATAGTATAATAAATTTCAAATGTCATTTATATGATATATCTTTTACGTATAAAATTGAATAAATGTGGAATCAAACTTTCATTTCAAAGATCATGTTGAGTGATGTTGATAAATTGTTGTGCTACGATTACAAAGAGACTCAATCTAAATTCGAGAGTAAAAATTCAAACTTTATGGATTCGTTTCATGTCGCACACGATACCTGGCTATATTTGACGCATTGCCGTGATTTATATTTTACAACATCATAATGGAACATAGACATGCAGAAGGCTATAAAATAAAAAGTCTTTCATATTTTACTTCTGGACATGTAAGGTAGCCGCATCATTAAATGTCTTTTCAAATGAGCATTAAATCGAACTTTAAATAATTGATGCTGTATTGATATGACAGGCACAGAACACCTTCAAAAAATAAAAATCATTAAAAATTCAAAACGTTTGAAGATGAAACGTGAACAATTGATTTTGATGAAAGCCATTGAGTTTATTATGTCTTAATTTTTTAATTTAAATCTGATTTCAAAAATGAACTTTACACCAGTCGAGACACTAGTAAATAAAAATGATTGGATTTAAACATTTCCTGCTGCTGATTATTCAATACGGTGAACAAAAGAGTCCATCAATAATGTTCATTAAGTCAAAAGCCACAAAGTTAGGTTCACATCGTTTATCAGCGTGATACTTTAGGGGAACCACCACGTCATTAAACTTCTTCTAATTGAAACGTTGGCACATGTAAGACTGAGATAAATTCAGAAAATCATCATTTTAGACATCTCTTTTTGAACCAAAATTGCATAACAGTAAAGATAGCGCTATAGGTAAATTGTGGTTTGAAATTTATTGAATGTAAAGCGAAAAAAACTTCTCACTTAATTTGATTGCCTCCTTCTCTTTAAAAACAAGTATATTCATTACGCAACAATTTCTTTAAGATCGACCGGTAGAAGTCACAAGTGATACAATTGATCATTAAAAGATATTGCACGCAATAGAGACACTGCTGCTTTGTTTTGTTCAAATACTATCGTGCCAAGGTTGCCGATGGTAGAAAAACATACGAAATATCTTCGTGTTCAAGTTTCAACAATTCCAACAGTTTTTGCCTTCAATATAAGCTTCTGCATATTCATTTTACTCTAAAACTTTTACTTTCATGAGATTTTATTTTTTTGTCCTTTTTTGCAATATTTTTCAGATTCATTTAAATCTTCAAGGCAGATATCTATTTTATATTTTAACAGAACAAATTAATTAAGATGCTTATGAAACAGTTTAACAGAAATTCATCTGAAACTAATTTACAGTAATTTGAATAAGATTACTCTTCGGCGAAGAAAATGTCAGAGAAATATCAAACCAATAAAAATAATTATTGGCATAATTTTAAAATATTCAACGGTCATAACAGATAGTTAACTAAGTGAAATTACTTCATTGTGTCCACTTAAATTTGAATATTTTAACAGAAAGAAAATTAGTTAACATTTCTAAGAGATGTTTAAAAAGTAACTGTATGATGTATGCATACGTGAAATATGAACGGATGCTCGAAATGTCATGTGAATATTTTTTTTAAATTTTTTTTCATATAAGCTTGCCGTTTAATTAATCTCGTTTTATGTTCACAAAACTTCTGTTCAATAGAAATGAGCTTAATTCAGAAACGATGATTTTTTAATAGAAATATCAAGTGACAAAAATTTAAATGCCTAAGGATAAAAGAATATGTACATAGATATTTAGAAATCTACCTTGAAATAGATTTGCTTTCACTAAATATTTTCCCACATATTAAACGGTGCCAGCGATGAAAGCAGTTAAAGATATTTTAGAGTTACGCAAAAATTGCATGTTGTCAGAAGGAAATGTTGCTATTCTCATTAAGTTATTCAAAGAAAAAGGTTGAATTTGTATCAGACGAGAGTTTAAGCTTTTGCGCCATAATAAACAAAATTGCTTGAAATTTAAAAAAAAAATAAGATTTAAGCACCAAGAAAAACACTTAAGAAATAAAATTGTTGTTTTTTCAGAGACCAAAAGCAAAACAAAGTAAGATTAAAAAGTCCGAATTTTTAAATGATACACATATGAATTGACTACTAAAGTTTAAAAGGAAGGTTGGAGAATGTAGATATTTTCTCCGCCTCGTAATCACAAAGTAATGCGTACAACAAATATTGTAGCACTTCTCATCAAAACTTTTATTTTTCAAATTATTTAGTTAGACATAAAAAGTGATTGTTACGATTGACTGCGGTAAGAAAAAGACTCAAGTAATTGATCTCTAATTTTTAGCTTAATTATGTGCTTGTGACAAAATATGGACATAAGGAAATATTAATGCTTGTTGAATGAAGGTGTGTTCACGTTAACATAATTAAATGATAATTTTTCATTTGGTTAGTGATTATCTTTGAAAGTGAATGATGATTTTGAGAAATTAATAATTACACTTGAAGAATTTAAGCTTCGATGATGAGTGAACGCCTTCAAAATATTTATGTATAACAATCTTCATTTGTAGGGATTCAACAACGCATAATTGCATAATAATGTAAAGAGTCGAAAATCTGATGTTGAATCAAATAACTTTTCTTCATTGTCGGTGGCCTGCGGTCGATTACTTTTCATTAAAATCCCAGTATGAAATCGGGTTGATTACGATGATGATTCAATACAATCAATAATTTAATTCCGCCAGAAACGATCCGATCATCAAATCAAATTACAATTTCTTTCTGTTTCACGGAGATTCACATTTGATTTAAGGCAATACTTTTCTGTTTTTTCTCTGTAGGGGGGTTTCGTGAAATAAGAGAACAATATTGTAGTTCACATTATCAACCTTTCACTGGAAACTGAAAATTTCATATATTTTCAAAACTGTCCATTCACCCTGTCGCTGGAATTTTTTTCAGCGCGATAACTTGCTACTTTCAAAGATGAGCGGCATTTAAGCATAAAAAGTCAATAAACGAGAGTGCTACGCGAAGTTATTTTAGCATGTGCCAATGTAGCACTTAGTAGGCATGTGCAGCTCTTACACAATTTTATGCTTAAAGCGCGTTGCTGAACTGGAAGCGAATCTTCTTAATTTTATTTCGAAAGTGAAAATTTTTTTCTGACTGTTTGATGAAAGTTCATGGACGCTCATATGTAGTAAATGAGTTAACGAATCCATTAATTATGAACCTCCGCTCTACATGTACATAAGTAGTTTTGCCTTGTGGAAACGAAGAAAAAAAAGAGTCTTAATCAGCTGAGGATGTTACAATTGTCTGTCATAATGAGTTTACGTTGTTGATGTCTTTTGATTTCTTATGCAATTTCTATTTTAAACATGTTTCTTTTCTAATGTTTTCAAACACTCAACAGTCGACATGTCTTATTGTACACTTGAATGAATTAATCAAATCCTTTGCACCATCTGTTTGATTGAAGATTAAAAGAAGTTATGATAAATGATTGGTAACGACGCCCAGTTTATGAGAAGAGAATTAAAATGATGAATGATAAATATTGATGACCCATTAGTTCAAATCTTGTTAAATAACAATATAAGATTAAGTTTAATTGAAATTTTCTTTTTGGAGAAATGATTCACGATAAGCTGCGTTAATTGATTCAAGTTGATTTCAGTTAAATATAATTTTATATTGTGTGTGAAGTACAGCACACCACCAACGCTCCACTTATTCGCTTCCGTAATTCGTATGCTTCTTTTTTTATACATTTACTCGTGTGCTTGAAATGAAAACTCTTCATATCTACTTACAACTATATTCAATTTCATTTTCTATATTACGAAAATTACCAAACATTTAATCAAATCAGTTTAATTTAACATTTTGCAAAAAAAAATATATAAAATAAAAAATTTCTTTCGGCAAATTTTTAAGACCTTTCTCTATCAGTTAGAGTTCAAGTGAGAGAAGCGTAAATATTGATTTTTTGAAGGCAGTGGGGGTAATTTTACTTCTTCCAGTGGTCTTCAATAATTGTTATACTGACTGCTCGACGGAGAAGACTTTCTCAAACTTGCAACGATCAAAAGCCGAAACAGAAAAGTCTCTCTCGGTCTTGGAGTTGTTCAAGTAAAATGGAAATGCTTCAATAGTGGGCCAACATCAGTTTGTAGAAGAGCTCCGGAATTTAAAGACGTCTTTTTAAATACACGGAAAAATTTGTATACAAAATTACTTAATTAAAAGATTTACGCGAGAAGCAAGCAAAAAGAAGACAATACGAAGAAGTCGAAGTGATAAATATTAAAAGTATTTTATGATTATTTTCGACTTGGCAAAGAAACGCTTCTGATATAAGTTCGGAAAGACTTTCACTTGATGCTACATTTCTTCATAATCGAGAGTTAAAGATCTTTCAACTTTTTGATTTTGATAAGAGAATGTATTGATCGAAAGTTTTCTCAAAATTAGTCTTGAAAATTAGAAATTTTGTTATCATAAAAACATTGTAGACTTGAAAGAAAAAAGTTTCATCATGTGGATTAAAACCTTTTTACTGGTAAGGAATTCAATCGTTAATCATTTGTGTTAAATTGAATATGACTAATAAATGGGAAAATATAATTTATGGTTAACTTTTAAAAATATTTTGATTGTGAAAGAAAAAGAGATCAGGTAATGTTAGTCAAACTTTTTACAATATGAAGACATTTCATATAAATTAAACTTATCAAGACCATCATCTAACATTACTAAATATTTTTAAAAAAATCGTTCAATAACATGCTATTTATTTTACTTTCTTAAGTTATCACGAAAATGTTCGTTATAATTTTGTGGATTGATGACATTTACGAATATTTGACAACTTAATTTTTATGGACTTTTAAACCGTGCTGTTAGATCACGAAAATATTTTACGATGGATACTGAAACAGATCCAAATGATAATTTTGGTTTCCACCCAGGCACTAAATGAAATCAATTTTTAAGATCAAATCACGCATATTTGCGTAATCGAATGATTTTTTAGATCAGTTTTTACATTTCCTAAAATACTCAAAAAGCAACATCTCTTGCTTGTTGCAGAAGTGAAAGCGAGTTTATCATTATGATTGGGATGATACTAATGTTGACTGGTTTTACTTTGATGTTCCCATCGAATTCAGATTCATTTCAAATTCCATTCGACTGATTATTTATCAAGTTATATTTTTTCTTACGTCATCGGATATCTTATTCACCTTTCTTCTTACGAAATTCATTTTTCGTATCAATTAATTCATGTTTTCACTCACTTCATGACTCAAAATTATTGCTTTACACAAATCGTTTCCACTAAATAACTGAATAAGTATATACGTTGCTAGTTTTAATTAGAAAATTTATTACTTTTAATGCTCCTTGCATTCATAGGACTTTACGATTTGACATCGTTGAGTCGGTGCAGCAAAAGAAATCTTTTTTATAATTTATTGCTGAATTTTCTCGCAAACACGACAAAGTTCAGACGAATCCGTAACATGTCCCATCGGCGAAAGAAAAAAAAGTAAAAGTTTTCAATGATTTGGCAGAAGCTCAACTTGACAACGGCAATGTCGTTAAAATGTTGATCACGAAAAAATTTCGCAGAGTCATTTTTCGTCTACAACAACCTTGGCTAATTTCGAATGAAATTGTATGAACACAAGAGAGAAACATTAAGAAACCAACAAACGTGTATCATCTTTGATCAATTGTAACAGTCATGACAACAACCGACATAATAAATATCGCAAAGATGTTGTTGCATAAGAATGATTTAACGACTAAACGAGTTCAAATCAACAGAGTGAGAAATTTATTTTCGCCGTCATTGCCAATAAATTTAAAACTGCATCAGAAATCTGACCATCTCAACCGTCTCATAGCAGTTGTTATGCAATTACAATTCAACAACAAGATTTTCTTGCTTCAATTTTGCAACCACTCACTGTGATGAACATTCGTCAGTTAAACAACTTGATAAATAAATCAACGTGTGCCAACATTTCAATTTAAAGAAGTTTGATTGTTATGTGGTTGCTTGAAGGTATCACGCTGATAAATGATGTGAACTTTTCTATGCTAACCTCAAGCATTATTGATGGTCTCCTTTACTTTCCAATCTTCTGACGACATCATACTGCTTATTGAAGTGTTAAGTAATCAACAGAAGGCAGCATTTTCTACTTATCCACTAATGACAACACTTAAAATTAAGTCATCATAATAGTTGAACATAAATGAATTTTCAAATTATGTTCATCATCTTTAAGATGTCATAAAAGTTGAATGATTTTCTATTTCTTCTATCTCTTACCTATGTACATTCTTCTGAACCTCTTAAATGACAGTCATGACATAAAACTTGCTTCTTTAAATGGCTTTTTGATGATGATGCTGCTACCATACATGTACTACTTTGGAATTTAAATTTAAGATTTTTAACATGTCTAGCTTCTTGCATACATCTTTATTGTTGTCGATTCATAAAAAAAATCTGACGAGATTCATATCGCAAACATACGTCAAACACTTTAATGGAATCAAGATGGACTAATCCCTCCCATAATTTATGATTCGATCTTTATTACAAGAAATCATCAGTAGATCGGTTGACTTTTTGACTTCTATGGAACACAAAAGATTTGATCAACATCACACGACATGATACCTAAAAGAAAGTTTTGATGATGATTGAACGAAGTTCGAACGGCAGTCGACAAAAGCTTGTTTAGAGACGTCTTTTTTGGACTCACACGCTTCAAATTATCACCTTTAATTTCATTCGTATTTTATTTAATATCCGTGGGTGTCATATGAGTAAAGTTGAATTTGTTATGCAAGTGACAGTTGTTTCCGTTGGAAGATTTGACGATGATGAATTTCTTTTATATCAGCTACTTTACATAAAAAATATTTTCATTTATTATCAAAATACATACTTTGAGGATTAGTTATTATAAATAACACACAACACTTATTAATGTTGTCAACAACTTTGGTGAAATTGGTTACAAATTTTGATTTTCAAATCTGCTTAATCAAATGAAAGTTGTGAGATTCATTCTTAAAGTTATTCAGGAAAAAAAAACTATCTGTAGATAAGTATGCATTTGGGTTTGTGTGTCGCTTCATCGGCTTTTATTATTTACATTCGATGACACTTTACCGTTTTATTTGTCATTCCAATAGTATCTCATTCATTTTTATATTTTAAATGAGACTTCAGCAATTGAATTTGCAAAATTTCAAGTAAAATTACATTATTTGAAACAATTGATTGACGAAGCATTAAAATCTTTCGTTTTCATGTCATGAAATTGAATGTATTACGACCTTCAGTATGAATTGAATGCATTAATCAAGCATGTAATTTTTATAAAGCTCTTGAGCAGCAAATAAGAAATACTCATCTGAGATCAGCACCATCAAAATGAATGCCTTTCTTTTGGTATTGTTTGTCTTTTGAATGTTAAATATAGTGAAAGAAGATTTTTTGTGATGAGATCGCCGTGTGAAAAGAAGCAATGACAATGAAAACCTCATATTGGAGATGAAAACTGATAACTTCGGATGATGGCAATAAGCTTTTACAAATCAGTCAGTCATCAATGAATCTTAAAAGTTCATCGACTGTTGTTGTTGTAAAGGAAGCAATCAAAATTTTAAGTATAACTGCTCTCGATATGAAGTGTAAATGTAAAAAAGGTAGATGAATTTCGATTAAAATATTTCAAAAATGCCGCACATGTTTACTAGCGCCTTTCTCTACTCAAACATTTTTTCCCTGATCACAAGTCAAGAAATAGACTCCAAGATTTCTAGGAGCGGTGGGGAACCTCGTTTTCTTCTTCCAGTGGTTTTAAATAATTATTATGCTGGTTCGAGCGACGGAGAAGACTTTCTCAAACTTACGACGGTTGAAAACCGAAATAAAAAAGTCTCTCTCGGTCTTGGAGTTGTTCAAGTGAAATGGAAATGTTTTCAACACTGGGTGAGCTTCAGTTTATAAACGAACTTCGGGTTTTATAGACGTCTTTAAAAAGTGAGTGAATAAAAAATTTTGTGATTCAAAATTTATTGATTAAATGGACTTTATGAAAAGGAAACAAAGAAGAATAAGAAAGACTGAAGTGATATTAAAAGCATTTTAACGGTCTTTTTTTTCGATTGTTGATTGCAAAGATTCCGTCAACTCGTAGTCTGAAGCACTTTCACTTGATGGTGCATACATTTCATTTTATTGAGTTTAATTAACTTTTTGTTGGGGACTTGGTTGATGATATTTTTATCGCAGACTTGTCGTAACAATTCGTCACATTAAGTGTGCAATTTTACGTAGTGATGGGAAATTGAATGTTCGGATGTTGTTGTGTAATGAACAAGTGTTTGATGTTAAAAAAAGAAAAGAAGCGTGGAAAATTGAATAATGATATAGAAAACAATATAATTGAACAATTATCTATTCGAGACATTACACAAGTGATTAGTATTCATATTTAGTCAATTTTTAGTTGCTTTTATAACTTCGGAATTATCAAAGCTATCATGAAGACTTCAATTTTTCTGGTAAGCAATTTAGTTATGCAGCGAACTCATGAAGTTTTTGAGGTCTTATTTAAAGTGTGTCAATCAAAATGAGAAAATTTAAAGTCAACAACAAATGTCTTGAATACTAATTCTGCAAAAGTTTCAGTCAATATTTCAATGAGATGTTGATATCTATCTACCAGCCAAGCTGCCAGTAATATTAAAAAAAGTTAATTTTCCTGTTTCATGCCCACTTTCATACTTGGGAAAAGAGAATTCAATTCTCTCACTTAGTGAATTATGTTGAGGTTACTAAATTGACCGATTCAATTGATAATATCGTCGACATCGTCGTATTGCTTTATTTTCTTCTCTGTTTTCGCTACACTCGTCGTTTTCTTCTCATGATCACAGCAACTTTTAAGCCTCATCTTACAACGCAATCTTCAGTGGTTTGGTACTACAAGTGAAAGTAATCTTCAGTTTTCCAACCGTTCTTCATCAACAAGTTTTTTTTCCGTTTGATGGTAGATTATTTTGGGGAGACTTCTTACATTTATTTCCTCATTATCACCATCAATCAGCGATTACGAATGAATTTTAAAATTTCAAATATCCGCAAGTGAAAAGAGATTAAAATATTTTAATGAATAGTATCGTCAATTATGAAACTGATTAATTATGATCATAATTTATAAATACCTTACACACAACAAATCCCTCATTATAAAAGAAGTATGAAATGAGTGAGATGCTGCAAAGAATTATGATTCTCATTACTGACCTGATGACAACATGTTTCGTGTTTGTGTACGCAGCGACGTGTTCCTTTAACATCAACATTGAAGGCAACTAGTTAATGTTATTTGTTCCAGTCATGCTTAAAATAATGAGCAGGCAGTAAAGCAAGTAGATGCATCGGCGCTCAAGAATGTAAACTGCAACGAAAGTGAAATCTGTTTTTTTTTAAATTTCAACAAACTTTTTGAATATCACGCATAATTTTCGTGAAGATGAACTGAACCGGATTTTGGGTAGTTTTAAAGGCTTTTGAGGCCAAAAAGATCAAGATTCTTTTTATTGTCAAGCAAACCATAATTCTCTTGCTTGTATCTCTTAATTATTGGGTTTCCCAAGGCGAAAGATCAATGCTGATCGGGAAAAAAGTCCATCTGTGGATAACTGCGAAAGTTTCTTTTCATTTGTACAATCACCAAAACAGGAAATTAAGTATAAAGCTTTTCTATGAACGCTCTTCGCGGTTTGCGGTGCTATGATGAAGCGATAAAATGTTTTCGAGCTTCAGCGATCGCTTCTCAATATCTGTTTCCTTTCAGTTACACACACGGTGGCCAACACTGTAAGCTATCGAAATTAATTTTAAATTAAATGAAAAAATATTTCGGAAGCATTTCTTCTTATTAACAACGGTTGCATACTGCTGCACGTCACGCTAAGTAGGATGTTTCACTGATTTTTCAACGGAGATAATCGTTATGACTTCATGACTCTAATTTCATTATGGCGTTTGATTTGATGTCTGATTAATTTCATAATGATGAAATGCCATTTGAATTTCAAACATTTTCAATCATAAAAGAAAGAAATAATAATAATTTTCAATCAAATTAACTATAGCACAAACTTGATTCCATTTTTTTCTTCTTTAATTTTGAATTTGTTACTGAAATTTAAGCCTTGCTCAAACAAGATTTCTAACTCATCATCATTAGGTTTTAACCCAGTTATGTCCAAAGAAAATTTTCGTTTTCTCACTCAACATAAGTAACTTAGATTTCAACCTCAAATTGAATGAATTTTATATCTACATAAGGTGGAACATTAAAAAAAATTGAAAATTTCCATAAAAATTTTAGAAGCAACATGAACATCAAATTAGGGATTTTATGCAAAACTATTCAAAATTTTTTTGAACTTTTCCAGACTCAAAGCTTTACATTTTCACAAGCATATTCAAGTTCAATGTGAAAGGAAAATGAGAATACAATTAAAAAACATGAAGCAGAATAAATTAAAATATTTTATACATATCTTAATTTGTTTGGTTTGTGTCGTGAAATTGACCGCTTTTACAATCAAAAATTATTTTGCGTCACGACGTCACTCTTCTGGTGAAAGAGAAAAAATTAATATATAATTTCGACCTCAATCTCACTGAATCAGTTTTTATTGAACACCAATCTTTGAACAAAACATTTCAAGAGCAATTGTTAATTTATTTAGTGCTTTCATCGCTGTCAATTTACTAAGTTTGTACTTGCAGATAATTGCTAATGATCCTCAAAATGGTAAAAATTGAAGAAAAGGAAAATACTTAATAGCGTTAAGAGATCGATGAATTGAGATGAATCTCAAACACAAAACCGTTTGCTGTTGCTGTCGTTGTCCATAAAAGCTTAAAACAAACAAAATTTTTGTCATCATCATAACGTTCACGGTTCCAACAGCCTTCCTTCCTCCATTCAAATGGAAAACGACCACATTAAAATGTGTTAATGACTTCACGTTTTTCTTTCTTTTCAGTAATCTTTCTTTACTTACTCTTTCACTTTCTTTAATTGTTTGTGTTTGTTTCACGTCTCTTCTTTTGAATGCGACTTCATGGTGATAAAAAAGTGAAAAAAAAAGTTATTATTTTTAAATGTTATGCTCACCCACGTTAAAAGTCATTGTATATTAGCCACTCTTAATATCCATAATTGATTGGCCTCAAGGTAATTTTCTCTTTTCATATGTCTTGTTAACAAACTTCGAGTACCTACCGAAACTTAAAACGTATGCTCTTGTCTAATATTTACAGTAGCTACTACAGTGTCACTCGTGAATTCATTGACTCAATTTGTGTTGTAACTCAAATAATTTTCTTACATACATGAACACTTTAAAAAGATTACCTAAATATCTAACCATTTGTTTGAATTGTAATCTGATATTAAACTTTGTTTTATTATTTATGCACGCGACTCGAGGAGTGATTTGCTATTGTTAAGCATGCAATTTTCTTTGATTCTTCTTTTTAACTTCTTTCTTCCATCTATTCTTTTTTTATTGTTGATGTGAAGATCGCAGTTGCAATCAGTGTCATTAACGCTAGCGAAAAGTCATCGACAAATACCACGGCTGACAGCACAAAAACAAAAGAAGCACGTGAAAAACGAAACTTAAGTATTTTGGGAAATTACGGGGCGAGTCGGAGAAATGATGGCTATAACTATCAACCATCAGGTTACAGTAAGTTCGCTATACATAATTTTTTGAAACTAATTTACTTGAATTGTATTTAATTGATTTTCCATTCCATCTCATAGATTATGAGCCAAACAATTACATTGGCGGTGGATCTGCACCAGCATCTCAAGACTATGCTTCACATTACCCTGAACCACCAGAGCCTATAATTGAGATCATTATTCAAGATAACAATGAGACATTACCGGCGCCATATCCAAACTCGATAAGTCATGGTTCAGGAAAGAGAAAGAAGGAGCAAGTTCAAGTTTTTTACGTCAAATACCATAAAGATGAAAAGAGTGGTCTGGTAATTCACGATCCAGTTCCAGCTTTGTCCCCAATAAGCCACAATCAAGAAGAAGATGATCATGAAGAAGAACCAATCGTTGTCACTCCAATTCCCCATTTACCACAAAAAACAACGACACTCCGAACAATCATCCGACCGGACTCACAGCAATATGAAAGCAACAGTGGTGTTCATGTCACTTTTGGTGGACCCCACAATCATCATAGTAAATCTGACAATCAGATTCATGATGAAGACAAAGTTGAAAGTGCCATACGACCCATTGTCCAATTACCACAAAACCGTATTGGACCTGTGGGTCTTTTCAAAGAGAAACGTTCTCAAAATATCCAAGGACAGGGAAGAGTTGTTAATGGTCCCCCTTCAACCTTTCACGCACACTCTCAACCATCACAACAACAACTTCCACATCAACGACCACATCGCGAATTTAATTCTCAAAATAATTTTATATCACAACCGAATCAAGGACAGTTGTCACACCAGCTAAGTTTGCCAAATCAAGATTCATCGAAGCCTTTCCATCCAAATCATTCGCAACAGTTTCAATCTCAACAAAGACCACTTTCTATTCCAGTACAACATCAACATTTTGGTCAACAACAACAACAAAATATTCTCGGTCATCAGCAATTTAATCAGCCCCCAAAAAGGCAACCACCAGCACCTCAACTTCCCCAACCACAAGCATTGCATCAACAGCCTTTATTGAGACCCCCACAAAGACCGCCAGTGCAAGCAAATTTCAATCAAAACCAACGTCCTTTTAATTATCACGCACATGGAAATCAACAATCTCAAAATGTGAGATTCCCCAGTCAACAACCACATTTCCAAGGTCCACATCAGCAGTTTATTCCAAATTTTCAAAGTCAACAACACATTCAGCGACCACAAAGTCAGTCTTTGCCTCCACGGCAAGGTCCACCAGCTCAAAGCTTCCAAAGTCAAAATCTTCAAATTCCACAAATTAATCGACCATCACCACAGTTTGGTTCACAACCATTCTCTCAATCACCAGCACATCAGCATTTCCAACAACCTCCACCAAACTTTAGACCAAACCAGGAACATAAAGTTCAAAGACTTCAACCTCAACCATCTCCGGTTCAACACCAAGCTCAATCATTCCTTCAGCACAACCAACAAGCTCAAAATCACCAACATCTTCAAGGTGATCCAAATGTTTTCCGTGGTGGACTTGTTGAACAAGCTGCTCCAAATCTATCTAATCAGCATCAACACCCGGTCTTCCCTACACAACCAAAACCACAACAAGAAGTTGCTTTCCGTCAAGAACAAAATAATTTCATTCAGAAGAATTTCGGAGCTGACGTGCAAGTTCAAAATTCTGTTCCCAAATTTGAACATCACATTACTGAAACAGTCAACGGACCAATTTTCTTCCAACCAACAGCTGTTGATATGGATCAATATAAGCAACAAGAAAATTTACAATCACCTGACTCTCAACATCGTTTTGCTGTAAATCAAAAAAATATTCAGATTGGTGGAGTTTCAAATCGTTTCTCAGAAGTTTTTCCCCAACATGCCAGTCAAAGTCTAGAAAATCGTCATCAAAGCTTTTTAGAGTTACACGGAAGAAATAATTTCTCACCAGATATTCGTCCATCATCAACACCAACTTCACTACCAAGTCCAACTACCAGACGACCTTCAACAACAACGACCACTCCTAAACCATCTCCATCGACAACAAAGAAATCTGCTGTTTATGATCTTCCTGATGAAGTGCCCGATGATCTTAGGGAACAACTTTTGTCGTCTGGAATTCTCGAGAATGCACAAATCAGCATCTTAGATTATGATAAGGTTGGCGAGACATCATTACAAGATTTACCACAAGAGCATTTAGCAAATTTCTTTAATGCTGGCGGTGCTGCTCAAATTGGTGCATCAAATAAAGTCATTTCTGTTCTCAAACCAAATGGCGACAGTATTGATGAAAAAATTAGAACTTTGAAAAAAGACAAAGAAATAACAAAACTTTTGGATGGTGTACACAAATTACCGACAAAGAAAGAAGACGTCAATCTTAAAGTCGTTCGATTCGATTCACAATCTCAAAAAGATATTATTGGGCATTACATCAGAAAGGATTCAAGCGTGCTACCATCAGTCAATCTTAATCAAAACAACTTTAATCGTTATTTGCCTTTGAAGATTAATGGTGCTCAATTTCCAATACCTGATGTTGAAGAATTGCGTGGAAAGAAAATCTCAAGTGTTGTGGTTTTAGCTCCAATCAATGGAAATGATGATGAATCACGAAATGGTCGTGATACGATCGACACGAACCAAGTTAAATTAATTGCTGGTGATTCGCTGAAAACACTTTTAAGGAAGCCTTCGACAGAAAATTTCAGGAAATGGCTTGAAAAGGAACAAAAAATTAACGCAGATTTTCAGAGTGTTGTGCTGTTAGTAACAAAGTAAGATTTTTTTCATCATTCAGATTTGATTTTGATTTTTAACTTTTCTTTTAATATGAACTTTGCAGAGACAGCAACACACATGAACAGGAAATTTACATGTACGACATTACGAGTAAAACTGTTAGCCAGTTAAATGGCGAGTTATCCTCAAAATTCGTTGACGTTGCTGAAGAAAATGTTTTCGATGATGAATCTTCAATCGCTGAACAAATTGATAGAATCGACGAGGATATTGACGATAATGATGGAGATGCTTCAGAAAATGTTGAGACAATTGAGACCGCACCATCGAATATTGTTGAATCGGTTGTCAAAGTTGACAATACTCCACCAACATCTAGTGAAAGTGTCGACAACAAAGTTCTCATCAGCTCCGGTTACAGTGTCATTAAAAATGAATGAAAAATTGAAAAAAAGACAATTTGAATTGAATACGACAAAAGATGTAAAAAAACTTTTAAGAAATTTTATGGCGTTGTGGTTTGAGAATTCCAATATTGAGACTTCTTCGTAAATGATTTGGTTAATTATTTTCAAACGTTACAACTATTCTCAGCCCTGATTTTGCATAAGCAAACAACGATGTAGTAACACTTTTAGTCAAAGCTAATGTAAATTTCGAAATAAGTTATTAATTTAATACGATTAAATGCAGCAAATTTTCAAATATCTAGATCTAAAATTTTTCTTTTCTTGTATAATCTACAGTTGCAGATTCTATGCAAGAAAACTTAATGTTGTGAAAGAGAAAGAAAAGAAAATACTAAAAATGCCCCGACAGGTGCTTAAGTAAATAATACTCAATCTAATGTGTATAATTTTTTCTTTGAAAATAAAAAATGAAAATATTAAAATTCCTTGATCGTTGTGGTTATAAATTAATTAAACATACAAAAAAAAAATTAGTAAAAAAATTAAGAGCGTTTAAATTAATAATTCAATATGAATTTACGAAGAGAGATAGAGAAAAATGTGAAAGTATTAAGTAGATAGATATGAACTTCTGTTTTGTTTCAATAAACGTGCTATGAATAAAATTGTTTGATGATAGCAAAAACTTCACATGTGTAGCTGGTTTTAAAATTTTCCTTTTCCTAAAAACATTTATTTAATTTATTTTTATGAATTTATGTCTATCAAGTAAGTTTGATATTTTATTTTCGAATCCACATTATGATAGCTTTTCCATTCATGAAAGTTGAAATGCCTTTTCATTGCGCAATATAAAAGTTTCTATGCGTTATGTGTTCACCAAATTATCGTAGATGTTCATTTTATTGCTCTACGATTGAAGTATTTTTAAAATAAATAAATATTAATGCAATATCTATGATAATTTGATAAGAAATCAAAGCAATAAGCTATTGTAGGACAAGAAATTTAAGTTTTAATTAATATCATTGATGTCCTTGTGTCTTACATTTTACGCTTGTGTGTTGGTTTTTTAATTTTTTGCTAAAGCTTTTCATTCCAAGGGAACAATTTAAACTGCAAATATTTCTGAAACTCTAATTTTTGCTTCTAATTAATTAGTAGACAGATAATTGAAATGAAAAGTCTAGTAATTGGAGATCGAAATCATAAAGCCGGAGACAGATATAAATGTTTTGCTGCTAATAGTCTAAATAGATTATTACAATGCAAGAATTTATTATTAATAACCATCTGAAATTTTAATTACAATTTGCAATTTTGATAAAAGTTGCGAATTGTTTTAATAGACGAAAAGTTATTTAGACATTACAGTTTAAGAAGCAGATTTGTTTTACTTGATTACAGTAGATTGATTGATAATCTAAATAATTAAAAAGCTTTGTTTAAAATAGAACTAAGGAATGGTCACGTTCAAGTCGTCTTTTGGCTTGTGATATGACAGTAAAATCTGATGGCGCTGGTATGCCACCGCTCGATTGTTTCTGTGATGCATGTTGATAGTAAATTTCTGATTCTCCTGATTTATTATGTCCATAAAGAATGGCATCATTTGTTCGAATGATGATATCAGAAATGTTTTTATCTTCAAAGCTTTCATGCATGAGAAGTAAAGTGTGTAAGTCATTCTGTTGCCATGCACCACCGCGTTTCAGTATATCCCATTGCTTATCGAGATTAATAAAGGAATAATCGCTCGTTTTGAGATCAACTGTAACATTGATGATTTCATTCAACTTCTGTTCCAAACGCCCCAATCGATTGACGCAAATTTCAAACATCGATTGCACAATCCGATGATCTGTTGATATTTTATCCTCTTCAGCGATCACCATCAAGGTCATGTTTTGTTGTCCACAAACGAACAAATCAACGCGTTTCATTACAGTCAATTCCATTTCCGTTTCAACATTTTTGTCTTTCACTTCATGCTTCTCTTCATCAACTTTCGTCAATCGATTATACAATGTTCGAGTATTATTGTCAATTGGCGTTTCACAAATGTTTGGTGTCGGCAAATCGAAGTTGTTTCTGTTTCCAAAAGCACTTGAGAAGTTTTCGTTATTTTCACTCATTGCGAGTAAAGTTAATTTTGACATAAGCGGTGTCAATTGTAAACTTCCCATATATTTTTTTGCTTTTGTTGATGGTGAGTCGAAGATTGATGTATTTTTGTTAGATGTCACGGATGTTGATGATGTTGAAGGCTTTCCGGAGTCCGTTTCTAAAGTAAAAGATTTGATCGGTAGTCGCATCATTTTTTTCTTTTGATTTCTTAGAACTTTATTCGGACTGTTCTTCTTGTCCACGGGAGAATCTTTGACAATCATTGGATCCATTTCAGGTATCTTTGGTTCAGGTTTCATTTTAGTTTTATTCTTAACTTTTGGTGGTTCGAAGAAATTTTCATCGGTGATATAAAGCTGTTGATAACAATCAAATAGTGACTTAGAAAGTGGCAACTTTTTCGAAGTAAAAATCGGAAAAACTGGATCTGCAATCGTGTTGTATACTTTTTCTGATGAAAAACTCTCATCAAGATCGGTGATTTGATTCAAATCATTATATGATTTTTTCCATTGGACATCTTTAAAAGGATTGCTTGTGTAGTTGATAAAAATCTGTGCAATTTCTTTCTCTTTCTTTCTTTGAACAAAGTTGACTGAAGCTGGTTCAACTATTTCTATTTCCGTTGCTTGAGCACTCGCAAAAATTGTTGGCATCGGTCCAGTTAAAATTTTATTCTCCGTCATTGGTGTCGCACAAACTGAAGTTCGCCCAATAAAATCTGCAAAAGAGTCACTCTCGTCAAATGAAATAATTGATGCTATTCCTGATTCTGGTAGTTCTTTCGGTTGAACAGCCTTGAATTTTAATGGAAGATGGTTAGGTCGATTAAAGTTTCTTGTTTTCTCTGGTGAGCGATTGTCAACTAAAGGTTCTTCTTCAGGAATGTTAGCGAATATTAATGATTTATCCCGTTTTAAATTTTCTTTTGATTTCTTCTTTATATTAAACGGTAGAGGTAGAGAATTCTGCATATCTAATGATTTCGCGTCGTCAACTTTCTTTATTTGTTTTTGAAGTTTATTGTAGTCATTTAAATTAATATAAACTTTCACGATTTGTGAACCCATTGGAATGTGAAAATCAACATTTTTCTCAACTTCAGCAGTGGTTTTAATCCTAACTGGATCAGTTGCTGTGAGGGTTTTTGTGAGTGTTGTTGAGAGTTGTGAAGCAAGAACTTTATTGTTGTACAAAATCATCCCACCAAGAATCCCATTTCGACTTGCAATATGTTCCAAAATCTGAATTGCATCCAAATACAAATTGCTTGCACTTTTTGGTAGAAAAATTTTATATACGTTTTGGAGGATGTTTCCATTATATTGAAGTATCGGTAAATATGTTTCGAAGATGTGATAAAGTTTGTCAGAAAACTTTTTTGCGCCATCAAACTGACTGAAAATCGTTTCAATATCCTGATGGTATAAACGAAGGATATTAACCATGAGATCTGCTCTATATTTCAGCAATGATTCCTGAATATTTCTATCAGTACCAATGGCCAAAATAAATCTTCCGAATCTTTCAATTTTAAATTTTCCATTTTGCAAACTGATTATTGAAGTGTCACCAAAATTCTGTTCGCAAAAGTTACGCAAACCCATCAGTTGTCCACAAAGTGCCAACTTTTGCATATCACTGACCCAACTAGGATGAAAATATTTGATTGCAAGCAGTGGATCATCATCTGAAAGGTCATACAGATAAAAAAACATTCTTCTCTGATAAGGAAATGAGTAAACTTACGTTCTGTTCGACAGTGTTCAAGATCATAAACGAAAAGTATTAACATTTCCTTAGCTGCCATTGCAGAATATTCTTCTTTTGGTTTTCACTGGTAGATACATGAAATGCTCTTCATTTTCTATTAAAACAAACGAGAAAAATTATGTTGCGACATCTTGCCGATCTCACCCCTGCATTTGTAGACTTTTTTTCGTGATTGGAGAGAAAATTTATTTATTGATTGTATAAACATTTCCAATAAGAAATTTGTTTCCTTTTTAAAATACAGTTTAACAATTTAAAAATAGACAAAAATATGAACTCTATAGGTGAGGATTGCAATGAGCTGAAAACAAAGTATGACACTTGTTTTAATCATTGGTTCAGTGAGAAATTTCTTCGTGGATCAACCGATGATTCAGCTTGTAAAGAATTATTCAAAATGTATCAAAAGTGTGTTCAGGTAAATCATATAAATAAACCTCAATAAAATATTTGGTCATCTTGTTATTGTTTATTTAATTAGGATGCCCTTCATGTACATCAAATCGATATAAAAGACCTAAAACACAACCATATCGATGGGACTGAGTTTGAAAACTCTAAAACTGAAGACAAACCAAAAGTAGAAGCACAATCCAATGACACGAGCTGATCCGAATTTGATCAGATTGCTATGAGTTTCACTTATTCTTGAATGAGAAAACATAACAACTTTAAACTGTTTGCTAACTACTTCATATTTCCAAAAGTTCGAAAAGAAAGGATTAAGGTTTTAATTGAATAAAAATTTTATTTCAGATTAAAAATGTGGTTTTTATTTAAAGCTAATTACATTTACTCAGTAATTTCGGTTTCGACTTTCTCTGATGGTGGACCACACGGTTGAAGCATTTTTTCCATTAAGTGAAACCTTATTCTAGCTTTAGATTCATTTTCAGCAATAGCAAAATAGGATAATCGATCGCAATGGCCAAGATAACTAGCTAAACTATCTCTGTGAATATTTGTAAGCCATTCCCATTTGGCTGTATCAGCAAATCCTGTTCCAACATATTTGCTTTGAAGATGTTCTAATTGACTGTGAATGTTATAACGATCTCCTAAAACAGGGAATTTTTATTATTGACCTTTTATAGAGTGGAATTGAGCAAGTAATGTTAAGCTATCAGAGTTTATTATAATTTCTTTGAAATATAAAATAAAAACATTTTTTACCCATTTTTGTTATTTCTATTTCCTTAATAGATAATTACCCCCACATAAAACCTTCATACCACTCAGTTGGGTTAGCGACTTTAGCCTTGTGTTCGTAGGCTACGCTGCTTTTAAACCCGATTCATGTTTACTAAGAAATGAGTAACGGTTAAATCGGTTAAGATGGAAGACGATCTGTATACAGTATTTCAAAATTGTTTTAATAAAATTGCTAATAAAGCTCCAGGTAAAGCTAAAATCTTGATTAGTTTCATCTTAAGTGTTTGCTCTTTAAACATTTGTTGTATTTCAACCTTAAATTGAGTCTGATATGCGAAAAAATGTGAAAAGAAAAAGCTTTTTGAAATGCAAAAATCTTTCTGAAAAAAGCATAAAAATTGTATCTTCAAAGAGTCAAAGAAACGTTGTGATACTTCCAATCTCTAAAGAAATCATTGGATACATAAATTCAATGAGGATATCAATGTTAAAACAAAAACAATTATAAAATATTATTGTATAAAAAAATCTTCGCGTGAAGATTATCTTCACATTATTTATTCTTCCATCGAGGCAAAAAAAAATGAAGATATATCTACCGAGTTGATAAATTAAAATTGTATTTTTTTTATCCGATTGTTGTGGCTATAATGATGATCCTGAAAATACATTTTTAAGAAATATTTTGGTTAATGATGTTTTATGAGGTAGCATAGTATTGAATAATATAAATTTAAAGTTCTCTTTCTGAATATGTAAACCGAATATTTGAAAGAGAATATAAAACTAAAAAAAAGAGAAGGAAAGATAAGATACAGAGTGAGTGAGGGAGGTAAGAAAGCAGTAAAGAAAAATGAAAGAGAACTGAAAAAGAAATGTGCCGAAATTGGAGCTATATTGAAAGTAATCTTACTCCGTATGAACTGAAAATTAAAAGATCTAATGGAAATTTGTTTTTTTTTATTGCATGGTTATGCACAAAGTAATATGGTTGGTTTTAAAGGGTTGAAATATCTCAAATATAAAAAATGCCTTCAATTTAGTAGTCCAGCATGTTCATATTAAATACATCAAGACTTGTATTTAATTTAATTAATTTTTCTCCAGTCAAATAATAAAAAATTACTACGAAGTATTATAAAAATTATTGAAATAGTTTTCATAGCATTTTTGTTATGTTGCAATTTATTAGATTGCTGTCATATTTTAAAAATCTAATTTGTGAAAGAAAAATATTTTTTTAAAAACTATGAAAATGAAAACATTTCATTTAAATACATTAACTTGGGTTTCAAATTACATATTTTATTAATCTTCATATGTTGTGCATCATTAATCAACAGGTTCTGAAAAAACAACATTCACTAATGCATATCCAACAATGGAATCCGTCGGACTACAATATGGATCAGATGAATTTGGAGAAGGGACAATTAACGATGGAAGATTTGTGTCACCAAAGAGTGGACCTCTTTATGCTCCTGAAAATTTTTATGATACTGCAAGTGGATCTTGGTATTCAGCGTCAGGTGGAGGAAGTGGTGCTAGTGGATCATATGTCTCACAACAATCATCTGGAAGTTATCATAATGTAAATCATCCATCAAATATGAACCATCAAACTTCCCCTCATGAGCACTATGGTATTTCTCCACACATGGAAGCACCTCATATGAGCACAACTCCACAACCTTTGCCACCGATGAGTTCTTTTCGAGGTGGAAACACTAATGGAGCTTCAACTGCGACTGTTGCGCCTGTTTCAACGAATCCAGCCATTTACAATCCAACTCTCACACATCATGCACCATCACATAATTTGCAAAACGATACTTTAGTTGGAAAAGCACTTCAAACGGTAACTAACAAATTCTAATTATTTGCACTAATGTAAAGTCGAGCAAAAGAATTGAATTATCTAATTGATCATATTTTATTATAGATGTATCCAAATGATCAAAGCATCAGCAGTTATAGTTCTAATCCATCAACTCCCGTGAATTCTCCTCCACCACTTACTCAAGCTTCTGGCACTGCATTGACAATTCATAACACAACACCAACTTCTTCATGGCAGCAATTAACACCGACAAATGTTATCCTAAATAACTCATCAGCACAAGTTCTTAATGGCATGCAAAACGGACAGTATGCAACAGAATTGGTTCATCGTGGTTTACACATGGTAAATAAATGAATGCTACATTTACTTTCACTTTATAGTTTTGATTGGATGGAGTTCTTTGAAACCAAAAATTAATACATGCATGAAGATTATCAGTGATTGATAATCATTTGTTTTCATAGTTGTAATGATGTTTTTATTTATTACTAATCACAAATAGTCACATCAACCTGAATTATTGGACGAAGCTTTTGGTATGCTCAGAGATCAGGCACAAAATACTACGGTAAGTGACTTAAATATTTATATTAATAAGTTTTCAATTTATTGAAAATTTGATTGAATTCGATGTTTATTGAGTTGTCTAATTGTTTGCTTTTTTTCATTTACTTATTCATAACTAGGGAGCAAGAATGGAAGAGCGTCTTGATGACGCGATTAATGTTTTAAGAAGCCACTGTGAACCACAGCTAGCTCTGCCACTTGGTATGGATGGAGCAAATTTAAGTGGCCATTCATCATTCGGACCTTCACAAGCTCCTTCAAGTCAATCGTCTGGCTCTGTTCTCACCTCAGATGCTGGTGTTTCGCTACCAATCGACATACCAGTCAAAGTTGAGCGAACGAATGTACCTTCAGCTGCAAGTGAGCATCTCTAAATTGTCTTTCTTTTCTTTCAAATAATAATTTTGATTTTAGAAAAAAGAAAAGAACCTCCAGATTCTGATACAAAACCAAGCAGTAGTTCAGTGAGTGGAACAGCAATAAACAAGGCCAATGGACAGAAAAGACAAAGACGATAGTGAGTTCTTTGAATTCTTTAAAATATTAATGAATAATAAACGAAAATTATCCATTACTTTAAAAAAGTAGCAAAACATCTCGCAGTTGTTCCAGTGCCGACGATGACGATGATGACGAAGACTTAGATCCTAGCGAAAAAGATCGAAAAGAGAAGGAACGACGACAAGCCAATAATGCCCGGGAAAGGTAAACTAGAAGCAATGACTAAAAAATTAATTTATTTATTAATTTATTCGTTTATGTATTTATTTATTCTTAACAGAATTAGAATCCGTGATATAAATGAAGCACTAAAAGAGTTAGGGCGAATGTGCATGTCGCATCTAAAATCTGACAAACCGCAGACAAAATTGGGAATTCTAAATATGGCTGTGGAGGTAATAATGACGCTTGAGCAACAAGTCAGAGGTAATTATTGGAATGATTTTCATGTTGACACAGATATTCATTCAATGATGACATTACAGAAAGAAATTTGAATCCTAAAGCCGCTTGCTTGAAACGGAGAGAAGAAGAGAAAGCAGAAGACGGGCCAAAAATCCCACAGCACCACTTACTACAACAAGCTCCATATCCTGCTCTGCCGGTATACGAATATGATTAATTTAATTTTTTTCTTCTTCGTCATTATTTTTTTTCGTTTTAGGGACCTCCGCCGAATCTTCCTCACAACCCTCAACAATAGCATTTTGACATTTGGTGATAAATATTTGAAAAAAAAACATAGAGAAGGAAGATAAAAGTATATCCGTTTTATATTAAAGAGATGAAGTTTATAGACACAGAAAATATCAAGAGACAAAAATACATCATCGACTTTGATATTTTTAAGATATGTAAGATTCTCTTGAATCGTAGTAATCCATGATGATTCAGTTTTTAAAAAAGATAACTTTTAAAAGGAGTTATATCTAAGAATGTATATAGCTTAATTGTATTAAGGCGATTGACAAACATATGATAGACAGATTTCATACATAAGTTTTTTTTTTCATAAATAATCGAGCTAAGAAGCAAGGAGTTTAAATATTAATTTTTTATTAGTTGTTAAGTTGAAATTTTCTTCTTTTTTTAACTCTGTTAAGTCGACATTTATCATATCGATATTAGATTTATTTTTCTTTCAAAAGTAATGGAAAGTACTTCAATATTTATCTAACTATCAGCGGTCTTGTTTTTGCTACTTAAACACCTACTTACTTAAATAAAAGAAAATTAATTTTGATTTCACGCTACCAGTTACAAACAATTTAATTAGATTACGATGAAGAATTTATTCCTTCAGAAAAAGTAATAAAAGATTTGAAACTTTATAATTAGTTTTCATCAACGAATCCCTTTTCTGTGCCATCAAGTCTTTTATTTTTTAAATTATACCTTTGATTTCTACATGATATGATGATCATCTTCGGTACATTAGAAGACACATATAATCGCTAGCTTTTAAGCAAAGACATAAATGAATATTTCCTCTTGATTCATTTCTAAAGGATGTTTTGGATGTTAAAATGAAATCTTTTACGTTACAATATAATTACTTTATTACATTTATTATTTTTTAATACTTATTAGATATCTGTTACATTCTCGCTCCCTTTTATAAATAACATCATCAAGAGGGTTTTCCAGTGTGCTTTCTCCAATGCTGCTCAATAATATTGAAAAAAGAAAAAAGTTACATTAAGAAAAAATATTGATTAAGTCTATGAAACGATCATTTCTGCTGAGAACAACAAGTTGGAATGTAGAAAAATGAGAATTTTTCGCAATGTTTTTAAGAAAAGGAGGAATTCTTAAATATTTTTAAATCATTTAGTTATTTATAATCCAATTAAACGATGCGATCATGTAGTTTTCTTTTTGAAAAATAAAATTATAATAAAAAAATATACATTCTATATTTTTAAAGAAATGCAAAAAAAGTTCTGCTGCTTCAGTGATGATTTAAGTTTACTTATAAAAAGAAAAAAATAACATCTTTAGAAAGAAAGTTGTTCGTTCAATTATGAGAACATTTTGAAATAATTTCTAATCTTAATCTAATGAAGGAAAAGAATTAAATAATATTATAAACATTCTGTATTTCAAAATTTGTCTTATAAGGGCGTCTGTCTACAAAGAAAAAATGCACAAAGAAAATGAATGTGGCCATCGATGAAATTTAAATTTTTCATAGACAGTTAGGTACATATTTCCTGGAATTATTGAATTCAGTGTCAAAAGCATGCAACTCTTACATACAAAGACTTCTTTTTTATGGATTAAAAAAAATTACAAATTTTTTTCAAATCTCATTTATTCCACAATTTTTATTTAGTTTGGAATTTATCTTTATGATAAAGCAAGCAGAAAATAAAAGGTGAATTGAACTTACGCCAAATTATTATATCACGATTTAATAAGTTTGGCAAAATATTTGGAAATTATTAAAAGATGGAAGTTACAATAACTTATATCTTAAAAAATGATACTATGAATTCTGAAAAAATGTATTTTTTGTTTTAAATTTAAAAAGATCATTAAAAAAATGGGTGGATTCAACATCATAATGTGCCATTTCAAACCAATTAATTCAATAAAATACAAGGAAAATATAAAAATTGATCTGAGAAATTAACATGTTAAAAGTGTTTTTAATTACTTTTCCAGATATCTAACTTTATTGGCGCTTGAAAAAAAACACAT